CCTGTACTGCGAGGGCGGCGCGCTCGCGCACCCGCTGGTGTCGCCGATGGCCGGGCGAGACTGGGCGGGCGCGCCGCCGGTGCACGTCGTCTGCGGCGAGGAGCTGCTTGCGGAGGAGGCGCGCACGGTGGCGTGCCGCATGGCGCGCCAGGGCGTGCGCGTGGTCTGGGAGCAGTGGGAGGCGATGCCGCACTGCTTCGCGCTGCTGCTGACATGGACGCGGGCTTCGCGAGTGTCGTATCAAGGCTGGGCCGAGTTTGTGCGGGACGCGGTCGCGGGAAGGGTCGAGACAACGGGGTGCTACGTCAAGGTCGAGACGTTGGAGAGGGCCGAGGTGGATGTAACGAAGCTGACGAACATAAGCGACGAGGATGTCCTGGCTGGCATGGAGGCTGGTCGTAAACGGATACAGGACAGATTTGCGCATCTTTTGAAATAGTACGACGGCGGGTATATAGCTTCTTGACAGTGTCACGCCTATTCCTGCATCATGTGTAGCACCTGTACATTTTGTACTGTCTGAGGCAGCTCTTGGTGATGTACATGTCGCAATAAGTCGCAATAGAAGATGCGATGCTGTCGTGCATAAAATGCATCGAATTCATTAGTAGGGTCTTGTTTGGGCGCGCGTATCTGGAAACGAGTGGCAACCCCAGCTAGACATGGGCAGCGTTGGGATGACGCCCGAGATTCCCACTAATAATAAGTTGCCAATAAATGCTGTTGTCCTTTGATATCTTTGACTTACGATAAGCTGCAGAGTCCGATGCCACGGAGTTTACGCTCCGCCCAAGTCAGGGCAATCAAGCGGCGGCGGCGCCATCGACGGCCTCGATCTGCGTCACGCTGACCCTAGCATTGCAATGCAATTGGCAGGGCTTGCTTCCTTTCGACAAGTGACCTCACCATGATCTTATCAGCTAAATTCTGGCGTCTTGAGCATGGCTTGTCACTCTGACATCAGGAAAATGCCGTTGCAGGGACCTCATTGGTGATGGTTGTCGACAATAGTGGGTGCAGCCACAGATGAATGCCAGGTCGACAGTAGATGATAAATAAGATATAAAATTTGACCTTTCCTTGGTCTCTTTCAATTCTCTTTCAATTCTCTATCAAACACACCCTACGTCAAATACATCAACGAATAAAACATCAAATATGCCTGAAGGCAGAGAATCACCATCCCCCCAGCGCCAGACCGGCGCCCAGCTACACGACCCCCCCGGCCACGGCGTACACTCGGAAAACAAAACCTCGGAGCAGGTAGAGGAGGCTTCCAAATCGGAGTTGGAGGTACGATTTTATTGACCTAGCTATACTATCCTCTCTATTTATGACGCTGACATGCTCCGCACCAGAACCTGTCCTCTAATCCCCGCGGGCCACTCGAAGACGCGGTCGAGCGCAAGTTCTCCAAAGGCCCGGGGAACAAGACGAGTTGATTGATAAGCACTTGGTTATAAATGACAATGTATGATGCGAAATCAATACAGCAATAAACTTGGATAAACGAAATCGCATAACTAGTGGACCATTGAATGAAAGTCCGCCCGCGGACATGTTGATTTGTAAGGACGATGGACGGCCGGTACTTGCCTTTACGCCTTGTATCTACTAAATTTAAGGTACTGTATATGCGCATAAACATTGACAGCCTGGCCAACCTTTTACCATCCATTTCCACTAGGATTACCACTACGAATTTGATTAGCCTAGAATTCAGTGAATAAACTACACGTACGGTCCTAATAGTAAGTTCCCCTCGGCGGAAAGCTCACTGTCTTGGCGCTCCTCCATCGGAGATAAGGCCGGTGGAAGGTTGGAACGGCCAATCGCATCCTAACCATCCAGTCAACAGAGAATAACTGATATACAGACAGAGCGTACGTGGAACTTCCACATCATGCTCAATTATTAATTCTTCACTGCCCCCTTGATGGGGACCAGGTTATCGCCGAGCGGCTGGCTGGTCCAAGATCGGGAACTTGCTAGACATCGGCTGGGACCAACACGAGGGAAACCCCGTTCAACTTCACTCTTGACTACTATATAGTTCATCTTGTAGCTGCTGCTGATTCTGTACTTGCAACATGCTGCCTCACTAGTTTCTAGCATACAGACAGACGTGCATCCAACATCATGACAACTCAGATCCCCGCCACCACCAAGCAGTGGACAGTGTCCCCCACAGACGGCAGCAAAGGCTTCGATGTTCTGAAGCTAAGCGAGGTGCCTGTGACTCCGCCGGGTGACAGCCAGGTCTTGGTTAAGAGTATGCTTTGAAACCTTCACGGAAGAGTCGTCATCCGCTAACAGCGCTATCACAGTTGAGGCCGCCTCTCTCAACGTACGCATGACCAACCATAGTATCATGCATCGCAGCCGCTAACTCGTCACCCTCAACCCAGTACCGCGATCTTCTCATCACCCGCGGCACGTACCCCTGGCTCACCACCCCCAACGTCGTCCCCGGCTCCGACGGCGCCGGCACCGTCCTCGCCGTCGGCAAGCACGTCACCCGCTTCCGCCCCGGCGACAAGGTCCTCACCCTCTTCAACCAGGCGCACATCGGCGGCCCCGTCTCCGCCGCCTACCTCTCCACCGGTCTCGGCGGCGCCCTCCACGGCACCCTCCGCGGCGTCGGCGCCTTCAACGAGCACGGGCTCGTCCACATGCCCGCCGGCCTCTCCGCCGTCGAGGCCGCCGCGCTGCCCTGCGCCGCCCTGACCGCCTGGAACGCCCTCGAGGGCGTGCGCGGGGGCCAGTGGGTGCTCACGCAGGGCACCGGCGGGGTGAGCGTCGCCGCGTTGCAGTTCGCCAAGGCGGCGGGCGCGCGGGTCATTGCGACGACGGGCTCCAAAGGCAAGGAGGAGGCGCTGAGGAGGCTCGGGGCGGACCACGTGCTAAACTACAACGAGGTGACGGACTGGGGCGCCAAGGCCAAGGCGATCACGGGCGGCGCGGGCGTGGACCACGTCGTCGAGGTGGCCGGCCCGGCGTCGATGCGGCAGAGCATCGACGCGGTCAGGGTTGGGGGGGTAGTCTCCATCATCGGCTTCGTGGGCGGCGCGGAGGGCGAGAAGGAGCCGAGCTTCCTCGAGACCCTGACCAAAATGTTCACGGCGCGCGGCGTGGCGATCGGCAGCAGGCTGCAGCTCGAGGACATGTGCCGCGCCATCGAGGCCAACCCGGACCGGCTCCGGCCCGTGGTGGACGACAAGGTGTTTGGTCTGGAGCAGCTCAAGGAGGCGTACGAGTATCTGCAGTCCGGAAAGCACTTTGGCAAGGTGTGCATCAAGATGGACTAGATCAACCCTGCTTTGTCCATCTTTCCTGATTCATAGACCAAGTTCGTTTTTTTTTTTTTTTCGCACATGAGAAGTAGATCCTAAACCATGGTCGGTGGCATCGCATCGCAATAATACGTACAACAAACCTCCGCAGCAGCCCCTACATGCCCGCACTCAGCGTGAAGCCGCCATCCACCACCACCCTCTGCCCGTTCAGGTACTGGTTCGCCGCCGCGAAGAGCACCGCCTGCGCCATGTCCTCGTCCCGGCCCGGCCGCTGCGCCGGCACCTTCCCCTCCATCTTGCCCCCCGGCAGCGCGCTCTTCTGCCGGTCATCACTCTCCTCCTTGGCCGTCATCTCGCTCGGGAAGACGCCCGGCGCCACGCTGTTGACCCGGACCTTGAGCCCGGCCGCCGCCACCTCCGCCGCCAGCATGCGCGTCAGGTGCTCCGCCGCCGCCTTGGACGCGTTGTACGCGAAGTGGTGCTGCGCCGTCTTGATCAGCCCCGAGACGGACGTGATGTTGATGACGCCCGCCGACCATCCCTTGTGCTTCTCCGTGGACCGCTGCAGGAGCGGCAGGAACGCCGCGGTGGTGAAGAAGACGGAGGCTACGTTGGTGCGATAGACGCTCTCCCACTCGTCGGGCTTGGAGTCGCCCGCGTCGAACAGGGACGCGCGCATGTCCTCGGCGGACCGCGCCTCGGAGACGGGGCCGGATGTGCTGCTGATGCCGGCGTTGTTGACGAGGAGGCAGACGCAGTCCTCGCGGCGCTGGATCTCGTCGACGAGCGCGGAGATGCCCACCTTGGAGCTGATGTCGGCGGGGATGGGGATGATTTGCCCGGGCGCCTCGGAGCCGTGGGTTTGGGCGGCGTTCTCGAGCTTCTCTCGGGTGCGGCCGCAGATGTAGACCTTGGCCCCATTGGCAGCCAGGGCTTGAGCAGCCATGAGGCCGATGCCTGAGCCACCGCCTGTTGTGCGTGTTAGAGGTCGTCGCGGCCAGGAGTATTAATAGCCTTGTTCGGACTTGCCTGTTACCACAGCTACACGGTCTTTGAGATCAAAGAGCTTCGATGCCTTGAGATCTTCCGTTGATGCCATTGTATCGGGATTGGTAGCAAAATGTATTTTTTCTTTTTGTAATTGTAATTGAGCAGCGGGCTGTGGGGTGTTAAGTGCAGGGAGACTCGAGCTTCATCTCAAAGTTTAGACTGGTCAAGACTTAATCCTATATAGCATTCATACATACATGTATTGGCTTCTGAGTATACTGCCAATCAAGCTATAATTATGATGAAAGTATGATTATGTAGAGGGCTCTCAGCGTGGGTGGTATTGCTTGACGGCCGAGTGACGTCAACAAACAGGTTCATGACGCGGGACTGGAGGACGCGCAGATGTAATACAAAATTAAAGAAACTTAATAAGATGATTTTTGCTTTATCTACATTTCTTTTAGATCGATCATAGAAGCTTCCAGTTGTGTTAATTGTGTGAATTGAGTTGCGCGGCAGCTGAGGGACCAGCAAACAATCTCATTAGTTACTATAAATCTCCAAACTTGTAGCATGTTGTTCGATTAACCCTCTCTCTTTTTTTCATCTATTTTATTGTGTTTCCCTGCACAAAATTATATTTTCTACTGGATTGGGTTTCTCGTCTTTGCAAGGGCAAGGCTACCTATCGGCTAGTTAGTAGACAGGGTTGATGGGATTAGAAAAGAAGTTACTAAAATTAACCCTATTCATACAGCAGCCAATTCACATAAACATACTTAAATCTAGAAAATTTAAGCATTTTTCTCGTGCAATCTGCAGCTTGTACTCCAGCGGCACGGAGATTTCGGCAACATTGCACCGTATTCGGCTTCTCCACTTGCCCGTACCTTGCTTGGCTTGACTCCCCCGCCAAATCGTGGCCTCGCCTCAGACCTCAGACCACTAAATAATCTCTCTATCCTTATTCAACATCTCTGATGTCACCGCCACCAACCTAGCTCAACGCCCGCCCGGTGGTCTTGATTTCTAGCTGCACGATAACCCCGGGTCATCAAGCGCTCTTGCTAATCCTCTACCATTCTTTTCCATCATTTTATCCTCTCTTGTCCCTTTCACGTTGCAGCCGTGCCCGTTTGCTTAAGTGGCCTGTCCAGCACTGCCCGTGGCACGGGCACAAGTTTCAGTTTCTTTTGTCGCTTACCGACCGGTCTTCAGCAACGCTTCATGCGCTCCATCAACCTTCGCCATGGTGAACGCTCATGAGCCGCTGCAGGCGCTCGCCCCCGTCGACTGGACCGACCTTCCTCAGGATGACCTAGCCGCCTACATCAACGAGCTCTTCTCCCAGGCCATGATTGTCGTCGAGTCGATCCCGTCGCCGTCTTCTGCCGCCGCGCCCGCACCCTCTGGACGAGCTCGCGCCAAGACTGAGTCTGCCGTGCTGCTCAACGATGTCCAGCGGTCTCGCACTCTGCGTCAGCCCCCCGCCAGCTTGGAGGCTGCTGTGGCGCTGCGTAAAGATTGGAAAGAGATCAAGGTCAACCCCAGAGACAACCCTCTGGGCATCAATGTCTTCAAAATGTCCAGCAAGGATGGCAAGGGGGCTTGGTTCGCCCGGCAGAGTGTCCACGAGGGACTGTCGTTTGACGAGTGGAGAGTCGGCCTGGAGCGTGAGTTTGCCGAGAGCTTAAAAGTACAAGGCTCGCCGGGCGTTGGCAATATCAGAGGCATTGGAGCCGACAGGCACGTAGAAGACAGGGACATTGACGGTGCTGGCCATCTCAGTGGTGCGCACGACCCCCTTCGCTCTGCTTCTCGAGACTACCTGCTGACATGAACAGTCTTTCAACTATCCGCCCAGTTTCCAGGTCCTACTTCACCACGAGACTTCATTACCCTCTTGCTAACGTCTGACCTCTCTCACAAGGCAGAAGATGGAGCAAGGGGACTGCGCCAATATGTCATAGTCTCAAAACCATGCAACCACAGTGAATGTCCCCCTCGCCAGGGCATCATCCGTGGGCAGTATGAATCTGTGGAAATCATCCGTGAGGTTCACGTTGAGCCGTCCGTCGCCAAGCGCTCAATGTCCGCCGTCGACCTGGCCGCCAACGATGAGCATGGCACAAATTCCGATATCAAAATGGGCAACTCGGAGCGCCTCCACGATGCTCGGCCAGTCGCCGTGGAGTGGCTCATGGTGACGCGCAGTGATCCTGGCGGCAGCGTCCCGCGATTCCTCATCGAAAAAGGCACTCCGCCTGGCATTGTCGGCGACGCTGGCAAATTCCTCAAATGGGTCACAGCCGGGTCCCGCCGGGGATGGGATGAATCTACAACTACAACAACCGAGAAACAGCGATCAACGGAGAATGCAGACCAGCAAGATGTACCAGCAGTCCCAGCAAACACCAAAGCTACGATGGCAAAAGAACTCACACGCAGCGACAGCATGTCGCAGAGCAATGAAGGCGACGATGGCTCAGTACCTAGCAGCAACGGCATCTACGGCATCATTACAGGCATATTTGGCGTTGCGTCTTCGGTCGTCGCCAATGGTCTAGGTCTCAGCTACGCCAGCAGCGAAGAGACCATCTCCACCATTCCCGCAATCAACGTTCCGGAGGAGGAAGACGGCGACCTGGAGAGCGACACCTCATCCGTCCGCTCCTTTCTCTCCGCCCTCGAAAAGCGCCTCACCGACGAGCCCGGCGCCAAGCGCGACGGTAGCCCGTCCGAGGACTCCCGATCCACCACCGCCACCAACACCACGAACCTCGCTCCCAGCCGAGCCGCCACCATCGGCCCCGCCGGCGAGAAGGAGCTCCGCAAGCTGCAGGAGCGCCGGCGCAAAATCGACGACAAGATGGTGCAGATGCAGTCACGGTTGCAGAGCAAGAGCCAGGGCGACCGCGCCAAGGACGAGGCGTCGCTGGCCAAGCTGCGCGAGAAGCTGGACCGCGAGGCCGCGCGGCAGGAGGACAAGTACCGGCGCGAGCTGCAGAAGCTCGAGGAGCGGCGTGAGAGCGAGGCGCGCAAGGCGGAGCGCCGCCGCCGCAAGGCCGCCGACAAGGAGGAGAAATCGAGCCTGGCGCTGGAACTGGAGCGCGCGCGCGCGGAGCGCGACCTGGCCTGGCAGCACAACCGCATCCTCGAAGGCCAGGTCCGCGAGCTGCAGGCTCAGAACACGCAGCTCGTGGCCAGGCTGGGCAGGATGGGCGGCATGAGCAGCTCGACGCTGCCGCTGGGCAGCACGACGGAGATTGTGGCGGAGAAACAGACCTAAAAAAAGGGTGTCGTGTCGTGTGGGTGATTCCTTGTGCATTACACGAAGCATACTGTCATTGTTGTTGTTTTTGGCGTTTTAGCATATACGGTTGTTCTGTTGTTCGAGTTGGATATGTATTTGGATATCTCATCCCCAGTTTTTGAATATATGCATCTGTTAACTCCGGCTTCGAAAGCCAAGTCTATAAAACCCAATGTCTATCCATCCACGTAGCGTCTATTTTTCCATTCTCATCATTGAGATGTGCGTTGTTCACATGATCTTGTCCAGTGCGTCCATCAGCAGTCGCGAGACGACATTCTCCTTGCCGCGCGCCGCCTGCTTCAACGCCGCGACCTCGGCCAGCAACCCCTCGCTCGCCGCGCCGCTCCCAGCCAGCGCCAGGAACCCGTACACGATCCGCGTCGCCACCGCAAACACCCGCGCGTCCGACGCCCACCCCAGCGGCCCGTCCTCCCTCCCCTCCACCACCCGCCGCAACCCACCGACGCCGCCGCGCACCCACGCGTCCAGCGCCGCCAGCGCCGCGCCGTCCTCAACCCCTCCCCACGGCCGCAGACCGTCGAACGCGGCCGTCCAGCGCCGGGCCTCGCGCACCTCGTCCACGAACAGGTTCTGCTCCTCGACCGCGAACAGCGCGTCGTCCACTCGCAGCGCCTCCGCGAGCTGCTGCTCCGCGGACGCACCGCTGCCGCGGACGAAGCGGGTAGCGACGGCGGCGCGGAAGGCGGGCAGCGGGCGGAACGTGGCGACGAGCCACCGCAGGAGCCATTCGGCGGCCTCGACGGGCACGAGGGCGACGCCGGCGACGCGCGAGAAGGCGGCGGAGCCCAGGTCGCGCACCTCCTCGTCATCGTCGTTGAGCGCGTCGTACAGGGCGAGCAGCACGGGGAGGAACTCGGGTGCCTCGCACCGCGGCCCGACGACGGTGAAGAACGAGCGAAACGCCTCCGCGGCGGCGAATCGCGTGTCGAATGTCTGAGTTTTGGATTTAGCACTTCCTTCACCAAACAAGTAAAGCATCATGGGATTCTTACCTTGTCGTCCAGGCCGGCATCGGCCATCAGCACCGCCCAGCTGCTCAGACCTTCGGGCGTGAGCCGCCCGGCGACGCGCAGGGCGGCGACGATGCTGCCGCCGGCGCGGATGGCGGCGTTGGAGAGCGCCGGGTTCATCGGCCCCAGGGGCAGGCACGCCCAGAGGCTGGCGAGCTCGTCGAGCGGCAGCCCTGGCGTCTCGCCGCCGCCGGGGAGCAGCGCGTCGAGCACGTCGGCCAGGTTCTCGACCGCGGCGGTCTGCGCCTCCAGGTACGTGGTGCGAAGCGCCGCGTCCGAGTACAGCAGACAGAGGGACAGCAGCGTCTGCTCGGACGTGCTTGCGGGGCTCCAGAGCTTAGGTATGGCTTCCAGGGCGGTGACGAGCGTGTTGACGCCGGCGTGGGGGTTGAATATGATGTCGCGCAGGGCGCTGATAGGGTCGGACGACTGGTGGGCTAGGAAGACGTCGTTGATGACCTTTTGCGACTTGAAAAGGGCCAAGTTGGACTTCTCAGACAGCGGGGGTGTGCTGGGTTTCAGAGGGAGGCCCTCGGCAAGCTGCAATGCCCATGTTTGGTTGAGGACCTCGAGAAAAGCAGCGACGACGTCTGGGCAGTTGGCGTAGTCGGTCGCGATATTGCAGCTTGATAAAAAGTCAACTAGCTCAGGCAGATCGGCTGTATCCAGTTAGCAAATCACGATCGCGAGTCTTTCGTCGCACCGTCTAGGCTTACGTTTTAATTGATCGAGAGACACTTCGCTCAGTCTCTCAAACACAAATTTGAGCGTCAGAAGGACGCCGTGGATATAGTTCAACCGCATGCCCCCGGATGCACTCTGTGCCTGGCCATATACCTGCTTTATCGTTCCCAGCCACTGATCATGGAGCAAGCAGGAGCAGAGCGTCCGCGCCGCCATTTCCCTCACGTGCCAGACGCTGCTGGACAGGTAGTGCGCGACGTCGCCCTGGATCTCGTCGCGGAGCAGCGCCGGCGGCCCGGCCCGGCGAATAATGTCCAGCGCCGGAAACACCGACTCGGCCGCGGCCGCCGACAGCGGCGACGTCACGGCCATGACGCCGTGGCCGGACCGGAGCAGGCCGCGCAGCACCTCGGGCAGGTTCGGGTAGCGGTGGTACGGGATGCGGTTGGCCTGGCCGTCCCAGCCGGCCTCGATCATCTGCTTGCTCTCGTGCGAGCCGAACAGGCAGTCGATCAGGCTGCGCAGGAAGATGAGCCCGCAGTTGCGCACCGCCCACACCTCGGACCGCAGGCCGCCGGCCGCGAGCTCCAGGCACCGCGGCAGGTACGCCTCGGACTTGTTGCCGAGGGCCGTGAGCACGGAGCTCTTGAAGATGTCCTTGAGGCAGTTGTAGGCGTGCACCTGCGGTAGCTGCGTGTCGTCAATCTCGGTCACCTGCGCCTCGGTGCCGGCGATCTTGATCAGCGTCTCCATCACCGAGTCGAAGGAGGGGTTGACCGCGTTGGCGGACAGGATGCCGGTGATAAGGGAGGGGATGCCGGCCGAGCGGCGAGTAGTGGACACTTGGGAGTTGATGGCATCCATAGCGCCGTGGTACCAGGTCAGCAGCATATCTTCGTCGCCGTCTGCTCGTTCCAGGTGCTTGCTCTGCTGGCAGCAGGCCGCAAACGTGGCGGAGACGTTTGTAAAGGCGCCGCGATGTCGAAGGCTGCAGAGCTGCTCAAACGTCAGTCTTCCGATGCCGAGATAGACGTCTTTACTGGGCGTCACCGCGCCCTTGCGCGACTTGTTCCGCACGGCCAGCACCATGATTCGCATTAGGTTGCTCGACTCGTGGATGGAGCGAAAGCTGTAGCTGATGAGGCCCTTGGTATCGAGACCCTCGAGCTCCTCGAGCTCCGACGGCAGATGTCCCTCGGGCGAGTCGTCGCAGAGGATGTACTTGACCGACACCCACGCGCGCCGGCAGCACTCGAGCAGCCGCGCCTGCAGGGCCCCGACGACCTCGTGCATTCCCGCGTCGTCGAGCGGCAGCTCCGAGACGACTTGCCACATGCCGCACAGCGAAGCAAAGTCGCCGTGCACGGGCGCCTCGAGGACCGCGCGGCCGAGGTCCGCCTCCGCGAGGGCTATCTTGCGCTCCAGCTCATCGATCATGCCCGATAGCAGCGCGATGCGCTCGGCCGGCGTGTCGAGGAACCGGTAGAGGAGCTGGTTCACGCGCGCCGCGCCGTCAGCGTGGTCCGCGCGGGCCGTCCTCCGCGCGAGGTCGTTGGCGCGGCGGGACAGCTCGCAGAGATCTGCAGCGGCGTCTTGTGTTGAGCTTTCTGCGTCGGCGGCGCGCAGTGAGAATCTTCGGTACCTCGCATCCGCAAAGATGAACTTGAGCACGGTGGACGTGACCTCGCGCACGTCCTCAAAGGGGTCCATCAGGAGGTCAAACAGTGCGCGAATCCACTTGCCGTCAAACACATCGAACAAGAGCGTCTGGTCATCTGCCGTCTCCCACGCTTTGCCCTTCTCGCCCTCCATGCGGAGTATATGTCCGAGTGCTTTGAGCGATGCAATGTGGCGCTGGTAAGACGCAGTCGGTACCAGTTCTTCGCACAAGAATTCCAGATACCACTTGAGGAACTCTTCATGGTAGGTCAGACACTGCACCAAGCTCTCCTCGGGCAGTGTGATGAGATTGGTCCTATACATAGCTGGCGCCGGCGCTTCGGTTGCGGCCTCCCGCTTCTTCTCCTTAGCCGCTTTGGCGCGGACCCGTGGGATGCTACGCTTCAGAACGGAGATGGCGCCGCGGACGCGCTTGAACATGTCTCGCGCGCGCGCCGAGACGTCGACGCGGAACTTAGCATCTGGGTCGGCAAAGAAGGCGCCCAGGTGCTTCTGAAGAAGTTGAAGCGCCCTCGGAGAGTACGGTTTCGTCGTGGAGGGCGAGGAAATGAGGATGGAGAAGACGAGTGAGCGGACCTCGTGCGAGGGGTGGCCAAGCACGCTCTCGAGGACTTCTTCTTGCAGCACGATAGAGCCGCCGTCGGTTTGGGCCTGGCTGTCCGAGTCTAGGTCTGGTTCCTCAACAAGGCCGACTCGTTTTCCCGTCTCGAGCGCCGCAAGATGGATCAGGGCTGGTATATCAACATGAAGCTTTTCGGATGCTGATACAAGCCGGTCATTGTTCATCTTTTGCAGGAAAAGTAAGGCCTCCTTCCTGTCGATCTTAAACAGAGGCAAGAATACGTAGTTCTTGATGCGCTCTACGAGAGAGGGCTCTTTCGTGACAAACTCGAGTAGCCACGAATGCCAGAGATGAATGCTCGGGATCTGGTCCGCGCCAGCTTTTCCTTGCCGCAGCATCCGGTATAAGGTGACGATCATCTTTCCGGCCGCGGGGCACACAAAGTGGCGGCACATCCAGTCGAACAAGTCCTCTACCAGCACGCCCCAGACCTCCATCGGCGTGCGGCCGCGCGCGTCGCCCCTGCAGCCCTCGTAGCTCGCGCGGAGGTCGTCGAGCGTGAACACGTGCTTGCCGAGCAGGTGGTCCAGCGTCTTGATGGCCGACTTGGCCACGGGTTTCGTCGAGCGCCGCGCGACGATGGACACGAGGTCGTCCAGGAGCGCCGCCCGGCTGCGCGCCGCGGCGTGGGGGTCCGGGTTCTTGCGGAGGAGCGAGGCGACGAGGTCGAGGACGAGCCGCATGGACCGGTGGTGGTCGTACTCGTTCCACTCGATGTAGAAGTTGAAGAGCCGGAGGACGACATCGTGAGAAAAGGCCCAGCAGCGCAGGTCCGGCGACGCGCACTTGGACGCCTGCTCGACGAGCCCGCAGAGCCTCACGCAGGCATCGCCCGAGACGGACCTGGGTTGCGCAGCCTCGGAGTAGAGGCGCTCAAACGCAGAAGCAGCAAGCCTGGGGAAGAAATCAGCATAAAAGTTTAATTATATTGATTTATTGCGTAGCGTAAACGATGCATACTCATGTTGTAATTCTTGCTGTTGGCTCTCTAGAAAACGGATCAGTTGGCCGGCATTACTCAACACGCCTTGGTCCAGCAAATCTTGCTGAGCAGCCATTGCTGCGGGCGTGTTTTGTCGAGAACTGGCCGGATGATTCAATAGCAAAAGATTAAACTCAAAAATATTTCGTCAAGTTTAGCATGGCTTCAAAGTTCGACCAATGAGTCAACTAGTCATTTTGACACTAATTCTCATGTGTTTCTCGGCCATCTCATTGTGAAATCGCTTTCACTCTACAAACTTAGACCATGGTTCTAGTGAGGTTGTCGACTCTTTCACTGGTGCACGTGACCAAGCACGTGCGCAATTTTGCCCTTCCACAAAGCGTAAACCCACCAAATTGGTATGAAAAAAGTCCAAGGAGCGGGGCCGAAATATCTATAAATCTTCTGGGACCCCCCGCCCATTTCAATCTTTTCTAGCCAACCAAACCAACACCGTCCTGACCACCAATTGATATATCTCTTGGGAGACTGACACCATGTCTAAGATCACAGTCGGTATGTGAATTGCACTTGTTGTCGTTGGCTTCCCAGCATCTCGCCGATGCCGCTCCAGGAACCAAACAACACGAAACGAAAAAAAAAATCCTGCCACATTGATTCTAACACGCCTCTTCAGCTAATGTCCGGACGCAAGTCCAGGAGCTCCTTGAGTACTCCAACGAGACCAAGAAGCGCAACTTCCTCGAGACCGTCGAGCTCCAGATCGGCCTCAAGAACTACGACCCCCAGCGCGACAAGCGTTTCTCCGGCACCATCAAGCTGCCCGCCGTCCCGCGCCCCAACATGGCCATCTGCATCCTCGGTGACCAGCACGATCTCGACCGTGCCAAGCACGGCGGCGTCGACGCCATGTCGGCCGACGACCTGAAGAAGCTCAACAAGAACAAGAAGCTCATCAAGAAGCTCGCCCGCAAGTACGACGCCTTCATCGCCTCCGAGGCCCTCATCAAGCAGATCCCCCGTCTCCTCGGTCCCGGTCTCTCCAAGGCCGGCAAGTTCCCCACCCCCGTCTCCCACGCCGACGACCTCTCCGCCAAGATCATCGAGGTCAAGTCCACCATCAAGTTCCAGCTCAAGAAGGTCCTCTGCATGGGTGTCGCCGTCGGCAACGTCGAGATGGAGACCGAGCAGCTCCTCGGCAACATCATGCTAGCCATCAACTACCTCGTCTCCCTTCTCAAGAAGGGCTGGCAGAACGTCGGCAGCCTGACCATCAAGGCCTCCATGTCCCCCCCCAAGCGCCTGTACTAAGCTATTTGTTTTGGCTTGGTGCTCGCGTTGTTTTGGTGTCCACGACACCATAGACGACTGAAAACATGGGCCTACGGGTATGGGGAAAGGTCATGTGTTACGAATTCTTAACTGAACATGCGTAATGTAAATTCAATATACCCGATCAAGCTCAATCTTTGCCATCTCCATGTACGTGTCCGTCTATGTGTGTGTGTGTGTGCATGCGTGCGCGCGGGACAAAGTGCTTGCGGAACGACCCTGACATTAAGCAATGTCTTGCCTGAATAATTCTCCTCCCATGAAAAACAACCACCAAGTCCGTCTATAACCATCTGTACGGTCAACTGCACAATTAGCAGCAACATCGAGTCACTCGCCGTGCCTGGCGCCCCCACTTGGTTTGGCATCGTCACCTTTAAGTCGATCGAGCTTGCAATTTTTCTGGTTTTGTGACAGCATCATATACATACTGGTTCTATATAGGTCTATGTAACCGTGATCTTCTGTTTGTTTATTGCCCCCGGCCGACTAGCAGCTTTTTGTGACGCGCCAAGCAACCAGGCCTCTGCGTCCAACAACCCTCGTGAGCGTGTTCCAGAGGCCATCTTCGCCAATATCCAAGTCGTCAAGGTTTAGGTGCTGGCGGTGACGCCAAACCTCACGGAAGCGCAGCCCCTGTAAGCCTTTATTTGAGAGATAGGGATCCAGCCACGTGGCGGAGGCTGGTGCTATGAGGTAGGTACCGTTCTTTTCTTTCAGGTACTCTTGGTTTCGGCGGTCTGCGGGAGTATCACAGGTTGCGAGTGAGGTCAGCTGCTGGAGCAGGTCGTCGCCTTTGATACCCATAACGTCCTTGGTTCGCAGGACTTCATTTTTGCCATTGAGCAACCAGATAGGCGGTGAATATGTTTTCCACCAGACAGCATTCGTGGCGTCAGGCTGGCCAGCCATGAAGACTTGGCCGGGAACGATACCTCCTTGGTGATATACCCCCATGAGTACACCAAAAAACAGGTTAAAAATAATCCATGCGCCTGTCCATACACGTAATAGTGCCTTGTTTGTGGGAATTTGAACAGACGACAGAATGAGTGGCACCGTCGGCAAGAGAAACCTGGCCTCCTGATGCTTGAATATTGACAGGACTGCCAGCCCTGAAATGGCGGAGTAGAGTCGAATGGATAGGTGAGGCTTCGTTACGAACAGCACAGCAGCAGGCCCAAGTAGTAGTGGTAGGTTCGCGAGCGAGTGCTGGTACCATGGGTGAAGCCCATGCTGGGCCAGGTTGGCCGTGTCCGAGTTGTACTTGAAGTTGTTGAGGGGGGTTATTACTGGTCTGTAAATTAGGTCGGTCCATGTAACTGAGTCGGAGTTGTAGAATGCGGTATCCAGCGCAATCGCGACAATGGAGGTAACAAGGGCAGCCGAGACCAGGACTGCGAGAGAAAGAGGCCTGCCAAGCTGTCAGTGGCGGTGGCTTACATGGGAGGGGGTGCCGAGCTTACTTATTCAGGAAATGGGGTATCAAACGAAAGCCTGGAATTAAGAGAAACGCTGGAAATGTAATGCGATTGAAGATGCCAAACACGGCAACAATCCCGAGACCGAAAGAAGACAGAAGGGTAGATTGCTGCTAAAAGGGAGTGTTAGCAGAGGCGGTCTGGTGAGAAGCTAGCTCGGTTATAAAAAGGCCAGCTTACCTTGGCGTCCACAATGCGCTGGATCAGCACCAAGCTCCATGCCACAACTAGGGTCTCTATGGAATTAGAAAAGGTATGCGTCTGGTAGGTCCAGGTCACATAGGAGGACGCGACGAGTAAAACTGCCACGCGACGATGGCGCGGCGAGGGAATCAGCTCGTGCAGAGCCCAGTCCTCAAGCACGAAGCTGATAAGGAACATGAGGACCCTGAGGGTCCAGAAGACCGCAATGGGAGGAATCTCTCCATCGTTGCCGTTACCAATCCACAGCCAGCGCAAGAGGAGCATCGGCAGGCCGTAGACGGGCCATAATGGGAACACGCTTCGAATGGGATTGTCGTTTGTGAATTCCCAAGTTCGTCGCACGGGGTAGCTGAATATTTCGCCTGCAATTTCCAACTGGTCAGCTTGAGTCGCACAAGGCGCTGAATGTGTGGTAGGAATCTGCATCTGCGACGCGCCAGCTGGTGGTCTCGAGTCGCACGCGCCTAGGCAGAGAGGATGTCCAGCACTCACCTGCAATCACTTCGGGTCCTTGAAAGTTCTCGTCGGGGTGGAGGTAGCTTGGCGAAAGGGCAAACCACAGTCGGATGGCGACGAGGAGGAGATAGGATCGCCGCCACATTGTTCTCCTGGTCGGGGCGAGTTGCCTCTCAGGGCTTGTGGGATAGCAGCAAGCAGAGGCTGGTCGGGGACTGCGAGCAAAGCAACGACATGGGGTGGCTGAGAGTCGGGCGCGCTCGCGCCAAATGAATAGATTATCCAAGCTCCAGACAGTGTAGTAGGGGAAGAGAAAACGGCTGGTAGGTCGGTCGGTAGAGCGCCGCCGTTGCTAGTCGATGATTAGATCGGAGTAGGTATCGGGAGGAGAAGAAAGGAAGAGGGTTTCCGCCCAACGAAAGAAAAATTAAAAGGGAAAATAAGAAACAAGAGAAGTGGGAAGGCTGTTGGAGAAGGGAAAGAAAAGGAAGGGCCTAAGGAAGATGAGGTGGAATAGAAAAGAAACGAAGGCGTGGTCGTTGCTTGTCTGGGACGGATGGCCAGGACAGCGAGCCGACAGAGACAGAAGCAAAACCGCAAGCGTGGCAAGTTCCATTACAGAAGGTCGAGGCGCTGAGCTGACGGCGGAGCGGGTTGGCTTTAGCAGTGCAGCTAGGCAAGTCACTGTTGGCGGATTAACGGGTACCTGGACGCGCCAGTTACCGTGTGCACGGTACCTGCAAACGGCAAAGTGAAACATTGGGCTTTGGGCCTTGCAGGGGGCACCTATTGAGACGCAAGCAACCTGAAGTTTCTGGGGCAGTACGAAAGTAAGGTCATAACTAAGTATCGAGCTAAAAGAGCCTCCAAAATTAGATTTGCTACTGCTAAAGAACAGGTAGTTTACAAACGATGGCATGTCCCGAGTGCAGGGTGGCATGACCTCATCACCGGTTATGGGCTTGATCATTTTGGGGGAGATGCACACGGGGTGATTGGACGTCGCAAAACTTCGAGCCGTCATCAAAATGTCCAAGTGACGTGTTCGCAAGGGTGAGAAAAAGGGTCATGGTTTTTCTGACATGGAAGAGAAAAAATCATCCAACTATCATCCAGGGCCTCTGTAAGTGATTCAACAGCAATTGGCAAAAAGGGGGCAGGAGTGGCCTGGCGGAACAAAGAGTCAGGGGGTCCTTGACAGAATTTACTGGAGCCGCCCACTGTCGTTCTCGCTAACCAGTCTTCGCTAAGCCCTGGGCCGGGCCGGCCGCAGGCTACCACTGGTGAGCATCCACCCTCTAAAAGCAGCAATCTCCACCAGCTTCAATTTATTAATTGCATCGAACATTCCACGCGACGAGATTACCTAACAATCCGAGGGTCGTTGGAGAGGATGGTTTCGTCCGTTTCCGTTGCGAATCGATTTACAAAATGGTTGGTCTCAAAACCGGCAAAATCGGCCCATCCCTCAGCATGGCCATTGTCTATCCGTCCTCGCATTGTCTCAGCGGACTCTGCGAGCGGTACTAGCCCTAGAATACACTCGCGAACATCTAAACATTCCAATAGTAAATTGAATAGCTGTCAGAGCCTGTCAGTTCGCAAGTAGGCCTCGCGGCACTTGCTTGGTTCCGAGACAGCGTTTGGCAGATGGAGTGGCAGGCTGCCCGCGCCAGTCATCGAATGTTGTCATGTCCATGGCACGACCAACATACCATCCACGAGGAGTCTGTCGCATCAGCAAGAAAACGACCAACAGCTTTAGTCTACTCGGATTTGGGTCCGCCTTCGAAGCAGCATGGTTTTTAACAAGGCACAAGTACGCCACAGTTCCTTCTAGGCCATTCCATTAGTGTAGCTGTGTCACAAACTGCTACGAAGCAACAAAGGCGACAAAAGCAGCGCAACGCAAACGTGTGGCAACTGATGCGCCGATGAGCCATGAAAGGTTCCGAGGAGACAAGACTGTAACCTCACGCCATTGACTTCCATGTCATTAGGTGATACTACGTTGGTTTCACCAGCTTTTGAGCGGAAGCGTTTCGCGTTGCTAGGAGTACAAGACTCCTCCCGCCATATTTACTGAAAGGGAAAGACCTTGACCTGCGCGGGCGTTACGCTGCCAAAGAGATGCAGACCAATCGATGGCCGGATGTTCCCACCAATTATACCTGCTGCCAGTATTTTGCAGTTAGAATTGGAGTCCAAGGACGTTGCCCAAGGTAATAATAGTATTCGCGCCTGCGATCGCTTGTCTAATCAGAGTTGGCAGTTGGGGCTACCGCTAGATCCCGTGCTTGTGGCTACTCCGAGCGAAGAAGTGAAGAAGAAAAAGACAAGTAAGATATCTCAACTAATCACTGTCTCCAGCAACTCGCTGCTGGTGAGATATTGTTGTTAAAGTTGTCTTAAGCAGAAGCGGCTGCTGGTCTTTTCAACAGGCAGCACTCAGGGTTTTCGGTGGACATCCTTTTTAGTGGACAACCAGGTCGCACCAGGCACTGTGCCAGGCACCAGCGCGTTGAGTACGAATAGTATCTTATTTTATTTTAAGCAAACACCTGCACCAGCGACAAGTCAATCGACTTTCCTAGGTATTTAATCAGCCTTCCATCCCTTTCTTCGTCACTCTCCTCCTCCCCATCACCAACAGCACTTACACAAGCGCATGTACGAGTAGGTCTCCTCCCCATCTCCCATCTTACCTAGCGCCGCCAGCGCCGCCTGGCGATGGCGGCTGCCTTCCAATCACAGTCACCGTCCGAAACCCCGCAGGTACTTTCTGCCCGCTTCTTCCACCTGACTCTTGCCCTGCCCAGCCTGCTTTCTTTCGCAAAGCTGTCACCTCTTCTGCACAAACAACGAGCCAAATCGACATCCAGCATCTACTTATCCATCCAGCAACAGAAACCTCGCCTTTTCTGCTCTTTCATCTCATCCAACCAACTCTCTGCACCTCTCCCGCTTGCAAAATGGCCGACCCGTCCAAGGCGAAGATCTGGCTGATGACCAACGACGGCGTCAAGATGGAAGTCGGTACGTTCACGCCGTCCTCCGCCATCTAGGATTCCCGTTACATGGCGGCCTCTTCGACTAACCAAAACATAAACAGACCGCCCCGTCTGCGAGCGCTCCATTCTCATCAAGCACCTTCTCGAGGATCTCGGTTCCGACAACATTTCCGAGGCCAACCCAGTCCCCATCATGAACGTAAGCCTCGGTCGCCCGTATTCGCCCTGCGTGCCTAGACGTGAACGGCGAAACTAATGGAGGTTCGACAGGTGAACGAGGCCGTCATGCGCAAGGTCATCGAGTGGTGCGAACATCATCGCAACGATCCCGCCCAGGGCCCCGATGATGAGTCGGATGCCCGCAAAAAGACCACGGACATCGAGGAGTGGGATCAAAAGTTCATGCAGGTCGACCAGGAAATGCTGTTCGAGATCATTCTCGTACGTTTTCCCCATTGCGCTTCAAAGTCTCGCAGCAGAATGTCGAATGCTAATCTGTACCCTTCAGGCCTCCAACTACCTGGATATCAAGCCCCTTCTGGATGTTGGCTGTAAGACCGTCGCCAACATGATCAAAGGCAAGTCGCCTGAGGAGATCCGTAAGACTTTCAACATCACCAACGACTTCACACCCGAAGAGGAGGAGCAGATCCGCCGTGAGAATGAATGGGCCGAGGACCGCTAAGCGCGTTGCTATAATGTCTGCGTCAACTTAGGTGTTGATGCATTTTGTTTATGCTTCCTCCATCGTTTTGTAACGGTCACCTTTTTTCCGCTTGGCGATTGACGATTCATGGGTCACTTACTCCGTGACAAGTGACTCTGAGCTTGCCAATCACTACACTTTCTTATAGGCGTTCGATTTGGGTTAGGACGGGCACGGCTAATGGCGCTGATAACTCATACTGTTTCTGTAGAGAATACGAATAGCAATGATGTGCCAATCAACAAAGGATGCTTGTGAATCTCTATAGATGATCCTTAGAGATGCTTAGGACCCACAAGCAACTGTAGCAACAAATCGGTGCTGATGTCTGACGTTGTCTTTTGCTTTTTTAGTTGGCGACTTCGAGCTACAGTACGTCGGTACACGGGCATCAGGAGCGGCCTTCACTTCAATTTCAATATGGCGCAGGACGTCTTGATTTGAAATTTTTTTATATTTTTCTTCCCTTACTATAAGGTTTCCTCCCCTCATGCTTTTAAGGACAAGGGAGTTTTTGCTGCGAAAGATTGACTTTGACAACGACCCCAATGCCCTTCCACCACTTCCATGCCAAAAATAGTGCTTTTCGTATCGTCTTCTGTCGTCTGAAAGCGTTCCATAAAAATCTTGTTCATATGCCCAGAACGGACAGTGATGGTCCGGGTTTCCCCAACGCAAGGGGGCAAAAAGGCGATTTCACGTCCCTTTGTGGTCGTTTTTTAGAGAGCCGAAACAAAAACTGCGCCGTTCCCAAAAGATGTTGTCGGTATGTTGGAGTAAAACAGTAAAAAGGAAAGGAAGCGACGGAGAGAGTGACGAGGCTCGCGCATTTAGATGCCGAGCTTGGTCTTTCTCCAGTGTCTGCGCTTAGCGTTGTAGCTGTGAAAAGGAGGAATATCATGTTAGCCGGAGTCGTTCCACATTTTGATTCGGAGAAGAGCGTGTCGATGCCGCCCTCGTGAGGTGGTGTTGGGCCGGGGAGGGGAGAAATGGAGCGTACCGGACGGAGTTGTTGGTGCGCAGACGGATCCATTGGGGCACAGGGCGGTTCTGCTTCTGCGACTTGGCAAGCTTCTGCTTGGTACGGAAGGACTTGAGGCTCTGTAGGGCGAGGCAAACACGTTAGCAAAACCCATGTCGTCGTCATTTCGAAAGTGTCCGTTTTCGCTCGTCCGAATGGCAACAACAAAGAGGTCCTGAGATTTATTTCGTCCTGGTTCTCGCAAATCTGAGCGTCCACTCATCCGGGTCAGGGTGCTCGCGCAGCGCAACCCATTCCGCAAATGCGTTCTTCATGGGCCATTTGCGAGAGTTGAGGTTGACCATATGCGAGATGATGACAGCCGGCGGGAGCATTTCGAAAAATAACAGGGAGCTCTTTGATGTTGCCTTCGACTCGGAGAGATGGTGATATATTCGGAGGGAGAGGTTAGGGGGTGTTCATACGGGCATCTTGACGGTTTTATCGGGCGTTGTCGATGATGTTCCTTTGGATTTGCGTGGAGTTGCAAAAGGATTTTTGGGCTTGGAAGCGGAGGGCTCGGTCGCGCCACTCGAGGGCGTAAAGCCCTAGTAGCGAAAAAAGAGTGTGGGTGTGGCTAGTGTAGGCAGTGGTGGTGGGTGTTTGTGGCGTAGTTGGTGCCTGAGGCATTAAAGGGCACGGGGACAAGTGGGGCCTTATTGAGCTCGGCAGAATGAATTGAAGATGGAGCAGGCGAGGATGCTGCTCTGCCATGCCAGGTCTGCTGGGTCGCTTTTATTATTAGTCTCACTACAAAAGCCCCAGCCAAGAAAGGCCAACGTGCAAACAAGTGCGATTTTGGGTGTGTCTGTCTCACGATTGACATTTCCCTGTCGGGTACATCAAAGAGTGCAGTGTGGCTATCTGCATACATTTTGGGAGGGAAACCAGATGCCGTGGCAACTTGGGTTGGGCTCAGAACTATAACTAGAAGCAGAAGTCATATCTGAAGAAAAGCAGCGATATAAACCACGGCCGTGTCAATGAAAGAATCATGCGTTATTGGCACAGACGCGGCGATCCGGATACGAACCACTTAGAGCCACCGCCAAGCTGCGGCGGCTTTCGCGGCCAAGTTTAATACGTACTTGGGGGATCGTGGTAGAAGTGATCGAGAATGAAATGAACCGAGCTATTCTGCGTCGTGTAAGAATTTATCATGGACTCCAATCCCATTGAGACTCACCGGTACTCGATCGACATGCTCGCCGAGGCCTGCCCAAGTCGGTAGCGAGCCGCTGCGGGTCTCGCCTAGCCATGAATGCCGTGTCCGCAGGCCCCTAAACTTGTTTCTTGTCCAGGCTTCCCGATTGCCCGCCCGCGCCCGACCTTGGGAGCCCGCCCAGGGCAGGCAGGGCAGAATAGGGGACAACGCCGCCGGATTTCTAATGAACCGCGCCCCTCAAACCTCCTCCCAGAAAAGACAGTCGTTGCTTCAAGATATCACCCTTTTTTTCCTTTGCTCTTCTTTTCATCTCCGACATTTTTCAAAGAGTTTCTCTCTTGGGACGACCTTGCGCAAGGAAAGATAACTTTGGGCTTTTTTTCTTTTTCTTTACTATTTTTCTAATACGCCTACGATACCCATTCTCGCTTCTTCGTTCCCTCCAGGTGGCGACAACTCGACGCGCCAGCCCGCCGCCCACCTTCCGTAGCTCCTCTCCGATAAATAAAAAAGACACATATTCCGCGACAAAGACGCCAAAGAAGATACACAAACATGGGTGCCAGCGTCTCGTGGCTGTCTGGCATGCTCTGGGCCAAGAAGGAGATTCGCATCCTAATCCTCGGTCTCGTACGGCACCAACCCTTCCCTTTTGGCTCGCCTTGACCTCCGGCTGGGCAGCGTTGTATTTTGCGCAAATGACTGGGCGCTGACTCGCCTTCCGCGACCGTTAGGACAATGCAGGAAAAACGACGCTGCTGTACAGGTTAAAGGTATGATCGCATGGCCCCCGTCGCGCCGGAGGAACGACCTCGGTAGCTGACACAGTAACCAGATTGGCGAGGTCGTCACGACGATACCCACGATAGGATTCAACGTCGAATCCGTCACATACAAGAATCTAAACTTTAACGTCTGGGTACGCTCTGCCCCAATATCGCCCGCCCCCAACGTTCGCCCGGGTGCAACTCAAAACATGCTGACAATCTCCGCCCCCAACCAAGGACCTCGGCGGCCAAACCTCGATTCGCCCTTACTGGCGCTGCTACTACGCCAACACGGCCGCCGTCATCTTCGTCGTCGACTCCACCGACATTGACCGCCTGCAGACGGCCGCCGACGAGCTCGCCGCCATGCTCAACGAGGAGGAGCTCAAGGACGCCGCCCTGCTCGTCTTCGCCAACAAGCAGGATCAGCCCGGCGCCAAGGGCGCCGGCGACATCTCCGAAGCCCTGCGCCTCGGCGAACTGCGCGACCGCAACTGGAGCATCATGGCGTGCTCGGCGGTCGACGGTTCCGGCGTGAATGAGGGCATGGACTGGCTGGTGGTAGGTTCCTCTTCCTCTCCCTTGCCCGTCACCTGGACCTGCATCGCTCTGCCTGTGATGTGTGTGCTGACGCCCATTCTTCCCCTTTTAGCAAACTGTCTCGCAAGAATAAGGCGACGCGCGCCAGCTCCTCTTCGCTGCGAGGCAGCTTTCTCACGGAATTAGACGATATTTTGTACAACAAAGGAAATGATGAAAAAACGTGAAGCAAATAGTTAGGGATAACATCAGCTAGGTAGACGGCGCTATGCATTGCGCCCGGAGAAGCGGCCAAGAAGCAATGCAGACTATTGCGGAATTCAGAACCGATGCAAGGTCAATGGGAGGGGGGAAGGATGAGGAAGACCCTCTCGCCCGGCGAGAGAGGGAATTGTCATGCGCCGCTTCGATTCGATGCATTATTAGTAGTCGCGCAAGGTGGTCAGTCAGGCGGCGGACGACTTCGACATTAGTTTTTTTGAACACCAATCAAGCACAGCAAGTTTCTCTTCTTCTTGCTCTTCTTCCTTCTGCCATCTTGGCGTATCTCATGGTTCTCAAACCTGCCCCGTGGCTTGATGCCTCGTTTACGTACGCGAGGAGTCTCGTGGTGAGATGACCGCTGTGGTGCTACAGGGTAGGTAGGCGGAGCAGTTGCGTCGCATGTTGAATGAGACGCAAATGCAAGGCGAGGGCTCTTGGTCTGGTTTTTTTTCGGTTCTTGCGTGTTATAGGTTATTTCCCTTTCTAAATTTTAATTCATCATTGTGAGACCCAAAGTGCGCACGAGTGCGGTCTGTTGTTCGATCTCGTCCAGTCTCCAATTCAGCGCCTAGGCGGTTGAGAAATCGCGAGGATACAACACCTCATGACACGGCAGCCTTGACGAAGCCGGGGAACTGACACAGGAGCAAAAATACATCAATGACTGTAAATATTTATTAAGAAATCATCACTCGTAGTACAAGGGGTTTGGCGAAACTTGGTTTCGTATTTATTAAATAGGGACTAGCCAAGGAGAAGTGTATATTGTTCGATACAAGAAAAGGGCGACAATTTCCAAAAACAGTTTACAAACCATCGCAAACCCAACAGGGATCCCTGAATACACATTGTATCTTCGGGCTGTCTTCCTTTGCCTTATTCCCTTCTCTTTTTCTCTTTGGTGCGGATGGTCAAGAGCCCAACATCTCCACCACAGGCATATGCTTCTCCCGTTCGCTTCACCACCAGGGTTAAAGCTACTAATCAAGAAGGAACGCTCGTGGTGAGGACCGACCTTGATGAGAGCGTGATCTAGCACGACACTGCTGCCACCCGCCTTTGTTACTATGTAAGCTCCAGCACCTTACATTTGAGTGGATTGCGAGTATCCTGCGATACAGGCGCCAGATTGGGTTGTATCTGGCCCAGGGAAGTGAGGGCAAACTGCGTGGCAGATTGCCATCATGCCTTTACCACCTGTATCGCCAATCCCACTGGATCATGGCGCAACCAAAGTCACGCCACGATCCCCTGTAGAAAGGTGTCCTACAGTTGCCCCATGGTTCTGTCAATGAGCTGCCTGAAGGCGGCCCAAGTGAGCACCAGAGGCTGCGAGAACAACAGCATTCAAGCCATGCGCAGCAAAGCACAATTGCTGTTGCTCCCACTTGCACAAACTCATCCATCCTGATGGTGAGCGTGCATGATTCCGTCGGCATCCAGTGCCCTTATGCGCGGAGATGCTCCTGTCATCTCGGCGTGGTAACGGTTCATTGCTTCCGTGACGGCCAGCTTGTTGAGTGGGGGTGAGAGCCAGTCTAACCGACCCAGACAACGGCGTTGAATCGATGTATTGTTTATCAACTTTCAAATGCAGCTGTATTGGCGTGACATTCGTAAAAGCGGTAGCGTATTCGATCCGTAACTTCGTGGTCGTCATAATTCGTAAAAAACAGGCGTAACGAGAGACGGTTGGTGGCTAGCACACGGGGTATCATTGTCGTCTCAGGTCCGATGCTGTGATGTAGAAAAGGAAGAATCCGTGACGGAAACAACAAGAAAAGAATAAAAGAAGTGAAAGAGTTCATCTCGGACCAAGCCGAAATCTGTGCATCGCTGCGTATCCCTCTTGTCTTTAACCCAAAGTTATCGAAACAAAAGGAAGAAAAATGGTAAACAAAAGGAAAAAAAGAAAATGGAAAAAGAGAAGCCGGTTTGTAGAGATCCCTGTCCGCTTGTGAAAGCATCCTATACCCGTCCGGAGCCAGCCATTGTGTGGATGAGAGAATATACTCGGCCGATCTTGCGGCAGTGAGGTATCCGAGATGACTGACTCGATTAATATAAAAACAGTTGCGCCAGCCCTTGAAACAATACAGTAAACAGACGCTCGCTATTGCGTATGAAACAGAAAGCAAAGCCAAAAGAGCTAGTAGCCGATGAGAGGAAGCCGCCGCTTGGTCAGAGTGGATGGAATATTTGAAAACTCCGAGCCCGATGCAAGAAGGAAGAGGAAGAAGAACGCCAGGATGAGAAATGCCGGTCTATGTCGCTTAATGATCTTGCAGTGTAAAATTTTTTGTGACTTCTCTCCAGGAGAAGTGAGAACGCAAAAAAGGCAAGAATTAGGACGGCCTTGCAGGGGCATGAGTGCCGCCCTGTGACTGAGATGATGGTGGTAGTCACATAATGGGAGTGCTAAAGTCCTGGAAGCGTTGCCAATCCAAGGGAGCTCCCATGGCGAAATTCATACCGCACTGGCTCGGCGCGTACATGCTGGGCAGCGGAACAGCTGACATGGGGGCAGTCAACTGAGGACCGCTGAAGAAGAAGGCATTTGTGACCTGAGGTTGGCTGAAGTCCATAGGAGGTGAGGGAACATGGACATGTTGTTGTTGCATGTGCATGTTATGCCAGACCGGAGTAGTGGCTTCAACTGTGGAGGCGACACTGGGGCTCGAAGGGAGGACGTTCCAGGCCTCGACGGGAGGAGGCATGGAGACATTCGGGGCCCAGATGTTGTTCATGGGAGAGCTGGGTAGCAGAGGAGGCTGACGAACCATCTCGACGACACGGGGAGGAGGAGGAGGAGGGACAAGAGGCTTCATGAGGTTCATGAGGTTGATCCTGACTTCCTCACTCTTTCCGCAGAGAAGCTCGCCCGCGCCGTCCTCTTCGAGCCCTTCGAGGGCGGTGACATGTGTGCGGAAGACGAATTTGTTGATGGCTTGCACAAAGTCGTCGTGCAACATCTTGCACTGCTGTTCCTTTCCTGACCAGTCGGACGAGTTTGCCTTTGCATCGACGCAGTGAATCTCCTTGTGGTACTGAACGAGGGCGTCAATAGTGTCGGTGGTGAGCTTGTAGGCGACCTCGTTGCGGAGGACCATGTCGACGTGGACAATGTAGGCTTCAACATGGACGAATTGGTGGTTGAAGAGGCACTCGGCGTAGTCGGTGGGCATGTCGGCCTCGGGAACCTTGGGGAGCAGAACGGAAGCGAGGGTCCAGATGGCATTCTTGTTGGCGAGGGTCTCGGCAAGGCATCTCTGGTGCTGGGCGACAGAGTTGAGGGGGCGCTTGACACGGTTGATGCGCTTGAGCGTTTGGGTGAGCCAAGGGTCGACCTTGGAGCCGAGGACTACGTTGACGGAGGCAGCTCTGGGGGCGAAGGCGGCGGCGGAGGCTGGTAGTAATTGGACGGGCATCTTGATGGCTGTGAGAGTTGTCTTTCGAGGCGGGGTGAGGTATGTTGGCGGGGGGAGGGGCGGCCGGGATAGATAGACCGGGGAGGGGCGACAAAGACGAGGGTGCGCAAACGGCCGGCCGGTGTGGTACGGGAGGAACGGGGAGTTCGAATAGAAGAGTATATTAAAAACGGGAAGAAGAAATGAAGAAGGTAAGAAAAGAAGGGACGAAGCGACAAGTTATGCTTAGCAGGGAATAAGAATTGCCGACGATGGATCGCCTGCTGAGCTTTGCCGCAAACCGCGAGGGGAAGGCGGTTATTAAGAAGGAAGAGAACGTCGGACGATGCGAAGAGTCGTGAAGAGCGAAAAAAGGAAAGGGAAAAGGTGGCGGGACGGGCGGCGGTGGTGGAGTGATATAGGCGGCGGGCTGCCAGAGAGGTCTGTCTGTCTTAGTGGGCTGGAGTTAGTGGGCTCGCTGGTGGTGGCTAGTGCTACTAGCGGGCGGCAGTCGGTTGGCGTGGCAGTGGCAGTGGCTTTTTATGCGGTCCGGGTCGCGGCCTACAGTGGGCTGAGGAGCCTGTAGTCTGGCACCTATGGCGGGCGGGGCAAAGGTGGAATGGGCAAAGACGACCAGGAGATACTGGCAAGGATCAGAAAGTAAAGTAAAAATAAAAATGAAAATAAAAATGAAAATAAAAATGAAAATAAAAATAGTTTCGCATAATCGACCAAGACTTGGAATCCTCTAAAGTGGACACTTGGAGCTTTCTTTTTGCTGGTCTTGCCTTGCATCTTCTCCTTGCCTGGCCGTTTTTTCTGCAGGCAGCGCCACACGCCATCCATCCACGAGCTGCCAGCAGGTGACCGCGCACGCACAACTCGCAAGCATTTTTTGGAGAGTGGAGGCGGGATTTGCAGAAGGAGAGGGAGGGCTTCGGTCTACGTCTTTGGCCCTCCATTGCTAAAATCGTCCCCGCCTGAACAACCTGCATCGGCCGTGTCCGGCACCTTTGCAGGGGAGAGGCAGAGAGGGTCGGCCCACGGGGGTGTGTGTGAGAATGTAACCACAGTGCTTCAACGCCGCCACAGCAGAGTGAATGCATGCAGTCCGAGCCAAGGTGAGTTGTTGCTTCGTAACTATTGCTGGGAAGCAGGTCTGAAACGGAGAATAATTAACACAGCTATAGGTTTAAAAAAAGACGTTTCCAATCCATCTTGTACACTCTACTTTTAATAGCTTCCTTCCCTTTGTCTCGTGTCTGGCTCGTCATCGGCGTTGCAGATAAGATACCATAAGATACCAGCCTAAAAAAAGCTTCGGCTAAGAATAAATCAGTGAGGTAACCACCGAAGTTGGTAAGGTACCTCAATAGAGAGTAGATGCCGCTGACCAAGGCAAAAAAAGGGCCTTTTTTTTTTCGCTCTCTCTTCTTCCTCCGCGCCTCTTGTACCCGCTAGAATGTTGCTATTACTAGAATCAACAATTACTCATTGAGATTAGCTGCATGCAAGTCCCTCAGTAAACCGTGGGATCTGCCTCGCCCAGCGGGCCAGTTTGCCTCGCTGTGGCTACCACTGTGCTGGCACCAGCCCGAGGTACCTTGGGAGGCACATACTGTAGGTACTACATTCTGGCAGGCCTCCCTCCTCTGCTGGTGAGCCTGAATTGTTGCCCGTTTTCTGTGGGCTCGCCCAACTCCCACCTGCATCCCCCCGATACATGGTTACATTCACCACATACCAGCTCGCCACACTTGCTCTAAGTACCCTGCTAACGGAAACGCTGCCTCCTTCCACTTTCATGGCTGTGCTTTCTGCCGGCACTCCGTCAGTAGGCATCGACATCCGAACGCCAGATTAGTAGGTAGCCTGCGAAGCTGAACTGCAGGCTTCCCCCCACGGCCCCGTTTGACCATCATCGCCAGTACCGAGCCCAGTCTTTGCGCGGCCCATCCAAACATTCGGTTCCGTTTCCTTGGCTCTCTTTGAGACTTGAGACAGGTACTTGGCTGCCTTCAATTCTGCGATGCCTCCTAGTTACTCCGGTCCGACTCGGTGGACAGGTCTCGCCCCTCCGCGCCAACGGCCATCGCCCGCCTTCGTTGCTCCGCACGAGCCTATCGTCCTTGACTCACTCGTGGCCATGCATGATAACTTGATGGAACCGACCTTGGTTGCCTGCTCGCCTTGATTGCGCCGCTTCCGCGCATTGCCAAGCTGGCTTTCGGGACCATGGCATCCCCATCGCATGCCGCAAGCATCCAGCAAGGGCCTTGCATATGAGGAATCAACACGACGATCCCATTCTGGACCATCTCACCTCGATGCTCACCTCCCTGAGCCCCGGAGCCTGGCACGTACCAAGGGATGGCGTAGGCCGCCAGGTTACAGCAGCCTCTTGCATGTCTGTCTTGCCTGGGTCTCGACGACAGGCCACCACCATACAACACGTACCACTCGCCACCCCACCACACACAAGCCCTCGTACATGCGTGGCTCACGTTTGAATATGCCGGGGAACAATCGAGCGCCGGAACTAGCAGGCTATCAGCCACCGAGTTCTTGATTCACGGCGCTTCATCAAACACCTATCCTACTACCCCCACCGGTCGTATATCCTGTTCAGAACGACCGCGCATAGCATAAAGTCCTTCCCGCTGCAAGTGAAACTGGGTCGCGGACATCGGAATCATACCGCAATAATCATACAACTGCGACAAAACTTGCTTGCTCACCCTCTACACCAATCCAATTGCCGATATGCAGGCTACCTCCTGCAACGGACTCCCGTTATGGCACTCCTCTCTGATACAAGATGTATGCGCAAGCCCTCCGTGCGGGCATGCAAGGGGCGCTTTCTCGCTTCCTCCCGCCGCCGAAGAAGACGACACTTGTGGCCGGGAAACATGACTGGAAGATGAGCGGGTTTCCATTCATGCGTGCCGGTTGGCCCAAGGGAGCGGGCGCGATCTGGAGCTGGAGAAGCTCGGTGGCTAATGCAGAACCTGGGCGAGATGAGCCAGACAAGGGACGCTCAAGCAAGGCACTTGGACCACCTTGTAATGAATTACTCTTAACATTTTCAAGGCGACGAATCGGAGTCTTCTATGGCATCTCGACACCGCAAGGGGCCGGCCGTTGTTCTCCCCTCCCCGTGAAACCTTGGCTCACTGTATCTGAGCGTTGTCTGGAGTCATGATGGCATGCAAAGACCACCAGGCTCGCACACGACGGCAGCGCTCAGCCGCCGTAAAGGCTGCAAGCTTCTATTTATCGGATGAGATTGACGGGCCCCTCATATTGATGGCAGGTAAGCCAATAGTCAATATGATGCGTCTGTTACGGCGATCGTTTCTTTCAGACTTGTCATATCTGCACGCCCACTTGCAGGCGTATGACAAGTCACTGGCTACAGTTGTGGAATCCGCCGCGGCGCCTGATGGAACACTTGCAGTGGATACAGTCGTTGGAACTTTTGCCAGTAATAAGACTGCCATTATGCGTGAAGCTCGGTGTTTGTGGCTTTTACTCCAACCTCGGAGACGTTCCTCACGATGGGTGGAAACAGTTGCAACGACGAGCCAGTGAGCAGATGAATTATGCTCAAGAATCATTTGATTCGCGACAAAATAGAACCGCGATGCGGCCATTGCCCCTTCTTTGAATAGACAACGCGTCGGGGCAGAAACAACTCGGGGGAGTGTGGCCACACAGAGGTCATGCAGACGGAAACCCTTCCAGAGTTGACGAGGGTCTCTTGTTCCCGAAGCTGCCGTGGAGATTATCTAGCTGGACCCCGATAGTCGAAATGAGGCCAAGTGGCCAATACCAAGCGTCGCAAGCGGCGGGAACGAGGCGGCCACTACTGTTATAAGGCGGATACCATCGAGAAATTCAGAGTGTTCGGTTGGCAGATTTAGAGATGCAAGGGCCCTTGCCTATTGCAGTTTATACCACAGCCTGATTGAGAAAAGGGGAATTCAAGAAAGGGGAAACTCTCGCCACCTTGAAGGGGTGGGTGTGTTGATGGTTGGCCGTATTAGTCGACTGGTCGTCTTGATTCTGAGTATGGCTTTGGTGGTGAAAGTGCTCTTCCAGCTTCTGATTGGCTGGCAGGGCGAAAGAGGTGGTGGGGACGCAGTCACTGGAACAGGTCATGATTGGTCGACTGCCAACCAATCACATACGCACATCGACGAGACTTCGGATTGAAATCAGGGCGTGCGTGTTATGGGACGAGGCCGTGAGACGAAAGGAGGGGAAAGGAAGGGAAAAGTCATGAAAACGTGGAGACGGGACTCGAGTCTAATAAAATGAAGAGATCAAGGGGTAATTTCGAAAAAGGTGGCCGCGCTTGGTTGTTGCGAAATGATGCCGCATACAGCAACGCTGCGCCCGCCCAGCAGCGGTCGAGGCCCGACGCGAATGGATGATTGAAATGAAAGACTGACACGCATTGGAAAATGCGAGACGGAGTGGGCAGTGGCCTTTCTTGCTTGCTACGCGGGGTGTGAGCGTAGAAAGACATTGAACAGGTTGTTGTGTGTGTGTGTGTGTGTGCGTCGTGCCTGTATGTGTAAGCTAGATGACGCGTGTGACAAAGCCATGCAGGCACGGGCAGGTTTTCCTGATTCTCCCATCTATGGAACTTCCCTTCTCGAAAGGTGACATATGCATACATCTCAGACCGACATATACGCGCAGCTGGATAAAGAGAGCCAGGGAAGGAAGAGTGTGGTGGACTCATCTGGGGCCCCGTTCACACATACACACCTCGTCACATGAGGCCCGGCCAGACTGGCTTGTCTCCGGGGTCATATGAGCTGTGTGGTGGTCAATGGCCTGGCGGCTATCACGTACCACTGACGGTCAAGGGTTCTTGCCCATCCTTTTTTTTTCTACTATTCTTTTAGCCTTCTTTCCTCTCTGGTCATGGGGATGGGATGGGATGCGTCGAGTGTGGGGAAGAACCTGGGCGGCTAAATAGTTCGTTTGACAAGAAACAAAGTGCCGATGCTATGCCCGTTATGGGATGGGGGAGAGATTTGCGACTGCGGTGACATGTGAAAGTTCACGGTACATGGCATGGTGATTTTTGAGGAATTTTTTTTTTTTTATGCCTTCTTCCTTTTTCTTCTTTGGTTTGGATTCTTGGGTTGCCCCTTCTAGGCGGGCATGGCGTGCGGACTTGCATCGTCGAAGGGCAAAACAAGTTTTCCGCGTCGCAGGAATGACTAACCATGGAAGGGGAAAAAAAAGGCGGCGGAGGGCGTGTGCATGCAGGCAGCTAGAATAATGCGCCAGCTTGTTTTCCAAGGTAGGGCAAATACGATGCCTGGAAGAGCTGGCCCTTTTTCGATGCGACGCACCTGCACGAGCAGAGACACACACGGCGGCGACCTGCAGCCGACCCCCAACCCAAAACCTGCCCAGCTGACCTCTCTAGACGATGAGGCTCTTGCGAGACATTCTTTGTCGCCCAGCGGCCTAGGGTGGGCTTGGCCTTGTTTTTTTTTCCCTTGTACAATGTCGTAATTTTGCAAGACATTTTACGCCTCCTTTACAACGGCCCTTGTTTTTTTCCCTTCAACCTCGGATGAATGACTACCTGGCTGGCGGTGGCGTTTCTGCTGCGGTACGGAGTACTACTGTACATAGCTGCCTGTACTCTGTACAACAAGTTTTGTTTCTATAAAAAGATCGTCCTCCTTTTGCCATGCGGCAGAACCCTCTCCGGTGGAATTTCTCTCGGCCGTAAACATTTCCCAACAAAAAAAACCCCTTGTCTTTCTTTTTCATTTCATCATTCATAAATCACATCTTTCGGCGTCGCCGCCTCACAAAGCATGCACGAACATGCAACATGTCGTCACCGCCGCCCAACTCCGGCGTGTAGGGCTGGTGGTGAGGCTGTGCTGGCTTCGTGTGGCTCGTCCCGCCTCCGCTCCGCTGGCTGGCTGCCTCCTTCATTATTAGCCGCGATGACGGTCTTCATACTCTTTTGAGAAGAGAAGGTTTCCATCCTTGCCAAAGTTTCTCACCCGTTGCCCAAGACTCTATTTTTACCTATACTCTGCATGCACCCTTAAAACCTTGGCGCCACGATGCTGTCTACCTCCGTTTCCAAGACCGAGTGAGCCTGGATACATGTGGCCCCGCTCTCTTCTCTTTTTGCCCAACGAGATCGGCAAGGTGAGATCGTGGCAGTGTTCCTTTCAGGGTATCAATCAATATGGCCATACATTGCCAAGTGATTCAGTTTCTCCTTCGAACCAACAGGCCAACTCAATGTAAATCTTGATTGAGTCAAAGCTCTCCAAATATGTCAATATACAAAAATGCGGCTCATGCATGTCTTTTCTTCGTAACGCTCAACTCCGTACCCCTCTCCGCTCCCCTCATTACAATGTACAAACAAGAGCACCTCTGCCATCTACGACTCACGACGACGACATTTCTGCCGCCAACTGCCGCGAAATGTAATCTGAGATTGCCAGGATCGTCACCATCGGGTTCACGCCGCTGGCGCTCGGAAATACGCTCCCGTCTGCCACGTACAGGTTCTCGCACCCCCAGACCTTGCCGCGCGGGTCGACCGCGCCGCCGCTCGGCTTCGCGCTCATCCGGCACGAGCCCATCTGGTGCGCTGACAGGTAGCTAATCTCCCCGCCAGCCTTGCTCCCGACCTCGCGCAGGTGTTGGAGCCACTTCCCAAACTTGGGGTCCGTGAACTCAGGGTCCGTCCCGTCCTGGTAGCTCGCTTGCCGCGCCGCGTCTCCGTCCTTCGCTACCACAAACGGCCGCACGTTGGGGATTGTCGGGTACAGAGCTGACGCCCCTGTCACGTACATGAGCTTGGCAATGGCCTCGACGCCGTCCAGGCTGTGCTCCGCGTCAAACGGAGACACGTCGTAGTCGATGCGCGGCGCACCCGTGACGGGGTCCGCCGTGATGCGTCCCGTATCTCGATCGCGCGTGATGGAGATGACGGTGTGCAGCTGCTTCATGCGCGCTACGCAGAGCTTCGAGTCAAGGCCGCTCTCAAATGGTTGAATCGCAAAGAGCACGTACGGCTTCATCATGTTAGCACGAACTGAAGGATTGGAAGGAAGGGGTACGTACCAGCATGGCCATGGTTTCAAGCTTAACGCCGTGGCCCTTTTTGTCGAGATTTTGAAACTCGCCGTTGTAGGCTGTGATGATACCGCCCTCCCACTGAGGCTCAGCCTCGTCAAAGTGCCCGACCAGGAACGCAGCGGGGTGCAGGTACAGATTGCGACCAATTTGAGGGTTCTAAAGTAACATGTTAGCGAATTTCTTTACTTCCAAAATTGGAGTACAGCCGAGCCTACCTTGACGCCGCTCGTTTGTAGTAGCGCGGGGCTCCAGAGGGAGCCGGCCGACAGGACCACCTTCTTGGCCTTGATTAGGACCCTCCGCTGGCGGCGAGCCTCTGGCGCGCTGTGCACGGTGCCATCGTCGCTGCGTGCGGTCCAGACGCCCTCGACACCTGTGGCCGTGACGCCATCAGCGGCGAAAACGACGCGCTCGGCGCGGAACCCCTCGAGGAACTCGGCGCCGGCCTCAGCGGCGGCGGGGAGGTACGCGACAGCAGGTCCCCTCTTCTCGTTGGCACCGCAGCCAAGGTGGCAGCGGCCACAGTAGTGCTCGGCACCGCCAGTGTTCTGGTCACAGACATTGCTGTGCCAGCCGAGCTTCTTAGAGCCGTTGAGCACGACCTCGTTCTGGTGGTTATGGCGGATGGCCTTTTGATTTGCGCCGATGGCGGACCACACGCGGTCGATGCACTCGTCAAACTCCGACGAGCCGAAGAGTGGCAGGCCGGCGGCAACCCACTCGCGGCGGACATAGTCCTGCGGCTTGAGGCACACGCTCCAGTTGACGGTGCCACCGCCACCCCAGGTCTCACCGGCGGCGACTGAGATCGCGGAACTCTTGGAGATGACGAGGCCATTGTTCTCGTAAATGTGCTTGTTGCTGACCTGGCTGAGCGGGAAGTTTTCCGGCGCAAAGTGGTAGCCCTTGTCGGCGACGAGAACGCGGTGGCCGGCCTCGGCCAGGTTCTTGGCCGAGACGCCACCGCCGCAGCCAGAGCCGATGATGACGACGTCCGTCTCGATGGTGTGCGTGCCCGCGCCGTCGGCAATCTGGATAAACTTGAAGTCGTAGCCCTGCTTACGCTCCCAGTTCTTCGGAAGCTGCTCAAAGCCGCCTAACTCGTTGATGAAGCGACTCGAGGCGCCGAGGGACTTGCGGGTCAGCGCATTCATCGACTTGAGGACGATGCGCAGTGGTAGGAGCCGCGATGAGCGCCAGTTCTTCAGGATCTGCTGTCGCACGGCTAGAGGTTGCCTGTAAAAGGGCTTCCAGCGGCCGGTGAGAAGCAGACTTCCGTAGCGGGTGCTATGGGCAGAAATGTTAGCCAATTGCGGTATGTTGGGGCGGAGGCGAGGAAGGTGACTGACTTGAGCATGCTCATAAACTTCGCGAGCTCCATGCGCAGGGCAGCCGAAGCGACCGAGTGCTCGCACTCGCGACGAAAGGCGGGCTCGTCGACGGCGCGGAAGGCGAGCCATTCGAGCAACTTCTGCTGGGGCGGTGGGTTGGTCAGGCTCGCGAGGGTCTCGTCGACGGCGGCGTAGAACTCCTTGTCTGGGATGCCGAGCTGGCGCATGGGGTCCTGGAGCTTGGTCTGGGGCACGACGGCTGGAACAAGGGCTTCGCTAATGGAGAAGAAGGTGGTCCACTCGGCATCGGTCATGAAGCTGATGTCCGGTAGGTCCTTGTCCAGGATCGGCTTGTAGCCGGCGGCGTGAGCCATAGTCACTGTGGCGGTGGCGGGTGTGTAGATGGTCGAGTCCTCAAGCAGGACGGAGTCCGCCATGATGGGCTAAGTTGTTATATGTAAGATTCGACGGTGCAAGGGGGCAAGGGGGAATAAGTTGGCTGGTCTTGCCAATTCGGCGACGCGAAGGACGGATGCGGAAGCCAAGACGGGCAAGGCGACCAATACAACTCGAGAATTGCACCTATGTCGGTGAGCAATGCAGCTTCTGACGTTACGCAAAGCTCATGCGGTCTGCAATTCCCAGTCAAAGATGCGGATGAGAAGACGAAGGGAGAGGAACGAAGACGAGAACAACTGCAAAGCTGAAGATGAGACGGGGCATTTGAAAAGAGAGGTCGGGGAGGACCAGCTAAAAAGTTGGGGAAAGCGGCCGGGCCAAGCTGATGTGGGGGATTTCATTTCTATGGGAGATGTGTGGGCTTTTCGTCGTTTGCACCTGCACTTGCTACCGAGTACTTACACGAGAAGGCTTAAGCGGGCCGACGGCGTGGGAACCGGCAGCTGGCAAGCCCGTTTGTTGGACGGACCGGCGGGCCAACTGATGGTCGTGCGCCAACTTGGCCAGCAAACGGCAGGCAGGAAGGGCATCATATGTACTTGTAAAAAGCTACTAAGTAAATGAAGACATAAACATACTCTCCAATTCTCCATCTTTCTGTTACATTACACTTCCCGCGCTGCTTTCTTTTCCTACCTACTCATCTTCAACCCTTAAGGTGTTGGTGTTGTGATGTCCGTTTGCGCCTATCGTCTTGTGACCGACAGGCGACGCCCCCAACAGCCACAAACTTCACATGCGCCGAGCAGGAAAGCCGTGCTCATCCTACATGGCAGCTCGACACAACGCTGCCGAGTTCATCAGCTCATAAAAAACATTTGCGCAAGAACATCTCAACAAAATCAGCAAATAAATAGCCCACTAACCACCCCCTCATTCGATCCTTCAATGCACATGGGCTGATGCGCCGGCCATGCGTCCTCGGCAAGCAACCCCACGAACGGACACGGGCGGCCCAACTTTTGCGGCTCGCCCACCGCTAACTTTTCCACTTAGGACCAGCCAGTCGTTCCCTCGCATTTGGGCTTTATTTATTAACCTCTTTGCCACCCGCCTCTGGACTAGATCTCTCTCCTCCTCGACAATGAGAAGCCATATGGGCGGAGAAGGCGGGGGCGTCTTCCCCTCCTATAATAGAGCTCGTATCGTCGTGTTCTCCAGCCTTGAAGAAAAAAAGGGTTGGCGATAAACCCTGGGAGCGGGCGATTTAGAGCATTTTTAGCCCCCAAGATTTGCTGGGGGGCGGTTACTAATTCCGGGCTTCTGGGCTTGTCATCAACCCCACGTTCTGCCCAGAGCAAGGTCTCTGCACGTGTGTCCACATGCTACAAGTTGCCAAGGGGACAAATGAAACAAACGAAAGTAGGTACCCCGCTGAAAAAAGGAAACAGAACGAAAAAGAAGTAGAACAAAAAAGAATCCGGTGCCTGGAGAAAGCATCCAAAAAGATTGCCGCAGCGAGGACTCGAACCTCGGTTTCCAGTGGTTCGCGGTGTTGTAAACTCCACAAACTAGTGTCCTGACCCCTAGACGACTGTGGCCAATGATGTATTTGATGAAGTGGGCGATGCTATTAACGATTATGTAGGCTAGGTTCATACCCCTGCAAAGGATTGCACGCAGAACTAGTAACTACAATGCATCATGGTAGACTGCTAAAGACGAGCCGTGAAGTTTAAATCAAACCGCCTTCGGTCAAATGCGACAGCTTTTCTCGCATCAGCGCGCTTCATTCAGAAAACAACCGCGTTGCAAAGAACCCTTTCAAGGCCATCAAATAATACAGACGTGTGTTGTTGTATTTCACTGCCCTACTCTAACCTTACGCCAACCATGCTTTTCTCCTCCCCGATTCGTGCACGCCGTTAAGTCGCCGACGTCTTAATGCCATTGCCCTGAAAACCATGAACAAACGCCAAAAATAAAATAAAATCGAAACAGGAAAAAATGACAAGTATCCGTGATGCATCCATTCCGAAACCAAACGTCTTTCGCAACGAGTTTCGTGTGCACTCCCTTTCCCAGCCACGTCCTTGCCTGTATAAAATGTAGAAAGAGAAATCTCAGCCCACTCTCCATGAATGCATTGTTACATCCTTGCGCGGTCGTGTGCATGGCATAAACAGGACTGGAACCTGTTGCTCAACACGACTGCCTGATCCCATTAATCCATCTGGTATCAATCATCTGGCATCATTTCGGTCGGCGGTAATATACAAATGCGCGTCTTGGCGCGCTAAGCCATGTCCAAGTGACTCTTGTTGTCAATGGCGGGTGCAATGCTCCAGCATCGCAGTCATGGCGAGTAAATAGAATGGAAACCTTCACGACAAGGCTAGCTCTATCGCGAGGCATTGCTCAGCTTGTGGCGTCGGCGGCAGGAAACGGGGGACTCGAAGGACTGGATCCCTTGTTTCTTCTAAAAAAGGGGAAATCCTTCATCCTGAATCTGCTAGTCTTTTTCCGAAGAGACTTGCCCTCTGCCTTGCCAATGCTGCCTGAATTAGATAACGATTCGCTTGCGTCCTGCTCTATGGGACCCTCCCTGCTCTGTGGAGGCTCGCTCTGCGTGACCGGCGGCTCAACGTTGAATGACGGCAGCCCTAGGGTGCGGTCCATCGAGTCGTTGCTAACGATGCTTGTCCCCTGCGTGCTGGGCGATAAGTTGGCCTTTCCCGTGGCGCTGGTGGCCTGAGATGCCCAGTCACCCGTAAAGGCGCCTGAGACACTGCCTTCGGTGGTCTCGCTGCAGCGCTGTCTTGTAGACAGAGTCGCTTTGCCATCACCACCGCTCTCGTCTATTGGTCGTACGTGAAATGGGTCGCTATCGGCAAAATCACGAACGGCGTCAAAGGCTGATGCGGTGCCGTTCAAATGCTTATAGACGTCGTGCTCCGACTGAGCGGGGTTGTAGAAATCGCGCACAGTGTCATGCATCTCTTGCGCAACGTCCTCTGCACCAACAGTGTGTTCCTTTGCTGGCTCGTGCTGCTCGCTGATCTGGGTTTCGGAGGTATGAATCACTGTGGAGTCGGAACCCTCTGTCCGCTGCGGTGTTGCGATAACACCTTCTGTAGTCTCGTCACCTTCTTCTGCGATCCAGCTTCTGGTTTTTGGTGAAAAGGTTCCTTCCCGTAGTAATTTTCGTCGCTCGAGCCCGTCGTTGGCCAGTCTCAACTTTTCGTCATGCACCTTCTGTTCGAACACTTGTCTATTTATCTCCAGCTCATCCACAGCGTATTTGAGAGAGGGCATAATGTCGGCAACGCCTTGAAAGAGAGGAATGGCAAACATATTCATGAAACCAAGTTGAGCGTTGGATAGTGACAACAAATCCCGCTTCGGCTCGGCGATGAGCGACGACTTGATGCCTAGCTCGTTCTCCATGGACGCTTGCCGAGAAAACTCTTCAACCAGTATGTGCATCCATTTGACAGCAGCATCATGATGTCTGGCAACGTTGCTGACATCGGCGCACTTGATAATGAGCGAGCAAGCCAGGGACTTGTATTCTTCGAGCTGACGACCGTTCCAACCCTCGGAGCCGTCATTGTCGTGTAGTTTTTCTTGCAAGTCGCCAAGCTTCTTCATGTAGTCGAAGTGAAGTCCCATGTCAGTGGCTAAGATGGAACTAATCATGAGAGCTCGCATGCCCCTGTCCTCAAAGGCGGCAGGCCAATATCTGCGGAGAATCTGAGCATAAGCGGCGCAGTGAAAAGATTCGAGCACTGAGCGATCATTGTATAGCTGTGCAAGCGGAGCATTCAAAGTAGCCAGGAAGCCGTTGTTGACACCAGGGTGACCGACATCGTGGCCGATGGCGGTAATGAGTAACGTCAAGGCATCGAACGGAGTCAAAAGCGAAGCGATTGGGGATTTTGGAACAGGCGTGGTGGGATCTCGAGCGGGATAGCTTGCCAAGGCACCGACATTGACCAGGAAGTGAAATGTTGCTTGGAGGACATCGACAACATGGCGAAAGTTGTGGTATGGCACAAAGCTGTTGTAAGCGGTACGGCAGGCGACAAGAAACTTGATGAGTTTATCTAATGATTGTTTAGCGCGTTGTCCATCGATATGTTCGTCCATATAGCCACGGCGGATGGATCAGCACCAAATATGGAAACTCACCTGCTGGGAGGCGCCAGCGCTCCAGTTCAGGCATGGAGAGAGCGTGCTGGAACATGAACATGGCGCCAACGAGTAACTCATCATCCGTAAATGAATTAGCACAAAAGTGCCACTTGGAGACGGCGGAAGCGATTTCAGACTGGCGTTGCGCGGGGACGGAAACGTGAGCGGTAGCGATATTGTCGTCGGGGGCCATGCGGCAGATTCCCTTCATGAGGTTGGAGACCATGGCTTCGCGCAGGTAGGCAAAAGGCTCCTGGTCGCTGACACCGACCCAAGAGCGCTTGCGGCCATGTGTGATTTCGAGAAGTTCCTGTTGCTCGCGGGCAGCGTCCCGATGCGCCTTGTAAGCGCAAATTTCGAGCGTGGTGATGCACTTTGAGCTGAGAGGGCTGATGATGACATCAACGGCGCCAAGGTCGAGGCACTTTCTAATGAGCGGACGATGGGCGGCGGGAGTGTTCAGGGGAACGGGAGCGAGTACATCGGTGGCACCGTCGGTCATTTGCTCGCGTGGTTGGTCGGAGGTTGGTTCGGGATATGAGATGACGGGAACGGGAACGACGCGCTTGGCCATGCAACGCAAATGCGACTCGGTGATGATTTGTTGGAGAAGGCTAAGACCGTAGATTTCATTATCCAAAGCAGCAATGTGGGAGGACTGGGCGGCTTCGGATGCGGTAGGCGCAGCAGGCCAGGTAGGCGAATGGATCTGGGAAGGAGTTATTTGCTCCGTGTGAGGCGTGTCTATTAATACGATGGCGGGAGACATGGAGTAGACAGCGTTTTCTTGGAGTGCGAGAAGGTGCTGAAGGCAAGCTGCGCCTGTAGAGCAAAGGTAGACTGCAAAGAATGGGTTAGCAAAGAGCTTCTGTTGAAAGAGGAGCCAAGCCAGGAAGAGACGGGGTAGGCGTACCATCACCAAAGGCGTCCAGCAGAGGTTTAATGTCGCGACGGATGTGATCGGGGTATTGGTCGTCGTCTTGTCGAGATTGGTTGTCGGGTACAGCAGAGACGATGCGATTGCGAGCGACGGCGCGATTGACGTAGATGACATGGCAGGCGGTGGAATCCATGGTGGCAACGAAAGGCTACCAGTCTCGCGACCGGAGCACGTCAACCACGTGGAGGGGGGGCGAGGATGCGATTGCGTAGAAACCCCCCTTTTGCGGTGCGGAATTGGCAGGGTCCGAGTCGATATTTGGAGGAGGGTAGAGAGGAGAGGAAAGAGAGAGGGGATGGAGCAATCGATGGAAGCGTCGAGGCAATGCGCAGGCGTGGGCGCGACAACAAAGTGATGGTGGGCGCGGCGGAAAAATCGTGGGACAAGGGTCGGAATCCGCAGCGAGACAAAGTTGGAAAGACAGCGGCTGGTGGTTATTGGTGGGCGGAAAAATAGACAGAAATTGCGTAGGCGATGAGAGGGAAGAGGGAATGCGAGGGACGGTGAGCGTGACCGTGTGCGTGACCTGAGCTGAGGATGAGTTGGTTGCCAAGGCTGAGATTGAATTTGGACGGCGGCAACGGTTTGGATTGCAGTCGATTGGGCTGGCTTGGTTCCGAAATGGTAGCGCGGGGATAACAGTTATTGGCGAATGCTGCGCAAAGGAGAGCCAAGAGCGGATCGCGGTGGGAAGGTAGGGAGTTTGTGTGGTTTCTCCTTGATGGAATTGCCCGTCAAGCCGTGTGGTGTTTGGTAAGAGGAAAAAAGTGGCGTGCTTGGTGAGAGATGGTGGGTGGGAGAGGAGCAATCCGGTCGGGGGCAAAGACAAGGCGAGGCACGGCAAGGCGAGGCAAGGCCAAGTCAATGCAGGGCGAGGAGGACCAGGAGAGAGCGCGAACGAGAGAGTGAGCGAGGGCGAGCCTGGCAGAGTTGAAGAGAAAAACGACTTGGGCGTCTCAGCGCAAAAGGGCGTAAAAGGGTGGAGAGGGGGCGCAAGAGGCGAGCGCCATGCAAGTGGGTTTTGGGGGGAAAAGAAAAAAAGAAGAAGACGTGGAAGGCGGGAGGCGGTTTGACGGTCCAGTGAGATGGGAGGGTTTCGTGGTCACTTGCTTGTCGGCTGGGTTTTTGGTGGGCAAGTTGGAACAAGACTTGACAGGGTCGGGGACGCCGCGCGGACTTTAGCGCAACTTTTGGTGGTGTGATGTGATGGGATGGCGGTGGTTTGTTTGATTATCGGGGGTATATTGTATATCGGGCGGTGGTGATGGCGATGAATGGAGCTAGAGTTCTATCATGGCGACGAACGGGGAGGGCGGGGGAGATGGAAAGATGCGAAGGAGAGAGATGGGCATGGGTGGTGAGGATGGCGATGATGGCAAACGGCGATGGTTGGTGGTGGTGGAGGTGGTGTGGGTGGTGGGTGAGCTGCAGGAGCGTCTCCTCCAACAAGGGGAGGAGGAATCACCTTGGAGATGGTGGCGGGCAGGTAGCTTCTTGTTGAAAAACAAAAAAAAACAAAAATCTAGGGATATATGTCCTACAATAATTATCTGCGTGATTCAATAACTTGGTGTACGGATGAATTTGATTGCATTTCTTGAGATGAACATCACGAAGCAAGCATTAGGGCATCAGCGACACCCGCAGCAGTGCACGATCACTGTCAGCAAGGTACCTGGGGGCAGATTGGGAGGGAAATGACAGAAGCTCCAGCGAAGAATGCTCGAAGGGCCATTAAGCCACAGAGGGGGGTTGCAGCGACAGCCCTCCTGCATGTGGCTTGCAGGGTCAAGGAGGGGACAAGAGGGGGCAGAAGCCTGTACAGAAGGTACAGAAGCACCTCCTTCAGAGGGGGAGGGAGCCGTTGGAGGTGGAGGTGGAGGCACTGTTTTTGGGTGTGTGGGTGGTTGCCTGCCATCCAATGACAGGGGCTTGATCTGGCGTGTGTGGCTTGACGCTGAGGATCAAGGGTAGCAGTGAGGGTGGGCGAGACTTTGCCACTGATGCTAAATTCTGGGCAATGCAGCCAAGTTCCCAAGGGGAGCAGAGAGTAAAGAAGGGAAAAGAGGGAGAGAGGAAAAATACGCACTAAAAGGGAATCGTGGATGGGGCCTGGGTTTAATTTGGATATAGGAAGGGATACTGCTGGTCGTGGATTCGTTGGTAGCTATCTATGTATGTACTTAGGTAACACCGCCAACGTCATGTGCTGGTACACATTGCTCAAACAGACGAGCAACTCAGATTTGTGTGCGCATAATCCAAGGCATCCAGGTACCCTATCAACTGGACCACGGCGGCGCATACTACCAGGACGTGAAAGATCCCATGCGAGCCCCATAGGTCGAACTTGCCAGGATATCGACTTTCGGGAAACCTGGTCTTCAGAACAACATAGAGGTTAGGGGGTCAATGTTCTCTCTGATATATCAAGCTCGGGGACGTACTGCATAAAATGCAGTCCCGGATAAAAGGCAACCTGCTTTTGCTAGAGTATACGGCAGAGCTTTTTTCATCATCTGCGAGGGGCCAAACACTACAAGTCCATGGATCAGGGGCGCAATACCGGACAAGCCAGTCGCCACAAACATCAAGGCTCGAAACAGGCGATACTTCGCGCCTTGGAACTCGGGATGCATTGTCATGAATATGGCCAGGGTTCCGAAGATACCGATCTATCGACCGGCGGCAAGAAGAGTGTTAGACTTGGGCATAATGTCTGCGATGAGGAAAAAGAAACAAAAGCTTGTGCACATGGATTTTGACAAACCGTAGACCAATAGATATTGCGTGGCAAAGGTTCACACCAGAAAACCATGTATATTCCTAAGAAAAGGTCGCCGAGTATAAAAACTACTACGCCCAGCATGTCCAGTCGCAGGCATAAACGCTCGACGTGTTGGGAATGGTTCAGTAAGGTATGGTACATCGTCGACAACGATAGGCACGCGACAGCCGTCAGCATGAAGACGGAAAAGGCAGCAAAGTCGGCGGCAGAAACACCGCCCCCGTATCTGCCGGCAAGGTACTGCTGCATGAACCACTCGCCAAGCAAGAAGACGACGGCCGGGATGAGGTGGGAGTAGATGTTGACCGACTCGTTGTGCAGGTATGACCAACTGCGCAAGGAAGCGCGCACCGAGCCCGAGATGGGCCGGTAGCCATTCAGAACCCACTGGTTGGCCTCGCGTCGGAACCATTCCGGCAAGTCATGCAACGATAGGAGAGCTCGGCGGCGTGCCTTGCCGTGCCACCCGGGTGCAGCGGGGGAATCCGACGAGCCCCGTTTGCGCGTCTCGGGCGGCGGCTGCGGGCGTACAACTCGAAGTCGGGAAGTGGATGACATGATGAATGCCTGTTATGGAAGATGCAAATGCAAATGCTCGGATGCTGGAATCAACAGGTATGTTGATGTGCAAGACGATGAATGGAGATTTTATTGCGCTCTTTGTCACGTCCACTTGTTACACATATTGTGGCACAGGCGCGCACGGGCACATTGAAATCTGCATAAGGAAGGAGTCGATAGTTGTTGCTTCCTATTGGAGAAGAGGAACATCAATTGCTACCTTACACTGCGCATTTGATAGGTAGTATGGTGAGATGGTCTTGATTGCTGATCCAAGATAGATCAAATCTAAATGCTTCTGGTTATGATGTGATGTTAGCTTTTAGTCCAGCAACTAAAAACAATTCCGGCAATTCAATCAACTGTGGCGCTGGTAGTTGACTTTGGTTGGTAAGTGGGAATTTAAAAGCCACACCAAACGTGCTGGTCGAAATAGCGGGGAAGGCGAGAGAAAAAAAGGGGAACCCAAGGTCAGCAAGTCAATATCCGTGCAGCCCAAGAACCACCCACCACCAAAAAAGGCCCCCATGCATAATTCATAAAGCGGGGGTTCCAGAATGCAAAATCGAAGCTTCTTTTCCTTCCATTCGAGGTATAATACTCCGTACTTGCGGATACTGCAGTAGCACATCACATGTTGTCCAGGCTCCCCTTCCCCGACAGCAGATGCCCAGGCACAGCCAATCACCCCCACCCAGCATGGGAAAGTTTCTCTCACGGTAGACAAGAAAAAATAACAATGAAATAACAAAGAAAGACAGTCAGTCATCCTCGCCCCCTTTTAGCCAGCCAGACAGGGTATCTTTAGAAAAGAGGGTGTGCTCGCTAGATCCCCTATCCCTGCAGACCAAGTTCAGCCGCTCATACTGGCAATATGCATCGAGCAAAGATTTAAAGGGAATACAATATCCCGCGCATCAGGAAAGAGAGAGAAAAAAAGAGAAGGAGAATTCCACAAGAGGTGTAACATCGCATGTGCAGGCTGGGCATGGGATACACGTCTCCTGCAGGGCGAGCATTTTATGCATCCCGGTGTCCGTATCTGCGCAGCAATAACGCCTCCCACTTCCCGTACAACCAGTCCGTTATCCGACCGCCACCAGGCAGATGCAATTTCGATATATTTGATATATATTACGTATGCCTGTTTGTAAACAAAGATGTAATGTTTCACAGACGAAGCCCATCACACCGCACAATCACAAGCACACACACCGTCTCTACCACCAGCAATATCAGCATTATCAGTAAAAGCCGCTTCCAGGTAAGCTTGGCGCAGCCCAAGAAATTCGTCCTCCTTTTTGTGTTTCAGGTCATCCCATTTTCCCACCAACCCATCTCACGCCATCCAAGCCCGCAGCAACCCTCCTCACGCAACCAAAAGCCAACGTGCCAACCATTTTCCTCCCCTCTTTCCATCAGCTCAGCCCGTACATCCTTGTCTGGAAACCTTCTAGAAGGCCCTCATCCCCCCACTAACCAGGGTTGTGAGACCTTCTGCTGGACCAGGGTGGTGAGCGGCCCTCGTTTGCTGAGCAGCAACGTTCTCGAACCTGGTCAACCACACCTAACCCATCCGAGTGTGAGACAACTATTACGTTTTAGTTTTTATCTTTCTTTAAATCATAAATGGCATCATCGTCTACCGTCCCCTCGCGTCTTCACCAATACGGAAGAATTTTTCATCACTTCTCAAAAAGGACCCAAGGACCCAGTTGCCCCCGGACCCGGACCCGGCCAAAGCTTGCACGTCCGCTTGCTTCAAACCAAAAAGAGACAGCCCAACCGAGCACACCCTTTTCTTAATTTGTGCTTCACTATACGGTTACATCACCCCGACTACTAGCACCCTTTGAATCCATGCTTTTCTCCGGCACTTGTACGCCGTTAACTGTCTGCCTCGCCCAGTATCAACAATAATCGCCAACGAACTCCCACCGCACTACCATCACCCAGCACCTGCTCTCGAATCAGTTCACATCTTGACAGTCCTTTTGTATATGTATATAATGTTATTCTATATCATTTTTTGCTTCTCTCTGCAGCAGGCTGCAAAGTAGTCTCCCTTCTACTCCCCATATCCATACTATAAATAAATGTCATGTGTATATAAAATGACCCCTAGCAGCTTCCGTCCATACCTGACCCGCTGACGCAGCTGTCTGGCATGATTTTTCATGTTCATCATAAAAAAACCCATAATCATCTCCACTCATTATACCTTGGAGCTCTCTGCATCAATCTCCGTCACCTCGTTCTTGTCTCCTTCGTCCTCTCCATCCACCATCTCCACCACGCTGTTGTCCATGATGGTGTCAAGTTCGTTGCCATCGTCTTCCGACAACTCACACTGGGCCACGTCACTCGCCGGCCCCGCCGACTGTTCGCCGCCGCTGTCAAGGTCTTCAAAGCTCCAGGTCTGTTTGAGCGACTCTCCGGGCACTGCGCTGAGCTTGCCCAGTCCAGACTCATTATCTGTGCTTGGTTGCCTATCTCCCAGTGTCCGCCCCGAGTACGACGGTAAATCTCCATCTGCCTTGCCGCTGGCATCATCGTCTCCGCCGCTCTCTTCCTCTGTCGTGTCCTTGTCGTACTTGTCTAATATCGCTGCGAATCGAGGCCCGCCCAAGTGACCAGACGCACGACGCTTGTAGAAGAGCAGGTACGCGGCACTGGAAATGACAGTCTTGGGATTCGACACAAGACTGACCGAGGAGTCGTTGTAGTTGTACCACTTGCCATCTACAAAATTTTTCGCGTAGGCTGTGTAGTGACCGCCGCCCAGCCCACCATAGTGGTCGTCGACCGCGATCAAATCGTACACTTCCGACTTTCCCTCCTCCTTTTCAACCACACGTGCTGTCAGATCAAGCTCCTCAATCGGAAAGTCAACAAGTACATCGAGCTTATCTCGTCGGAAGCCACTGCTACTAAACCGCTTCAGATGAGCAACTAGGTAGTCTGGCGTCTTCCACAAGTCAAACTTCTTGCTGGCGCGGCGATGCTCTTTGCACCGTGGGCAGTACCACATGTCATGTTCGGAGAGAATCTCGGCCCTCTCGAACTCATCCAGACATTCATCCAGCGTGATGCCTCTCGACTTACGAGTTTGGCGGCGGCGTTGGTTAATCTTGATGACAGGGTCCTGTAGGGATTCCAGTTCGTTGAATGTCGCAGTGCCTTCAGCCGGACTGTCCAGCTCCTTTGCACCACCAAACACCATATTCCAAGTGTCTTCGTTCCAATCGACCGTGATACCCTCGTGCAGACGAATGAGCGGCCCACCATCAGCAACGACAGGGGGTATCGGCTGCGGGTTGACCGGCGCGTGACCATTGGCCTTGCTGATTCGCAGGTGTCTGTTTTGTCGCTTGTTGCCACGCTTGCCGTATGTTTTGGGGCCTTTCAACTTCTTTCGGCCACCATTTCTTTGATTGCGGCCCCCACGTTCAAATCGGCGAGGGATATCCTCCTCGCTCGACTCTTCCGTCATGCGAGTTGGGACCAGCTCTTTGCTTGCGCCATCGTCACCGTTTCTGCCATTTTCCATTTCATCTTCATTCTCATTCTCCTTTTCGTTCTCAGAACCGTCGCCGTTGGAGCTCTCCGGCGTAGCACTTTCCTCATCTTTGTCAGAGGTTGGCAGCATACGGTCCAACAGACTGGGCAGCATTGTGTTATTGTCTGCAACTTGCCAACCAGTTGGAATCGCTTTATCGCCACGGTTGACGAAGTACTTCAGTTCAATCAAGTTTTTCAGAGAGGGACTTAACGGCGTGGATGCACCCACGAATTTGGGGCGCGTTGTGTTGAAGCGCTTCAACAACGCAGGCTGCCCCGTTGACGCAGTGCCGGCATCTTTCATTGTGACATCAACCAGGTCATCTTCGCCTTCTACCGACTTTGCCGCTACCTTTACATCTCCGGCAGAGTCGGCGTCCGAGGTGGCTACCATGTCCATATCAGTTCCGTCCGCCTCATCCTCGTTTGCGAGTTTGCTCCAGGTAGAAAACGTGGCAATCTTTTCGAGAATCTTGCGCTGAATAGCGTCGAAGTTCGACGTCTCCTCCCTGGTAAGAGTAATGAAGTGTGGCGGCGGGACGCCTTGTGGGCGGCTCGCCATGCTGGGCCGACGGTGCATAACGGGAACAACCATGGTCTCTGTGCGAGGGTCATCCACGTCATCAGGCTCTGCATCAATGTCCAATAATGAGCGATATTTCTGCGGTTGTGCCTTGGCGGGCCAGTTAGTTGGCACAGACTCCAGCTCGTGGAATGTGGGCACATCTTTGTGTTGGATCTCCTCAGAGACGTCTTGGTCATTGTCATAGATCTTGAAGAACCGGTCGTTATATTCTTCGGCGCCCATCATTCGCTCAGCCGGTACGCCGGTCCGGAGAGATAGATATGTCTTCAAAACCTCGATGGTGCTATGTTTTGGAATCTCAACGTCGATGTTGACAGGAAAATCGTTCAGAGGAAAGAACTTGACAGTCTTGCTCCATACAGTCTCCAGCGGAAGGGGTAGTGGTAGAGTGTTGAACGGATCAAATGTGATGCTAATTTTGCCACACTCTGGACACTTGAGTGTCGACTTGTACATGCCGGTAAATAGGTCGGCAATGACGGAATCATCTCTCAGTCTGGTGATGTCCCAGACCTTGGCAGCCATTTCGCGGATAGCCTCAGGATCGTCAATCATTTCGTCGGTAGAATCAGGCTTCTCGATATAAGGCTTGTTCTTGACACGGCTCAGATCTTCCTGGAGAGCATCCAGCAAAAACCCAAGAAATTCCTGAGAGTCCTGCTGGCCCCAGCCGGAGAAGGTGCTTCGGCATCTACCAACTGTGCTCTTGAAGTCTCGTGGGCTAACTGAACCGCGACCTTGCTGGTAAATGTCGCGTAAGAGGTCACCGTAGGACGAGGCCATTCTGCCATTGTAGCCCAAGAGATTTGTTTTGTTGATTTCGTCGACGTACGCGCCAGTGATGAAGAATTTCGTTAGTTCTTCAACGCTCCGGACACACTGCAACGCCGAGTTCATGTAGCAGGTATTACCTAGATTGTGCAGACCAACGACACCAACACTGCGGCCGAGCTGCTTCTTATTGCCCGCACGGCCCCTGGTCATAACACCCTCGGGACCTGGGCTGCTTCTAGCGCTACTCGGCTTGGGTGAAAGTCCAGTACGGTTTAATGTGATCCTTTCGGGCTTGGTTTGCTGGCCCTTGTAAGTGCTCACCGAGAACTTGTTGTCAATCATTTCGTCCAAGACCAGGGTCGCATCTGTCGTCAAATTCTTCATATGCAGCTGCACGTTGCTATTGTAATTGCGGTCTGTGTGATCCTGTATACTGTCCAGTTTCTCGCGGTAATTCAGTGATCGCGAAAAGGTGGGCAGATCCACAAGCAAATTTGGCCAGGGGCCGTCACCGTTCGCGGTTTCGCGGCCTGGAGAATCCGGTGGTGTCAAGGCGGATCCTGGTTCTATAGTAGGTAGGACAGCGATGCCGACGGGGAGTCGGACCTGATGGATCAGGACCTTGCGGTAGAGGGGAATGCCCGCCCATGTTTTGATATCCTTCAAAAATGCTTGAAGGTTCGCGCCACGACTTCTGGGTGCGAGAATTGCGGGGGGGTTTTTGGCCTTGACAAGCTGCTCAATAGGCAACGGGCTGAGCTCCGACCAAACGCGGTGGACACGGAAGACTGGAGGGTGAAACTCGTAAAGAATGTTGGCCTCTGTGCCCTCGGAAGAGTTGATAGCATAGCGGATGATGGGTTCTTGTCCTTCCATGAGGCCATACCACTCGACGACAAGTTTCCAAGCATCCTCTGGGAAGAGGGCAAACATCTCCTGATCAGCACCGGGTTTGAGACAGGTAAAGGTGGCACCGGAGGGATCCTCGATGACTCGGTCAATGATGTCCGAATTGTCAACGGGGCCAGGCTGCACATCGCCATCTTGGGCTGTGGCCTTGGCTGGGCCTTGCAGCGAACGGGCCTTGTTCAGCCACAACCTGGAGACAAGATAGGCCTTGTCGCCTTCGGCAACGGGCGACTCCTCGAACGCCTTGAGGAGTGTCTCAATAATTTTGATTTGCTCAGCAAGAGGGGGCGCGTCTTTTTACCATTCCCATCAACGTTAGCTACATAGACTGGACTGGACTCGGGTGAAGCCGTGTCATTTAGGGCTAGGAAAGCTTACTCTGCGGCGGGGCGTCTGTGGTAGTCTCTGGCGGGTCAACGCTCATGGCGCGGGTGCCGTCCGACTGCTTGGCGGTGGGCGTTGCTGTAGTGTTGGCATGGGAGGAATCCATGCTGACGTCTGCGTCGAAGCGAGACGCGGCGTCGGGTTCGGGATCCATGCTGGAGGCGCGGCGCTTGAGCGGGGAGGAGGAGCGTTGGGGCAACTCAGAGTCACCATTCATGATGGCCCGTCGGGAGACTCGAAAGGGAGACGGGCCTCTGGGCAGCGAGGGTACCGCAGAGCCAGCCTCGTCAATGCCCCGTTCGCCGTCGAGGGACAGGTCAGCATAGGCCGACGCACAAGGGGACGAGGCGGCCGAGGAGGCGTGGTCGCGAGCCGTGAGCGGGTGAGCGTTGTTAGTGCCCTCGACACTGCTGCTCCTGTTGGTGGCGGTGGCGGCAGCGGCGGCAGCAGCCTGCAAACGAGCGGGGAGGCTGGAGGCCGGCTGCAGCGAGTCGGAGCGAAGATATACGGGACTGCTATCGCGGTGGACGCTCCGACGGTCGTCTAGCGATGCGTTTGTGGTGAAGGAGAAGGCGGCGTCGTCGAGGTCGGCGCGGTCGTGCTCGGCGGTCTCACAAGATGGCAGGGCGGTGTCAGGCGAGGGCGAGTCGAGCGGCGTGGATTCGGTTTGCCCTGTGTAGAGCGGTCTAGAGGCGAGCTTTCTCTTCTTTGAGGAAGACGTTTTGAAGGGTTGAGCTGCGCGGCTGGCAGCTCAAAGGTAAAGCAAACGAAGCGGCGACGGCGGCGTCGACGACTTGACTAGGACAGTGATGAAAGTTTTGGCGCAGGAGCAAGGCAGGGGCGCGTGCGTCAGGAAGCTGGCCCCAAGAGATAAATTAGGATTTTTTTCTTCGTCTCCGTTCTTTTCCTTTTGGATCGGAAGAAAACGATGATGACCCTCTCTTCAATCTCTCTTCCAACTATTGCGATTTAAAAAAAAAATAAAGAGAGAGAACTCTGACCAGGGCTCCAAATATCGGGGGGCCTGTGGAGGGAGACGAGGCACTTTTAGTGGGTCTGCCCAGGAAAAAGGGCTTCTGAAAGGCTGTGGCGGGGAGGCTATCACTCAGATCAGTTAGGGAATGCATCAATACAACATGCAAAGAGGCAGGAGTTGGGGCATTCTTTTAAGTACTAGGTAGGTGCCTAGAGAGTAGGGTAATATTAATCATAAGCTTTCCTTTTAGACTTGTTGGTTTTTTGATGGATCCATGCCGGTTTGTTGCCAAGTTCGGCGTCCTTACTTTACATCAACAGGAATGGTGTAAGAAGGGAGAAATTAACAACTTGTGACCCTTCCGTCCACGACACACAAACACATTCTTTGAGCCGCCTATGTACGCGCGCTGTGCAACATCTCGCCTCATTAATACATTAAACAGGGCTTCTTTCACCCCTCCTTCAGGTGACCTCTTGTCCAACACCACCGGCCTCCGGCTACCAGTCAAACAGCGCCACACCACCACCAACCGCCAACTTCAACCCAAAACTAACCGCCCTGCCCTTCAATGCCGCCGCGTCAGCGCTGTGTTATCACCTCACCCGCAATCCCTGTCCGAAACTGCCTTGTTACCTCTATTCAAATCGATCACGCACATCTCTTGAACAGAGACCGGCACCCCTTGTTCATACGGAATAACTAAATTCGCCGTCATCGCTAGCAACGTTGCGTTTGTCTAAATTTAATTGACCGCTAGTCATGGCAAACAAATCCACCAACCACTATTCGTACTCAGCGTGCAAGGTCGCCCACTCCTGTCACAACTCAATAAATCCGTCAAAAATAGAAGCAAATTACCATATCTACATGCATGGATGCTAACAACATAACAAGACCTTCCTCATCCGCCCAACACTGCTCAAACGTGTCGGCATTGTAGTAGTTCGTAATCATCAGCTCTATAAGTGGTCGTCTCAAGGTCGCCCTCGCTCCACCACAAGCACTTGTGCCTTCTAGGCATCTTGTTGTCGTTGTCGTCATCGTCTTTTGTATTTTGTCTCTTGTCTTTTGGCATCTCTTCATTTCAGCCACTCTCAAAGTTTCGAGTCTGTGTCCTCAAACTCGCTCAACTGTTTGACCGGCCGTGCGCCTGAACTTGCCAGCAAACCAGACTTGTACAGCCGAACGTCTTTGATCTCCTGTGTAGTATCGACGGCACACTCTCCGCCGTTTGCGATCGCCTCAGCATCATCTTCGGGGTGCGCCGTTTGCACCAGCCCAAGTTCTCTGATCGAGGCAACGATGCTGTCCAAGTCGGCCTCCGACGGCTTGTGCTTGGCTTGTAGATGGGCCTTGATCGAATCTATGCTCTTGCGGTCTTCTTCTGGCACGCCTGAAAAGCCCGCCTTGCCAAGCGCGTCCACAACCTTGTTATCGCGCTCAACAGCACCCCGCGCGTGAAGGTGTACCGCAATACGGGCACGGCTAGTTGAGGAAGGGTGAAGGTATTTGTTGTAAAAATCAACCATTTCCGCCTTGGTGACGAGCTTGACTTCTGCCGCATCCAATTGCGCTGCGTAAACAGGGTTAGCTATATTCCCACATGTGGCCCGAAATGGACGGGCAAGACTCTAATCTTCACTTACCTTGCTCAAAATCGTAATACTCCTTTGAGATTTGTGTCCAATGCCTTGAAGACTCTTGATCCAAATTCCTGAGTTTCTCCAACCTCTTGTTGATCAAGCTCCTCTTGTGACTCTCAAATTCAGAGTCCGACATCTTGTCCAATGTCAGGCCAAACTGTATTAGAAACGCCTCCACCCGTCGGTCTAGATACTCTGGCTCTCTTTCCGACTGAATCAAAAATCGCACACCGCAAGTGGTTGCAAAATTGCGCATGCCGGCAAAGACGATGTATCCAAGCTGCTCCTTGCTGCGCAACTGATCGAAGGCGGGCTCGTGAATCATCTGGTCGACGAGGAAAGTTCTGGCGCGAGTCCTGCGATCGCCGCGGTCCCCAACGTAGAATGTAGTCTCAATGCAGTGGTTGACGTTGGCTGGGTCCTTCAGCGTTTTCTTGTACACCAGGTTGGATCCTGGTGGGATAATGAGCGACCGAGTGATAGGCCACTGAGTGTGCGGCAGTATTCTGGGCTTAAACACCGACGCCACAAGATCGGTTGCCTTGATGGCATCCTCGCGATACATGTTTCCGTGAACGTAAACTTCAATATAAATCTGAGCAAGCATCTGCTTCTGGAAGCTGCGTACGGCATCAACGGTCATGGCCGGGAGCTCGGCAGCCAACTCTTCAATGAGGTAGTCGCGCTCGGCGTGCAGCCAACTCATGTAATCTCCCACCTGCTGATATGAGGACTGTAGCTGCCAGTTGTTGTAACTGCGAGTGAGCCGCTCCTTTACAATGTCAAATCGATCTGCCTGGATCTCAAGATCCCGCATAGTCACCGCAACATGCTCCAGCAACACTGGGAGCTTATCGTTGTAACCCGAGACATCTAGAAAAAGGCCGCGCGAATCGAGTGAGACGGTATACTGCAGCCCCGCGAGCTCTGCGTCATAAGAGTACTCTTCCAAAGCATCACGGACCAGCTCTGCAAAGAGTCGGGCTTTGACACTATTCTCAGCCGTGGCGTAAATGATGGGGTTCTTCAGGCTGGCAACGACGTTGGCCTTGGGTACCCAGAAGGTGTCGTCCTTCTTCCACCAGGTCCGCGCCAACTGGTCGTTACGCAGAAGCCGGGGCGAAGTAGCCGGCTCTACCACCTCCTTTTTTTCCACCTCAAGCTTACTAGGTATGAACTGGTTTTGGTGTGGCAGGTGGAGATCGGGCAGCCGGTCGGCAGCCGAAACTGAAGCGGCCTTTTTTAGCTCAGCCATGAGGTCGTCGGGGATTCTGCCGACGGTGTACTCTGTGCCATACCACTTCTCCTTCTTATTCCAGCTGCCGGGGAATTTGCGAGAAACGACATTCAAGCGCAGTGATTCAGGGCGCAGTAGCGCTAGAGCCTTTGAGATGATTTCCGCATCAAAGCGCCGTAGAAGGCTGTGGCCGCTCAGCAACCATTCGCGCGGCAGAGGCTTTTGCATGACGGAGCTGATTTTGCTTGTGAAGCGGCTAGCCGGTGTCTTCTGCTTAAACTTGAAGTCGACGTCGGCCATGCCTTTTTGCTCCTGGAATATCCACTCCTGCGGAGGTGACTGACGCAGAAGCGACACGTACTGGAAGAAGATTTTGACAATTTCGGGGTAGTTTTTGAGACCCTACTGGAGAATTAGCGATTTCTGCGCCCAAGAGGTTGAATTGGAGGATGAACTGACCTCTTCGGTCAATCTAATTTGAACGTCAAAGATGCCGGGGGTACCAGGGCAGAGCGAGTAGCCACCCGCCGACAGGCCATTTGCCCAGCCTTTGCTTTTGATGTAGGACATGATGCTTCCAGGCCCTTCATGACCGATGAGATGTGAAATATACCTGCTCGGCTGTATTTCGTATAATTCCTCTTCGTCAATAAAGGGAAAGGTCAGGTTCACTTCTCTCGTATCCATGACGGGCTTGGCGAAGAACTGAATGCCGACGTCGGCAGGTCTAAAGGGGACCTCTTCCGTCCATCTATTTTGGGGCAGGTTCTTGTTGACAATGGCGGCGAAGAGTTGGACGGTCCATTTTTGTAGAAGATCGAGCGATTCGCGACCGAGGACAACTAGCTTCATGCGGTTGGCGGAGTAGTGTTTGGCGTGGAACTCGATGAACTTGTCGCGGACATTGATGCCCTGGGACTCGGGGATGGTTTTGAGGACCTCGAAGTTGCCAGTGGAGAAGTGACAGTATGGGTGATTGGGGTTTGACAGCGACTTTTCCAGCTGCTGGAGACGCCAGCCATCGCTCTGTAGGTTCTTCTTGTTCTCGGAGTCGACTGCCCTCAGCTCCCTGTCAAGTGTCTCATCCAGGAACAAGGGCTCAATGAAGAACTGGGCAAACCGATCCAGGGCGCCGTACAGGGGCGAGGGGTTTGTTTCGGTAGGTTGCTCATCGTTGGCTGGTTTGGCGGCGACGTCAAAGTAATAATTTGTCGACGTGCTTGCTGTGTAGGCGTTGGAGCTGCCGCCGTTTGAGGAGAGGTACTGGCTGTACTCGTTTTCGACGGGAAACTTTTTGGTGCCCATGAAGAGAAGCTGGAGGGTAAGAGACGCATTAGCATAGATCGCCTTGTGGGGGAATATGGCAAATGAATTGCCCGTGAGAGAGGCCACTGACATGCTCGACGGCGTGGGCCATGCCAGGCATGCCGGCTTCATCAGAGAAACTGCCGACGTTGACGTCGAGGGCACCGCTGGCCTTGTCGGTATCTGGATCATGGACGAGAAGGGCCTCGAGGCCATTCTCAAGTCGAATGACACGATACTGTCTATCATCGAGCGAGGGCTTTTCGAGGCGGTCTGTCAAGAGAGTGACGGAGGAAGTCTTTTGGCCGAGAGCGGACGCCAGATCTGGCAGGGCTGAAGGAGCCATAGTTGTGTGGTTGCAGCGACGAGGGAATGACAGGAAGGGTATCAATGAAGAAGAAGGAGAGAGCAACGGTAGAGGACGTAGCAGGCGGCGTAGAAGAGAGACGACGCTGCGGACCATTGATGGTGAGAAGCTTGAGAAGGTCGCGGCGTGGGGGGGGGGCTTATTAAAGGCGGAACGACCAGGTTTGCTTGAAAAGGCGGTTGGGTGGATGGATGCATGGATCAGTCAATGGGAGGAGTGGACTTGTGGACTTGGGCAGTGGAACAGTGGACAGCGGACAGTGCAACCGCGGACAGGCAGTGTAACCGTGGACGTGGACGTACACGGTTACGTTGACTTTGTCTTCCATGGTCTTCTACTTGGGCTTCACCGGTTGAAGGATATGATTTGTCTGGACTGCAGTACTTGCATGATGCCACCTCGTGTGCCTTACCTCGCCGCACTCCGTCACCCGTCACAGATAAAAGCAAACCAAGCTTGGAAGCATGGGAAGCAAACGAGCTGGGGAAACACTCAACTCTTTGGGCACCTACCTACAGTACGTTGGTACCTACTAAGGTACCTACAGAGGTGATACAGGGGAGCAACTGACCACTGGAAAGAATGGTTACAGCGGGCCTAGCTACGTCTATAGATTACAGGCTTGTAATACCTGTACTGCCTTGCCGAGGATCCTCTGTAAAACATTACCTAAGCCGGCCCGCCAAACTGCCAAGCAACTGACTGCTTCCAGTTTCCAGTACGAACCACCTGCAACGGCAACAACAACGGCAGTAAAAGACTGCACCAACAGACACATCAGCGACCCCCCAAATTCATCATTCCCAAACCTAGACATACGCGTTTACGTCCAAAACTAATCACCGGCATTTCATAAACCGCTGATTTTCCGCAGTCAGCCTGCATAGCGCGGCTCCGTTGCCTGCACGGCCCTCGCTGCTGAGATTGCGTCTGCGTGGCAGATACTTCCGCCCATCCTTCCATTCGCCAAGCGATGCCTATCAAGCAATACTACTCCGCATACAGATTACACGCATCGTACAATGCCAGTTGAACGGGGGAAGGGGAGGAAGAGGGGCACTTGATCTGACCAAACCCTGTCTGCTGCGTTCACTGGCTGGCCTGTTGGGCTGAAGTGCATGGCATTGAAACTTTGGCTCGTTTGACACAATGACACCACACCAGCGAAACTGGAGATCCCGGGCGGAGCCGATCCCCTACAGCTGACGACCACCACCTGCCGCCTTCTCGGTCTCTATACAGATGCAAAACTCCGCCACGTCCCATCATTCAAGGTTGACCCGTGCAGCCCACAGCGCGCTCCAGAGCAAGGACACACCGCGATCCTCCGGCTCTCTCGGCTTCTATCCGTCGTGTACATGCAGCCAGTCGGCCGCCCGCCACTCAGGCACGTCCTCATCAACTGCTACATTTTCACTCGTCACCGTGCCCGCCGCCTGCTTGCCAAGAAGATCCCCAGCAGCTTCGTCTCGGTCTGTGGTACGAGAACAGCGATCGCCGCCACGCCAGTCGCTTGCTTGCCCCTATTCGTACTTTGACCGGAAATGTGATGCACAAGGCTGGCCGTTGGTTTTCCCAGCTCCAGAAACAAGTGGCCTGCCCCCGCACACTACCCCGGGAATGGGGTGATGCCATGATCTGACCCCCTAGATGTGAGAGTCTCTCCAACTCACTGTCAGTGCTTCAGGCCCCAAAATGGCCCATTTGGTCACAAGATCCTCGTTTGGCTATCGCATCATGCATATCACAACCATCCCAGATGCAGACCCTTGCTAATCTGCACCAATGGCCGGGGTAGCTTATGCCGCTCTATTCTTCTTCTGGCTGGTGCGGCGGCTCCCTAATTGAGGGTGTGCCTCTAGACGCCACCATTTGACCACGACAGACAGCTGCCCTCGAAAAGGGAGCGAATAAGTCAGGGAAGGCTGAGTATAAGAAGATTGTTAACTAACTTCGCGTTTCTTGACCTATTTTTTTTTAACTAGGAAACCAGTTGAAGGAGACAATTAAAAAAAAAACGGACAAAAAAGCACTCCGGGAACAACTAGTTGAGCTCATGGGCCGACTTGATCGCCTTGCTCTTCCCAGTGTCAAGAATGACGGCCGGATCCTTACGGCTGCCCTTGCGCGAGACTTGATTACCTCGCTTGGTCGTAATAGTGGCCCTGTTCTTGTCAGCACCTCGGTATCCCGCATCTTGTATGGCAGCACGTACTTTTCTTCCTTGACATCCAAGACCTTGCCTTCAGGCTGCCCGTTGCCCCAATTCCAGCTTACCGTCTCACCGGGGTTTGGTCCATTGCTTGACTTTGATTTGTTACCTTGCTTGGTTGCCTTTTTGTTGTCTTCTGATTCGTCCGAGGCCTCGTCTTTCGAATCAGATTTATCTTCTTTGGAATCTGGTAAAAGTTCGTGTCAATAGGTCTTCCTTAGTTATCGTCTTCTGGCAATGCACGACTCACTCTTCCCTCCGCGATGCTTCTTGGGCTCCGGGCCGCCGCCCTTCTCGCTTCTCTTTCTCTTGTCGCCTGGCTCCTCATTTTCTTCTTCCTTCTCGCCGTTCTCCTCCTCCTTATTTTCTTCTTGCTTCTCCCCGTTCTCCTGCTCCTCCTGTGACTGCTCGTCGCCGTCACCCTTGTTTGCTTTCTTGCTGCTATTCTTCTTCAGTGGATCATGGCCCCAGTTCTTGAGTGAGATGTACGACTTGGTCTTTTTAGCTTCGGCCTCAGACTTGCTCTTGAGGCTGACCTCCTCTTGCGCCAGGTGGCGCTTGCAGTACGCCACGACCTTTCTCATGTGGCTTATCTGATCGTCGTCGTACTTTTGCGGATTCTTTGAAGGATTGGACTTCAAAATCTCGGTAATTTTGCGACCGCTTTCGTGGCCGACCGTTTCATCACCGCTGCCGTCCTTCGGCCAGCCGGCTTCACCGGACTCGTCGGACTTGAGCCAAGTCTCCAGTTCCGACGCGGTCATGTTGACAAGCTCGTTAAACTCCTGGATAACATCCTTGGCGTCTTTCATAGTTTCGATTTTATTTCTCTTGTGCGTGTCTCGTTTTTGAAAATACTCGATAATTCGTCTTTGCCAGCTGATCGCAGCATGCTTTTCTCGCGGCGCTTTTTATACTTTGCGTGCGACTCGATCTCTACTACGTCATGCACGCGTTATACATCGCCCTTTATCACCATACCAACGTTAAAGCGAGGATCGAGAGCTAAACTGTGCGCGATTCGATAGATGCAGCCCGATTTGGATGAAAAATTAAAATTGACTTTTTCTTTTTCCGGAGCTGCGACGACTGCTTCTCTACCGACAAATGCGCCGGAGGGGGGGGGGAGGGACGTGTCGTCATGCACAGGAGCACACTGTGCACTGCAAAAATGAGTGTACATTCCGCAAGGTCCAAGGGGGTGAGTAAAATGCATCCTGTAGGGCAGGACGGGCGCTAGGGTGATTAGCAAGACATGCCAGAGCCAAAAGACCGTGATGACGGCTGCGAATAGACTCGACAGGTAGCCGGCTCCCCGACTGAGACAGTATTACGTACCTCAGCGATGGTCATCTCCGGATGCCACTGGTACCGGTCAAGAAATGGATAAAGTCCGACTTACCAATGGCACTGTTGGAAACACCGCCCGTTCGCAGAGCGCCTCGGTACTTGCTTCGAGCGAGCTGGCCAACCGGCACGCTCCCCGGCTTCGCCTCGACCAGGCTATCGACGGGCGCGCCCGTCGATCTCTGCCAGATCCAGATTCTGCTTCTTCTCACTTCTCTACTCCGTACGCGAAGGACGAAAAGTGGTAGTAACCGCTGCCTCACTCCTTCAATTACCGTCTGTGCTGCCGGTGCAGGGCCTCCCGTGGCGAACCGCCTCGCCCCCCTCGGGGCCGGGGGCGTTGCCGGAGAGGAGGACGGATAGTTCGTCTTGAATGTTTTACCCCATACACGGAACACGAGGCAGCCGTCCAACACCACGTGCCTCCGTTTTAGAGTTGATTACTTATAATTCACCTCGCTTGCCGAACGGGGGCAATCAATGGCACGGACACCGGCCTTGGCGCAATGTCGAGAGCAAACAGGCATCTTTAACAAACCCTGTAGTAGCAAATTAATATTGAATTTAGAAACACGGAGAATCCGGTTTTTGCGATATGAAACTCGTGAGCCTTGCCGAGGTGCTGTCGTGAGCCATCTCCCGGCTTGGCAACCCTCTGAGCTGCCACCAACAGGAATACGGGCCATTTCAATACATCACTTCTCAGCCTTGATGGCTCGTTTTTCCTTGGTTTTTATTCTTGCGAATGAAGTCTTTGTTTGTTGGATATCTCTAGTAGCGTATTCTTCTTGGAAGCTATGAAACTCACCCGGGTGCGTCAAGCAACTCGCCCCTGTGTATCGCCAGTGCCCGTCTACCAGCCTCAAAGCTCCCTGTTTCTTCTTTTTCTGCCATCTTTTTTTTGTGAGTGTTTCGCCTCTTGGTATGCGTCATAGTCTCGCCCATATTCGTAAATGCACCGAGCCCTTCCGTACCGAAAATACCACCAACGCCATCCTGTCCGCAACCTGTCCAACCAATGTCCATAGCCAGTATATAAAGAGTAAAACATGTAAGAAAAGAAATGGCAAAATACAGCAGGTCCCCTGCTGCATCTCAAGTCACTGCGAACGCGCACGGCTACTCCTGGTTCGCCTTTCCCTTCAGCCTCTCGGCCTCCATGTCCTCCATCATCAGCCGCTCTGTGAAGCTACGCGGCGTGCCACTGAAGCCGTCGCGCATGACGCTCGCCCTGTAGCTGCTCAGGTCGGCAGGGTCCATGCCGCTCGTGCCATCAACGCCACCGACAAACGAGCTGAAATTACCAATGGAGGCTGCCTTGGCATGGACCTCGGGGCTCTTGACGACGGGCATCATGATGGACCGGCCCATGTATGACCCGACAGAGCCAATGTGGAAGCGAGGCGTGGTGGGTGTGGTGGTGGCGGCCGCCTCGGGAGCTGACGGCTTGCTCGAGGGCACGGCGGCGGGGGCGACGGTGGTGGGCGAGCGCAACGTGCTGAGGTCTCTAGCGGAAGCGGATGATGCAGTTTCATCTTCGCTGTGCTCGCCATCATCTGCAGGTGGAGGTGGCCGCTGCAGTGATGAGGTCTGTCCGCCCTCATCTTCAAAATGGAACATGTCGTCGTCATCGTCACGCACATCTGGGTGATTATTAGGCGCTTTGTTCTTGGGCAGACCCTTGCTGACAATGACAGGTGGTTTGCTGATCGGTGGGGGAGCTGTCGCTCTCGTCTTCTTTATGCCCAAGGCGTTATTATTTATTTCATCTGCCTGGTCGGCATGATCTTGTTGAACCTGCTGCATCCCGGACTCGGGGGTTGTTGATGACTCGTTCAAGTCTACTCGATGTATCTGCTTCGTGACGTGGTCTGAGTCGGGATTCACCACGGTCCATAGGGTGCCGTCTTCCAAAGGTTCCCTCGACAGGGCGCGAAGAGCATCGGACGAGGAAATCTTCTTCGGCGGTGGTCCCGAGTCCTCGGCATCGCCTCCGAGGACAGAGTCGACGGAAACGTTTTCGCCCTCCCACATCGGCGATGACGACCGCGGCATCATACTATCGCTGGGCTGCGGCGACGCGGTAGGCAGGACCTCAGCACCCATAAACTCGAACCGGACACGCCTAGGGCTCTGGGGCGATTTATATATGCTGGAAGACCGTCGCAGTGCGCTGCGGGGGGCTTTGTTATCGTTCTTGTCATCCGAGGCTGACGAGTTCGCGTCGTCAGCGGCTGCGGCGTTTGCACTCTCACTGTCGCTCGGCCGATGCCGGGGCGGTGGCGTCAACCGACCGGGGAAGCGGTCTTCCTCAGCGGACTGGTCCATGGTGGTGCGTGTTGTGTCGTTGCCGTTGCCGTTGCCGTCGCCGTTGCTAGTGGTGGTGGTGGTGCTCATGGCAGGCAACCACCTGGTATCGGCGCTTCGTGGGCTGCCAGCCTCGACGGAGAGCGGCTGCGAGGTGATGGCAGCTGCAGCGGCAGCCTTGGTCGTGGCTGCAGGCGAGGCAGGTGTGTTGGCTGCAGGTGTGGGAGATGCTGCGAGCAGCGGGAGATAGGTCGGGGTGAAGAGGCCGTGGAGCTCGTGGTCACGGTCGCGTGGGCTGTCAGGAGCGCCTGATGAGGTACCGGCGTCGGCAGGCTTGGACGCTAGCGATAGAGTTTGGGACGTGGTGGCCGCCGTCTCGGAGCTACTATCGCTGACTGGTGGCTGCCGAGGAGGTGGTGACTCAGCTTCTTTTGGCGCTGCGGCAGCGGGCTGAGGAGGTGAGGGCGGCAGATGCTGGTGCTGGTGCTGTGGGATGTTCGGACGCAGCTCTTTGTAGTCATCAAGCATCGCTCGGAGCTCGTCTTGGACGCTGGCGACGATGAATGGACCCGCCGTGCGCGTCAGGCTGTCGTAGTGCTTGTGAAACTCGGCCAACAGGTCCTGGCGGTGCGATTCGAGCTTGGCCTCGAGATGGTCAAGCTTGGTGCGGAGACCGTCTCGCAAGGCGGCAGCGTCCATGTTCTAGCAGATGTCGCTGCCTGGCGGTTTGTCAACGGGCAACGCTAAACGGATGAATGGCTCTGCTCATTTCCAGCGGGGGCATGACGCAGGGCAGGGCAGTGCCAGGCAGGATGCAGTTGCTGAGGCGGGATCGCCTTGATTCTGGGGGTAAGACAAGACGAGACGGGGATGAGATGAGGCGGACAAATGATGCATGCAAGTTGGTGATTTGTTGATTTGTACCCATGTTGTGGATGTGATTATTTTGGTGGCTTCCATATTTTGCCGTTTGCCTGCCCAATTGCTTGCGGCCCATCCTTCCCACACTGTCACGTGGGGTCGCCACAGGCCCTGATATACTGGGACGGGACGTAGATGCCTGCCTTTTACATCATTTACGACCTGGAATTTTTCTGGGGTCGTGGGATCTCCGTTTTCCATTGGTTGTTGATCATGTTGGTAATGCTCGATCAGCTAGGGTTGTGCTGGGACGCACGTCACGATTGTCTCATGCTCTAGGATTGGCTACGGGACTAGGGAATACTGGTTGCGAGTCTTTGTACATGAAAGAAAAGAAATTTGAAATTAGGCGTGCGAATTAGCGAGAAATTAGACACTCTATATACATATTTTTTTTATGATGACTGTTACTTACATCAGAATCATGGAGTAGCCGCGTCTCTTTTGTTGCCCGCATATGGAGGGGTCATTTGTAAGTGGCGGTCAATGCGACTTGTCATGGGGTGGCTGCGGCGTTGAGGTAGACCACGATTGCAGATTGCCGTAAGTAGTCAGATTAGGTATGTATAACAATACCCAAAATCATTATTAGTACACTTTCTGGCATGATGGTTGGCACTAAATATAAACTCCCGCTCTGCTGTGCCCTGCTTCAAATCATTCACAACCAGTAGCGGCCGTCAGCCTGGCTTGCTCTGCCTTACGTTACACTACTCGCAAATGAAACGAGTTAAATCCTCTGCTTAAAACCGTTGACCACAGCCTCTCACCGTCTATATGTTTCGCAATGAGGAGCCTGTAGTAATTTGTTTCGGCACGTGCTGTGGTGATACTACATTACATAGGGACGAGGCACCATGGTTAGTAACTGATGTACCAGCAAACAGGTGTAAAATAATATCTCAAAGTAAAACAGGTTGACCCCGTATAAAATATTTTTGTACTATCAATTGTTTTGAATAGCATCATTCTCAGCCCTGGCTTTCCTCGTCGCTCACCTCCTCACCCACTGAGTCGCACCACTGCAGGCCGTTACCTAGCGACCCCACCGCCTTCTACTTTGGGATCACAGCTTTGCGCCAGAGCTTTGCTGCCCAGCCGCTTGCTGCCTTCTTGTGCCTCCAACAGCTGCACCAACCAACTTTTTGACAGACAGCTGCAGCCAGGGAGCTCTTTTGGAAGAAGCTGCATCGAAAACTCGCCTCAGGCGCCCCCCTCAAGCCTTCTCTTTTCTTTTTCTTTCTTCCTCAGTTCGCCCCGTCCCTTCTCCTTCGCCCATCATGTCGACAATACCCGCCGGCACCATCCAGTCTGGCAACCCGCCTGTGTTTCCCCTCGACTTCAACGCGAACCAGCCGCCCAAGGTCCGTGTCTATCCCTTCTCAAACTACACCTTTGGGGTCAAGGAGACGCAGCCCGAAGAGGACCCTTCCGTTATTGCGCGCCTGAAGCGCCTCGAGGAGCACTATGCCGAGCACGGCATGCGCCGCACCTGCGAGGGCATACTCGTCTGCCACGAGCACAACCAGCCGCACATCCTCATGCTGCAGATCGCAAACGCCTTCTTCAAGCTCCCCGGAGACTACCTGCGGCCCGAGGACGACGAGATGGCCGGCTTCAAGACGCGCCTCGACGAGCGACTCGGCCCCGTCGGCCGCCTCGGCGAGGACGAGAAGGACGGCGACTGGGACATTGGCGAGTGTCTATCGCAATGGTGGCGGCCCAACTTTGAGACCTTCATGTACCCCTTCGTGCCCGCCCACGTCACCCGTCCCAAGGAGTGCAAGAAGATTTACCTCATCCATCTGCCCAAGAACAGTACGCTTCTGCGGCCCTCCTTTCCTTGGTCCGGTTCCGCGTTCGTTTGCTAACCGTGTCACACAGAGGTCCTCAGCGTCCCCAAGAATATGAAACTACTCGCCGTGCCCCTCTTCGAGCTGTATGAAAACAGTGGCCGATACGGACCTCAACTCTCTGCGATCCCACATATCTTGAGCCGCTACAACTTTGAATTCGTCGACGAGGACGGCAACGTCGTCAAGGTCACGCCCGGCGACGGCGCCAAAGCTGGCGAGCAACCTCCCAAGACAAAGGTTCTTGCTGGCGACGATACAGTCATGAAGGAGGAAAATGGGACAAACTAGGACATGTAAATTCATTGGCGGCGGTGTTGGGCGTCTGGATTCTTTCTTTTTTTGGCCATTTTCCTAGGGCAACCCGGTCTGCGTGTAGCCCATAGCCATCATACATCCATGTAGTCATAGCTAGAGAAGATTTCTTTCTGAGCATTGTTTAATTTGAACTCTATCTACAAAAGATTCTTGAGCTCTTGCGCAGCCGCACTGTTAAAGTGCAGATGTCTCTTCAAAAGTTGTGTTTGCTACGATTTCGGAAGTAGCGATCTAACAAGGATATACGGAAACACGGGCAGGTAGAAAATACAATAACAGATCCACAAGATACAATAGAGGTAATCGATATAAACGCATTATCAAGCCACAATACATTCCTCCTAGGCAACTATGGTATCTACTAAAGTGTGCGATAGCTCCAGGTAGGCTTCGACGCGGAAATCGCCTCAAAAGAAAAAGTCTCCATAGCTACACATCTGTAGCGATCAGTTTCGCTCTCACAGAAAATTATCAATCCCTCATGGATTGCTGAATGCACTATCTCGAAGCAGGTCCTCCTCCGGAACTTGGCCGATCAGGGCGTTCTGCTGAGCTTTCTCGACAGCCTCATCCACAATATCTCGGATCATATAGCCTGGAATGATGCTGATTTAGCCACCCTGATCCATTTCGTAGAGGGCCTGCATTACCCATGTCTTGCATCTGAGCTGCCCGTACTGGCTGGGGTCCTCCATGCTGACAGTGGGCACACTGCCCGCTGCAGCTCTCCTACGTCCTATTTCGATCAACCCGCACGTTGCTAGTCATGTGCACACCTGGCGATGATAGCTTTGACGTCGAGGATGTGAAAAAAACCATCCTCTCGTCTGAACTACAACCTGTAGAGCATGTGATCCTCACAGAAATGTTCCTAGATGGCTCCCACGACAAGCAAGCAGCCGCCCGCGAGATCCGCAGGAGGATCCTCGCAAACCCAGGTGAATCCCTTGAGCAAGTACTGCGCCAAGTCAAAGTCGACTGGCACGCTATCCTGTGTCTATGTCGGTCACGCCGTCCAAAGAAGCTCTATGAGTGCTACAAGTTGACTTGATCAGGCTTTGAACAAGAAACTGTCAGCGATCCACTGGCGGCCTTACTTAGACGTAGTGACGACGGGCGCTGCTTTATAAGCCCCCTAGATTGTGCCCAGATTAAAGAACCCATCCCTAGCTATATTCTGCCCCCCAAACTCGAACCTCTCTACAGGCGGATAGTGAAGACCCGCGAGCTGCGCTGCTGCAAGCCTTCGTCGCCCCCAAAAACGTCTCTTATTTGCGTACTGTGCTGGGCAAACATACATCCAACACCAGTAACACTTGGCTCTTGTCTCCAGGTTTCGGTCTAGGCATTCGCCAAGCATCATTGATGGTACGACCCCCGGCTACATCTACGAATCGAACAGACAACTTGGCGCCTATCAACATGGAAGAAACAAATGCAGTAAAGGCACTTGGACTCGGACAATAAAACACGTTCGCCATACTAATTCACCGTCTTCTTAGTTTGTCGCTTTTTCCTATGACACTAGTTTACAAACTTGCGATGGGGTTTCATTACCATACGGCAAGATGATCCGTATCCAACGGAACACAGACTCGCCATCAGAGACGCCACTGCCCTCGCCCTATCTTGTCCAGCTTCAGAACACATTTGCGCGCGCAGTACTCCGGTTCGAAGAGGAAAAGAAATGTGCACAGCCATGGCCGGAGCGGCACAGTGAGTCAGGCCCATCTCGAATGCCGGTCGGTGTGTATCATTTGCATTGTCTAACGCTGCCCTCGCGCCATTTCGTCAGGATTTTGGAGTCGATCCTGGCTGCTGTTCTTTCGACGCTTGTGGCATTGCGTGCCCCGGTTCCTCCGTATCTGGACATATCGGCGGCTGCTTCCGGGAGATCTCGGGGTGGCAGACGTTTATCTATCCAAGTCTGCTAGTTTGGTTGCAAAGACCGACAGAGGAAACGAGGGAGCGGCCCTTGCGCTCCTTGAGGCCGAAGCGCCCGACGTCCCCGCGCCCCTCCTCATAGACACGTATCAGAATAACTCTGGGAGCAACGTTGTGATCATGACCCGGATACCAGGCGTACCAGCCAAGGCCGCTTTTTACCGCATGTCATACCCTGAACGTCGCCAGCTTGCTAACGAGTTGGGCAAAGCAATCTCGCAAATTCGGCTCATTCCTAACACGTCTGGGTACTTATTTACCGGAGTATCCGGTGTTGGAGGACTTGGTTCCGAGATCCACGATATCCATGGCGGCTATAAACCATATGGCCCTTTTCAGAGCGAATCGGAGTGGAACATGTCCATGACTAGCGAATCAGTCGACTTCTGGCGCTCGAAGTATCCCAAGGCATTTCTGCACGAGCATAAATCCGTATTCACGCATGGTGACCTGCACCTGGAAAACATCCTTGTTGACGGGGGCAAGCTAAGCTCACAGGCATCATTGACTGGGAGTTTTCAGGCTTTTACCCCGAGTATTGGGAGTATATAAAGGCCATGAACACTGGACTACACGCCGAAAGGGCTCACGCTGTTCATAAGCAGATGTGGCAAGGTAAATACGAAGCCGAATACGAACTCATGTCGGCGCTGATGGGTCAAAATCCTTGGGGACCATCAATAAGAGCGACTAACTAGTATTGAACTTGTATCATGTATTTTACCTCATGGTCAGAAAGCGAGCGAATACATCTACAACAGCCACTCTTTTAACCATTATCTTGCATATTAGGAGGGAGGGCGTGGAGACGCTTGAGCGCTGCAAATAAAGTGAATTGAAAATGTTAGAGATAATTTTTAAACTTTCCTTTACTAGTCTATTGGAAAGAAAATATATAAGTCATTGTGCATTTTATAAATCATTTGCCTTGGCAAGTAATTCATTCATGCCTTGCGAGCCAACAAGAAGTGCCCCGCCCTAGTCCGGATTAGGTAACCTTGTAAACATCAAACGGCTTGAGGTTGATCAACGGAATCGACGACCTTCCTCCTTCACACTGGAGGCTGTGTTTAGCCTGGCTGTGACATTTTGCGCCATGTATGCCTCTCCGGTGTTTCCGTGTATGTCCCAAGCCACAGAGATTTCCAACGTCCCTTTCCGAACACATGCTGACCAACTGCTTGACAGCCACTCCTCTGTGTAGAGCAAGCCCAGACGGCAGCCTGGTCGCCACGCTCAACGCGCAAACGATCTCTGTGCGCTCCGTCGAGACGCTGCAGCTGAAGCACACGATTCCGCTGCCATCCACCCTCGGTCCCGTGACGTCTCTGCAGTGGTCGCCCTCGTCCGCTCGGCTGATGATCTGCGCTGGCGAGGGCGTCCACCTCTTCTCCGCGCACGCCGACTCGTCCTTCCACGCCGCCATCCACAGCCCACTGCTCCCCGGTGAGAGGGCCAGCATCGCCCGGTTTGGCGCCCGCGATGCCGAGGTGCTCCTCTGCTCGCCCTCGGGTCTCAAGCTCGCCATCTTCGACCTGGCCACCTCGACGGCCGTCGAGGTCGCCAACCCCAAGTTCCACCAGCAGTCGTCGGTCGGCCGCAGCTACTCGGTGCGCGCCGGCACCGAGCACCTGGCCGTCCTGACGCGCCTCGGCGGCAAGGACTTTGTGAGCATCCACCATCCCGTGTCCAGGCAGGTGCAGCGCTCGTGGGCGGCCGAGACGGTGGACGCGCAGTCCGTCTGCTGGACGCCGGACGGCAAGTGGCTGCTGCTGTGGGAGTCTGCCGCGCACGGGCACCAGCTGGTCCTCTACACGGCAGACGGGCAGCATTTCAGAACAATAACGGGCGCAAACCTGTCAGATAACCCAGATGCTGTGCTTGAGCTGGGCATAAAGACATGCCAGCCGAACCATACATCGGACCTCTGCGCCGTTGGTGACCACAGCCGTGCCGTTGTGATACTGCAGACAGACTCGTGGAGGAAAAGGGTGACATTTATACACCCTGTTACGATCGTACCTCAAGATACGCTACATGCAAGTCCACAGCTCAGCGCCGACAAACCGACCCAGTTACTGACCCTCGGTACAGATATGGCAAGAGCAGCTGAATACATCAAGAGATGGCCAAACAATACACACCTTCCAGCGCGCAACGCAACCCATCTCACCACCAGGCGTACCATCCGACGGTAAACCGATAGAAGCGAAACCCGGATGTTCGATCCTGGCCTTTGACGCCTCATCCACGCTCCTTGCCACACGCCTCGACGACGCGCCGTGCACCATCTGGATCTGGGACATTGCCGCCGCCGAGCTACGCGCCGTGCTCGTGTTTCACTCCGTCGTAACCTTTTCATGGCACAAGCATACGCGGGAGCTGCTTCTCATCTCCACCGCGCAGGACGAGGGGGCGTTGACGTATCTGTGGGATCCGCTGCTGGAGGGGCCGACACCGGTTGTGCCGGAGGAATTCATCTCGACGAGGAGCGCGGCCGGCGGCGGCGCGCCACTGAAGGCGCAGATTTCGTGGATCAATGCGGACATGGAGTTTCCACTGGCGCTGCTGTCCACAGCGCAGCAGTACCGTATCTTATCGCTGGGCGAGGGCGACCAGGTCCCGGAGACGTGGCGCGGCGCTTCCAAGTGGGATGACGAGGCGCTACCGAGGAGGAGGATGGCAAGGGAGGCGTTTGACCCAGATATTTCTGACCTGTCGGTCGATGATGGCGCCGCGGTTGAGGACACATTTTCGTTTCGAAAGATGTGAGGCGGCTCTCACAAGATTCAAAGCCATTGAGGGTGTAGCCTATCTGAATGGAATCAAAGAACAGCGAGCCGCTCAAAGCCTCCCTCGCACCAACACACACACATGTCGTACGACCTTTGTCGTGTCACGAATGCGGGCGGCCCTCCCTCCCCGTTCACAAAGCTGGACATTTCACCGAGGGCAGCGCCTATAATAGTCGTTCAAGTACTCACGGAGCAATTGGAGGCCCTTTGAGAGTCATGCCGTGATGCAGAGGAAAGTGCGCAAAAAGAAACTTGGCGCGACGTGTATATAAACCGGGAAAACGAAAATAGCAACCTCTCTCTTTTTTAACTCTTGCACCTTGCGAACACTCTACAAGAAACCCGACCAACTTGCAACTTCTCGGAACGAGCAACAACACCTCATGACAGCGAACGCCAGTCAACGGACCGGAGCCGCGCGGGGCGCAGCGGTGCTACTGCCGCTGCCGCTGCCCGAGACGATGCCGCAGAGCAAGAAGTTGGCGCGAAATGCAAACAAGAAGAACAAGACGAAGAGGAACGACGAGGACAAGACGAAGACAACCCCACCACAACCCGCGGCCGTGCCGAGCGGCGGTGATGCACCCTCGGCGCCGCCGCCTCCTATTTCTTCTACCGCGAAGCAGCACGGGGGCACGAGAGGAGGAGGACAAGGAGGAAAAGGAGCAGCAGGAGGAGGAGGGTCCCCCCGTCGGCACTGCCGCGCTCGAGAGCACCACACCCCGCGTGCTTCCCCCGTGCCCGTCATCGTGGTGACCGACGACGACGTCCCACCAACACCACCACCACCACCACCAGTGGAACCTAGCTCCGACAGCAGCTCCGGGCTGCCGACGTTGTCGTCGACATCGTCGTCCAGCGCGAAGCGGCTCAACCCCGCGGCGCCGTCGTTTGTGCCGCAAGGCGACTTCCGGGCACGCCAGCCGCCGCCGCCACCGCCGCCGCCGCCGCCGCCCGTGCAAGACTGGTCGTCCAACGCTGAGGGGCTGTGGCTGCTGAGTCTAATTAACGGAGGACGCGACGGCAACCAGGGACAACAGGCGCGTCCGCCCGCGGAAGACCCCAACGCCGCGGACGTCGCGCCGAACGAGATCGTCATCGCCAATGGCTCCGGGCCGTTTGACGTGAGCACGGCGGCGGCGGCGGCGACCATCCCCCTTGACCCTCGCAGAGGAGCAACCAGCTTTTCCGCAGCGCAGGGGCTCGGTCCGGTTACGTCGCTCGGGCACGCAAGGGTCATGTGGCGTGGGCAATTTGTGCCAATTCAGATTCCCTGGGTGTGGGGGGCTCCCAGGGACCACCTCCGTAATGTTGCGCATTAACTACCCTCATCCAGCAGTCAACTGTGTGACACCTTTCTCTTCATGGTTGCCGCGGACCTGTTTCCTCGGTTTACGAGAGTCAATGGGATACGATGAGGGCGCGAACGAAGCAAGGTCCCAAAACACTGGTAAATGTAGATGCCAATAGTATTATCTAGAATAGACTTGCTTTTTTTTCTTTTTAAACACGCATGCCTGTGCTTTTTGAATCGTACCGCTGTTTCCCCCCGTCACCAAGTTCGTAATTTGCGTACGTACCATGTCTCATTACAACAACTCCTTCTCATCACGCAGAGCCGCCAAAGTTCATCTTGAGCTGGATGGCAGGCTGGCCTGACACGTCCGCGCTGGACTGGCTCGCGCCGCCCGCGGCCGCCTGCCGCGCCGAGCGCACCACCTCCTCCAGCAGGCCCCTCTGGGCGGCGCTCATACCTCCGACGACGCGCCGAAAGGCGTCCTGGTCGACGGCGGCGACCTCGAGCAGCCGGGCGCTCGTCTCCGGGTAGCGCTCCTCGCCCTCGGCGGTGGCGCGCGCCATGAGCACGGGCACGACGAGGGCCATGGCGGCGGTCGCGCGTTCCCCGCCGCCGACTGCGCCGACGTAGAGGCACAGGCTGTGCGCGACGAGGGAGCGCGCCTGCTCCGGGTCCTCGGGCTCCACGTTGGTGACGAAGGCGATGAGGCGCGGCACGAGGTACCGAGCGATAGTGACGTCGGAGGATGACGGCGAGCTTTGCAGGAGCAGGGATCGGATGCAGTTGGCCGCAATCTTGGCAGTCTGTGGCGTTTGTTAGCAGCGGATTGGAGTGAGAGTGTTGTGGTGGTGCGTCAGCTTACCATGCGGTCGGTGAGACAGTCTAGGAGTTCGTCGAGATATCTTACGACTAGCGGTTCCGATGCGGGGAGGTGATTGTTTCCACCGGTAAACAGGATGGTTGTCGCCAGTAGGCAGTTTCTGACGCAGAGAAGTGCCGTCGGCACCTCGCGTTTTTGGGCGTTGAGATAGATGGAAAGGAAGCGGCGCAAGCAGCCTTGCAGTTGGACATCTGTCGCAGAGGAGCCATCCGAGGCAATCTTTCGCGAGCCGCTCATGCTACCAATGAAGCGTTTGAATGTGGCTAGCGATTGTGGAACAATGAGCTCTTGACAGCTCGGCGTGGCGAGGATTGTCGCAAAAATGTGAATAATGCATGCGTGTAAATCCGACTTGATGATGGCCGGGAATACCTCGGCGGCATCAACAAGAGCGTCTAGAGATGTGCGAATGAGGACGAGAGTCTCCTCGTTGATTTGGTGTCGGACCGGCTGGTTGCCCTCAGCCAGGTGTGGCAGCAAACCGGACAATACAAGGACGATGATTCTGGTCAGCTCGAAGAGCTGATCAATGTCCTCGGACAGGTCACCCTCTTCAGATCCTTGACGGCGCGCAGAGGGGTGTGTGACACACATGGCGCGCGCAATATCGACAATGACCGTCTGCACATCAATGCCGTCCGTCAATACCAGGCGGTCAAGCAGATCCATGGTCTCGGCGAATACGTCGGGGCGATAGATGGCGTGGCCGGAGACGCTGGGATGCAGGATGCGTTTCAGAGCCTGGACAATGGCGAGTGTCTGGTCGCGAGTGGCCAGTGAGTCGGATTGGCCTGGCCGGATGGCGAGTGATTCAAAGGCCAGGCCGAACAAGACAAAGAAGAATGCAACGGGCTCGTCTCGATAGTTGATGCCGGCTTTACGATGGCCATTGGTGGTGGCTTCGCTGGATTCCTTGCCGTCAAGGGCATCGAAAACAAACTCGCTATCTTGCTCAATAAGGGATGCAATGGCATCGACAAGCTTCAACCACGCATCTTGGTAAAACTTGAGAAGCGTCTCACGATTGAGGGCTGCATAGATAGAATCCAGGCTTCCAGATAGTGAGGGGGGTCCCAGCGTCATGGAAATATCAGGCTCGAATCGTAGCCTCGCAAACTCACGTAGTGACTCGAGCCAAAGCGGCGTCAGTGTGCCGATGTGTGGTTTGAGAACATCGAGCAGATACTTTTGTTCGCTGCTCGCCACTTGGAGCTCGGCCCATGCGGAGAAGACGGCAATCTTGACCATGGTCTGCGCATTTGACGACAGGCCCTTGAGATCTCCGATACCTGCATTCTCATCGTCGGACGAGAAGTTTTCCAAGGCACTGACGAGAGTCTTCAGAATGCGACCCATACGCTCGACATCGGTAACGATACCGATGGAGATGAAGCTCGCGCAGACATTGACCGCCTCCGAGGCGAGCTCTGGAGACGAGTCGGCAGCAAAGGCTGGCGTCAGGGCGGAACTGATTTGTGCCTGATACTGCTCCAGCAGCATGGCTTCTTCGAAATCGGGGTCGGGTGTCTTGCCAAACATCTTCAAGACGACGCCGATAATCTTCAGCCCCCAAATACGCAGCTCCAACACGCCTGAGGTCGATGCAGAAAAGGCCATCCGAACAACTTCAGCAATCTTGTTTTGGAGCGCTGTCTGAGCCGCTGATTCACCGTTCGAGGCAACATCCTTGGCGACCATGGCAAAGATGTCCCCAATGCACGAGATGGCAAAGGTTGTCACCTGCCAACGTAGAGGCTCAGCGTCAGTGGAAGAGCTCGGGTCCTTGCCGTCCTTTGTCGTTTCGGTCGCAGCCGTGGCGAAGCCGGCAACCTCCTCGTCATTCAAGTCAACTGCACCTCCAGAGGGCTTGGCCACAGTTACCTCGGCCGTTTCTTTAACACGCGTCAACCGGAGAACCCTTTGAAATCTGTCTAGCCATTCGTTCGTTTCAACAAGACATGTCTGCTGGAGCCAGTTCCTGATAATGTTCTTGATGCCGTCATGTTCTGGCGTGGCGTCGAGTAGCAGCCACAGCTTCTCTTCAAAGCCCGGCACCGCATCTCGTAAAACGTCGCGCGGGTTTCGCTTCATCATATTGTGTATTCCCTCGATAGCAGCATCTCGCAGCTCGCCGTGCTCAGACGATAAGTATCCTTGAAGCAAACGCACATAGTCTGAGTAATGCATTTCTCCAGGGGCATACAGGGATAGGTGCTCGAGGCATATTAAAGCAGCTTTTTCCACTTGCTTATCACGAGATTCTTGGAACTGGCCGACGAGTGTGAAAATCAGTTCTCTTGATTTCTTCGAGTCCTGCAGATCTGGGCCGAGCACGTTGATTAAAGAATCTATACATCGTGCAATCGCAGCTGGGGTGGAGAGCTCAGTCTCAAGCGCCATGGTAATCGCTGAGGGAATCTCTGGGTGATGTGTTTCCGAGACAAATAACTGGGCAAGCATCCCAAGAGTACTGGGGACGTAGCCGGAGAAGCTCAGGCCTGCAGCATCGGCGGCAAGAGATAGGGCCTCCAGAGCCCAGTAGTGCACGATTGGGTGAGGGTCGTTGCAGAGAGACATCAGGATACCCAAAATAGTCTTGAGGTGATATCCCGCGGCCATGCCACCTACTTTGGTTTGGATGGACCCGAGAGCCATGGCACAGCCCGCTCGTGCACTAGGTTCGCGATTGCTGACGATGGTGTCCACCAGGTACTTGATTTCATGATTCGTAAATGCGTTTCCGTATACATTGCAGAGTCTGGCTGTGGCTGCGTATCCGAGGCTTCGTACGTGTTGGTCTTGGTCAATGACAAAATCTCGAACAATATCCTGCAGCAGCTTTTCCACAGCAGAGTTGGAGACATCGCCAGCCGGGGACGTTGTCTCTCTCGTTGCAACTCGCATGGTGGCCAGTATTGCGGTAGCAACGTTGACACTAATTGCTGCATTCCTCGCAAGGTCGCGCTGCAGGGAGCCAGATGACCCAAAGGTTCGAATTTGTTCCAGAATGCTTTCCTGGACCTTGGCAGGCGTGAGAGGAAAGGCAAAGGCGAACAGTTGTATTGCCATGTTGACGACTTCTGTGGCTGGAGGATCGGCCCTGGCTTCGTTGAGATCCAAGCTGCCAATGTAGAGAGCGGAAGCATCATGTTCCAGGCTGCCGCAGATGGGTGATAGTAGGACACTATCAATCATCTCCTCAAACGAATCGGGTTTGGAAACCTCCTGGATGGTAGATTCGTGTTGGCCAGGCAAGCTACGGACATTGAACCCATAAACGAGACCAGTGAGACCAAAGCCATCGTTGTCGCCAACATCCCAGATAGACTCGTAAGTCGCAGCAGCATTGGCAATAGAAGCACTAAGTGAGTTGGCAGAGTAATTGTCGGGATCCGCGAACAGAGAAATAGCGAGAGTGAGCAGGTTGGATTGTAAAAGTGCCTCGCTACCACCTGCAGGACTCTGGTTGACCAGCTTGACGTAACATTGGAGTACTCGGCGCTGCACCATCTTTTCGAGATCTTGGAGTTGAACTGCAGGCGTTAATCGCTGTGAAATATCCTCGGTAGTCTTCTTGCCCGGGAGTGTCTTCAGAAAGGCCGTTGTGCTTTGCAACATGGTCGCAATGCGTTTGGAAACATCCACAGTCAACAGGCGATTGTTAAACTCAAGGAATGCCAATATCGATCCCAGAGCGCACTCTCGCACGTGTGTGAGGAAGGAAGCCTCGAGCAAGCTTCTTGATGTAGTGTTGTCCTTTGCCAGCGGCTTCGGCAACGCGTTCTTCCAAAGCAGAAGAAGTTGGGATAGGTGGATTTTGACAAAGTTGGGCCCGAGGGACATGAGACCGCCAATCAAAATCCATGCCACCTGGATCTGAGTACTGGAAACTCGAAGCTCAGACTTGCTTGAGGATTTGAGCAGATTGGTTGCCATGGTCAGAACACGACTGTTGATGTCCAGTGAGCCGTGAAGTGGCCGTAACGGACTTGAGCTGAGAGTCGCTGCCAACCCATGCGACAAGCCAATGCATCGCCGTTGTGAGTTCCTCCCACTCGCGAGCAGCGAAAGCTCTCGCGCGAGACTGTTCATGCAGACAGAGAGGCATGGCAATAGCTGCTGAGGGCACGCTACCGTGAAGACCTTCATACACTGCGACGCAAACACTTGGACAGAGTAGCTCGGGTGTTGGAAGACCTGCAGCAGGCCGTCACGACACGATTCGGCAAACTTTCCAGTGGCAGACCCCAGGGACTGGATCAAGGCCGCTACAGCGCGTAGTGCTGTGATTAGGGTCTGCTTTGACGGTTCAGGGCGTTCGGGCAAAGCCGCGGGATAGTTCTTGAGGATGCTGTTGATCAGGACTTGGGCAATTTTGATCTGCCCAGACTCGCCCAATATTTTGTTACCGATGACCTCGTGAAGTAGAGTATCAATGATTCTGCGCGAGATCAAGAGCCGGTAGCGATTGTTGGCAATGCTCGTGCTGCCGAGGATATCCGTGGTGAGCGTATCAACAATGAGCAGATAATTCGACTCAATGACATTCTCACCAAGGCGGCGGAACAGCTTTCCAAGGCACACACCAATGGCGGCTCGGGCGCGGTTGGACGTTGTAGACTTGACGTACTGGGCGGCCAGCTGGCGGAGGATGTCGGCGAGCGAGAGGGCAAGATCTTCTTTGCGCTTCGCACCCGGCGCAGGACTAGCGGTACGAGAAGGCATCTCGTCGTCGTCGCCAACAACGCCAGGCAGTGTAGATTGGCGCTTCAGCTTGGGGTTTGCTTTCTTGCTCTTGGTGGGTTTGCTGACTGCGGTGTCGGAGTAGCCTTGTGCATAGGCTTCGGCTAGACAGCCGGCGGCCGCGTGTCGAACTTGGGCGACCGATGACTCGAACGCCTTGAACATGGCCGTCTCAAGCTTGTCAAAGTCCGACGAGTTCCTAAAGTAGGCAGTGTGTTTTACGAGAGCTTTGAGGCACTGTGAAGCTGCAATGACAACAAGAGAACCCTTGTCACTGAGGGCATGGTTCCTACCCTGCTTCCAGACGTCGCGCGCGATGCTCTCGTCCATAGATCCCTCAACAATGCCGACCAGCTTGGCAAGGGCGGTGAAGACGGCAGCACGGAGGCCCGCATTGTTGGAGGACGACTTGAGGAGCTTTACGAGCGCCGTACAGCAGAGCTGGTGCAGTCCGATGGCGCTATCGCCAGCGGCGGCGTAAACGTCGCCTAGGCAGACGACGGCGGCATGCTTGGCGCGCGTCTCGGTGTCGGTCTTGGACTTGGCGCCGGAAACGACGCCAACCAGGTCGTTGATGGTCTCGAAGAGGAGCTTTCGGTCGCCGTAGGTGAAGACGTGGGCGAGGCACTGACCCAGATTGTTGCGCACCACCCTGGACGGCTGTGGGGCGGCGAGGTTGATGATGCGGAAGATTTCCTTCTTGAGGTAGAACTGCTGCGCCGTGCAGTCGTCGGGCTCGAGCTGGCGCACGTACTTTGTCAGGTCAGTGACGAAGGTGAGGAGAAACAGTTCCTGCTGCTCCGCGGGCAGGGACTGGAGCTTCTGGAGGTCGAGCTCCGGGTTGTCGCTCTTCTTGTCGTCGGGGGGTGGTGGTGGTGGTACTGCTGCCGCTGCTGGCGGTGGCGTAGGCTGCGACTGGGCGGCCGGGGCTGGAACCTCGGGGTCCTCGTTGGATGACATTATTTTTCGCTTCTTTAAATCATTGAGAAAACTGGCCTTGTTCGTGCCCGAGGTCGCGTATAAGCTGTCGTGTGCCGGTTTGCAGGAGGTTCAGAAGCCCAGATGAGCTGGCTGTTGGGACGACGACAGGGGCAGCGACAGCCACTTTGCAGTGACCTTTCTGGAGAAGCTTCGGTGGGTTTATTTTAGACTCCCTTTTGGGGGGGCACACTTGGTAAGGAAACGCAGCGGGGCGCTCTTTTTTAGCATGCATCAGGGGAAGATCGTTAACCCGTTGTGCATCAATCAGTCCATCACGACAATCCCATGTCACATCATTCAACACATTGCCAAAAACAGATCATGTCAATGATTTAGCTAGCCAACTACCACCCATCTTTGGATGCCCGCGATGGCACCTCCTAAGCGCTTTGCCGGCGCCCTCGCACAGCTCGTCCTGCGCCCAACTGCTACCCCTCGTCTCAGGATATGCCCGGCATGCAGACAGCACCTGAGCACAACCAGGCCCCAAGAGGCTGGCCACAATAAATGGTCCAAGACGAAGCACATTAAAGCCGTGACAGACAAGAAGAAGATGGTTGAGCGCACGGCTTTCACAAAGCTCATCACCATGTACTCACGAAGTACGTGGGCTGCCCGCCACCAACGCTCCCTGGGACCTACATGCACTAACACTACAGTAGTGTATGGCGATGATGTTCAATATAACCCAGCCCTAGCCAGTGCCATTGCCGCTGCCAATAAAGGTGACTTCAGAAGAGAATCCGTTTCTTCCCAACTGTCCCTGACACGTCACCATCAGCCAGCATCCCCAAGGCGCTCATCGAGGGCGCCATCGCAAGCGGCCAGGGCAAGTCGGCGACCGGCGCCAAGCTGGAGCCCATGACCATGGAGTTCCTCCTGCCGCCCGACATCGCCCTCATCCTCGACATCGAAACGGACAGCAAGCAACGCACCCTCCAGGACCTGAAGCTGGCCGTGAAAAAGGCCGGCGGCATCACCGGCTCGACCGCCTTCAACTTTGCCCGTCGCGGCCGCGCCGTCTTTTCCCTCAAGGACGGCGCCGCCGGCATCGCGCTGTCGGACCTCCTCGACGAGGCCATTGAGCACGATGGCGCGCAGGATGTGGAGGAGGAGGAGGGCAGCTACGTGCTGTGGACGGAGCCGTCGGTGCTCGTCGCCATCGCCAAGGCCTTTGCCACCAAGTTTGATCTTGAGCTGCGCGCGGCGGAGATCGTCTGGGCACCCAACGAGAACACCATGGTCAAGCTGGACTCGGACGACTCCGCGGCCGCGCTGTCGTCGCTCCTGGCGACGTTGAAGGAGCACGCGGAGGTCAAGGCCATCTTCGCAAACACCAAGCAGGGACGCGCCGGCGATGAGGCGTGGGAGGCTGTAGAGAGGCATCTTGATGTTTGAGATATCCTGCAGCTCGCAAGCCAACTATTGTACACTATTTGTAGTATCTCCATGATAGATTGTAAAACTTTTGTTTCTGTTCATTTGAACCAATTCTTAAAACGCCACCCAATGCGCCGCCTTTAATCAGACACTCTCTGGTGTCTTCTTCTCTTTTTCCTGTTGTTACACTAGAGGCATGGCAACAGCCATGGCCCGGATCGTCGTCGCTGATACGCCCCTTTTCGTCGGTATCAAGTCAAGAGTCGTTTCCGCTGCCGCCGGCACCCTCGCCCTTGGCCCGCTGCTCCTCCTCGAAGCGCGCCTGCTTGAAGCGCTGCCGGGCCAGCATGCGCTCGTACTCGATCTTGAGCTCGTCGCGGTCGCGCGGCAGCTTGTTGCACTCCTCGGGTCGCGGCCAAAAGTCGGGGACGGAGAAGCGCTGGTCGAGGTTCGTGCCAAAGTAGTACATGATGCCAATGGGAAACATGACATACATGCCGAACTGGTTGATTTTTTGGTTCCCATGTCAGCGCTCGGGGTTCAAGGGCAGGGGGGTTCGGGGAAGGCATCAGTCCATACCTTGAATACTTCCAAATTTAAGCCACCCATGTTGGACTGTGATGGTTGGACGCTTTTTCAAAGTGATTGTCGGTCTCGAGGTGGCAATGATGCGGTTGCGCCGTGGTGATGTCGGGCGAAAGTAGCAGACACCTTTTCACGCCACTTCGGAAGCACTGAAATCGGCCTAGATCCACCACGCATAGTGAGGCCAACACCTACCAATACAATCGCTACAATATCAAATACAAATTTTAATGTCACTTGGCCACCAATGTGAGTCTATTAATTAAATCCATAGGCTAATCTCTCCCCAATACTGGAAAGTTTATGTATGTATCATGATTCATCCGGCAGGCAGGCCGGCCGCGCCGGGTCCTTGCGTGCAGGTCCCGCCGTATTAGGACGGTCTTCCTATCTAAGGTTGATGCGATGGGTGCTCTCCGAGCTTTACAAGCTCCGCCCGTTACTAATCTTTACAAGTAGGCGCTTTCGTGATACCATTACTTGCTACGTCCGCCGGGCTTGCGTCGGGGGCAGTCAGAAGACTTATGACCAGATTGGTGACAGTTATAGCAAGTCATGGATTTACTCTTCGCCGCCTTGTCGCTGCTTCCCGAAATCGACGTGATGTTGTTGTTGGACCGCACATCTTTCTTCCTACGCTTGTCTCGAAGGTCCTTGGCTCTTGGGTCTGCTGCGTTACGCGACCTGGAACGCGATCTACTTTGGTTTTGCTGAGAGCCGGGTTGTTTGCGTTTCCTTGGGTTGGAGTCCTCGCTGTCGTCCGAGTCGTCTCCGGAATCATCACCTGATTCGTCATCGCTTGGATTTTGCGATCTCTGCGCCTCTCGTTAGATTTAACTCGGCGCGGATATTGAGTACTTGCCCTGACATACCTCAGTCTTCGGCTTTGGCTTCGGCTTCGATGATGTGCGCCCATTCGCCGCGACGTCTGCTCCATCGCCATCATCGTTGTCAGAGTCAATATCACCATACCCGACATAGACTATTTTCCGTGCCACCTTTGCGGGCTTCACAGTAGTCGGCTTCTCGAATTTTGTCTTTAGAACCCAGTGTGTGTCGCCCGTCGCATGCTGCTGAAGCGCCGCATGGCGCGCGGCCTCCCGGGCTTGCACAGCGGCATCCACTGACGCCTGGTCAAAGTTCATGCTGAGTCTGCTTGCGGGCGATCCATGCTCTAATTTCCTCTTCTTCGCCGAGCCGGGTTCTGATTCCGGAGATGCCGGTGCGGAGTTCGATGCGATGGCCCTTTGCATGAATTTCATGGTCAACAGCCTCGAAGAGGCTCCCTTTGGTGTGTCGGGCGCCATGGCGGATGGCTAGAGCTATCGCAGCTCACGTTGCGCGGGATGCGAGTTTTCCAAAAATAACTGACGTATGTCCCGTGTTGATATTATCCGAGACGTAAACAGACTCCGACCTTTTATTCCACGACAATCGATTTTCCGTGTGTTTATGGGAAACTGCGTTGCCAATTCGCAGGCGTCCTGGAACTTTTTTCTGGAGCTCTCAGGCTTCGGTGCCCCGGAAAATAGCTTTTTCCGCGATCTCTAATCCACTCACTCTAGTTCGTCAACCTGCTCTCCCAGTGGAATCTAACGCCGAATGCGAGCTGGTAATCCTACAGTTAGGCTCAATTGCGTCCTTGCATCACATTTAACCCCCACAGCCATGGCCGCGCCGCAATTGAGAGTCATTGGCGGCCTTGCGCGCAGCATGCGCGTCTCCCGCCGCGCCTTCAGTGTATCCGCCCGTCAGCTCGAATCAACCGTCCCGACGACACGAGACGAGTTCAAGACGCCCACCAAGGCCGGCGACTCCCTCCCTGTCGAGATTGGCCAGGCTCCCAACCGCGTGGAGGTCTGGTCCCGAAACCAGAAGCCGCGAACCACCGCCATGACCGGCCCCCGATTCGAGCAGACCGACTTTGAGGTTCAGGTACGGAACTTGGCGGAAGGCTCCCCCCCCGGAGGATGGATGCCTGGGTTTCCGATGGCTGGATACTGAGATGCTGACTCCAACGCGTAGCCTCAACCTCTCTCTGCTATGGAGATGATTCACAAGCAGCCCGTTCGATGGACTCACGATCGAATCGTTGTCTGCGATGGTGGCGGCAGCGCCGCCCACGGCCACCCCAAGATCTTCATCAACACCGACAAGGCTGAGATCGCCACCTGCAACTACTGCGGGACACCTTTTGTGCGTGAAAATTGCTGACAAGTTTCGAATACCTGAGCTAATGATGACTAGGCCAACGAGCATCACCGCAAGCACCTCGAATCGCTCCCCGCGACGTCCTATCCTTTGTCATAATTTAGAGGCTGTTGTTTTATAGAAGCGAGGGGCGTGTCGACTGACATTGGCAGTGAATGTTTTGCTGTGGATTTTGTACTAGTTATTGCACCAAGACTAAAATTCATTGTTTGTATATAACAAGTTTGTCCCGTCGTGTAAGCGTGAGACCACGATTAGCCTTGTCGAGTTGACAGTCGCTGCACAACTTGCTATGAAGACACCCAAGGCTTGCCCAAAGCTGGCCCAAAGCTACGACAGGGGGATGAAAAATTATCAAATAGGCTATTCGCCCATTTACATGAGTGTGAACTAGGTCAACTGGTCTCGTGGAGCTTTGTCTAGGTGGTAACATGGACAGGGAGCACGAATACAAGAAGGAAGTGGATGTTTTGACAGGTGCAGTTACTTGACCAGATTAAAGAATCTTAATAGTTGTTGCTTTGTATGTGGTGTCTATTTACGCAGATTTCAACGTATTGAGCATATTTTGCTACCTGCACTTGGTACCCGCACTGCAACATGACTTTCGGTCATGATTAAACAGAATTTGCTATATGCATATCGCTTCCTAATTGTTTAATAATACTCGGATCATGCATAACACCTCCTAATTGTTTAATACTAATACTACTCGGATCAATCTTGAATCAATCTCTCAATCGAAGATACCGTTTTGATTCCTTGTTCGCGATACTTGTGGTCTGTCAAGCCAGACGGAACCCCGGCGGGTGCCTCCAATCTAGTTGGGCGAGAGGGTTCAAGGCAAGAAAGCAACGCAGCACCCTTGATTTATGACTGTTCCCAAATTTTTGGGGAAGCTCAATTCACGGCAACCAAGAGTCACATTTCAGTAATATGTTGGCCCGTCCCAGTGCCTAGTAGTAGACGATCCCCATTTCTCGCAAAAGCCGCAGATGGTTTTTTCTTACCCTTCTTCAACATCTTATAGATGCAGCCTTCATCACTTATGCTTACCATGCTATGCTATCTGAATCTTCTTGCATACAGCGTCTGGTAAGCACATGTTGAACAAAATGATAAGCTCTACCTCGTCGAGGCCGCGGCCGAATCGGAATAGTGCACTAGCTCACGATTCTGGGGGCATGTGGCGCGGGCGTGGCACAGTAGCAGGAGAGAGGTACATGGGTATTGGTAGTCGAAAGTATGAGGCTACAAGTACCTGCTCCTTAAGCTCGGCTGTCTTGGCCTCGTTGGGGCTTGGTGGCTTGCACTTATTACCATCGCTTTCGGGGGACCGAGGCCTCGGCTCGCGCGTCGCCCGCCTTGCGTAAATTGGGGGCCTGGCCAAGTGCTGCTGGGCGCGCTCGCTCAGAACCACCTTTTTTCCCCAGGCTTCGGATCATGATAGCTTGATGCCCTCAACACGTGCGATTCAACCATCGCCATCTCTTTCCTACCTTGGCTCGCCCAAGGCTGTTTCTCTTCTCCCACGCCAGCGCTCGCTTCAATAGGCGTGTATCCAATTCCCAATCATAACCTCGCAAGGTGTTCTCGACGTTCAACTCCTCTTTCCATGACCGCGGTCGCCACGCCTTGATCCATCTGAGCTCCCCGCAAACCGTCCTCAGCCGCCCTCCCCCGATCAACTACACTGCGGAAACGGCCATGATTTCCACAGTACGAGGATGGTTCCGTCGGAACCGCACACCCATCGCCATTGGCGTCGGCATCGTCGGTGCCGGCTATGTAGTCAGCCAATACGTCATGTCTAAAATCTCCGACGCGCGTGAGCGCATGACGAGCGAGCGCATTTCCAAAGAAAAGTAAGCATCTCAACCCCTTGAAGTATTTCCCACATGTATGACTCTGACACTTGTCCCGCCTAGCCTGCGTCGCCGCTTCGAGCAGAATCAGGAGGATTGTACCTTCACCGTCCTCGCCCTCCTGCCCACCGCCACCGCAAACGTCCTCGCCGAGATGAACACGGAGCAAATCACCTACGAGATTCAGCAAGCCAAGACGGCCAAGGCCGTCAAGGCCAACCCGGCGGACGCCTCGCCCACGCCGCCCAGCATTGCCGACACTGCCCTGACCGAGGACGATGCCAAGAGCTCGATCATCAGCGAGAGCGGTGTTCATGCAAGCCAGGCCTCTCTTCCCCCGCTCACATCGGTCCCGGAGAATTCTGCGCAGGACGGCACCTCTGCGAAACCCCGTCGCTCCAAGCGACAACTCTGGGACGATCTGATCATTAGCTGTATGCGCAACACGCCCCTCCCCGCAAAGCCTCCCTGCTTGACCAATCCGGCTAACACGCTGTAGCTGTCACTCGCGCCTTTACGCTCATTTACACCCTCGCCCTGCTAACCATGCTTACTCGCGTGCAACTGAACCTCCTCGGCCGTCGGAGCTATCTCTCCAGTGTCGTCGCGCTCGCCACCGGCACCCAGTCCGCGACCATTAGCCTCGAGAACAACGATGACGACAACACGGACCAAGCGTACGGTAGCGACTTTGACACGAACCGCAAGTACCTCACCTTCAGCTGGTGGGTCCTCAATAAGGGCTGGTTCGACATCATGAATGCGGTCGACAGCGCTGTCCGCTCCGTGTTCGGCACCCTCAACCCGCGCGACCTCATCAGCTTTGACCGTCTGTCGGACCTGGTCATTGAGGTCCGCAGGCAGGTCGAGGGCTCATCCCCTGAGGAGCGGCGTAGCGCCAACTGGCTGCGATATCTGCTCCCGCCGCAGGGCCAGGAGGACGAGGTCATCCGCCAATCCGGCATCCTCGAGGGCAACGTCGCCCCGGAGGGCGTCCCGGCCCCGCCGTCATCGTCGCCCGAGGCCCTGCGCAGGCTCCTTGACGAGACGGCTGACCTCATCGAGTCGCCTGCATTTTGCCACGTGCTGACGCTTCTCCTCGACGCCGGTTTTTCAACGCTGGTGGAGAAGAAGCTCGCGACCGAGGCCTTTGAGCTGCCCGTCGACGAGAGCGGCTTCATGGCCAACGCCATCACCGCGGCCAAGCAGACCAAGGTCGTCCTGCTTCCCCGCATACTCTCTGTGCTGACGCGCCAAGCGCACGTCATCGGCAACGGCGTGCCTAACGAGTACCTACAAGACATGGAGGCAGTCCGCGGCCTCGAGGCCTTTGCTGCCGTAGTCTACTCGAGTAACTGGGAGAGCGAGGTGCGAGGCGGTGACGGCTTGATGGAGAGCGCCGTGCATGTCAAGCCGGCGGCAGCCACCACGCCAGAGGTACCGACGGAGAAAAAGACGCCGACCAGCACGCAAGCCGATCAAAGCATCGTCATGGTGGAGAATCAGGACAGCTTTGAGAGTGCCTGGGAAAAGGCGGTCGAAGCACAGTAAATAGACGCAAAAGGATACATAAAAAAAACAGGAAAAGGGAAAATAATCATTATAGCGGCATTGTTGGGGGCAGGTAGGCCCAGTCTTGTACAGCACGGGAATCGCTTCTTTGCATTGAACAGAGAGGGACGGGTTCGCGGGAAGTAGAACCCTTTTTAGATGCGTCAATGTATTATCTACTGCATTCATTCAGGAAATTTACGGCTCAAGGGATTCAGCACTGTCTAGTAATAGCCACGAGTACGAAGTGATATCCTCGTTGCGTACTGGCGCCAATTCCTTGTCTGGCCGTCCAGCGCATACCGTTGAAGGAGCCCGCCGACTTCGGTTCCCAACGCGGCAGGGTCCACACTAATTGGTGTCGTATGAGGCCACGGGTAGTCTTATGCTGGACGCACAGCTGGTGACTTTACAAAGTTATAGCTGGGCACGATATTCATGTGGGCTGTTATACACATCCTTTGGAGACATTTTGGTGCACCCACGGTTACTGATGGCTATACGGCACACTCACTGCACACTCACTGCACACTCACTGCAACTGATAAATACAGCGCTGTCATCCGACGCCGCAGACGCCCCAGAGCTATTTTCGCCCAGTCTAATGAAAACAGCCCTCCCCCCGTACCTAGGTATGTATGTATGTACATACATAGGAATACCTGCAGGCGGGCAGTCGTACTTTCCTCCCCATTGTACTGAGGTTCTTTTCGAACCGTGTCGCCGACATTCTTCTTTCACTCACCTCTTCCTTTATTTCTTTTACACAACCAGCCGTTTACCGTTACAGCTGTTACAGCTGTTACATGCAAAAGTCCAACCAGATCAAAGTGCCCCCAAAACCCACCAATCAAAGCCAGCACAAAACCAAACCCGCCGGGCTGGGCTGGCTGACGAACTGCCAAGTCCCCCCACCTGCCCACCAAAGCCGTCTGCGTTTCTCGTCTTCCCCCGCAGTGACGTCCGCTACAGCTGTCTGCTTACCGCAAGCTGGACCAGCTGGTGCGCTGAGAGCAGCTGACTCTCGTCATCTGCACCTCATCCCTCGCCCCCCCCAAAGCTCGCCCTCCCTCCCCTTCCCTCCCCGCCTCCTCCGAGCTTACCGGTAGCTCTACCTATTTCTCGCATTCTCTTCCCTCGATCCTCTAACCTCGTCTTCAATCCCAATTCTCCGCGCAATTATCAATTTTTTCAACCCAGGCTACGCCCATTTTCAGCCGCACAAACGTTTTTTTAACGGTTTCTAATCGCGCCATCCAACGGCGGCGTTTTCCTCGCCCCCCGCCCCCTCGCCTCGCCGTTTTCCTCGCTTCGCCACCACAGTCTAACCGACAACCCGCGATCAACCATGGACATCACGACAACCACAACCACAACCGCCGCCGCCGCTGCCGCCCCCGTCGACCCTCCCGAGTTCATCCTCGACGTCTTCGCCGATCCCCGCTCCGTCCGCGACGTCGTCCGCGCCATCCTCCATACCATCTTCTTTAACCGCTTCTTCCCCTCCGTCTGCCCCTCCACCCGCGACGTCCTCGACCTCACCCTGCCCTACGTCGACAACGATGAGCTCGCCACCATGATTGAGCAGCGCGCCGCCGCCCTGGAGCGCCAACTCGACGCCGAGCGCTCCTCCTCCGCCGCCTCCGCCTCCAACCCGTCCTCCGCCGCCACTATGTCCTCGTCGCCCCGCCATCAGTACACCTCACCCTCCACGGCCACCACCGCCGTCACTTCCTCCTCGGCCAGCGGCGCGCGCGGCCAGATATCCGTACGCTTCTTCGAGAAGAGGCGTCGCAAGACATGGCTCGCCCGTGGCGACGAGGAAGTCTGCTGGGAGTGCTGGACGGTCAAGGTGACGGTCGCCGAGCCGAGGACCGAATCAGGTGAGCTTTGATCATGTACTTGTCCTGCGCATCGGTGTTGGACACAGAACGAAGAACAAAGGAAGCGAACAAAGGCCCAACTAACACACATCGCCTCCACTCTAGAGCGCGCCAAGGTCCGAAGAGCCATGGAGCAGACCCTCCTCACCACCGCCATGAAGATCGTCACCTTTGCCAACACTCACAAGGACCACATCCCGCCCATCACCACCCACGGCGGCAATCCCTTTCCCTGCAAGATAAGCATCGAGCAAAAGGAGAGCACAGGCTGGGCCGCGCGCATGCGCATCTACTAAATCGTTCTCACTCAATCCTGGACCACCACATACACGCACACACACGCACGATATTTTTTCCCTCTCCTTTTTAACTAACTAGATCTTTGCATACTTTGGCGTTTGGAGCGCATATAGACTCTTTTGTTTCTTGCTAGATACCCTTTCAATACACACTACATGCAACCAAACTACTTTATATATCTCAATGGTGCCGAAAACAAGTCACTCAACCATCGCGACGAGCAAAAAGAAGATTAGGAAAAAATGTATAAGTCAAATGACTAACAATAATTCAAATCTCATTCTTGGCCCTTGGCCGGGTAATAATCAAACTAATCATAATCCTGTTCCCGTTCCGTTTCCTTGTTCCGTTCCGTACAATACTCAAAACAAAGAAAGCATCGCAATCCACCCCCTCCCAAAAGCGCAAAAGAATAGCTAACTAACAAATGGCCTCCGGAAAAAGTAGACGAGTTAGAAAAACAGACTCGACAAAACATGATTAACCAAGAAGAAAAAAAAAAGACATGCGCCTTTGCAAGAAAAGACCTTCGCCTTAAAAAAAAAAGCAAGATATGAATAAAGCAAGTCAACGCCAAAATGAACCGAGCGCTCCCTTCGAAAAACATTCCGGGAGGAAAGCAGCAGAATCCTCCTAACAAATACTTGGCCTTTTGCCGTTCGAAACCATACCACGCCTTCGCCAGCAACAAAAAAGCAAGAAAGCAACAGAAAGCAAAAGCTGGCCGCGAAGCCAATGTGTAGGTTGCCAGAATCACCTGGATCCTCTCCTCTATTTTGTACCGGCCGTCACTGCACAGGCGGCAGCGCGTATCATAATTCATCAACATCGTTACAAGAGCATCTTCCGGCTCACATCATCAAAATGCCGTCGAGTAGCTGCGTCCCAGAGGGGGCTTGTTAGAGCGGTTTGGTTTCGATTGCTGAGCGTTCGAGCCACCAATCTTCTGAAAGCCCTGTAGGATATCAACGCCGCCAAATTCCGTATTCTCATTGCCCGAGGGAAACTCGTTGGAATCCAGACCCAGTGACGTCCAACAGTCATCGGCTGACATTCCCAACATGACACTCGAGAACTTGCTAGGCGAGGCACGGGTGGGGGACTCTTGCAGAAGCTTAGAGGGTGAGCTCAGCCCTTCGAAGACCTTGCTAGGGGTGTCAAGGAAGCGCAGAGGCGAGTGCTCGGGGACGCGGAGCAGGGGGGCCGACGTAATCGCCTTCTTGACCGAGCCGGTGAATTGGTCGATACCAGACGAGGAAAGTGATCGGTCGAGGCGGGCGCGTTTGGCAGACCGCTTAACAGGGGAGCCAGAGTCCACGGAGCCGATAACAGCAAAGGTATTGTCATCCAGGCCATTAATGTCTTGGAAGATATCAAAATCATTGGCGTTGTCGCCAGAATCATCGAAGGCGTAAAGAGTATCGTCGAGATTGAAAGCCGGACTCCAAGGCAGTACCTCATCGGTGACACCAGTGACGCGGCGAAGAGGCGACTGGAGCATGCTGCGGACCTTGTCGCGATGAATCCGCAAGTTGGTATTGGGAGAGGCGGAGGGAGGTGGGCGGACAGGAGGCTTCATCCTGACTATGGGGGTCAGAGGCGGTAGAGCTTGGTTCTCGCAAGCCTGTCTCAGGGGAGAGGAGGAGACGGGGCCGTAGACGGACAGGGAGCGGGATTTGGTCGGGCTAAAGGGGGAAGAGTGGCGTAGGCGGGCAATCTCCTCCTCAGCGCGACCACGGTTGATGCGGGGACGATCAGCTTCGGAAGTCAAGAGCATGGCCTTTTGGTTGGGACGCATGGCAGAAGATTCTAGGGAGGAAATATAGCCGCTGTCATCCATTGAGGCAAACTTGCGCTTGTGGGAGCGAGTAATGGACGAGGCGGGCTGGCCGGTCATGGGAGGAGGAGTGCCGGTCCGCTCTCCATGTCGAGGCACAGGCGGTGACGAGTGCATGTTGGCAGGCAAAGGTGAGTACATGGAGTCATGAGGCAGCTCGTTGTCGTGGCGGTCGGCGGCATCCTCGGGAGCAGCGGCGTCTGAGATGGGAATTGTGGCATCGGAAGAAATCTCGGCGGGCATGGACATGGTGGCCTGTGAGGTAGGCAGAGGCGGCAAGAGAGATGGGCGGCGAGACCCCTGAGGCGGTAGAGTAGGCTCCGGAAGACTGACATTCGGGACAGGGCGGGTCGAAGGCTCGAGACGCGTCGACATAACCGGCAGATTCTCTGCAGAAGGAACCGACTTCCGTGCGGGCTTCTCCTTGAGGAACTGGTGCTCAGTGCCAGGCTCAATGCCCCAGTAGTTGCCCTTGCCAGGGTCGTCCTTGGGGCGTTCGATCTTGATGAAGTTCTTGTGGAGGCTCAGGTTATGGCGAATGCTGTTTTGCCAGCCGGAGTCGTCCGGGTGATAAAAAGAGTAGTTACTACTGATCCACTTGTAGATCTGTGCGAGGGTGAGTCGGCGAAGGGGAGATCGGAGAATGGCCATGCCAATAAGCTGAGCGTAACTGTGAGGTGGTTTGGTACCGTCGTCAATGACGGGGGGGAAGGAGTCGTGAGGCGGCAAAGCGTTGTCATCCGTCTTGGGCTTCTTGGCACGAGGATCTCGGATCGGGGCAGCATCCATGAGGCCGGGGCCGCGCTTGCCGTTAGCATTGGGCTTTTGCTGATAGTAATTTTCCATGGAGATGTTGAGCGTGGGAAGCGCGGGATAGAGCTGCGGGTGGACATTCTCCTTTCCAAAGCCGAGGTCAAAAGTTGGTCTCTGCGGCGCTGTTTTGAACTTGGAGAGCTGCGGTCTCTTTTGTAGGCTGTCGGTGGTGTGGCGCTTGACCATGGGAGGAGCCATGGAGATCATGTTATGTCGGTGACCTTGGGAGGCCTTGAGAGGAGAGCGAGGGGAGGAGGACTTGGTCTTGTAGGGCGAGTAGCCGGACATGGCCGTTGGTGGCGGATCGAGAGTGACGTTGGAGCTAGAGGCACTTAGGGGTCGACGCGGGGGACGAGTGACGGATGGCATGGGGGCGTGGCTCGTCATGGGACGGGAATCATCGAACAAGTCGTCCTGAAATATTGCGAGATTGTCGTTTTGGGCGAAAAAACGCGTCGACTTGGCCATTGTGGCCAGGTCAAAATGGTGATGATTTGGTGAGCGTGAAGCGCGGAAGCAAACGCGGCGTGTTTGAGCTAGAGTGGGCGGGTTGCAAAGGTTAGCGGTCAAACGCGGTTGCGGGCCTTGCGGCGGAGGTAGCTAGGCACCAAGGCAAGGACGTTTGATGACGCGAACGAAAGGCAACAAGCGAGAACAAAGAGAGGAGAAGAAAAAGAAGAAGGGAAAGAATATTATAAGGGAGCTTACCCAAAAGATGAAGTTGTTTAGCGGTGGGGCGCGTGCAGAGAAATGTGCGAAGTAGTGTCGGGGCGGATGCGTGTGAGAGAGCCGACGTGTAGATGAGGCCGTGCTGCTGTTCAACGTCGGCAGCGATCTGGTGCGTGGTCTGTACGTGTCAGGGGCGGCCGGCGTCGGGTGAAGGTTGTTGTACGAGGCGATTTGTGGTGTTGGTCGTCGGGGTGGCAAAATAAACGGCTGAGCGAAGTCGAGAATGTAAGTGTAGGTAGTTGGAGAGGGGAAAGAAGGGGAAAAAGAACGAGCAATGGTGAGGAAGAAGAGAAGGATGCAGGAGGGGAGAGATGGCCGGGTGTAGGTGCAAGAGAAGGGAGGATGGGTGAGGTGGATTGGGGGGATCTGAGGGTGCGCCAGGTGCTTGAGCCGCAGGACGTCTAGCACCCTGGAGGCCTATCTTACAGCACGATCAAGCACTAAAAAGCGTGAACAGGACCACTGTGGGCGGCCCAGGCCAGGCGGTCCAGGCCAGACCACCGGGCCTTGCCAGCTTTGGCTCAGTGGGTGCAGTTGGTGCGGTGGTGCAGTGGAGCTGCCTTGCGGTGCTAGGCTTGCAGCTGGGCTCCAGCGAGGTGCGAGTGGAGAGAGAGCTTGAGAGGGAGGAGGATGATGGCGGCAGTGGGCCAGCTGCAGCAGCTATTACAAGCACTTGCCCTGCTCGGCACCAGGATTGGCAAGTTTGTTGAAGCCATCTTCTGCCCGTTAAATTATAATGCATGCAGTGTGTGAGCTGTGCTGTGCATATCAAGTGCCAGTGTGCCTGCCAATGGCGTTTGATGGTGGCTTGTGAGTGTCTTGCGGCCAAAAGTACGGATACCAGGGTGGCGTTGAGAGACTCACTTATTACAGGGCAATGTACCCTCACCTCACTGCAGTTAATAATACCAGTTAACGTTAGCATGGAAGGTAAGGCCCCAGCCAGCTTAGCAGGGCCGGCCCAGTCTGGCGACCAGCAGCAGTAACCACTACCTACCGCAAGTGACCACCGACCGACAGCTTCCTCAACCGCGTCTCCTCACGGCCGCCCAAGCGGGGTTCTCGGAATGCTGAGCAATTCATACGCGCCTCAATGCCACCTTCACCTGTCATTTTGCAATATTTATTCATCCTCAGCCTTTTCCATCTGTCTGATATCTAACATGTCATCTACCTCAGCCACCTTGCTCACTCATTTATTCCGTCGACAACCAACATGCATGTACCTGTACGCGGGTGTGAACTCAATTATTCTGAAGCTTACCAGTTGCTCTCCTCCTCCGTCCATCCCATCCCGTCCAGAGAAACGTCGGGAGCGAGAGCAAAAAAAAAAAAAAAAAAAAAAAAGGAAAAATGCACACTATGTGGAGCTCTAGCTATGGATTCACGATCTCGATAATGAAGCCACTTTAAAAAAAAATCAATTATAAACCTGGTTTCGGATTCGGTGGGCGGCAGCCAATGATGGGTGCTTGGACGAGCCGAGCTGCGACCAGGCAAGCCAAACTATTTTAGCGGTTCACGTCGAGGTGCGACGTCGGCCAATGCTCGCACAAAGGTCCCAAAGGGAGACGGATTTTGTGTCAAATTGTTTTTTTACAGTTCCTGGGCGAATGCGAACCCGTTCTTCGGTTATTATGTCGTCTCTTTTTTTTTTTTCCCACGGCTGTTGTTTCCTTGTGTTGCCCCAGCGCTTCCTTTTTTAGTTGGTCATGGAACCCCGTTACACCGCACGCCTTGTTTCAGCATGCATGCTCTCCAGATCAAAAGTATTAGATGAAGCGGCAAAAAAAAAAAGTCACAGGACGAGCAATGAGGGGAAGCTGCCGAGGATGGGAGGGAGGGAGGGGCACGCTCTCACACACACACACTCACACTAGTTACCCTCTCTCACTCACAACTCACACATGAACCACTCACACTCGAGGCAATGATGAGCAGAACATGTGGTGAGGCTAGCCCAGAGCAGTGACTTGGCACCTTGATAAAGGAAAGAACGTACGCAACAGATGAAACCGTACAGACCCCGTGTTGGCGGGCATTGAGTCGATGGCGAACACTGGTTGGCAGATAAGTTCGTTGGTGGTGGTGGTGGTGGTGAGCTGAACTAGACTTTTGTCGGAGACGCGTCTGGGGAGACGCGTCGGGTTTGTTTTGATGACGCTCAGATTGACCAATCAGAGGCTGCGACGAACCGCCCATCGCAACCACATGTGAAGCGTGCGTACCCTCGAATATAGCAGACGGGCGTTATGTTATACCTGCCAATCGGCCGGTTGACTTTGCGCCTGCATTGCATTGCAGCGCATACGAACTATTCGAAATCTCAACGACACGGTGCCGCGGCCATTGCCGTTATCCTAACCGTACAGTACATCTAGTATGCGTGACTACGGAATTTTTGCGAGATTTTCTACAGTTGACCCAATGTAGATGCATCTTTCGTACCATGCTAAATAACACCGCCACCACAGGCCACACGGCTTGGGAAAAGCCACTCATCCGACTAATCCCACCCAACTATCCAACCCATGCTCTTGTTCGCTCCGTATCCTTGCAAACGTTATCCAAGCCACGAGCGAAGAAGCCCCAGTACGAAATTCATGCCTGGTGCCGGTACGCACGCCGAGTTAACTTCTCACCCAACTACATATTCCTCCATCATGTCCCGTACTCCATACCCAGACGTTAGTAGGAAGTCAATGCCGTCATCAACCTCACTAGCTTCGGACAAGTAATTCTCTGCACAGTATCCGTATTCCGAAATCTTGGCCAAGATCAGTCTCTCCTCTTTTGTTTGGTTGGGGGGAAAAAAAGGCATTTTGTTTGATGAGAGAAAAGACACGCCCGCATTCCTCCCTCGGCCGCCGTCCCGGCCTGCTGGAATGGACCCGGGCTCCTCTTCAAGGGGGAGACACGACAAGTCGACGTGATACAACACGGCACCACCGGACTCCCGATCCAAGTCTGGAACATTGGGAATATGCATGTATGTACATGGACAGAGGAAAAAATGCTGCAAAAATCAAGTGTTTCACCTTTTTTCGCCTCTTTTTTTTTTTCCCTTTCGCAAAATGTCCAGATCAGTAAGCCAACGTAGTAACTAACTCGCTAGAGTTTCGCCAGATCAGTACTTTGGAAGCTGGCCGTTGGTTCGAGCCTCACGGCCATTGCCCCCTCCCCTCCCCGCACCAAAAAGTCAATGCACTTGGCGTTTCGTAAACCGCTCTCGTCCCATGACTCCATCAAAGCAACTTGTAAGGCATCAACATGGCAAAGGTAGTCCAGTCAGTTAGTAGCTGCACGTCCTCCGGCTTCCAAGTGGGTGGGCTTCCGAGCCCTTGCGTGCGTTTCAAAACCTGCATAAAAAAAAGCCGCCCCAATCTCGGAGCTTTTTTTTCTTTCAATAAGCTTTGCTTGACAGCAGCTGTTTTTTTCCCCCAGGCCTTGCCTTTCGATGCTCGAGTCAGCCCATGGGCTGGTTCAGCTGGCGTAATACAGATTACGGAGTATTATATACCCAACTCCATGATATTAATAACGTGCGAGAGGAGAGGAGGCATGGGCTGTCTACTAACAGAACACGGCGTTGACTATTAATCCCCGTCCAAGAAGCCCCGACTGAAACCGTGAACAATGCACTTTTGATCAGCAACCCCGGCAAGGCAAGGCAAGGCAAGGCAAGGCAAGGACGGAGTCTCCGCCGCCGAGGACAAGCTCCGCCCCATGATTCCCAGTAATGCGCCGCTTACCGAGATGACTATAACGTATGTCAGGTAGGCATGTCCTTGATGATAACAGAGAGAGCAGTCAGAATAAAAACAAAGTGCAGTAGATCCATCTCCATTCTATCCCCCCCCCCCCCTTCGAACAAAAGAATTACGTCAATTCAATCAAACCTTGTACTACATCTCGGTATATTACCCAGGGTGTGTGGCCTTGTCGACGCATGTGCCAGGAGGGCTTTGTCTTGATGTCCCGTTCCCCTGCCCGCGATCCGTGCCATTGAGCAATGATTATTCAGAAAAAAAGAATTCTTCTTTTTTTTCTCAACCTCGTTTTTTAAAGAGAAAACAAGCTACCCCTGCTTCATCAGACACATGGCACCTCCGCCCCAAAAAATTTCGCGGGCGGTTGCATGTCCTGCGGCCAAGAGAACAAGGCCCTGCCGGACCAATCATCCACGCCTGTCACTTCCAAATTGAAGCAACACACAAAAAGGGGGGTATGCATCTCGATGCTCACCGTGCATTGGAAATTATATTTTGCCAACGCATTCAACAGGGTATATGGAACGGGGGTTGATTTGTTCATGAGACGATCAACTTTTGTTGCTGCCCAACTGAACTAACCGAGTTTCTTCTTACTGATATGATATAGCTCCAACAAAAAAAAAACGCCCTGGCCAACGATGCATTGGCTACTCCCCTGGCTGCTCATCTCCTTCTCTCGCCTTTGTATTACATGCCAATGCCGACTTCTTTCTTCCGAGCAAACTTGTACAAGAAAGAAACGTCCAATAGTTCTCTGATTCATTGTCCGTCCATTGTCCCGTCCGCAGGCAAGCACCGGCAGGTCAGATGCCCTCCCTCCCTTTGCTAACAGAAGCCACTGCTGGCTGCCCTTGCATTTCTCCATCTCCCCCTCCAGGTAGCACACCACCACATCGCAATTTCGTCGTCTGTCTTTTTTCCTTCTTTCTCCTCCAAAGGGAGAGCAGAAATAGAAATGTCACGTCACAGGCCGAGAAGCGGCTCCGCCATCCCTGCTTATACGCGGTCCAGCGGCGATCCAACATCTTTGTGTGGCTGTTGCATGAGCACTGATGAGCTTCAATCGCAAGAGAACAAGTGTCTAAAACTATCTGCCTTGTTTCTTCGCTCTTGCATTGCTATGAGCAGTCCAAGTCCAATTATCATTGACTCATAATTTCCAAGTTTTCTCAAACTCCGTCGTCATAACTTGCTCACTTCAATACTGCAACAGGCTTACACCTTTATCACCAGCAACATGGTCTTATACCGAGCGAGATATATCCGACTTTATCTCGTAGCTTGCCAACAAACCGTTAATTAAAAAAGAAATTCCCACTATGGATGCTAATCCTTTTCCCCACGCTCTGAATGAGCAAGTATCCCCATCGACACGTACATTACAATGTAAACGAACAAGAAAAGCAGCCCAGTAGTCCATCCATCACACCTCAGGTGCACTTAACCCAAAACCTTTCCAACCGTCGGTCCGGAGCTCTCCTTGGTCTGCGTCTTCTTCAGCTTCAAGCCGCCCTGAATTTGGTTGAGAAACCCGGCTGGCGGACCAGCTGCCGGTGCTGCCGGTGCTGGTGCACCCCCGGGAGGCGGAGGAGGCGGCGGTGCGCCGCTCCCAGGAGGGGGAGGGGGTGGTGGTGCACCACCAGCAGGAGGAGGCGGCGGAGGAGGAGCTGCCACGCCAGGCATGGGAGGCGGCGGCGGCGGCGCACCGATTGGTGCTCCCAAGTCGCTGCTTCCAGGCATGGGAGGAGGGGGGGGTGGTCCAGAGGGCGCATCCAAGCCTACACCGGGCACGGGAGGAGGAGGAGGGGGTGAGGCGATGGGTGCGTCTCTGGCCGGCGCTGGGCTGGCCGGCTTCGAGTCCCTCCCGGCCGCAGAAAGCGGCCGCGGTGGTGCCATGGTACCAAACAAGATCGACGCGAGCTGAGCTGCATTGCCACCGCCCGGCCGCTCGTCATCAGAGTCGTCCGAGTCGTCATCCTTGTCCGAGCCCCAGTCGTCCGAGTCGGCTCTTTTGCGCGAGATGGGAGCCTGGGGAGCGGGGGCAGAGCCACCACTACCACCACCCTGCTGGGTCATACGGTGGAAGGGGTTCGTCGACGCGTCGGCCGCCGGCGGTGCGACCGCCTTGGGCACGGGGGGTGCAGGGGCCGCAGGGGCGGCCACCGGAGATGTGGTCGCAGGAGAGGCCGTCTCAGATGGGTGCGACATCATTTTCTTGTAGGGATTCTTACTCTCCGTCTCCGCAGGCGGCGACGTCACTATCGTGGGTGGCGGTGAGGAGACCGGCACAGGAGGCGGAGGTGGTGCAGAGTTGGGCTCCTCATCCACGCTGCGCTCCGAAGATTCCATGGGAGTGACTTGCTCGCGGCCGTCCTCGTCATCTGAAGACGAGTCATCGTTCATGGCCTCCAGTTGCCGCTGCAGCTCAAGCTCTCGTTGCTTGGCAGCCTCCGCCTCAGCTCGTCGGGCAGCCAGCTTGGCCTCCTTCTCCCTGGCCTCGGCCAGAGCAGCCTTCTTTTTCTTCTTCTCCTCTTCCTTGCGTAGCTTGCCCTGTCTCACCTGTTCTTCCAACGCCTTGAGGCGTGCCTCACTAGCCCGCTGTTCTTTGGCGTACTCATCTTCTTCCTCCTTGACCGCGTTCCTGTAACCCACGTTAGTATTTTGCTCTGGTCTCCTTGGCCGTAATACATACTGCATATCATTAGCTTCCTGCTGCTGTTGGTGGTGCTCTTCAGCAAGCTTCTGTTCCGCCGCCCGGGTCTCAACAACATCGGCCTTGGGTGCCTTTCGGGGAGGCGGGGGCGCCGGCTTGGGTGCCTCTGCAGCAGGAGGAGGAGGCGGCACACCTTGCTCATCGGCCAGTCTAGCACGACGCTCCGTCTCTCTGCGAGCATCCTCCTCTTCCGCCTGCTTGAGCTTGGCTGCTCGCTCCGCTTTTTCGCGGTCAGCACGCTGGGCTGCGCTCTCGCCCGGCTTAGAAGGAGCCTTGATACCGAGAGCGGCCAGACGCTCAGCCATACGCTGCTCCGCTTGCTGCCGAATAAAAGCGGCACGCTCCTCTGGTGTCTTGTAAGCGGCGTAGGAACCGCCAGCAGCGGGAGGTGTCGAAGTTCGCGAAGTAGACACTGGTGATTCGACGCGAGCAGGGACGGGAGCAGCACGCTCCTGGCGTGGCTGCTCTGTCGCCGCGGGTCGAGTTGTCCTCTTGTCCTGGGACCGAACACGGGCGGCGCGGCTCTCACGCTGAAGATCAAAGATGAAATCACGTACTTCATCTTCAACGCCCAATGCATCATCCCAACGACGCCGCTCGTGCTCGCTGCTTTTATCCCGAGCGCCGTCCTTGAGGTTGTCTTCGATACCACGAGCAAACACGCCAACACTTTCCTCGACATCGCGGACCATTCGCTCGTTGCTTTCCTTCTCGTTCTTCACCTTGATGCTCTCTTCTTCCAGGCGCTTAGAAGCAGAGTCATCATCAAGCGGAACGTCAACCCTCTTGCCCGTCAGTGCAGCGGTGCGTTGCTGCATCATGGCTTTGGCACGTGCCTTCAGTCGGTCGGATTCGGTGACAACACCACCTGGGCCAGTTCCAACAATGGTTGAGGCGCTGCCAGGATTGGCCTTGGCGTCCTTGAGTCGGAACAGCTCGAGTCTAGCATCCATAATAGCTTTTTCAGTCTTGCGAACCTGCGAAGCTAGCTCGGGCACCTTATCAAGAAAATTCTGGAGCTGTCGCTTCAGGGCACGTCTTTCAGCATCAGAGTCACCGCCAGCCAACGAGGCATTGGGATGAGCATCAATATCGCCTTGAATACGTCGGATGCGTCGATACAACTCTTCCGACTCACGGCGATCGCGTCTGTCAAGAACATCGTCCTCTTCCATATTCTTCTCGTCCTGGAAATCCATGGCATCAAGGAGAACCTCCTTTTCCTTGATCTTCTTTCGGAGCTGGTCCAGTGTCAACTCATCATTGGACCCCACAGAGGAGGGCGATTCGGAGCGCTCAGTGTTGTTACCAACTCGGCGGCGAGCACTCGACTTGTATCCAAAACTTTCGTCATCGTTGCGGAACACAGTAGCATCCTTACGGCCAGCAGTGGTTGGGGTGTTGAAACCACGCAGCGAGCGGTTCTTCATGTAGCTTACGCCGGTCTTTTGCGGCAGAAGAGCAGCACCGGAATCCTTGCGAAAGTTGGATTCCTCGTGGAGCATATTCTTGAGTGTGCCAATCGATCGACTCAGGTTGCGCGTAGAAGGCGGGACAAGCTCAGGCGGCAAGTTATTGGGGATGGGGTAACCGTTCAACTTTCTGTAAATCAAATGCATGGCAACAGCGAATTCGTCAAGATCCAGACGACCCTTGTTTCCGTGATCCGCCAGTGTCCAAATGCGCTCCAGATCAGGCTTCTCGAGACCACTCTGGCCGAAGATCTCAATAGCTTGGCTGCCGAGGATGTGACCCTTGCCAAAGCCGTCCCATGCTCGAAAAAGAGAGTCGTACCGTGTCTTCTCCTCTTTGGTGATAGCCCACGGAATAACAGCATTACCCTGCAGACCTTGGGTAGTAAAGCTTCCGCCCTCACGGCCTTGCTGAGGCATCATTTGCGCTTGTAAAGCATCAATGTTAGGTAAGCCAGACAAAGGGGCATTGACAAGGCCCCATTGGCCCGGTGCGCCGGTTGGCTGTGCATTCAATGGCATGGCCATACTGCTTTGGTTGTAACCCGTAGGCATAGGAGGCATTGGTGGTCTAGGGCCAGCATAGCCCGTCGGTTGGGGATTCTGCATGCCAGGATAGCCAGTCGCTTGAGGCTGCATGCTCTGGGTGGATGCGCCAAAGCCAGTCTGCTGAGTCGGGAAGCCCGTCATCTGCGATTGCAAAATCTGACTGTTGGAAGGCTGGGGTTGGGATTGTTGGCTGCTGGACTGAAAGTTCGGCTTGTTGGTGGCAGCGGCAGCTGAGCCAAGGGATTCTTCAACAACGCTGAATCCAATAATATCGACCATGCTGGAGACTTCGTTTCTGATATGTTCAGGTAGCATCTGTGGGAGAGTCTTGCCAGAGAGTCTTAGGTTGCAGAGGTACATGGCCAAGGCGAACTCGGGGAAGTACAGCTCTCCAGCTCTAGTGGTATCCGACAGTGTCCAGATATGCGAGAGCGAGTCGCCATCAAGCTTCGAGCGAAGAAGTAGGTCGCGTGCGCGTTCGCCCGACATTGTGCTGGAGCCCTCACCCACGGCCGACTTGAACAGAGTTTCGAACTGTGCCTGGTCTTTGGCGGTGATGAACGACAGGCGAATGTTGGGGATCTTGTTCGTCTTGGCCGGTCGAGCGTCCTGCGTACGAGACGATGTGCCAGCCGCCTGGAATGAAGCGGTCATCTGGCTAAACCCTGTAGGTTGAGGTTTCACGGGTGCGGGGGGCGGCTGCGAAGGCCCGGCAGACTGCTGAGGCGACGCGGAGAAGCCCGCAGTCTGCGTGGGCTGGAAGCTCTGTTGCTGCGGCTGCTGTTGCTGATGCTGTTGCTGCAGAAACTGCGACTGGTATTGGTTCGGTATCGATGGTACCGGTGGTGGCGGCGCACCGGTGCTGAACCCTTGCGAGGGGAAGCCCGTGTACTGCTGCTGGAGGGGCTGCGACTGCTGAGGCATACCGGTCGGTTGGGCCTGCATGGGATATCCAGTGAACTGCGACTGCATCGGCTGCTGCTGCTGCTGCTGTTGCTGAGGTTGTCCATAGCCAGTAGGCTGAGGTGCAAATGGACTGGGCTGTTGCTGCTGCTGACCCAAGCTGTTGAAGCCCCCTCCATACTGCTGGCTGCCAGGCTGTTGTTGTCCAAAATTATTGGAGTACATTGCGGCGGCGTCGTCTTATATATCCCGCAGCTGTTTTCTAGACGTGAGTGGCTCGTCGGAGGCGTCGCCGTCCAGGCGGTCAGGATCTGGTCGAAGAGGTGAGGCGCAGTCCGGTGATGGATTAGTTTTGGTCGCTCGGATGAGCTTGGGGGGTAAGGGGGGGACAGCAGTCTACCACCACGCAAGGCGCCGCGTGAATAAGCACAGGGTAAAAAACAAAGAGACGAGGCAAAACTGAGGCGATTGGGCTCTCGGCCGCCGCGTCGGCAGGTTAGTAGTTATGTTGGAAAAGACAGTGTGAGGTGTTTATGTAGATGACGAAAGCTGCCGAGACAGGTGTTCCGTCCACAACTATGTATGTTGCACATATCCGTAGTAGTTGCTGAGTTGCCTCCAGGCGGTTCCCTGTGGCTCAGCTGTGGCTTGCTGACACAGCTTTGCCTTGGATAAAGCCACCGACGCCTAATTTAGCGCCATGCAGGGTACGTACCTCTAACCAGCACAGTTGCTCCTTGACATCACTCACATAACTATTGCGACAACTTCATAAATAATTAATATACAAACACCTTGTCTTCCAATTCGGAATGAAATACAATTCTCCCTTTGGGTGGGTATTATTCATTCGCTATCAAAGCACTTCTAGGGTATCGGCTTTCCTCGTTAAAAGCAGAACATAACAGGAAACAGGCTGTTAAAAAGAGACAGAAAATTCAAACGCAGTTCCCTCCTCAGAGATAAAATGTCCAAAAAAATCCAAAAAGACTCCCTTCGCTAAAAACACATAGTACAAAAGCTGGAGATACCATCAGAGTAGATGGGCCTCGCCTTCCACCACCTACTGCAACAAGACCTACGGAGAGCTCTTGTCCGCTTCATGGGCATGGTCCTCTTCCTCAATCCGGTCTGTTGGGTCTCCTTGGAATCGTCGATAGCGCTTCATCTGGAGCCCAGCATCCGCATCTGTACCATCTGCAAAAGAATAATTATTCTCAGGGCTGTCGCCATACACAGGCCACTGTTCTTGTACGCTTCGAACCGCTGGTTCAACATCCACTGCGCAGTCGACGTCAATCGGTGTCGCAGCGCCGGATTCGCTACTGCCAGCTTCGCTGCTCGGGCTTCCTGTGGCTTCGCTCGAACCAACCGAGTCCGGTCGCTCGCCTGTAGATCTGCTAGAGCTAGTACGGGCATGCAGACTCATCCGTTGCGATGTGTCAGCGCTGCGCCTGATCGTGACGGTCTTGAGCCCATCATAGTCTTCCGCAGCCAGGCCACCAAAGGCCGCCGCAAACGCAGCCTCGCTCTCGGCAGAGGCTTGGCTCGCCGATCCACCATCCAAATTTGTCGCATCGACGTAGTTTCGCAAGTTATCGTCCATGATACTCTGCAAAGAATGAATAGCATGGTCCCATTCACTCTTGAGCTCTTGAATCAGTGCTGCGTCTTGTTGAGGTTGACTGTTCTTATCAGATTTAAACCGTGACATCATGGAAGGCCGTTTGGTCGGCACGGGAACTGCTGCGTCGCTGATAGACTTGGCTATCGTACGGTCAAGTTCATGCGTCTTGAACGCAGAGAAGTTACGAATCGACCTGTTGTGCTCGAGCTTGGTGATGAGATACCGCAGGTTGGACAGTGTGAAGTCGTTTGAGGAGCAATCAACAGTTCGGAGGATTTTGTTCACGGCGAGAGCCTCTGCAAAATCGCCCACGTTGATGTTGAGCATCTGGCTGCGGACTCGGAGATGCTCTATTTGCGTATTGTGGCGCAGACCGCCGAGAGCGCGTGAGAATCCCCTGCCTAGCCTTCCCTCGTCGAGTTTGGAGTCGTACCCAGACATGTCCAGGTAGCGAACTGAGTTGTTCTTTGCCAAAAAGTCGAAAACAGCCTGGCAAGCTGTTTCGCTAGCCGCATCGGGGATCGAAGTGCCAGCCAGGCTGAGGCACTCAATGGAGCTATTGAGTGCCAACGCGCGAAGCACTTTGACATAGCTTTCCTCACGAGCACAATCAATATTTTGCAGAAACAGGCCCTGCGGAGCAAGCCCGGTACCAATGACATCGCACAGATCTTCAACCCCGGCATCGATACGGCTAGAGTCCATGTGAACGTGCATGTCACGGGCTGGCCCCATGCTGCGCAAAAGCCGTGCAACCTGGAATCCGTTGAGCCCGCAGCAGTTGAGACGTAAGACGCGAAGAGCGTGCGAGGCACCGGCGGCCAGATACTTGGCAAGACTTTCCACGGTAGCATCGTTAATCATCATGCCAGACAGATCCAGCTCCTGAAGCTGCCAAGTAACCAGAGCATCGTCATCGAAGAGTGATACTCCCGTCGCCAGACGCACGGTCCGGGCAATGCAAAGCTTGGTGACACTACTGAGGTGTCTGAGAGTATTACAAACGACTTCAAGCTGAACAATTCCCGGGTTGTTAGACAGGTCGAGTATTTCCAGAGAATCCGTTTGCTGGTCCAATGTTGACCAAATGTCTGATAAGCCAAACTCGCCAAGTCCACATTGAGCAAGCTCGAGACGTCGCAGTCGCACATGAGGAAGGGTAAGAATATCACGCAATTCATCGGCATCGGCGGAAGAAATAGGGTTGTGGGATAGCACAATGCTGTGGCAGTGAGACAGCTGCCGTCTCAGCAGTTCTGAGATTGGGCGCAGCAGCTCGCTCGTTCTCGGTTCAAACTCAGAGGCATCAGCGGCCACGATCTTCTTATGCTTCTTGGCGTCATAGATGCCGAAAACGTTGGACAAATTGATCGATCGGAGAGAGTCCGAGGCGAAAAGTAAGGAGTGTATTTCTCGCCCAAGAACAGATGACTGTGACATGATGACGGAGAGGTCTTCGGGCAAACGGACACGGTTCGCCGACGCGTAAACGATCGAATCGGCATAGTGCGAGAAGTCCTGCGTGATGATCAAGGGCGTCAGGTCGACATCGGCAAAAGAGACTGCCTTAAAAAACCCATTATATCGCAGAGCCCTGAAAACGGCCAAAAGCTGATAGGGGCCATAGGGCTTGTCCTGAGCCGGCAAAAGGCAAAAGCAGGGCTGCGATGGCGTGTTCCAGTCAATCCGCCAATTTGGCATGGGAACTTGGAAGGCTGCACAGTAAGCAGGCAGGCTGATGTCGAAACCACCCAAGTCGTTGCCAGAGGTGAGTTGTAAAGGGGGGGAGAGGCCACGGATGTCAAAAATGGCTTGCTGAAGATGCTGGGGCCACGTAGGCTTCAAGATTCTGTCCATCTTGATAAGCGTCTCGATTATGCGGCGGTAGTAGACACTAGCCAGCGTGAGACGGGTTTCTTTCCCAAAGGGCATTCGGAAGCACATGACAAAAGTTTGCTCATGATTGGCCACGGATGCTTGGAATTTGCTGAGGGTGACGATGCCAAAAGGTGTCACCTTCGCCATTAGGTCATGAGAGGGCGTAGCATGGTCCGATCTGAGAATTTCAATGAAATAGCATAAAAAGGGACCGATAGCCAAATAGTAAGAGGAGCCTCCGTCACTGGAGCTGGGACTGTCATCAGCGGGAGCCTTTGGCGAAGAAGCGAGGCGGCGCACGACAGGGAAGATGGTTATCTTAGAGTCGTCACTGACGGTCTCAGAAGAGCGGACAATGATGCGAATCCGTTCAAGAACATTGTCCGGGATGCTACCAGCCAGAGGACCCTCGCGCAACTTCTGTCTGCAGGCGCGGTGCAATAACGTGTGCCACTCAGCCCTCTCTTGGGGCGTGTTGAAAGACAGTTGTGTGCGACAATAGGCGAGTCGGGGCGCAGGCAATGACCACCAAACCTCAGCAACGTGCTCAGTGCAGGGATCAATCAAGACAGCCACCATGGCATTGAGTGGAATATTGAGACGATTCTCCGCCGCAGCGTTAGCCTTGGGGATGGACGCAGATGAGGCGGATCGTGCAACAATAGCTGGTTCTTCTTGAGCTGCAATTTGTGGATATACAACCCGGGCAGCCTCGAGGCTAGCAAACCTCGAAATACATTGGTCCGTAAGAACAAGGTAATCGGAGCGACTCTTGCGGCTAGAGGGATCTTGTCTCAACCAGCCGCGTTTGACGATTTGCATGGAGCTGTGCGATGAGTCCAGGAGGGGACTCGGGGAGATGTCAGTCGGCGAATTGGCAGCAGAGTCGCGCGAGACTCGACGGTGGAATCGTTCGATCATGGAGCTGGAACCCGAGGTTGTCTTTTGCAGGCGTCGTTGTGAACTAGAGCTTCGCGACGGTATAGCAGGCATAGAATCGATGGACGAGTTGCTGAGAGAGCGCAGCGCTTTTGTGAGCACGCGTGGTTTCTTGCCAAGAGCATGTTCCGAGTCTTGGGGCGTCAAGGAGGGCGAAAGAGGCTTATCGGAATTGCTAGCCAGTGAGCCTCGGCGCCTCCAGCGGTCGACACTCATAATTGCGATTTGAGCTGATTGACCCGTCTAAGCCCAAAAATCGAGAGATGACGCGTGGATGAGGTTCTTAACAAACGCAATTGTTTCCAGGTTGGCGTTTAAGCGGTCATACCGGCATGCCAGATGAGAGCACTTGGGGTCAGCGTGGAGCAGCGAGGACTCAGGTCAAGGTGAAGGCCGTTTTTTTTTTCTCTTTTTGCCGCTCGCTCAAATGTATATTATGCTGATGATATTTTGTATGGGATGCTGGGGAACTGTGTGGTGGTGCCAGCAGATGCGGTTTGTCTCGGGCGACTGCAATGTCTTGGAATTTTAGCAGCGAAAGGTCTGGTCTGGTTGCGCCGCAAGCGTGTAGCTCGGCAATGACGAAATGGCAGAGCTGAAGGCACGTCGGCAAATGAACCCAAGCAAAAGGAACCAGAAGGAAGGAGCAAGTCGGACAGGACACGGCGAGAGTCGAGAGCGAAGCAAGAGGTGGGAAGAATAAAAGAATGGCCCAGGGCAAGGTAGCGGAAAGGGGGCTAGAGAAGCAGGGTCACCAATTGGCAAAAGACGTAGGAAGGAGAACAAAAGAGTATGGCAAAGTTTGGAGCTAGTATGGCACGCAAGCAAAGTTTCGAGCGGAGGGAGGGCAGACAGGACGTGGCAGAGAAAGCAGACGAAATCGAGAGCTGCGCCAAGCTAGCGCCAGAGATTGGAGCGCCAGGGTGGGCTGGCAACTGGGTGCGGAAGGTGTCGTCAAAGCTATTCCGTAGCTGGCCCAAGAGTGGCAGAATCGATGGAAAGTGCTAGTGCAACGCGGCGCGAGAAGCTAGAGCGAGGGCAAGCTGATGGTGAGAAGAAAAAGGCTCTGCTCAGAAGCTGCGGAAAGGCCGTCGGACGAGGCTAGCGTAGTGAGTGAGCGAGTGAGTGAGTGAGGCGAAGAGGAGGGAAGGAGGATGGATCGACTAAAAACGACCAAGGTGACGAAAGACGAACGGGCCGAAGTGGAGATAGTCGATGGGCTGGTCTGGATGGGGGGTGGATAAATGGTGGACAAGAGGCAAAGTCGGCAAAGTGGGATGGGAGAGTGGTGATGTTTGCGATGGAGGTTTGATTTTGGAGTGTTGGCAAGCAACAAGTAACTTGCTATCACTCACTTTTGACTAGTGGTTTAGTACCTGGGAAGCCAAATGTGGGTGCCTGATGATGTATGTGCCTGTCAAGGTGTTAGTATGTACCTTGGCGCTGATGATGGTGGTGGCTTGACGGCTGGTAGCTTGGCTTGAGGTTGGCCGCAAACGTCAGCAGTGCAAGCTCGCTCCAGGGCAGGGTTACCTCACTTTCGGGGGTTACGGCAGGACTCTTGTTAGCGTCCGGCTGCTATAAACAGTGCTGCGGTGGTACTCGACTCCTGATGATACCACCCAAGGTACCCCCCTACGTCAGCGGCTCACCAGCCGCGCCGCGCTCGGCGGCGATGAACTGGGCTTTTGTACCTCGTAGCTTCAGTAGCTTTCTTTCGATCCTTCTTCTTTGGCGATTTTGGCTTGCCCACTTCGCAAGCAATCAAAATGATCAATCGGCAGCACGGCAATACGGCAATAAGTCAATTCAAATCCAATCTCGCTAGGAGTTTCCTTCGGTAGTAACTAGTTAGAGTGCAACAATAGCTGTCGAAACCAGGGTAGCTGCTAGCTCAGTCGGTACGTACCCCGTACTCAGTTCGGTACCACCCAAGTGGCTTAGACCAGTGAGTGAGGCGCGTCGCTTTCGGTTGGAGTGGTTCGTCTGTCCTTTGTCTGTCTGCTGCGTTTGTCGTCTGTCACTTGCAACAGCTACATACCTATGTACCAATAAACGACTCCCAGGATGGACAAAAAAAATCATCGTCAATACAGCAGAGCATCTTTCAACGTAACCGCCGACAACCAGTAGCAAGTTTCGTCAATCGCATCGCACCTGACTACTCCGTACCGTCTCACAAGTCACAACCAGCCCGTACCCAAGCCCTGCCCCAGCCCCGGCAATCAGCGTCATCCCCCCCCCAGCCTCAGCCAGTCCCCAATGCACATGCATGCTTGGCTCCTTCCATGACAGCCCAGACAAGGGCATTGACGAGACAAGGTCATCTGCCACCAGATACTTGCGCAAATACCACTTTTATACGGTACGAAATATACCATGACATGGGCCGCCCTGCGATGCGGATGGGGTCGACAGTCTATTCAAATCCGTATAGCCAGTGACCCCGTCCACCTTCCTCCGTACAGGGCATCAATACACCTGACGTCGGGAGCGTGCTTGGGCTAATAATAGCAGGAGCTCTTCTACTTCTATGATGCATACACTGGTCGGCATCAGGCCCCAATTCAGCAAAGAAAGCCCAGTCCTCAACGTCAAGAGATGCGGTGCCACGCCAATGTGAGCCCACCAAGACGATAAGATACGTTGCGCAGCAGGCGCGAAACAGAGATTCGCACCTTGTCATGATAGCAATCATTCTGGTAACGTGGATGGATGGCTCCATCTGCCAACCCAAAACCCGCATGGTCTGCAGCCAATCATCTCAGCCACGCATCCAGACACACCACACGACGCACGCCGGCGTCCCGGTCCACCCGAAGCCATCTCGTATGCAGATTGCAGGCTGCTAGCCCTCACAGACCATGCAACATGATGGCATTAGCGGCCCGCTAGTGGAAAGCCCCCCCGTATCGACAAGAGCTCTGATACTTGCTCTTTTCGGAACCCATGGCTTGAGGCTGTTACGACGGGCCAAGTTACGAGCAGTGTGCATGGTCAGGGCTCGGAGACAGACTCGAAAGCCTCCTTAGCCGCCCTCAACTGACAAGAGACGGCAAGCCCGTCGCCAAGTCATCCCCGTCTCCGTCGCGGGGCGGATGGAAAGCGAACAATGGCAAAAACGAAATATAGCAAAAAAGTATAAATTGCGCCAGCGGGTGGCTTTGCGCGACCAACCCAGCTGGCCCTCCAGCTCGACAAGGGTGCGGGAGATGTCTTCTCCGCAATCTCTGTGGGGATGCGCGCATTATTCAATCGTCAATAACAAGGTCGCAATCGTGAGTGTTTTTCGTTTCAATGGCTCAGTTAAAATTTGCCCATGATTCATCTGCCACACGTGCATACTAGCACTAACACGCACACAAGAGCAGTCTCTCCCCAATACGTGAGACATGGGGTCTATGTACTTCGTAGCCAACTTCTTGGCATACGTCGACAAGATCTTGCACACCAGCTCAGAGACGTACACTTTCTAATCTGATGCTGTGAAACTACCCAGGTAGACATCACACGATGAGCTGCCATCTCTTGCCACAGACCGCCATCCACAGGAAAATCTAGGTTAAGCTTTTCTTTGTCGGCCCTAATCTTGGCTCGGTGGGTTGCCTCTGCTTTGGTGGCGCGACAGACATCGGGACTGGCCGCATCCTAATTGCTCTGGACATGGCACTTGTTGGCAGTTAAGTTTTTTGCCCTTTTCTTTGTTGACTATTCCGAGCGGTGAATTTGGCGCGCGCTCTGTTTCCGCGTCTGCAGCTACCATCTCTCGCTTCTTGGTTACAGAGCAGCGCTAGGAGATTCGTGCGGCTGCTCCGCCTATAAAAGAACCCTCGCCTCTGATGGAGCGATGGGTGCCCAAGGATGACGACAACTGAACAGTTGCGGGTGGAAAGGAGCTTCCAGAACAGAACCGGCCAACGTCTCGGGCACTGCTGTCTCGTGCCTCCCCGATATAGTATCTTCTCGGTATGCATTGCGCCGGTCGCGTTACGCCACTCAGCTCTGGAATGCTGTGCCGCCCGCGTCTCTGCCTTGGGCTAGCCGACCGATCTATTGTAATCTGCGTATGGGAGGATGGTCCCCGGTGTTGCTGGCCAACTAAGTGGTCATGCTCTGTGTTTCACGGAACCTGGTATCAATCGGAACTATTGTCCACTGTGTGTGGGTTGTTGAGGTAAGACCCCGTCAATACAGCGCTCGTTGAGGTGGTGTAACGCCATTGCTTCTTCTTCTATCACTGGTGCCGTCCTATCGCAGCATCATCGCAGCTAGCTTGTTGCTGTGGCTGTACTTAAGTGTCGCCACCACATTGCTGCCCGTTGTACACTGTTGGGTGGATGATTCGTGTGACTGGTGGTCAGGAGGGGGTGGTTGAAGAGCGGTTGCGTGCGATTTCGCAGGTAGTCACTTCGTACTCTGCTCCTGGAGCCCCCCGGAAGCGTCTTGTTTCACGTCCGGACTAGACAGTGATCACCTTTGGTCGATCAGGATGACGTCGGGGTCATGGCTGTGAGGGGCATTGACGCGCGCAAATGGGTGCAGGGTAGTAGGCCAGTCTCTGGTGGTAAAGGTCTGCATTACTGGCCCAGGCTACATTTTGGATGAGAGGCAGACACTCGCCATAGTGTCGGTTAGAAGTCAGGTATCAAGTAAGACGTACTGTATGTCCGCATCGGTGCGGGGTGGAGAACGAAGCAATTTATCATTCAACCTCATCACATCATGATGTCGGTGTTTAAAGTCCTGGGGCCGATCACGTGTCACCTTGATGCCTATGCTTCGAGAGCTCGGTCTCTTCTCCGACTCTAATCTAGATATAGATTCCTGGTCTACCACCGAATAGCAAGTCCAATTGGTTACCAAGGACAAGATGGGAGTTTGGAGTCTTACGTAGATGATGGGATTGGCCGTGACTGCGGTAATAACCTCGCTTGCGCCTGTGCTCCGAGGTAACCCAACGATTGGGGATATATGTATCCTCTACATTGTTATGAAAGCCTGAGCACTAATACGGTCATGTACACAGTACCGCCTCTCTCACATGTACCCCACCGCAAAAGGAGCTCGGGCAAATAAGTTAAAATAACCCCAAAAAAAAGGTACGCGGTCGGCCCTGAGCGAGATGAGAAGCAATTAGCCGCCACTTTTTTTCTCTGGCCCCTCGGAAGACCTTTTGGAGACGACATCTCTCAACCGCTAATCGCGACGCCCTCGACCCCCCCGCTCAATCTGCGATTCCATCTCGCAGTCCTTCCCTGCCTATCCCATCCCCCTTCCTGCCTCTCGACAAGAAGGTGACCTCCCGGGATCCCGTTGAGCTCAACGTTCGTGCCGGCCCCCTCATCTGCCGCGCTGCCGACCTGATACGATCCCCCCCCGAGACGAATTTACTTTGAGATATCCATACGTAACAAGGGAGCAAATAAAATAGACACACAATGGCGGACGATTCCCTCTTTGCGCGTCAGTACATTGACTACTGCTACGTCCCCGGCTTTCTCCTTGTTCTCGGAACGGCCATTGTCAAAACGTCTTGGGTCATCTACGCCATCCCCGTGGCCATCCTCTTCGGCGCCTACAACTTTTGGAACTTTCGTAAGTCGACCTGCGATCAATCACATTGCGTCGGAAGTATTGGAAGAGAAGGAAAAAAAAGCTGCGCGGCTGGCTCTGCGTAATGGCTCGTCTCCGATGACGGCCCCAACAAGCCTAACCCCCGCTTCTGCGCGATGCGAACGAGCGACCAACTGACACGCCACCATCAGAGATCAAGAAGGTCCTCAAGCCTGACGTCTTCCAAGAGTTTGAGCTCCAGGAAAAGACTGTCATCTCCCACAATGTAGCCATGTAAGTGCCCCCCCTCCTCTCCGACTGCCATCCACGAATTTTTCGCTCACGCCCACACCAGCTACCGCTTCAAGCTCCCCTCGTCCAAGTCGGTCCTCGGCCTGCCCATCGGGCAGCACATCTCCATCGGCGCGCCCCTGCCGCAACCCGACGGCATCACCAAGGAGATTGTGCGCTCGTACACGCCCGTCTCCGGCGACCACCAGCCGGGCTTCTTCGACCTGCTCATCAAGTCGTACCCGCAGGGCAACATCTCCAAGATGATGGCCTCGCTGATGGTCGGCCAGACGATCCGCGTCCGCGGGCCCAAGGGCGCCTTCGTCTACACCCCCAACATGGTCCGCCACTTCGGCATGATCGCCGGCGGCACCGGCATTACCCCGATGCTGCAGATCATCCGCGCCATCACCCGCGGCCGCGCCGCCGGCGACGCCACCGAGGTCGACCTCATCTTCGCCAACGTCACCCCACAGGACATCCTCCTTAAGGAGGACCTCGACGCGCTCGCCGCCGAGGACAAGGGCATCCGCGTCCACTACGTCCTCGACAACCCCCCGGAGGGCTGGACCGGCGGCGTCGGCTACGTCACCGCCGACATGATCACCGTACGCTTCCTTCGCCCGCCCCCGCCGTGAAAACTGTGCTGCCCGAGCCCTTGGCAATTTGATGCTAACCCGCCGGACCCCTAGAAATTCTTCCCCAAGCCCGCCGACGACGTCAAGATCCTGCTCTGCGGCCCGCCCCCCATGATCAGCGGCCTGAAGAAGGCCACCGAGAGCCTCGGCTTCAAGAAGGCCCGCCCCGTCAGCAAGCTCGAGGACCAGGTCTTTGCCTTTTAAGCAGAGCAAAATAGAAAACAGACGCGGTGTGCGTGTTTGCTGCGCAAGATCACGGGTTGCCGTTTTTCTTCCGCCAGTCATGCATGCATGCATCGATGTTTGCGTTATGAGAGGCAAGTGAAATGCAAAGAGGAGGGATAAACGAGTGACAGGAAGACGAACGAACAAAACCGAAAAAAAAAGAATGTAGAAAATAAAGACAAGTAGAGGATGCTAGAATGTTCTTGTACACTACTTCGAGTATATGGTATTCAAAGCTCTCTATCAGTTGCTTTGTGGGCATGTATACAGAACCCTTTCTCTGATATGTACGCGTTGGTTATGCCGAGGCATGTCTGAGCTGTTTGAACAATGCATCGATAAATCTTCCTTTGGATGCCAACTGCCCATGAATCTAAGCTCAACTAAAATAACATTAAAGCGAAAACCTAAGACTACACATCAAAGTAAATCAAGAAGACGGTGGTTTCACCTAGATTGGGGCCAATGTGATCCTTCCGGTGTTGCTTTCTGCACGACCTATTCTCTGTCCTTTTGCCTTTTGCGCCGTATATTTCCCTGCAATTCTCACCCGCCGCCTCCCCTATTGACACACAGCACCACGCTCTTGTCTTTTCCTTCGGCCTCGTCCTGCTACGTCTACTCCTCGTCCTCGTCCTCGTCACTTTCCACGACGCGACCGCGACGTGTCCTCTTGGCGGGCTGACGGGCTGAAGGCTCATCGTCGTCATCCTCGCGCGGCACATCGTCAACGTCCATCTTGTCGTCCTCGTCACCGCCCGCGTTGGAGTCATTGTCGCCAGCGTCCGAGACAGCCGGACTGGAGCGGCCAATGCGGTCAGCCCGGTCAAGGATATCATCATCGTCGTCGTCATCTCCGCCCGCACCATCCCCGTCTTCGTCGCTGTCAACGACAATCTCGGCGGACTTGAACTTGGAGCTCTCGCGAGTCGTAAGACGGCGCCTCTTCTTGGCATGGGTGCCCTCGTCAGAGTCATCCTCATCGTCCTTGGCCGACTTCTTCTTGGAGGATCGCTTTGGCTTACCCTCACCAGAAGCGCGGACGGCAGGTTTACGCTTGCGCTTCACCTTGTTGCCTTCTTCATCCTCAGTCATTTCGGCCTCCTTTCGAGCGCGATCTGCCTCTAATTCTCGTTCGCGCTCCTCCGTCTCAAGTTTGACCTTGGCAGCCATCTCCTCGCGTTCTTTGCGGATCTTGTCCTGGCGCTCCTTTTCCTTGGCTAGGACTTCGGCGCGCTCAGCCTCACGACGCTTAAGCTCAGCTTCTCGCTGACTCTGCGCTGCAGCAATCTTCTCCTTGTTGACCTCTTCCCATTCTTTTTGTTTCCCGATGGCTCGCTCGAGCTGTTTGCGCAGCGTGTTGCGGGCCATGTTAGCACGTTGTTCGACATCATGCTTGGGGTATGGGGTTTGCGGGTGAGCCGCGATTGCATCCAATGACTCGATAGCGGCTTCCAAGCCTTCGGCTGCCTTTTCAAGCTGCTCTGCCGTGCGCCTGTTCTCTTGCACGCCTTGAATGGTAGTCACTAGCTGGATCTGGACAAAGGCAACATTGAACTTGTAGTGGATTTGCTCAGGGGCAACCTCCAATGCCTTTTCAGCGCATTCGAGAGCTTTTGTGTACGCATCAATGTCACGCTCGGCGCGACCTCTGTTCAGCCACGTGCGGCCAAGGCAGGCGAGAATGACTGGGTCGTTGTGCTTGCCTTCTTTGGACAAAGCAATTTCATAGCTCTCAATGGCTTTGGAGAACTGCTTCAGTTCGGCATAAATGTGGCCAAGGTTGACATAGAGATTAGGCTCTTTGATAGTCTCGCGCACCTTGTTGAAGATGGCGAGTGCATTCTTGTAGTCCTTCTTATCCTCCACTAAAGCAATGGCGACGCCTTGTGCAGCGTACGCATTCTTAGGATCCAGCGACAGGGCCTTCTCGAAAAACTCGACAGCTTTCCCGTAAGCCGCACTGCGCTTCTGCTTGTCCGACTCCGTCTCTCGTCTCATTTCGCGGGCTTGCAACATGTGGAGATTTCCCATACCAACAAGGGCATATCGATCGTGTTTGTCGTAGCTTTGCAAAGTATGCTTGTAGTGACGGTACTCCGGGTCCTCGGCAATATTGCCCGGTCGTTTTCTTGAGACCTTGCCCAGGTACCACCCATACAGAGCGCGCACTTCGACGTCGCTCGTGTTGTCCTGGAATAGCGTTGCAACGGCGTCAGGACCCTCCTTATTGGGGCTTTGTCGCAGTTTGATGTACGCCAGGCGAGCGCGAGCGTCAGTGTAGTCGTCGTGGCGGTTCAACAGACCCTCATACACTTCAACCGCCTTGTCTGAGAGACCTTGAGCCTCGTAGCTGCGGCCGAGATTGAAGCTGATTGTGGACACAAGAGCATCGGTATCAACGGTGCTGTCCTTTTCGCTCATCTTCATGCAGGCACCAAGGGCTGCTTCAAACATTTCGCTTGCCAAAACGTGCTTCTCGGCCTGGAAGTGGAAGCAGCCAATGTTGTTCAGTAGCTGGGGAGGAAGGAATTTGCGGATAGAAGCCTGCACCTCTGCTTCCTCTGTAACGCCTTCAGGGTACTCTGAAGGCGGGATCTGTTCCAGTTCGAGCTGTTCTACCTGCTGCAAGCACTGGAGCGCCTTTTCGGGGTTCTCAGTTTCGTAAAGTCTGGCAAGATTAAGCAGCACGGAAGCATCGGGGGACGCATTTCTTTTCGGATCCTTCCAAGCTGTTCTGACCGCTTCCAGGAGGTTGATAGCCTTTTTCATCTCTGCTGATTTGTCCTCCTTGACCTCGCTGGTCTGGTTGGCAAAAATTTCTTCCGCGTAGAGCGTGCCGAGAAGAATCATGGCTTCATGGCTCTTTGAATGCTGAATCATCTTTTCAAGGCGCAGCTTGGCCTCACCGAGGTCATTCTTCACCACCGAGAGTTGCGCGGCACCAAATTTGGCTGGGAAGTAGCCAGTTTCTGTTCCTCCACGCGCATCATCGGCTCGACGGTAGAAATCGTTGGCATTTTCCGTGTCGCCATTGTAGTGAGATTTTCTAGCCAGAACGTACCAACCATCGCTGGCAATGGCGTTGACGTCGGTATATTGGATGGCCTTGTGAGCTAGCTTGTCGGCGTTGTCCCACGATTTGCGCGAAAGAAAGTAGTTGGAGAAGGTTGAACACGTCAATGGAAGGTTCTTATCGAGCTTGAATGATTTTTGGGTATACTCCGTCATGGCCTTTTTGTAGAGTTTGACAAAGTCCTCGCTGTTGACCGGTACGTGGCCACTGGCATCGAGGTGATACAAACCAAGAAGAATGTTGGCAACCTTGGAGTCTGCTGTAATCTCAAGACTTCTCTCCCAAGCGGTTTTGGCATCCTTCTTGAATCCCAGCTGCCAGAAACAGCAACCGATACCGATGCGCGGATCAGGGTCGACCAGATCAGGCTTCTTCTGCAATACATCTTGGTATATTGCCAAAGAATCAGGGTATTTTTGTAATGAGAAGAATGCGCGCGCCTTGCCCATCAGGGCAAGCATGTTCTTGCCTTGGGAGACCCGGAGCGCGTCGTCAAAGGATTTGACGGCAGTCTTCAAGAGCTCTTGCTTTTCAGTGCCAATACTGTTGTTCGTAGTCTTGGATGGGGCCTGTAGCGAGGCTCTCAGAAGGAGTAAGACGCCGCGGGCGAGGAAGATGGGCGGGAAAGACGGGTTCAGGCGGGCAGCGTCATTGAGTGAGGATGTCGCAAGCTGAAGATAGTATTCTTTGGTCTTGGCCTCGGAGACTGGTATTCCGTCGGGGGCAACTCGGGGAGCTTCACGGCTCTTCCAAAGATACATCCAGCAAAGACAGCAGATCATGCTGACCTTGTCGCGCGGGTTGCTGGCATTGCTCTGGATAGCGCCGCCACCACGGATGAGCATCTCGATGGCGTGGTCGATTTTGTGTTGCTTCGCGTAGGCGAGGGCGACCGTCATCCAGTACGTCTTTGCGGCATGCTCGTTTTCGAAGAGGGTACAGAGCTCGGTAGGATCATCGACAAGGTCTTCGAGATCGATTTCGACGGCTTCGTCTTCTTGGTCGCCCTGAACAGGAATGTCGATTGCCGAGGGGATGTCGGAGAATCTGATGCTGACAGGACCAGGGGCGGAGTCGCCGTGAGCGGCCCCGTTGGTCGTCCCGTTGGCGAGCGCCGCCATGATGTTGCGGAGGTTGATGAAGAAGGGTGAAGAGGGATTGATCGGTCGCCTGAGTTACGGCGTCGGGGAAGTGCACAGCTTCGCGCCCAGCCGCCAACGCGCAGATGGCGGATCTAGTTCCGGTGGCACAAGCTTCCAGAGCTCTCCTGAAACATTCCCTAATGGCTGCAAGTAAAATTGACGCGCTGCTGTAGCCGTGGGAGGAGATTGGGAGCGCTGGCAGATACCGCGAATTGTCGTCGGAGAAGAGACGACGGAATTTCGCGACAGCGTCTTTGGATGGGTGAAGGAGGTGGTCCGTGCACGGTCGCCTATGTGCACCAGGGACTCAGTCGCGATCCCACCCAAACTACGTAGCTGTTCACACTGAAGAATAGGTTAACACGCAATTGCAGTAACACTGGAAAATACGCTGAATCTGAGAATCATTTGAGAAAAATAGTTCATGTATTTCCATGTTTACGTAAATTTTACCCAAGACTTGCCTAAGTGCAGAATTAGAGTAGAGATGTCTAGGCCGCAGTCCTAGCTTGACCGTTGCCTTGCACTTGCCGTCTGATGAATTACCACAATCGTCTGCCTGCGTTTAGATTTCATGCTACCTTTTCTATGGAAACTAGCTCTTGCTTAGACATGAAGGTTTAATTTACTCAGGAGTTAAATACGAATTAAATTTCGACGGAACACAGCCAGCTGTCACACAAACGGCGCATGTTGAGTTACTTGGCAGATTATCGGAGTGATCCCTTCAAAGTGATTTACAAAAGCCATCAATGAAGGAAGATTTCGATACAATTTTCTTCGACAGGGCACAAGCACAAGCCCAAGACGAAGTCAGCTCAGCTGCAGCCACTGTTCATAGCGACGACTTTGGGAGACCGCAACCGAATCTTCAACAGCACGGTCACATCGTCTCAATTGACACATTTCCTTGCAAGAAATCAGCGAAGAGAGACCCAGATGACGAGAATAGCGACACGGCCTCTACAAAAATAGTGCCTGAGAATGACAGTCGAGTGCCATCAGTTTCCTCTCAGGCGTCTATTCCGTCAACATCAAGCTGCAAGAGCGGTACAGCTGATCTCAACAAGGAGGAGAGGTTACATAAGAATAGAGGCAATCCTGATAGCTGTCTGGAAGAAGAAAGAATATTGAAGGAAGAGGAGACGCGGAGAACGCTCTGGAAACGACGGCAGCGAGAGAAGAAGCGGGCAGCATGGGAACGCAGGTGCGCAACTTTGCTGTGATTCGATTAAACTGAACTTACACTTACCATTGAATAGGCCAACCAGCAACAGAAGCAGCACGTGCAGCTTGCCTAGTCCACCACGGGCCATTCATCAAGGTGGTGGCTGTTATGGGAGGAATCCCAAGAGGTTTGGTGATGGTAAGGGCACGAGGGTCTTGGATGCCGAGGGCTGAGAGATATATTCGGATTAGGTCAACTTGGCCAAGAGTCTGTGTCTATTCCCACACGAAATTTAGCGTTCCAGGTCTTTATTGTGCTGATACTGTCATTGTGTCGCATTGTCGGCGGTTGTAGTGGCGGCCGGTGCTTTGGTGGGTGGACATGGTAATGATGTGTACTCGTGCGAATTCTACAGTAAGTTCCCTCTGTGAAACTTGACCTCGATGATGGAGATTTTTTTTTTCTTTGTAGAACTCGAGTTTGTGGCGTGTGTTGAAGATTCCAAACGTTGTAGAAGAACACGCGGCTGGATAGCTATGTATGTATGTATGTATGTAGAAGCCCAAGGGCAGAAAAGAGGTACAAGAGGTATCTACCTACCTACCTACTGGAGGTATGGTACTGTAGGTATGTACATATATACATACATACATAGGTAGACGGACAGACAGGAGGGGTGACGCAACTGGCCCGTGCGCCGCCTGATCGTCATGGCCAGCAGCGTGTCTGCCAGTCTGCAGACTGCAGCACAGCGCCTCAGACCTGGCATTTCACTGGACGTTGGGTGGCAGAATCCACCAACCCACCACCCACCATAGCGCCGCCGCCACCGCCGTAATCCTGGCGCAGCCTCTCCTCTGAATCCGGAGCTATACACCTCACAGTTAGTTAGCACCTGGCTTGCTCCAGCCGTTTTGCTCAGCTTCGCCGTGCTCCTCCATCACACCTCTCAGCCTATCACCCGCCACTGGGCATCATCGCGCACCTGCTCGCATCATCTTGGTTTCATTGAATCCACCGGAGAATGGCGACGCCTTTGCTTCAATTTCCATGACTTGACCTCCCCTGCGAACCCTTGTACTCTATCACGCGTCCAGCTTCTTCCCCGCCATTTCTCAGCCGAGCTCCCAGCCATTGCTACCGCCACGACCGAATATTGACATCCAAATTGGATCGATAAGACTGTCCACCATTTAATCTTGTTACTTTGCGCAACACCTCCCCACCGCAGACATCATGTGGAATGACGAAGAAGACAACAACCCTTACGGGACCAGCTTCGACCGTCGGGACTCGCAAACGTCATCCTCGGTGAACCCGACTTCTCCGACGTCCCGCGACTGTGAGTTTACACCGAGCTACCTCCTCCGGGGTTGTCAACCGCACTGCCAGCCTCTCCTTCACCCTGCTGACTAGACTTCTCCAAAGTCAACTCTTACGAATCTGCCGCAACACCATCCGCGAGCGACGATGAGACCCCGGCCTTTGGCCACGGCACCGTCACTGGTGGCCCCGATACCGCGGATACCACGCAGGATGATGCGCCTCCTAAGCGCAAGCCAGGCGGTTATACTAGTCGCATCGAGCAGATTCTCTATGAGAACCCAAATATGCAAATCATTATAACAGACGCTGGCAAGAGCCTCGAAAGCGGTGGCCGACACATTGTCTATACCATTCGCACCGGGGTATGTACCTCATATCAACATTGAATTATAAGGCTAACGTCGCAACAGGACCTTGAAGTTCGCCGAAGATACTCGGAATTCGCTTCGCTGCGAGACGCCCTCACGCGTCTGCATCCCACTCTCGTAATCCCACCGATCCCCGAAAAGCACACCATGGCGGATTATGCGGCGCATCCTACCAGCGCAAAGCAGGACCAGCAGATTATCGATCTCCGCAAGCGCATGCTTGCAGTCTTTTTGAATCGCTGCCGCCGCATGGAACAGGTCCGTAGCGATGGCGTTTGGCAGAGATTTCTTGATCCGAATGCAAGCTGGGTATGTCTGGTGTCTCATGCGTGTCGTTGTGTGATGCTAATTTGCGCAACAGAGCGAGGTACTAAACTCTCATCCTATTTCATCCATCCCCAAAAATGTCCTGAAAGCACCTCCTCTGGATACCGCGAACCCTACTGCTGGGCACCTCTATCTTCCCGTCCCCGCGTCTTCTGCTAAGATTCGAACCGCGTCTGGTGGAAGCTCTTCTTTGAGTTCATCTGTTATCCAAGGCGGTGCCAACACGATTGGACGATTTCCCAACGACACCACGAACCTCAGCGAGCACGACCTTGATCCCTACTTCACCACATACGAAGCTTCCATCAAAGAGCTCGAGACTCTGTTGACAGGTCCAATGGAAAAAGTCAACCGCCGGACCCTAAGCCACCTTTCTTCCTTGGCCACGGACCTTTGCGAACTGGGCTCTAGATACAACGCATTTGCCCTTTCTGAACAGGCCCCTTCCCTTGGGCCCGCGATCGAGAAGATTGGCCAGGCTGCCGACTCCTCCTACATTGCTACAGAGGAACTTGCTAGCTCTCTTGGCGCTAGCTTCGCCGAGCCCATGAGAGAAAACGCCCAGTTCGCTGGTGTTGTCCGAAGTGTTGTTCGGTATCGGGTACTGAAGCGCGTGCAGCAGGACTTGACAGAAGAGGAGCTGGAGAAGAAGAGAACACTTCTCGATCAGCTGGAGCGCAGCGAATCTGAGGCTCGCCGTATCGAGCAATATCTTTCCAGTAGCCAACAGCTTTCTTCACCTCCGCGACGGTCTACTAGCCTCCGAGAAACCCCAACATACCAGAGACGTGAGGGTAACCAGGAGGATACGGAATCTATCGATTCTGATTTCCCACCAACCCATGGTGACTTTCCATCAAGCCCCCCAGAGGCTGGCCAGGGCGTACCCGAGAGAAGCACCAGTGTTTCACACAAGAAGATGCCCAGCAGCAACTCGATTACCAACAGAATCTTTGGTCCTCTTCGTCATGCTGTGCAAGGCGTGGTCGATGTCGATCCTGAGCGCACGCGTCGTGACACGATTGGAAAGACTAGAGAGTCTATCGGCCAGCTTGAGCAAGCTCAGGTCGTTTCCGAGAAGGATGTCAAAGATGCGAGCACCAGCGTCTTTAAGGATTTGCGAAGATTCCAAAACGACAAGGAGGAAGACTTGCGCCGCTACATGGTAAGAAGCAAAAACATGTGAAGCCTTCCCGAACATGCGCTAACCATCAACAGCTTGCCTATGCTAAGAGTCAGGTAGAGTGGGCTAAGAAGAGCAAACAACAGTGGGAGGAAGCGCGACTCGAGGTCGATAAGATTGATGAAAGTTAACTGAGTTTTTGTAATGTCCAAATATGGGAGCGAGGACCATGTTGTTTGGAGTTGGGGTACTTTGTGCCACCAGTAGATAACGTGGTTATTAGGCTATACGTTGAGTATAAAAGAGTCACTGGCTCTCGAATGTGAAGTTGGTAGAATATTGACAGTCTCATAAATGCATGATTTGTTTTAGCCAGTGCGGAGAATGAGAAGATGAATAAACGAGTGTAAATAAAAATAAAGAATTGCTTGCCTCTTGCAGGATGCGTAGCATGCAGCTTGCTTTATCTGGGTAATACCTCCTTACAGTTCTGTACAGTGTGTGGCAACATGTATTTGTCCCCTGCCACGTATCTAACCTATCCCTACGATAGTTGAGATAATTAGCTAAGATACCTGAGATAAATAAAATACCTATCATGGGCGAAATAGAAGGTATCTAAAATACCTAAGATATGTGAAATACGCAAGATATGTTAAATATCTAAGAAATGTAAAATACCTACATAAGATGCCTCAGAGAGGTGATACCTATGTACCTACATAGTAGTTTGGCGCTCGACGCATGCAGGGCGCTATCGATAGCGCGCGCTGTGCAACGACGTCCACCTTCGTTGCCTTTTTACCTCTATACCTAACATTTTCTACCCATAACACGATCATTCTTCCACTCCCGCCATCATTCACCCCCACAGTGTCAATAGTAGCCATGGGGGATGGCCCAATCGCTTCCATCGCCGAGCCCGGCATCAAGGCTGATGGTCAACTTCTGCACAATATGCGCCACGAGGTCGCGCACCTCTTGGGCCGCTCTCACATCGGCTTCCCGGGCGCGCAACCCGTCAGCTTTGCCCGCAAGCACATTGACGCCCTAAAGACGCAAGAGTACGTTTTTCCGCGTGCCATGTGCCGCGTGCCTCGTCTGCGACGCCCCTGTGGGCGGCAATCTGGCACGCATCTACGACTCGTCCTGTATTTGTTGGCTCGTACTAACTAACTGATTGCGCGCGACAGCTACTACGTTTGCGAAAAATCCGATGGCATTCGATATCTACTGTACGCGACGACGGACGAAAGCGGCGCCGAAACACACTACCTGATTGACCGCAAAAACGACTACTGGTTCATCACAAACCGCAACCTGCATTTCCCCCTCGAGAGCGATGCGGCTGCCTTTCACGCCGACACGGTCCTCGACGGCGAGCTCGTGTGGGACAGCAAGACCAACGGCGGCAAGGAGCCGCGCTTCCTCATCTTTGACTGCCTTGTCATGGATGGGCAAGTGCTCATGGACCGCACTCTGGATAAGAGACTTGCCTACATCAAGGAGAGGTTCCACACGCCATACAAGCGCCTGTTCAAGGAGTTCCCCGAAGAACTCAAGTTCCAGCCATTTTACGTCGAGATGAAGCCTTTCCAACTTGCTTACGGTATCGAGATGATGTTTAAGCAGGTCCTACCCAACCTCAAGCACGGAAACGACGGGCTCATCTTTACGTGCCGCCACACGTCGTACCGCCACGGCACGGACCCCAACATTCTCAAGTGGAAGCCGCCAGAGGAGAACACTATTGATTTCCTCCTCAAACTGCATTTCCCGACGGTCCAGCCCAACAGGGCGGAGCGCGCCATAGGCAGGACGGAGCCGTTCGTCGACTACGAGAGCATGCCCACCGCGGAGCTCATGGTGTTCACGGGCGGCAACGGACCGGAGCGGTATGAGCCCTTCCAACCGTTGTACCTCACAAAGGGAGAGTGGGAGCTGCTCAAGGGTCTTGGTGATCCGCTGAACGACCGCATCGTCGAGTGTAATCAAGACGATCAGAAGCGCTGGCGCCTGTTGCGCTTCCGTGATGACAAGCTTGAGGCCAATCACAAGTCCACAGTCAGCAGCGTTCTACAGAGCATCAAGGATCGCGTAACTCAGCAGGACCTGCATCAGGCTGCTGGGCCGATCCGCGACAATTGGAAGGCGCGCCAGGCAAGGTCAGAGCGGAAGTAGAGCCGGACAAGATTGAATGGCTAGATTATTCGGGCAAGTCGTTTTTGTATGGTCCGGAGGGGCGTTATTTTCTTTCTTTGAGGCGTTCATTGATATCGGGACTTACGGATGGGAGTTTGGGCGGAACAAGAGACGGCGATGAGAGCTACCCCAGGCAACCACGAGCATTTCTGGGGCAAAGCCGAGTTTAGTACTAGTACGTACTTGTTTTCATATTTTGAAATAGAAATTCAAGAAAGAATCAATGAATCAATCATCCTTTTTAAAGCTCATCCCCTTTGGTTCTTCACGTTAACAGTGCAAATATTCTAGGCTGATCCATACTCGCGAGACGCCTATTTTCCTTCCCTGCTCAATGAAATGAAGCAACAACAAAACATTTTGTGGACGCGCCGGATTCTTCTGTCGATGATCTAGAAGAGGTGCATGGCAGCCCCGACGGCCAGGACGAGGTACGCCCAAGAGCGGCCGCAGCCCTCCGCGGCGCCCGCAGAGACGATGGGCGGGATGTACGTCGGCATGGCCGTGGCGTTGATGGGCACCCCGGTCCCGTACGAAGTAAGATGACCACCGCCGGCGGCGCTACCGTACGTCGGGGGCAGCACGACCGTGGTGGTGCTGGTGACGGGCGGGCCGCCGGTGACGGTGACGGTCTCGGTGTGCGTGACGACGCCGTCGTCGGTCGCGGAGGAGTGCGGCAGGCCGAGGACGGAGGAGTCAAAGTCGACGCTGGTGGTGCTGCCGCGGGTGCGGGTGACGGTGGTGACGGTGACGAAGACGGTGTTGACGCTGGTGAAGGTGAGCGTGGTCAGGGGCTCGCCGGCCGTGTTGGTGATGACGGTGGTGACGGTGGCGGGCGAGCCGGAGACGGTGGCGTCGGGGGCGCCGCTGGTGAAGGAGGTGTCGGTGAGTACGTCGGTGACGGTGACGGGGGTGCCGGAGACGGTGACGTCGGGAGCGCCGCTGGTGAAGGAGGTGTCGGTCTGCACGTCGGTGACGGTGGCGGGGTCGCCGGTGACGGTCACGTCGACGGCGGCGGGAGTGCCGTAGGTTTCGGGAGCGTATGACGGCTCAGGGACGACGGTGACGGTCGTGGTGACGGTCTCGGTCTCGTCAGGGCTGGAGTCGCAGGTGCGCGTGGTCGCCCCGGGAGTAATGACGACGGTCGTGGTCAGGGTCGTGGTGGAGGTCCGCGTGGTGTTGGCCTCCATGCTGCGGACACCGCGGTAGGCAGTGTTGAGGCGCGTCTGGGTCCTGCAAGGTTTGGAGAGTTAGTACCATGGCGGTTGTTGGAAGGACTTGCGAGAGAGGTGTAGGACTTACAGGGTGGGAACGCTGGCGTTGGCGGGCAGGGAAGTCGCTCCGAGCTCATCCTCGCCGGTGGCGCGGGCGGCGGCACCGCCAGAGACGACGGAGCCGCTGCTGACGACGACGGGGCCGACAGGCGTGGAGTAGTCGTAGGGCTGGAGGCCGGGGATGGACTCGTCGGCGTTCTCACGACGGAGCACGGCGGGGAGCTGCTCCCGGAACTCGGCCGCGTCGACGATCACAGGAGCTTGATGACCAACAGCAAAGCCTGCGGATTTTCGTCAGCTTCGCTCCAGATCAAGCAAAAGGATTGGAAACGTACGGCAGCGGGAGGCGACGGCGACGCCGGCGATACCGACGAGGGCCAGGGCACCAAACGCGGTAGCCACTTTGATGGCGGTAGCCTTGCAGGAGGAGCGCGGCTGAGGCTGAGGCTGGTAAACGCCCTCGATGGGAGCCTTGTAGTCGTACATGTAGGAGGTTGCAAATGGAAAAGACACTGTCGATTGGGTCAGCACAAGGGGGAAGAGATAATGCCTTTCAAGATGCTCACTCGTAAGTGTTTGCGGGGACAGGACAGAACTGTTGACGCCTCGACGAGAGTTTGTAGAACAAAAGAGATGTGTTAAACACGGATGCAATGATGCCTTGTAGGTGTTTGATGCTGGAAACGAAGGTTGAAAATGATGCTGCGAGCAATCCAAAATTGCTGAACGAGTGTTGTGCGAAAACGAGCGTGATGGTGAAGGTGAGAGGAGGAGGAAGGGAAACGCGCACGAACTTGTGGGTTGACTTTTAAGTACGTTTCCTACGAACGCACAAGATCAGCTTTTAGTAAATCAAAATTAAACTCGTTCAAGGTGAGATGTAAACAAATGCAAACGGAGAGTGCTCTTATTGCGGCTGGCAGAGAGGCAGTAGTGCCGTTTTGACGCTCACTTTCCGCCATGAATAGGCAAGGTGGCGTGATTTTTTGGTCGATTGAACGTAGCTGGAGGTCCTGTGAAAATTTATGTGTACTTACTTGATTGATAACAATTGACGAGTACGCGAGGGCTTATTGTCCCTTGGAGGCTGGTGGTGAAGAGAAATGCGTGATGATCAGAGCTACCTATGTGTGCTGTTTTATATCCATCCTGACGCAACGTAGTGCTTGTATTGTGTGACTTTCTTCCATTTGCCGTCTAGATTGCAGGATTGCTGTGTGACAAGTTTGGAGTTGTCTCTCGAGGTACGAGAGACGGATTCCCTGATGTGAAGGGGCGCCGAGCCGTATTTTGTGCGCCACAGGGCAAACACCCTGATTTTTACCTTCGAAATACAAGCCAGGGTATCCATTTCAAAAATTAATGCTTAATGGAAATGGCAATAGAGGCCTTGGAATTCGATGCTTGTGAACGGAGTGGGAAGGCGTGGTGGGAATGTGAGTCTTATGGATGGAGTCTTGTCGATGGAAGCTACCAACCTTTGTGAACGGTGCGAGGCAGAATTAAGGTATGGTTTACAGAAGAACCATCAAACAAAACGGTTCTCTATATAAGCATAAATACATTTGGTGGAGAGCAGTGCGACGAACCGGATTGCTGCACTCGTGCTGGCCGTCGAGGTTCACGGCAGACGACGGGTCTCTGCGCAACACCTTTCGGGTTGAAAGTTGATCCGAGGAAGGGAACAGTTGGAATGATTGACTCTTCTTCTCCTGGCACAGTTGTAGTTGAGCTGTGGATGCGAGTTGGCTTTGCAGCGGTGACAGAGAAAGTTGATTGTCACGGTAAGTGAAGTGGCAGAAACTGTGAGGTAGAAACAAGAGAAACAAGAGAAGCAGGACTCCTCGGGGTGTCGGAAATATCTTGAAATTTCTAGTAAAAATCAAATAGCTCGCCTTCATTTTTCGCGTATTTTTAACTCACTCATGTTTATGACAATGCCCATGGCATCCTATCGTACCGTTTGTAGCAGTCGGCACCAATTTATGTAGTTAACTATTAAGGCGACGCGGTCAATAATTAGTTAGTACCAGTCAGACAAGGCATGATAGAAGAACCAGTCACCGGGCTCATACTATACTACAAATACCAAAACTATGCTGAAATCTGGACTTGTAGATGAATTCAACTTAAACACGTCTTTTCACTTATATTTTTTTTTTGAAGAATTCTCTATTTCTTATTCTAAATTTGCTACCCAAAGAGTCCAGCTCTTGCTACTCTTGTCGCCCGCGACCTGCAAAGTGTGGCGCGTCGCGTTGTTGGAACCACAGCCAAGCCCACTCGCACTAGCCCCAAACGCCTCTTCCATCAGCAAGCACTTTTATAGTTTACTACTTTCCCTTGCTTGCTCGCCTGAGCTTCTCGACAAAGCTGCTTGTTGCTGCTGCCCGCCCACCTCCTCCGCATACAATTATCACCAACACCAACGGCCGGAACCAATCGCGACGCCTGCCCACGCTGCCCGCCGCGCATTGGAACAGCTCGCAATTCGGTGACATCTTCTCCGTCTCTGTGCGATGCTGTCATTATACGCCCTTGTTTGAAACGCCAACCGCCATCACCAACTTCACCACTTGCCGCCCGCGACGCACCACTCACGCTCCCCCCTCTGCCAGCCAGACGCCCTCGTGCACGCGCAAAACCCTGACTTTCCCACGCGCTTTCGTCCGTAATTGCTCCTCCGCTCGACTCGGGCCTCGCGTTTTCGCAAACAGACGTTTTTTCCCACCTCCACCATGGCGCGCCGACGCGGTGGTCGGGCGCAGGAACCGGCCGAGGCCGAGCCCGTCGTCGAGGAGCCGCAGCCCGTCCAGGAGACGCCCGCCGACGAGGACATGGGCGACGCCGGTGACAACGACGAGCAAGAGCAGGAGCAACACAGCCTCGTGTTCAACGAGGAGCTCTCGTGGCGCCCGGCCAAACCCATACCCAGTGCCACCCTGCTGGCCCGCCTCGAGCGCCTGTCCAGGGAGCTTGCCGACTTTGACCAAGGCGCCGTCGAGCTCGACTCCCTCAAGACCGTCGCCGCCCACCTCGCCCACCGCAATCTCCTTCAGCACAAGGATCGCGGCGTCAAGGCCTACACGGCCTGCTGCCTCGTCGATCTCCTTCGCCTCTACGTCCCCGAGGCGCCCTTTACAGAGGAGCAGCTCAAGGTACGCGCCCAATTCCTCGCCAACCCTCGTCCCACCATTCTTGAAGCCCCCAGCTCGTCTCCTTGTGTCCAATGCATGCTGACTGAATCGCGCCCGACAGATGATGTTTACCTTGTTTGTCAAGGACATCTTGCCTGCTCTCCACGACCCGTCAAATCCCTACGACAGCCAGCACAAATACGTTCTCACGTCATTGACAGAAGTGAAGAGTATCTTGCTCATTTGCGATATCCACGGCGCCGATGATTTGCTTCTGCGACTCTTCAATTCCGCTTTCGACGGCGTCTCGACCAGCTCCAAAGCCTCGCCCGACGAGCAGGTTGCCAAGGACGTCGAGATTCACCTGACCGACATGCTCATGCACCTCATTGAAGAATCCCCCGGCAGCGTGCCGGCTAGTGTCATTGATGCCATCATCAGTCAGTTCCTCCGGGCTGCCCCCCCTGGCGGAAGCAAGTCCAAGGAGGCCAATGGCAAGCAAGCAACGCTCCTGCATAAGACGGAGCCTCCTGCGTACATCATGGCCAAGAACATTTGCAATGGCTGCGCCGACAAAATGTCGCGTTATGTTAGCCAATACTTTAGCGACGTCATTCTCAATGCCTCCGGGTTTGCCACGAAGAACGGATACGGACATGGCGACGACGACGACGACGAGGAAGACGCCAATGCAGGTCCCTCCGAGGCCGATCTGAAGAGCCTGCGCCAAGCCCACGCCTTGATCCGAGAGCTATGGCGAGCCGCTCCTACGATTCTGCAAAATGTCGTCCCGCAGCTGGATGCGGAGCTGTCCGCCGATAACGTCCATCTTCGCCACATCGCCACTGAGGCGTTTGGAGACATGATTTCAGGCATCGGTGCTGCCGGGCCCCCTCCGCCGCCTGCCCTCGATCCTGCCGCCTGGCCTCCTGTGCGGTTAATGGACGAGCCTGGCACTCCCGCCGAGGCCAACGTTCTCACAGCGCCATTCTCGCCTCAGTCCTTTGCTCAAACGCACCACGCCACGTACCGCAACTTTGTCGGCAGAAAGAACGACAAGTCTGGTACCATCCGTGCAGCCTGGGTCATCGCCGTTGGATACATCCTCTCGACTTCCGCAGGTGGTATCGGTCTAAGCAGAGAAGATGAAACCGAACTGGTCCGTGGGCTGATCGACAAGCTGAGTGACAACGAAGAGAAGGTTCGATTGGCCGCCGTCAAGGCCATCGAACTGTTCCAATTCAGAGATGTAATTCTCAAGCTCGGAGCTACCGGTGGTGTTGATAAGGAAGGTTCCCTCTTTGCGAGCCTGTCTGATCGATGCCGTGACCGAAAAGCCTCTGTTCGCGTGGACGCCATGGTCTTGCTCGGCAAGCTGTGGGCTGTTGGCGCCACAGACATCGAAGAGGGACAAGAGGCAGTGACTGCCTGTCTCGGTGGCGTGCCCTCCAGAATTATCAACTCGTTCTATGCCAACGACTCGGACCTCAACGTCTTACTTGATCGCGTCATGTTCGAGTGTTTGGTTCCGCTCAAGTTCCCCTTGGTCAAGGGAAAGTCTGGCAAAGGCGGCTCCAGCAAGAGTGCCATGAGCCAGGCAGAACAGGATAGCATTCGCGCCGAGAGAATTCTGCTTATGCTCAAGTCCCTAGATACACCAGCGCAAAAGGCCTTCTTCGCTATGCAGGCGCGCCAACCGCAGTTCGCAAAGGGCGTTGCCATCCTGATTCAGCAGTGCGAGGCTTATAATGGCGGTGTCATTGATTCCAATGATGAAAAGGTCAAGGCTACCCTGGCCAAGACGATCGATTGGATTGGCCGCTTCTTCCCCGACGCCCTCAAGGTCCGCGCAGATTTACAAAAGTTTGCCAAACTGAACGAGCGCCGGAGCTACCAACTTGTCAAGTATGCCATCGAATCTGAAAGTGATTTCAAGACGGTCCGGAGAGCCATCAGCGAGCTCATCACAAAACTTCAAGCTAGCAATGCCGCTGTTGCGCTCGATACCATTATCCCCCTCCTGTACCGATCAAGCTCTCTCATGTTCAACCGCAGTCATCTAGCAACGATTATGGATTGTTCCAAGAGCGACAAGGGGGGTCTTGCCGCTGTCGCCCACCTTGTTCTCAACGACATTTCCCAGCGCAACCCTGATTTGTTCAAGGCACACGCAGAGGAATTGCGCAAAGAAATCATCGAGCAGGCTCCCTCCGACAGCAAGACGAATGACCCCTCCGTGGTTGATATATTGAAGGCATACGCATCCTATGCCAAAAAGTACCCCAATGATGTCGCCCTGGACAGAAGCTTCATTCAAACCCTGACCAACTATGCCATGTATGGTACACCACCAAAGGCGGCCAAGTTTGCTATCAATATTATGCTCGCCAAGAATGATGACAAAAGTAAGGTGACGGCTACCAACCTTTTGCGCAAGACCATGCAAAATCTCGAGTACGGAAAGTCACACTTTTTGAACAAGCTCGCCACAATCAGCCAGTTGGAGCGATTAGCCCCCAGCGTCACGATGGACGAGGGTGATAAGATCCAAGATGTCACGATAAAGTCGATTCTTCGCCAAGTACACACTGATGCTAGACCTGGGGCCGACAAGTCATGGGTGGACGATGCTGATATGGATGAGGAGATCCAGGCCAAACTTTTGGCTCTGCGCATTCTCACCAACCAAGCCATTTCCAACGAGGATGAGGCCGACTCTGAAACGAGGGTCAAGACGGTGTTCAAATTGCTCAAGACATTCGTGGTCAGCGAAGGCGAATTCTGCAAGGTCAAGGATACTCCCCAACATCACAAGAAGAGGCTGCGGCTTCTCGCTGGTCTTTTGATGCTCAAGCTGTGCACAGTGAAGAAGTACGATGAGCAACTCGACCCCGTCACCTTCAACAAGCTCGCAGAGCTGGTACAAGACAGCGAGGTGCAAGTCCGTCACCGGTTCATGGAGAAGCTTCAGAGCTACCTGACTCACGGCAAGCTGCGGGCTCGCTTCCTCACTATGCTTTTCCTCGTTGCGTTTGAGCCTGCGCCCGAACTCAAGAGTCGAGTTGAGACTTGGCTACGTTCCAGGGCTTTGTACTACTCCGAGAACAAGAAAGAGGTAATGGAGTCCATCTTTGGACGACTCATCCCGCTACTGGCCCATCACCCTGATTACAGCGCTGGAGTGGACGACCTGGCAGACTTTGCCAACTACTTCCTCTTCTACCTGAATGCGGTAGCCACTGAGTCGAACTTGGGTCTCATCAGCAAGTACGCAGAGAGAACAAAGCAGACCCGTGACGCGATCAACGCGGACGCGAGCGAAAACCTCTATGTTCTCAGCGACTTGGCGCAAGCGATCATTCGCAAATTCCAGGAGAAGAGAAACTGGAGCTTCCGTGTATATCCTGGCAAGGTTGGGCTGGCTACGGGACTCTTTGCGCCGCTGCCTTCTAGTGAAGTCGCAGAGGAAATTGCAAAGAAGCAATACATTCCCGAGGCGCTAGATGAGAAGCTGGACAACCTCCTCCGATCTTTCGAGCGGAAAAAGAAGCGCAAGTCGATGCATGAGCCCGGTGAGCCATCAGCCAAGCGCTCAAGAACGCAAATCAAGACTGTTATTCGCGAAAAGGCGGCTCCGAAGCAGCACAAGGCCAAGAAAGCTAAGAAGGTCAAGGCGGCACGTCCGAAGAAGCAGCCCAGTTCTCTCGCTGCAGAACCGAGCGAGCGTCGCCGCAGCAGCCGCGTCACCAAGACCTCCGACTACAAGGAACGCGATGACAAGGACGACGAGGAGGAGATGCTAGACGGCGTCGCCGAGTGGAAGTATGGCGATGACTCCTCGGACGAGGAGAGCGGCGAGGAAGAGGTCGAGTCCGGCGAGGAAGAGTCGGGTGACGCCGAAGAAGAGGAGGCAGCCGGCGAGGAGGAGGAGGAGGAAGAGGAGTCGCCAGTCACGAAGAATGGACGGCGGTCGCAAGCGGTGAGGCCCGCGGTCAAAACAATTGCTTCAGCCGCAACTCGAAGGGGAGGCCGATCCAAGCGAGCCTCCCAGGGGAACGACATGGACACGGACGATTAAGCGACGTGGAGGGACGACGTTGAACGAAGGAAAAGAGTATTGGGACATTCTTTCTTGTCTATCATTTCTATCGGTTGCTTACGATTATCCTGATACCTTTTGGTTTTGGGCGACGCTGACTCGTCATTTTTTTTGGCCATCATCCGCGCTCCGGAGCGCGAAGAGACAGCGGGAGACCATCTCTGGATAAAAAGACTTTTTTTTGGCTTGGAAGCGAACATGGAACCCGTCTCGGTTGGAGAAAATCCTGTTTTCTTTTCTTTCTTGTTTGCCGATCAGGATTTCGGAGAGGTGTATAGTCTTTTTTTTTTGGAGAAAGAGGGGATGGGAAGATTCTTTGATGGCTGTTTTCTGTGTCATTTACGGAGTAAGACGCTTTTTGTCTCTTTTTTGTCTTGTTTGCCGTTTTCGTTGTTGGACGACAAAAAATTCGCTGCAATCCCCCCTTCATTTCGTTGTTTGCTGGATTTTTCGTCGGCGGTCATTGTTAGGTTATTATCTGTATGCCTGTCAGCGAGTAATACACATACATGACTGATTACCCAGACACTGTCATTATGGAAAACGCAATATGGTGATAACAAGCCCTCATAAGCGGCTGCTTCATCACGAAAGGCTGGGTGAGAATTATGCCAACGTGGTAAAAACGTGGTTGGTGTGTGTGTATCTGTGTATTTGTGTATTTGTGTATTTGTGCTGTACAGCGGTCCCTCTGTCCGATTTTGCATAACCTATAAAATAAAAACGAAGAAAAAAGGAAGACTCCAAAAAAAAAAACAAGGACAGCGGAGGAGAAATCAGGCAGAAGGGACGGAATATTCAACATTTTGAACAAAAACGCAACACCTGAAAACCAAGAAAAAACAAGGATCCCCCTTCTCCCATCATTCCAATAACAATAAGTAAAGCCCGCCGCCAAAGGACAATAAAAAACACAGCCAAACGGTCCGGTCCCATCTCTCCCTCGCTCGTCCCCCTGAGTTTGAGCCAGCCAGCGTGTATAAATACAGACGCATAATGAAACGCCGACTGATTTTGCCCTTCTTTAAAAAAAAATAGAGAGAGAGAGAGAAAAAATCGAGGTCTCTCCATCCACCATGGACGTCAGTCCAAGTCCCAAAACGATTTCAAAGAAATGGAGCGAAAGGGTGTAGTTGGGAAAGGGGCAGACTCTGATGGACAACACCCAAAGCAATACATCCATGCTCTTCCCTTTCAGATTTGCCCCTTCTTCTTTGACTTCCCGGTCTATACAAACATCTCGTCCTCCTTCTCTCTCCTTTTTCATCTTCGGCAACGTTAAATATCGCTCTCATCCCTCCCTTCAAAAAGTACCGCTACTCGTCTTCCTCTATTGAAGATTCGCTCGACCCGGCTTCCTCCTATGTAGAACCGATCGACCCAGCTTCCTCCTCTGTAGAAGCGTTCGGCCCAGCTTCCTCCTATGTAGAAGTGGTCGACCCGCTACGACCCTCGGCCTGCATGCGGCTGCGCACCGCCTCGCGGTGGCCTGAGAAGCGCAGGTGAGTCTCGAACTTTTGCGCCGTCATGTCCGGGCCCGGCGTGTAGAGCTTCGCCGTGCAGTCGAGGCAGCGGATACGCGGCAGCCATGCGTACTTGACGCCATCGGGCAGCGGGTGTATCTGCACGGGCAGCTCGGTGACGGGGTCGAGGTACGAGTACTTCATGATGGCCTCGAAGCGGTCGCCATCGGGATACTTCTTCTCGAGGCCCTTGAGAGCCTGGACGAGCCACTCGGGAGGATTGGGCTGCGAGAGAGGCTTGTTAGCAGGCCAGACGTAGGAGGCGTAGGATTCAAGGACAGTGTTGGCTTACCGGAGTATGTTGTTGGCCTGGTACGGGCGGCGGCGCTGGCAGGCGACCAATCTGGCCAGGAGGAAACTTTCCAACCACGTGAGGAATGGGCACCGGTGTGGTGCTGATACCACGCGACGGGGTGGAGGTCGGGATGGCCTTTGCGGGCACCTTGGGTGTGGTTCCCTGTGACGGCGTCGGGGGCTGGGACGGCGGCGTCTGGGCGAAGCGATACTCGCCGCGGAGCAGCCGGCGGAACTTATCCTTATTAACCTTGAGCGTAACGACGAGGCGAGGGATGTCTTCGGTCTCCTCGCGGAAACGGCGCGAGGCGCGTCCCTCGTGGTGCTGCTGTTGCAGGGCGACGGCGTCGGGCGTCTCGGAGCGTCCGAGATTGGACATGCGGTGCTGGGCGGCCGACGCAGCGCCGCGCATGCCGCGCGTCCTGGCAGTGCCGGCAATCTGCGACGGCGGCGCCGGCGATTCGGGCGCCGAGTCCTCGCTCTCCTCCGACTCGGAGATGTCGCCGCCCTCACGCGTCGGCCGCTTGCGGCTCCCGGCAGCGGCGCGCTTGAGCAGGCCCGACTCCTCGAGGTTCCCGGCGGCGCCCGGCAGCACCGACGAGACGACGAGGGTGCGGATGGTGCGCTGCCGCTCGCGCAGGTCGGGAAGCTGGGGCCCTCCACGCCGATTGATCGAGCGCTTCTGGCGCCGCTGCTCGCGGGAGAAGATGGTTTCGTTGCGGTCTAGGTCGGCATCGCTCATCTCGTACATGTAGGGTGCGTACTCCTTGGCCTGCTGCTGTGGCCGGAAGACGGCGGGCACGGGCGTCTGCAGGAACGCAGACACGAGGTCCGAGTCCTCGATCGGGCGGCCGTCGAAAGGGTGGCCGACGCTGTAGAGGCTCTTTGTGAATAGTTGCGACTGTTCGCGGATGCAGTGCGCAATGGCTGTGGTGAACTCGCCGGAGAGGGAGAGGTCGCGCGCCATGTTGGCAGCAAACTCTTCGGGCGAGTTGGAGGGGTTGTTGAGCTCCCACTCGAATTGATCGACGAGGGTGTGCTGTCCAATGGTGATGTTGAGCTTGACCAGTATTCTCATTTCGTCGTTTTTATATGCAGAGTAGGGCAACTCGGGGTCGAGCGCGTCTTCTTCGGAGAAGACAAAGGGGTAAAAGTCGTTGAGCTGTTCGCGCATCTGGCCAACAATCTGGTCAAACACGGGCTGGGTGGCAGGAGGCTTCAAGCCGATGTCTTCGACGAGCTGGGCGGCGAAGAGCTCGACGGGGAGTAGGCGATCGTGGAGGTTCCATGTAAAGGTGTCGCGCAACTTGTATTTGTCCCACTCGACTTCAATGCGGACAGGAACAAGCTCCTCGTGGAGTTCTGCCTGCTTGAGCATGTCTTTGCGTGGGTATTTAAGGGGAGGCGTCGCCCGGCGACCGGGTCGAATCTTTTGGCTGGGATAGAGGATGCGGGCCGGGGCGTGGATCTCGGTGAAGCCGTTGGCATAGCCCATGTAGCCCTCGCCGTATAACCTGCTGGGGGTGAATACGGGCTGGTAGTCTGTTCGAATGTGGCGGTACTCGTTAATCTTTTGTCGCTGGTAGCTCGTGGATATGCGCGTGTGGTTGAGCTGGTCCGACAGGGCGGCGGCGGCGATGGCGTCGCGGGACGTGTAGCGCTCCACCATGAGCTTAGTGAAGGAGTCCTTTGTGCGGTCAATGGGGGCGGGAGATGGCGCGGGGGAGTTTTCGGCAGAGGCCTTGGGGTTGCTGCTGCTGTCGGAGGAGGCATTGGCGGCGGCGGGCGTCGCGGCGGCCGAGGCCGACGACGCGGAGGGTTGGGTGGCCGCCATTTTTTTTGTCACGACGCACCAGGCGAGCGCGCGCGCAACACCAGGGTTAAGGCGACAAAGTTGCGACGGCGCGCGGCAGGGGGACGGCGGGAGACGACGGCGGCGCGCAGTGATACGATGGCGATTGATGAAGCTGGGTATTTGGGGAGCGGGAGGGTGAGACGCGGCTCGTGGGCGATGGGCGCGACAACGGCTGGTCGTAAACGGGCGTGGTTGCGGAAGGCTCCAGGGCGTCTTGCGTCTTTGCCGCGAACAAACGACACAGGAGGCCAGTGGTGTGGCGCAGGTGGCGCTGTGGCAGTTTGCGGCTGAGAGTAGCTTGTACATATACGCAGGGGCACTTGGAGGGTTGGTGGTTTCCCAGGTACAGATACGCGTTAGTCAAGTCGTGCCCTGTCTTATTACCGAAGATGTGCCGGGCTGGATACTTTGTAGATGCGGGCTTGTGAAGATGCGTGTTGGTAGTTGTGGCTGTAGCTGGGTATCAGTTGACAGATGGAAGGTCTGCTGAGATTTATTGTGTGTGTGACATTAGGCTACAATAAATGGTGTGCTGAGTTGGCTGTTTGCTTGTATGATTTATGTATGTACCCATGGGGTGGGAGGCTCCAAATTACACGCGACAGCAACCCGGTACGTGGAACAATGGCGTCTATTATTATGAACGCAGAAGACAGAATGTCAACAAACAAGATACTCCGTGGCCCAGAACTGCGAAAGCGGCATTGTAAATATACCATGAATGGAAAACGACAGAAAATTTTGACTAAACTGGGTAGATGCTGCGTTGAAGCGATGTGTGATTTTCACACGGCGGTATAGGGTAGTCCAAATCGCGGCGCGACCGCTTCTCACACAATCTCCTAGCTATGATTCAATAGCGAGTTGGTAGTAACGGGACTGGTAAATTGGGCAAGGGTGTAAGCCTGGGGAATGAAAAGAGAAGATTGGAGATTGGAATAACAAGATCAGCACCATGAAGTTATCCTTACAGCCACAGGCATCATTCATAAAATAGTGTACGCTTTATCCACCTCCACTATGAACAAATGAGGACTTGTGCAGAGCCCCTGCATTTGTACTTAATTATGCAAGCCAAGTACAAAGGTCTGGGGGCAACAGCCCCTCTAACCCGCATCAGCTGCTGCACCAAAGAAAGCCCTCTTGTCTGCTGTCAGCAAAAAGGTTAGGTAGACCAGGCCTGTCCTGAAGCGTCTGGCCCCTCTTTCCTGGCGGGAGCAGCCCATTTGCAACCAAAATTTTGGTGCGAAGCTTCGCCCTCGTGTGTCTCCATTTTACCTGCAGTACCAAGTCATTGTTTTTTCACCAAGCTCGAGCTTGCTGCTTCCTTTCCCACTGCTACACCAAAACACCCATAAGAAGATCCCATCCAGCAAGTTGCCCATCATGTCCGAAGAGAAGGAGATCGGTACGTCACTGCATTAATACAAGTCTTTGCCTTCCCTGGTCCAAACCAGGCCGCCCAACCGCTGAAAATGCTGGCCTGCGCTGCCCCTCCCTCGTCCCTCCTTGTGTGCTGGTGGTGGCCTGAGATTACCCCGCCATAGTGTATCGCCGCCGATGGGAGCTTGTCCAACCGCTGCCCAAGACAGCACCAAAAGCGCGCACACGACCTGCTTCAATTACACCCTGCGTCCCATACACAAGCTGACTCGGACTCCAGATTACACCCTCAACAACCCCGATACTCTGACCAAGTACAAGACGGCCGGTCAGATCTCCGAAAAGGTCCTCGCCGAGGTCGCTAAGCTCTGCGTCCCTGGCGCAAAGATTGTTGAGGTCTGCCAGAAGGGTGACAAGCTCATCGAGGAGGAGGTTGCCAAGGTCTACCGAGGAAAGAAGATCACCAAGGGTACGAACGTGACTGACGGCTGCGCAAGCACGCCTGCTCTGCTCCATCGCTGACAATATTTGAATATAGGTTTCTCCAACCCCACCACCATCTCTCCCACTTCCTATGTCACCCCCTACACTCCTCTTACCTCGGACGAGACTGAGGCTGCCACCGAGATTAAGGCCGATGAGCCCATCAAGATCCAGCTCGGTGCTCAGATCGATGGCTTCGGCACCATTGTCTGCGACACCGTAATCGCCGGCAAGGGTGGTGAGACCATCACCGGCCGTCCCGCCGACCTGCTTCTTGCCAACTACTACGCCAACGAGCTTCTTCTCCGCCTGATGGTCCCTCCCGGCCTCCTGGCCCAGGGTACTGACGAGGAAAAGGCTAAGGCTGCCGCCAAGAAGGCCCCTACCCAGAGCCAGATCACGTCCCTACTGGAGAAGGTCTGCGAAGCTTACGAGTGCCACCTCGTCGAGAGCACTACCTCTTGGCTCTTTGACCGCAACGAGATTGAGGGCACCAAGAAGATTGTCCTGGCCCCCACAGAAGGTGCCAAGGGCGATGGCGTACCCGAGGTTGGTGAGGTTTGGGGTGTCGAGATGGGCGTCAGTCTGGGCTCGGGCAAGTGCAAGACTCTGGATGGACGTGCCACGCTCCACCGCCGCACCACCAACACGTACGGTCTGAAGCGCCCTACTTCGCGCAAGATCCTCTCTGAGGTGCAGAAGAAGTTTGGCACCTTCCCGTTCAGCTTGAGACAGCTCGAAGACGAGCGCGACGCCAAGTCTGGTGTCGTCGAGTGCGTTCGCGGCAACGTGTTCCGCCAGTACGAGATTGTCGGTGACAAGGATGGCTCCCCCGTCGCCAGACTGTTGACCACGGTCGGTAAGTAGTTATCGCACAAGTAGCATGTGATGCGGAGGGAGAGAAGCGCAGAGCTAACACGACTATGCAGCCATCACCAAGAACGGCCTTACCAAGCTTGGTGGCCCTCCTGCGCTGGACCTCAGCAAGGTGCAGTCTGACAAGAAGATCACGGACACAGAGATTCTCAAGATTCTTGAGCAGCCGCTGGCACGCAACACGGGCAAGAAGAAGAGCAAGTCTAAGAAGAAGAAGACTGCTAAGAAGGCCGAGTCGGATGATGAGGACTCTGACAGCGAGTAAGGCTGAGGGCAGTGTCAAATACTTGCATAATCTCATCCAACTGTTGATTTAAATCTTGAATGTGAGTGTATATGTGTGCTGGGTGGCGGAATAGTTTTCCAGAGCAGACGTTTGCGTTATTTTGTCAGCAGTCGCTGCGTGCGGAGCGGTCCAGAAGTGGACGTCATTGCTGCGCGTGAGGTTACGCATGCAATGGAAGCGATCTGGGAGAGCCGGAAGGCTTCGTCTGCCAGTCTTGAAAAGACTAGACGAGCGCATCTCGGCGTTGTCTTGCGCATACATAGAAAGATGAAAATACATTCAAGTTGGATGGGCTAAGCAACAGAAGACGAGCAGAGAACTGTTACCTGGCATCTGGCATCGTGCATCTGATCGGTAAGGGGGTGGTGGTGAGGTGTGTTTGTTCGTGGTGTGCCCATTACCCCTGAGGACTGTGACGTGTAATTAGAGTCGGTCAAGTGCCGCGTGTTGAGTGAGACGGGCGTGAGTGGCAAATGTGCTGCGCGATATTCCGGGCACTCGATGCCAGCAATGCAGGCACTCAGTCATTCCTCGTGTCTGGTCCGTCGAGACAGATCCGGATGGCAGGCAACAGAGCAGAGCGATGGCGGGTCTGAAGCAGCACCGAAGCCTATATAGGCAGACGATAATTTCGCCTCTGCCTGGCGAGTTTGCGATAGAGTTGCAGAGTGGTGGTTTGTCGGGAGGTCGCGGTAGGGGACAAGACTAGGTCAACTGAGCCCATGTGGTGGTCGCGTAGGACGGAGAGGATCATGCGTATGCAAGAGGATGGAGTTTATGGAAAAGCAGCGGGAAAGCAAAGGCACGAAGCGGCAAGGGCATTAATATCAAGCACGGCAATGGCAAGGTGATGGGATGGGGAGAGACAGACAGAACTTGTCGACGGGCCCCCCTTGCGCCAGGAGAAGGTGGATGTTTGCATTATCGTGGCTTTGCACTGCAGATATTGGGACATTCAATATGTTGCGTGTAGGACGGAGAGTGATGAGTTGTGCATTGATCAAGAGGATGGAGGATATTTATTTGTCTGACGAGGGGGGGACAAATATAATCATTCACGCCTATTGTCCATGGATGAATAGGAGCAGAGTACATGCCGGGTCTGCCATGCCAAGTGAGGCGATGCGGGCCTGGGGGCTGGGAATACCTGGGCAGAAGGTTACCACAGCAGCCTATGTATGTACATACTGTAGGTAGCGACCCGGTAGTGGATGCAGCAGCCCACTGTTCAGGCGGAACCAGCGCTGTAAATTGAAAAATTGGGCACTGCTGGAGGAGCCTTGGGTCACGATTTTGGGCTGGGGTTCTGGAGTTGTAGGCGTCTGTCAGGTGGTCTGGTGGGCGTCGCTTGGGGGCTGTCCAGCGGCGCCGCCAGCGTAAGGCCGGGCAGATTTAGGTCAGGCAGGTACCTCGTCTCATTAAATTGTAGGTCTCGCAACACGAATGGAGCCAGTGCATCCGGCAAGCAAGCAAGCCAGCCAGCGAGCCAGCCCATCCGACCACTCTCCTTGCCTGGCCCGGTCGCGCGTTGCCACCCCTTCCGACTCAGCCAAATCCTCTCTGCCTTCTTTCTTCCCGCCCATTCAAAAGGGTTCCCTTGCAAAACGCAAAACCGCGTCAAAACATCTCGCAAAGCGCGACCTGACCCCGTGCACTCATGCCGTAAACTCACACACTGGTACGTCACGTTGTATTTTTTTTTGAATCCTTTGACTAACCTTTTTGTCCAGCTCATCATCTTCTCTCACCTGGTATAAGGTGAAAGACGAGTGTGTGTGTTCGCGCTTTCGCTCCCACAGACACCACGGCGCAAACAGGAGCAGGTCGCGACCCGCGCGCGTCCGTTGTTGAGAGCACGGAAGTCGCCTGAGTGAAATTTTGGAGACGGGTGAGTCGGGCAGACGTGAGCACGAAAAAAAAAATGTCGTCGAGCACGAGAACCACGCGCTCGCGCTTCTCCAGCCCGGCGCATCAGGGAGGAGCCGTCCGCTCGTCGCTCGAGGCGGCCTCGCGGCCAGCGCCTGCCTTTGATGGCTCGCGGTCCTTCATGCAGCGGTGGCTGGAGCCGTCGGTGCAGTCCAAGGCCAGCTACGAGGAGGCCGGGCTGATGCGCGTCGGCGTGCTGGAGGGCATGGCGCCACTCGGAGTCCCGCCGAAGCCCAAGAGGCCAGAGAACGGCAACGGCGGCGGCAGCAGCCACGGCGTGCGCAGGGTGATTCTCAGGACGGGAGGCCTGAACAGGGACAAGAGCGGCGCAGGCAGCGGCGCGGAGAGCCTGGCGGCGGCTGCGCTGTCCTCTTCCTCGTCGGTGTCGGGCAACGTGGTGGTGGGCAGAAAACGCGCGGCTTCGCCGGAAGTGCGCCCGACGGCCGCGTCGTCGCGCCGGTCGCTGCCTGCCAAGGGACTGGCCAAGAAAAACGTTGAAGACGACGAAGAGTATAATCCCGGTGGAAGCCGGCGCAAGAAGTCCGCGAGACGGTCGCAGGCAGCGGCCGTGGCTCTGCCCAAGACTCAGGAGACGCAGGGCGCCGCCGACGGGGACCAGGCGGCCCCAGCGCTCTCACCAGGTAAGCAAGAACCCATGAAACCCGCCCCCCTCCAACCGTGAGAGGCATGTCTCACGAGCGGGAGCGAATGGAAAAAATTCCTCGGCATTCACGGCACTCGTTTCTTTTGCCCTCGGGACCAAATTTATTAACGCGGCAGATGAAAGCAGGCCTAAAACACTATCCTACGGCATGGGCTCTCAGGACTCTGTATGATGAAAAGTCCCAAGATCCCGAGTTTGACTCGATGGTGACGGACGTTCTGCAGCAAACCGCAGACGATGACACGCTTGATGAGTTTTCCAAGCACATTGGGGGCAAGAAGGGGCGCGTGAACCGGACAGACGGCGGTGACGGCGAGGACAGCGGCGACTGCTACTACTTTGCGCCGCCCTCGACAGCGACCGCCAGTCGCCAGCTTCAGGCGCAAAAAGTGGTGAGGAAGCCGACGGATGCGCAGTACGGCGAGCTGGTTGGGGACAGTGAGGATGAGGAGGAGCTGGAGGAGCCCGAGGAGTTGCAGTCCCCGGCGGCCTCGGGATGGGGCCCCGGCGGCGAAGGGAAAGGCGAGATGGCTACGACTATGACGGGGGATGGCGAGAGAAGGGCTGCGAAAAAGGCCAAGACATGGCACTCGTCCTCGTCTGCGCAGCCAAGGGTCAACGGCACCACGGAGGAAAACGATGGGGCGGCCACCACGGCAACGGAGGGAGGCTCAGGGGATCCCACGCCACCGCGCAAACGCCGACGGCGCAACTCGGGATCGAGCGAGTCGTCGCTATCGTCGGCGATGACGCTGCCGTCACCTGAGATGCGCAGCAAAGTTGCGGCAGCCAGTATTGGTGTGACTGGTGAAGGCGTGGGTGGTGGTGGAAGTGGAAGTGGAAGTGGCAGTAATGGTAGGGGGGGGGCCACTCCTGGAACGGAAACTGGAACCACGACTGGAGCCAGCAAAAGCACCAGCAACGGCACCAACCAGAACAGCACCACCACCACCACCACCACCACCAGCACAACCAAGCCCCCCCAAACAAGCCAAAAGCGCAGCAAAACCAACCAAGCTCAAACCAAGCTCATCATCACCACCACCACATCCTCATCCTCATCCACCAACCGTCACGCCCAAAGCTCATCACGACCAATCATCGCCCCCCCGGCAAGGACTCCTGCCGACTTTACCCTCCGACCTCCCCCCCAGTCCAACCCCATCATCATTACTTCATCACAGCCAAGTTCGCCTCCCACATCACCTACCGCACACGGCTACTCATCCAGGACGCGCAAGGCTGGCATGCCCGGTCGGCTGGCCGCCCTGTCGGATCCGCCGTCTCACCCGCCGCAGCCCAAGGCGAGGGCCACCAGGTCGAGGGCAGCAGCGGCACCCGCACAGTCTGATGCAGCGGCCATGCAGCACAACGCCGACGCCGTCCAGCGCGAGGGGGCGGACGATGAGGATCGCGCCGCCAACGACGCCGTCTGGGAAAGGCTTCGCGAGGCGCGAAACGTCACAAACAGCTACAAGGTCGTCGAGAGCGCCGTCCGCGGCCCCCAGCAGCCGCCGACGCGCGCCACCACGCCCGTCGGCAGGACCAGGAAGTCTTCTCGTCGCTCCCTCGCCGCCAGCAGCAGCAACCTGCCGCCGCCCACCACCCGCACCACGCGATCCGCGTCTAAGCGTCCAAGCGACCAGCTTGATGAGACGGTGTCGCCGATTCCATTTTCCTTGACGGCCGGCGACGACAGCTCCACGGTGGGAGGCGGATCGCGTGCCGTCACGCCAACCGGCCAGCGACAGTCCAAGCGACCCAAGGGACTGCGCGTCAAGTCCTCGTAAGTTTTGCCCAAGATTCATTGCTATTGCTCAGCACAACACTACACGGTCATTTGAATGGGAGCGCCGCGTTGGATTCGCATCACTTCATTTCGTTGACTGGACGCGAAATATTTACCCCTGGCCCCCGCATGCCCAGTGGCGATGCGCCCATTTATTTCACCATCAAACTCTTTACTCTCTCATCGAATCTATGGCTAACGGTTTCCCAAACAGGCCTGTGAAAAAGAGCGGCGGGCCCGCGGGAGGACTTCCGAGATTGGCGAGTGAAGGCCAGTCTTCATTCCGAGCTGGCACGCCCAAGGACCCGGTACGTATTATGCACAACGTGTCTTCTCCCCCCCCCCGGTTGCAGACGGCAAGCAGAAAATGAAAAAAAGATGAAGAAAGGAGCGGGCCAATCCTTCCGTTCAAGATGATGTGCGGGACTGCCCATATATCGCGCACTGATTAAGAGGCGGATTGTGCAGACAAGGATGGCAAGGATGGATGGATGGCTCGCGTTGCTTGCTAGTGGCTTGATTGCTTCTACGCGTCACTCTGGCTGCTGCTGCTGCTGTGGTCGCGGCAGGGTCCAGCCCATCTTTGCGCATCCCAAGCAAAACCCGCGGTCGCCGCCTTGAAAATTGCCCAAATCCGAATAAATCCATACTAATATTCTCCCGACCTAGGCGACGGACAATGATGAGTTCTGCTCAGCCTGTGGCAACGCCGGCGACGTCCTCTGCTGCGACGGCTGTCCCAGATCGTTCCACTTTGAGTGCGTCAACCTTGCTCAGGACGAGGACCTGCCCGATGATTGGTACTGCAACGAGTGCATCGTGCGCCGGTTCCCTTCGCGCGTCCCCATTCACAAGGGAGCCTTTGCCTCGGCCCTGAACAACCTGGAGAAGAGCATACCCCGTGCCTTTAGCCTACCCAAGCGCATCCAAAATCGCTTTGAGGGTGTCAAGGCTGGTCCTGATGGCGATTACGAAGAGATTGCCGGCAAACCCGCCAAGTAAGTCTGACTCGCCCTGTCCCGTCCCGTCCTGCGTGCCCAAGCAAGCAAGGGTTTCATCTGGAGCCCTTGCGCTGCAACCCAACCTGCCAGCTGAGTATGCGTGCATCGCCCGACTAACTAACGCCACCTCCCATCAGGAAGCGGACGGGCTACGATGAGATGCCCGATCTATTCAAGCAGCGGGATGACAACCAGCCGGTACTCTGCCACGCCTGCCAAAAAGCATCCGACGACACCAGGGCCATCATTCCCTGCAGCCTGTGCCCGTATTATTGGCACCTCGACTGTCTGGACCCTCCCTTGGCCGTGCCCCCAGTTCTCAAGACGTGGCGGTGTCCAGCTCACATGGACGATGTCCTGGCCGATGCGCCGCGCCTCGCGCCAGCCCACAAGTTCCGCAAGGTCAAGAATGCCCAGCCCATCACACCCATCTTTAGCAGGGGCAATAAAAACAATGGCCACATTGAGATTGACTGGAGCGACGAGCCGGAGCCGCTCAAGGACGCGGGCTGGCCCGATCCTCTATCCTTTGGCCGCACATACAAGGTGTCCTCCAAGGGTATCATTCTTGACTTTATCGAGCAGTACGTGTCCCCGCCCCCCCAAACCCCACTACCGCACACGGCACATCGTAAGCTAACTCAGTACCTGCAGACTTCGGAAACAAGGCGCAGGCTACGGCGCGCGTCAAGATGAGCAGAAATGGGTGCCTTACCCGTCGCCCGCGCCGCAGGAGGGCGGTGACTCCGGCCCACTTCTCGGCTCGGCCATGGGCCGTCGCGTCGACGAGATGCAGGCGTCGCTCAACCTTATTGGTCTCCGGCAGGAGCGGCCGCCCTCGGACGGAGTCGGCCAGCTGACGTCGGCGCTGCTCTCGGCCGCCGACGACAACATGCTCAACCTCATGGCGCGCGGAAGCGCCGACAACATGGCCCTGGCCCTCGGCGGCAGCGGCGGCCGTGGTACTCAGCAGTTGACGGACGGCGACCGTCTCGGCCTTCGCGCCATGCTCGCCCAGATGGACGCGATGAGCAGCCGCATCCGCGAGGTCCTCGGTGGCGACCCCGATGTCAAGCCGCAGCAACAGCACGTGTCTAGCATGCCCACGCCGGATCCTACCGCCGCCACTACGCCGCCGCCGCGCCATCTAGACGATGACGACGTCGTTCCGAGCAGTAGCCCGATTGCGCCCAAGAAGGAGGAGGACTCCGTCGCGAACATGGCCGCACTTTCGGAGCCGACGCCGCCGCTGACGATTGAGAATGCCGACGGCGTCATGGATCTCGACTAGACGGCCTGCTCACCAACGTTTTTCATATCCTCCTTCTCAGGCGTTTTTCTTTGCGAGAGGACAACTCGCTGACTGGTGTGTTTTCTATTCTTCCTCCAAACCTGTTTGTATCACCGAGCGAGACACATGTTCGAATTATTTTTTCCCACTTGTATTCTTTTCCCCTTTCCTCATGGTCCAGCACCGCCCCCATCAAAGGAAGAGACTGTGTTTTATTCCCTGTTGTGTGCGTGTGGCCGCGCAGCATATTGTCTTTTTTTGTACCTTGCAGTGTGCTTCTTACTCTCTCTCCCTGTGCTTTTTATATCCAGGTTACTATGTGCCTCTTTCTTCTTTTTTATTTAATTTTTTCTTGGTCATACGAGGGAGGAAGAAAGAGGGGCGGGGGAACAAAAATTAAGCGGCGTTCTTTTTCTTCATTACTTGTTAGTTAGAAGAAAGCAAAGAATCACAAGATTCACAAATTTCAAACCCTCATGCACATCCCTTCTTTTGCTGATGATCAAAGACGTGACATGTTTCCGTAGAACTGGCCACCCCCTCCCCCCACTCGACAGAGCCGCCTTTGATGCTTCCAGACGTGCAGAGTAGCAAACTCGGGCGCCGGCGTTTTACAGTTGTGTAGATTCTTGGGATCAACTCACATCTTTTCCAAAGTAAATCTATCTTGAACCTCTTGTTTTGCTGCCAACTACATTGTAATGTACAACGACCTGCTCCTCCCACGCGTCCCTCTCTCTCCACCGTTGCTTTCCTCGTCTATGCACCCCCAGCAAAGACACGACAGCCCTTGGTTCTCGTCAAAGTTTCGGCGCACCCATTCGTCATCCCACACACATACACACGAGGTCTTCTTTTTCTTCTTCTTCTTATTTCCGAACGATGAAGCCCTGAAAGCAAGTTGGACAAAAGTGTTTTTGCTTCTGAAAATTTCCCATTTGTTTTTAAACAATACCAATATAAAGAAAAAGGAATAAGAAAAAGCAATCCATACAAAAAACAACAAGTTGAAGAATAACAATGTGAGAAAATAGAGGATGGAACTCGAGTAATTTCCTCGACAGGTCCCCCCAACTTCTACCTAAGGTGTGGTAAAACAAGGGTGAAGCAAGTATGCCACAACACAGGCTGATACCAAGTATCAGCCCGAGAATCAAGAAACAAGAACATCCTTTCTCTGTAGCCTGCACCTTCATCAACATGCTGCCGCGTCTTTCTTTCTTTGCTCTCTTTATCTGCTGAAATTGTGCAATGCAAATGAATGGCCCGCACTCTAGGGGCTTTGCTGAACTTGAAATCGAAAAAAAGATTCGAATGTGCGGGTGGATGGTAGGCGTTCAATCGTGTAGATATAAAAGCGATCAAGGCAGAAAGAGAAAAAGGCAAAAGTGTCAAGTCAGAAAACCAGGGGAGCACCATTGTGACGCTCCAGACCTGCAAACAGCTGACATGGTGCCGAGAGCCTGCCCTGCGCACCATCACGGAGCCGCGCCTGCCTTGACAAGAAAAGCCAGTCATTGCCGAGTGGACAAGAACACAAGAAAACAAAAACACATATATACAAACTCCCAAAACTCCGTCATGGCCGGTGGGGCGCGGCTATGGCATGCGTTGATCATCATGGGCAAAAGACAGGTTGAGGATTGCGAACCCTCCACCAGACGATTTGTATCCGGTAGCTCTCGTCTACTAACGCTGCGCCTTGTTAGTACTGCATTTCCTCCTGATCGCGTTATCAAGACTTACTCTTCCACGTCTACCATTCGGCTGGTCTTGCTGTACATAACCCATACCCTGGGCACCGCCAGGCATGCCTGGATATCCGTAGCCACCCACGGGCATGCCAAACCCGGGAGGGGCATACTGACCCTGGCCGCCCTGCATCTGCATGGGGTTGGGCTGTACCATGTTTTGTTGACGGAACTGGTCAGTCCCAGGCTGACCCATGGCAAACCCGCCATACGGTGCCTGCATTGGCCCATAGTTGTAGGCCGCCTGAGGGCCGCCTCTCGCCATCATGCCCTGTTGGTATTGCATGGGAGGCATGCCCATACCCGGAGCCATAGCCCCGTTGGGGGGGCTGTACATCATGTTCTGGTTGTACTGCTGGAAAGGCATCATGTTGGGGTCTCCGCCATCGGCCCTGTGACCATTGTAGCCATTGTCGAACCCAGGGTTCTGGGCAGCAGCGTTGCCGTTGTAGTATGGTTTTCCAGCGTGCTGCTGCTGCTGCTGCTGCTGCTGTGATTGCTGGTTGCCGCCGCCGTTGGCGTGTCTGGACGTCGGTCGGCGCTGTTCAGCAGGAGCAGAGGTTTCGCGACTGGGAGTGCCGCTAGTGCGGGTTGAGAGGCCAACTTCGTCCATCAGCCGCTTGTAGCCTTGATTTGGCTGAGCGCCAATATTAAGCAGGACATTCTTGACTGCCTCAACCACCCGCGAGCGGATCGTCTCATCGAAAAACGGCGTCGTCAGCACCTTGAAGATCAGGGTAGCTCCACAAGCCTGATCATTGAGGATGGCCTCGAGAACAGGGTTGTTGAAAAACAGAGCATGCAGGATCGTGTCGCGGGCATCTGGTTCAGCCTTTTGGTTGATAACCTTGAGCACGGTCAGGTATGCGACCTTGTGAGTGCATAGGTGGACAAGGTGAGGGACAAGACGTGGTGCCAGCACGGTACGGCGCAGAGGGAAAGTGCACGTGTCGAGGAACCAGGTGAGGAGAAGGGCACCGTTGGCATTGGTGGCCAGCTGCACACTATGCAGAGCAATGGCGGCGGCAAGCATCCTCTGCTGCTCCTTGGTAGAATGATGGCTCTCCAAGCAAGCGCGCATAGCACGAGCACCGTAGCGTCCCTGGGAAATCTCCCACATGCGGCTGAGCATCGTCTCAAAGATGAAGTCGTTGAACGGGGCGCCGTACTTGAGACAGCCCTGGAGAACGTAATTGCCGTACTGGTCGAGGAAGAGCTGCACCGTATACGGGCGAATGTATTCGACAATCATGTTCATCTGATCTGACGTCTTACAGACGTCAATGATCTTTTGGGCTGCCCAGGTGCCATTCTTGTGAACGCCAATTTCCGCCATGTGAGGGGCAATCTCGGTGAGCATGGCATCACGCAGCTCGTCTGAACAGTTATCAAAGAGCTTTTGAACAACAGTGTTGCCGAGATAGTCGGAGGAGAGCTCGGAAATCTCGGGGAGCATCTCGACGGCAATGTTTTCAATCTCGGCCGGGGAGAGGAGCTGGTTGTCAACGCGCTTGCGAATGTCGCGCAGCTTGGGGGCATCGTGCACGCGAGTGTGCGTAGGTTCGCGGATAGGAGGAATCTCATCGGCAAAGGCGGTGAACTGAATGGCCGATTGGATGCTGCGGGAAATTTGAGCGGTGTCGGTATCGGAGGCACCGAATTGGGCGATTATCTCGAGCATGTCGGTCGTCATGTCAGGCAAAGGAGGAACGGTAGGAGTGGCGCTGGAAACGGGAGCGTCACCGATGGTGCCAGTCGGCGCAACCTCACCCTTGGCAAATGGATCGGGGCTGGGCGAGGGGAAGGCGCCGTCGTGCCCGGGGGTGTTGGACGCGGAGGGAGGCTTGGCGAAGTTGATGCGAATTGGGCCTGCGCCGGGGAAGATTTCCTTTCCATTCATACTGGCCTTGGCGGAGATGGCGCTCTCCACGCGCTCGAAATTGACAAATCCGCAGTTCTTGTGGGTGAGGACGCGAGCCGAAAGGATCGGGCCATGGGATTTAAACATCTCGTTGAGGGTAGAGGTAGTCGTCGAGGTAGGCACACCTCCGAGCCAGAGGGCACTAGTAGGCCCGTCAAGGCCCTGCTCCTCAGGGCCAAGCATCCCAGCATTGCGACTGTTCGATCGGCCGAGGTTGAGGCCAGCAACGGCCTGGGGAAGCTCGTCGTAGGCAGTGTCCTCGTGGAGGCGTCGTTCGGCGGCATTGAGGTTGTTAGTGGCGGCAGCACCACCGTTCATGTTGAGCTGTACGGCGCGGCTGTGGGGTGCAATTTCAAGAACACTGGCAGTCTGGGCTCTTGGTCGATTGGCGGTACTTATCGCGAAGGCTTGGACGGCCTTGTTGTGGTCACGGATCATGGCGTTGGTAGCGTCCAGCTGATCTTGGAGAACGGCGACGTAGCGCTGGTCAATGGGGACACCGTCGACGACGTATTCCTCTACACGGTGATCATACTGCTCCTTGTTGTTGACTGAGTAGGAGCGGAATCGACTGTTCTGCCTATTGCTAGAGTCATAGTAGGGTGTAGCAATCTGGGGCTGGGGAGTCTCGGCGAGACCGAGATAGTCGAGGGTTCGCATGTGGGCATCGGACGACTCCCCGCCGTCTCGTGAGAAGTGCGATTGAGAGGGAGAGCTGGGGCCATTGGAGCCGACGCTGGCAATGCTGGCGAGGGTAGAGGCACGTTCGCGGCCACCCATTGCGGGATTCCAGCTGCTGAAGATGGAGGGTCCAAAAGGCGAGGGTGCGGTACCAGGAGCGGCAGAGAAGTTGCCGCGCTGAGGAAGGGAGCCGGCACGAAGGCGAGAGAGTAGGGTAGAGGCACCGGAGGCGTTTTCAGGATGGTCGAGGGTCGGAGAAGGCGACTTGTGGAATGGACTCTGTGAAGGAGTAGCACGAGCAGACTTGGCGGAGAGCAGGCTGGGGACGCCGAGGAGGCCAGGAGCGCCGAGGGTGCCTGGAGTGGTGAGTCTGGAGGGAAGAGTGCCGGCACGACCTCGTCTCGTCTGAGGTATGCTGTCGGCTGTAGGGAGTTGGCCAAAATCGGGAAAACCGTCGGTGGGAGACTCTGGGATATTTTCTCGGAGAGGGGTTGAGTTGCCGCTAGTAGGGGGACCGCCCCAAGGGTAGAGGGGAGGCATACTAGAGATGCCTTCTTGTGCTTGAATTTCGCGAGCCCTGTACCGACAGAAAGTTTAGCAAATGTGTGGTCACGGGGAAAGCTAAGGAGGCAGCGAGACGGCAACGGTGCGGAAAGAAGACGGCGCGGTTAGGGCTTTGATGCTGTGGAAGAAAGAGGGGAGAGATAGCAAGCAAGGAGAATTAGATGGGGGGAAGATGGAAGAGTCGGAGGAGCTATGATGAGTGACAAGTGGCGAGTGACGAGGGCAGAGGAGGACACGACGTACCGCTTGGAAAATAGCCTGCTGGAGCCGGGCAGATCGTGGGACGGGGAGCCGGCGCCGGAGCGCGTGTTGGCGGCCATGATTGCGGTAGAGTTCAAACCAGAGGTGAGGCCAAAGTGGGAGCGGGTTGAGTAGGCGGAGGAGGAGTCGACAGGTGAGTTATTGTTGGAGGATGGCGAGCCGGAGCGACCCTGGGTGGCTCCGGGATGCGACGAGAAGCCCAGGCCCAAGTGGTCGGGTCTGGCGGCTGACATTATTGAATTACTACTTATTCCAATCGATGTTGTTCATTCGACGACCAGTATTGGCGAGGTATCGCCACGAATTGTCGCAGAAGGCGTAGGGAATGGCGGGAGAAGACGCTTGATTGACCGGTTTTATCGGTGGCGCCCAAGTCAAAGAAGGTTCCCACAGGCCAGACGGGAAGCAGCCAAGGGCGTGAGGCGGACTGTCGATGGCGACGGAAATGGTTTGCAGACAAGGACTCGTGTTCTCTTTAGCTTGTCTTGATTGATTGCTAGACAGCCGGGGCGCACCGAGGGGCGTGCGGTTCTGGACGGGGGTGAGGGCCGTTAGGGGGGGAAAGAAGTAGGCGATGAAGAATAAAAAGAAGAATAGAATAAACAAGTATAAAGTTTAAAAAGAGGGATGAATGCAGCAGCAAAGTAAATTACAAGAAAAGTGATGCTGCGAGAAGAAGGACTTTTGACGCCACGATGGCGGGAAGCTGTTGGGGGGAGGGAGGGGGGGTAAGGAGGAAGAGGAGGAGGAAGAGAGGAAGAAAGGAAGAGAAGAGGTTACTGAGTACGGGCGAAGTTGGTGGTGGTGATGGGGAAGAAGGAGGAGAAGTGGCACCTCGTACGAAGGCTGGTTGGTACCTGAGAGTATGCGCGATGGCAGGTAGTTAAGCGAAGTACCTTATTGGAGGAGCTGCCATCATGCCAGGTGGTTAGAGTCTTGAGCCGCCTAGCTCTATAAAAATCGCTACAGGGGGTTACAGGGGAGCACCGAGGACCACTAAAAGAGGCGACCTCGCCCACTAAAAAGGCGACGACTCAGTTGTCTGGCCGAAACTTTCGACTTGACGCTGCGGGCCGGACAAACAAAGCTAACTTCAACACGCCGCCTCGACGACAAGGAACAGGACAATACAACAAAGTAAAAGCAAACGTGTATTGTAGGTGGACTAGGTAGGTAGAGAAATTGGGCAATACCGGCCATGGGAGTGCAAACGTATAGTACCAAGTACTAGGTAGGGCACGAGGCATTTTGACCCGAGGCCGGGTTGATGGCCGCCAGCGCACACACACAGACATGCACACGTACGTGGGCACACACACACAGGTACATACATACATACATACGTACGAGGTAAACCAACCTCCTCTCAAATTCAGGGGACCTGCAGGCACAAGATGGGACGATTCGACCAGTTGCCGACAGAGCTGTCTGTTTTGCCTCGCCTTGCCTTGTCCCACCATCAGCCGAAATAAAAAAAATAACAAGAACTTAAAAAAAAAGTATGCCGTCAGGCAGAAAAGAATCGTGTTTCCATCGTCACAGGGGGTGGATTACTGTTGTGGCGCTGCATAATTCTTGCAGCGTGCGGCTTGTCAGGTACATACATACATACATGCACATACCTCGTACATACATGTACATACGTACATACATATGGGGTCACAAATGCGCGTTGTTCTTTTCCACGCCCTTCTTTTCTTTTTCTTCTTTTTATTTTTATTTTTCTTTTATCCCCTAGGCGGGGCTATTTCCTTTTCGGTTCCCTCATTCCGCCCCCTTTGCTGGTAATGTACAACCCATGTTACTGGCTCGCCCGGGGGGGCACTACCTAAATAATAAAAATACGTAAGAAAAGAAAAAGAAATAAAGTAAACTCACACTACCTAGGTAAAACGAGGTGCCTGAATATCTCAATGCCCATCTCTTGAATAGCGACGCATAAATCAAGAATAGACTAAAGCACATCATGTCCTGTCCCTCCCCTCCCCCATCATCCATCACCGAATCGGCGCGTGCCTCCCCGTCAGCTGGAAGCAAGCCAAGGCCAAAGCCAGTAGCGAGGCCGTTACCCGCCCCCTTTGTGCGGTTGTGCGGGGGTGGACTGTTTGTTACTGCCAGCTTGGTTGACTGGAGGGAGCCTGGATATAAATATCATGTCGGGCACTTGTTTAGCAGAATGCAACCACCACACCCATCTCGACTATAACTACGTCAATGCCCTTCACTGCATGGTCGCGTGAGCCCTCCGCAGACGCGAGGGCTACTTGCACATTGGTATATCTTATGCAGTAGAGAATCCCATCGAGACTATTTAAAACAAGAAAAAAAAATCATGGAAATTGTAAAATCCGAGTCTGCACATCCGTCAGTACCACACCCATACCCATCCATCATCCGTGTGACTCAGTTGTGCGCCCTTGGTGCTTCCCTCGAAGCCAATCTATTCGGATATACCGTCAGCACAAGACATCACACGAGCTGAGCGGCAGGCGAGCCAAGTCCTTGCCTCCCGTATTGCCCTTTCGCTCTCCCCCATCTAAGCACAAGCACCACCCGACTCTTACGCGCGACTCTACATAGGTGGTCTCATCCGTTTACACTGAACCCCCATCTCACAACGCGTCTGCCTATCCAACAACACCTCGACAGCAGGCAGCCCTAACTTTTGACAACCTACCCCTTGTCTAACATGTCCTCTTCACTCACACAACCCATCGTTTGCCGTCCTTTACTACACTCTCCGTAGATGATTTCCCTCTAATCCGATCTACATCATGCATCTCCCCCACGCCATCGAGACTAAAAAAGAAACAAGGACAAAGAAAAGGAAATAAAACCGGCACATAGCCTGTCTGGCCCCTCTTCTATACATACAACGCCTTAGCTATTACATGAAGTACAGTAATATCATGTGTCAAAAAAATCAAGGCACATCAATGCATTCAACACCGGAAAATATTAATCCCATGTCCCTGGATTTCAAGCATTCTTGCCTCTTTTCATCACACCACCTCCACCTTTCGCCTCATCTCAAGCCCAGTCTACGGACGTACTGTATCTGCCATCCGTTCTCCCAACATCGACGACGATCCCAAATTCCTCGTCCAAGACCCTGCATCATGCTCCCTCCTGTAATCTCTTCGGCCATTCTCCGCCCGCGCGTTCCCGTTTCCACGATTTATCAGCCCGCCCCCTCTCTACCTTTTTTTTCGCTTCCCCGTTTCCACCAACACGTTTCAGCACGCGCCGGTCCATGCCGTCCGTCCCCTTCTCTTCTCCATCATAAACCTCATCCCGCCTGTACAGCGCGGCACGTTCTGTGAGCCGTCGGAGCCCAGAGCTAACCTATGTACACACTCATCTAATCTAATCTGTACAAGGCTCCCCATTCGGTAAACCCAGCAGCCTTGAATCCAGCGACAACTACTTCACAACGCAGGGTTGCCAATTTTCTTTTCATGTACCCCTGCCGTCATCACCATGCATGTCATTGCCCCCAAAAACCCCCAACTCTGAAACACATGCGCACCCTTGCCTTCCTTTCTCATGACTTTTGCCCCTTTCCCATCTTGCGCCCTCTTCCCAAGACAACTTGAAACGCGGCCGCCCCTCCATTCCCAGAACCAATGAGAACAACGTGCATCTTATGTGGCTTTGTTAGGCCATTTTCCCCAACGAATCGTTCGTTATGCATACACCTTTTCGTGATATTGAGTAATGCCTTTTGTGTTGTTTAGATCTATACCTGGAATGTTGCAGCACGATTCAAACTTTATAATGATAATAAGAAGAAAGAAAAAAAAAAGGAAAGGACTCGGGGGTAAACAAGTGAAAACGCTCAACAATCGGAGCATAAATACAAATGCAAGAGAGAATGACGGCAACGGAAGCAGAGAGGACAGCAAAACGAAGTGAAGAAAAAAGCCACCATTCCTGTCCACTTGACCTCTTCTTGCCCAAGCGACAAATCAAACGGGATATCGTAGAAGAATGATGAAAACAAGAAAAAAAATCCATTTCATCCTAAGAAGTGCCACCTGCACCAGAAAAAAAACATGCCAAGATGCCCGTCTTTCACATTTCCATGCAATCAATCAGTCAGGCTTGACGTTACAATGTGGCCAAAATGACACAACTCGAAAATAAAATCAATGTTCCCGTGGCCGTGACCCCCGATCCTGTAAACGCCATACTTGTGTTATTAGATGTAGGGGTTTCTGCTCCTCCATGCCCCATTTTGTCGTATATTCGCTCGGCCCGGTAATTCATGGCTTCTTAGGTATTTATTTAGCATGCTTCTTGAACGCCAACAAATCCGCCAGCGTGCCTAGAGGGCAACCGTGTTTGAGAAAGTCGTGCGCCAGCAGCTCATCCGCCGAAGCACGGCTCTTGACATCCACGCATAGACAGACAGACAAGAAGGCCTTGAGCTCCTTGCTCAGTCTGTCCGGCTTCTTGAGGCGTGGCGTGCCGTTGGTGGCAATCAGGTACAGCGCCTTAAGAGGCTCCTCGTTGAGGTACGGTGGCTCAGATTCGATCATCTCAATCGCCATAATACCGAGAGACCAAATATCCACCTTGGGACCATACTCCTTTTGTTTGACCACTTCGGGCGCCATCCAGTATGGTGTGCCGACCATGGTGGCGCGCTTCGACTTGGCATCCGTGAGTTTGGCGCAGAAGCCGAAATCGGCTATTTCTTGTTAGCAACGGAAGAAAGGGACAACGAAAGCAAAGGGGGCGAGAAAAGTAAAGGCAAAAGCAGAGACTAAAGGACATACTGATCTTGACATTGCCGCGGGCGTCCAAGAGGACATTGTCACTCTTGATATCACGGTGGATAATGTTTTGTCTGTGAAGATGTTGGAGGCCACGGCAAGTCTGTCGAGGTTAGCATTTGTTCGAAAAGACTCTCCACGCCAGAGAAGCTTGGGCTTACCTCGTGGCAGATGGTCGCAATCTGCTCCTCAGAGATGGAGGGGTTGTTGTCAATGACATCCGTCAGCGCACCGCCCTCCATGTACTCCATGACGACCCAGAGCTCGGCGTTGTTGTTACGCAAGAAGGCGTCAAGGAAGTTGACAATGTTTTTGTGTCGACTGTCCTTCATGACCATAATTTCGTTGACAATCAGCTCCTTGCGAGGCTGGTGGGCGAGATCCATTTGCTTAATGGCAACCTGGGCTCTGGGACCCTGTTGACGTAGAACATCGCGGGCGATACCCACAGCAGTCTCCTTGATCTTGGCCACGTAAACGGAGCCGGAAGCACCCTGACCAATCTTCTTCTGCTTCGAGTAGGAAAGATTGGGATCGTCCTTGGAAACGACTTCCTTCAGCCTGGCCATGACTTCGTTCTCGGACATGGTCGACATGCGGACATCCTGCTTCTTTTCGGCAGGCTTGGATAGCGCGGCTTCGGCAGCCTTGACGGAGTCGCTTGGGGGAGCATTCTGAGAAGGCTTTGGGGCCACATTCAAAGGCTTAACAGGCGCAGGCAGGCGGGAGGTGCCTTGGCCTTGACCTTGAGGAGGACGCTGCTGGCCCTGCTGGTTGCTGGGCTGATAGCGGGGCCCTTGGTTGGAGGAACCATTCTCACGAGGACGCTGACCGTTGGGATCGCGACTGGCACCGGACTGGGGGTTGACGGGAGGTCGTGAGGAGCCGCCATTTGAGGGAGGAGCGGGCGCAGGCCTCTGTGCGCGCAATTGCTGAGGGTTCTGAGGGCCTTTGGGAGCAGGTGGAGCGGCTCTGGTAGGGTTGAATCGATCGGCTTGGTCGCGCGAGGGATCGCTCGAGTAGCCACCACCGACTTCTTGCCGAGCTAAGGGGGTCTTGTGTTGAGGCAGAGAAGCGTTGTACTCTGCCAGCTCACGACGTTCCTGCTCAAGTTGCTTCTGACGCTGCTCTTCTTTTCTAGCATTTTCGAGTTGCTGACGCTGCTGGAGTTGCTGCTGCTGCTCAACTTGACGAATACCGTTGGCGCTAGACTGTGACGAGGCGCTGAATGAAGATGCCTGGTGGGTAGGAGGCGCGGGGCGGGGAGGAGCGATTCCGGCGCCGGGATAGCCGAGCTGCTTCTGGGCTTGGGCGGCGGCGGGAGGGGTGGGCGTGAGAGAGGGATACTGGTTGGGGTTCTCGGCGCGCTTAGCTAGGTCAGTGTAGAAATCGAGAACTTCAAAGACTGCCTGGGGGTTGCGGTAGTAGTCTTCTTTGGTGATGGCGGAAGAGTTGAGTAGCTTGGACCACTCAGGAGGCAAGCCCGTGAATTGGCCTGTTTGAGAATCGAAGCCGACATGGATGGCGTGGGAGAAGTTGGTGGGATTGCTGACACCGCCCATGTTAGGGGAGGCGCCATAGATAAGATCAATCCACTCATAAAGCTCATCGTCAGACTTGACCTTTATTTGGAGGGTTTTCGTCTGACCGTCGTCATCGCCGGGGTTGTTGGAAGCGCAATCAAGACGGCGCTTAATCTCAAAGATGATACCTTGGGTCTCGACTCGGCCGACGTTGAGGACGTCCTTGAGGTAGATTGTGTAGGAGACCTTGCCACCCTCCGTCTTGTGGAAGTCGAGTGATTCTTTGCGAAGGATGAGGTACTTTTGCTTCCAGATTTGAATGAAGTTTTTGCCTTCTTTGACCGTGGCCCAGCCCTCTTTCTTGATGGCGACGCCGCCCATGCCGTCGGCGGGGTTGGTTTGCTGACGGGCTATGGGGAGGGAAATGGTCGAACCGGAATAGGTCGAGGTGGCGGTGCCGGGGATGGGGGAAATGGCCATGCTGGCCATACTGCTCGTCATGGTCATGCTGCTGGCTATGCTGCTGGCGCTGGACATGCTGCCGGGGATGCTATTCGTGTTTGGCATGAGGTTGAGCCTGGGTCTGTCGGTGGGGGGCCGCGGCGCAGGGCCTGGGTTCATGAATTGGCCCGACGAGTATACACTGTCAGGAGAGGCGGGAGAGCGTCAGCCGTGGTACTGGTGGAGGGCAAATTGGGGGCGCGGTCTCGGGAGAGGAGGCTCCCGGTGATGTCAAGCATATGCCGGGCGGGAGGAGGTAGAGGGGGTTTGCGACATATTGGATTAGATTTAGTATTATGAGAGCCAAGGTGAGATCATGTGCAATGCTGGCTGTCCAATGGAGCGGCAAGCAAAGGACAGAGATTGGCAAGACTGGCGAGACTGGATGAGGATTGTCTGCGGAGAGAAACGTGACGCACGAGGCAAACAGGATTGAAGATGCCGCAAGGTTGGCGCCGGAGGGGTCGTCGGGCTGAAGCGGGTGAGACGGGGCGACAATGCGGAGCGACTAACGAGCAAGACAAGGAAACCAGAGCGCCCAAGAATACACAAAAAGAAGTTCGCTATGTTGTGCAACGGTATAACTGGCAAAGGAGTAAGGGGGTAAATAAAAGTCCAAGGCCGAGTTTAGAAGCGTAGTTGAAGTGGACACATGTGGTTGGAGGGAGGGGGGGAGGCGGTCTGTCTGGTGGTGCTGTCTGTGTCGCCAGCCAGCTAACAGTGGTGGTGGTAGAGTGGTGATGGAAAGGAGGAGAGAGGAGAGCGGGGGAGGAACTGCGGCGGCGTCGGCTCCTGGCAATGGCGACAGGCTTTGCGACGGGGTAAAAGAAAAGAAAAGAAAAGGACGAGAGACGTCGTGCGGAAAGCAAGAAGAACAAAGATGGAGTCGGCAAATCACCTGGTTGTATTGTAGGTGGTTAGTTGTATGATGGCGGGACGAGGTTGGCTGGCCCAGCCTTGAAGGAGGAGTAGGAGGAGGAGTACCTTTGGGAGCTACCAGTAATAGTAAGCGGAGAGGGGAGAGTGAGAAGAGGGTCATGGCACAAGACACAGGACTGGCACATGAATAAGGATGTGCACCTTGGCAGGCAGAACAGGGGAAAGGAGACGGACGGGAGGGGACCGTCCACCGTCCACCATCCACCATCTACTGTAACTATCGTTCCGCCACCAAATGCCCACCACTCACCACCAACCAGCCCAGCCCAACCAGTGGTGGCTGGCATCTTCAATGCAGCTCATGATCCAGTGCAGGCAAAAAGGGTGAAAGGCAACCAGTCAGCCAGCCAGGCCGACCGTGGAGGTCAGGGAAGTCAGGCAAGTCAGCCCATATTCAGTGAGACAGTGGGCTCGCTTGTCTAAGTTGTTTTAGGGAGGCCGTCTCTAACCAAACTCCAGGTAATCCTGGCTACCTTACCGGCCGTTCTGTCCACGCTGGAAACCGTTTCTACATCATCTCATCCTGCCAGATTTAAACTCGCGAATTCCCAACGGCCCAATCGCCAGCTATCGACGTCATTGCCTATTGACGAACCTCCAAACTTGCAAACAGCCCATGATGCTGCATGCACCGACGTCACAAACTAAGGGTCCTCTCGCCCCTCTTCGGCCCCCCTTCCCTTCCCTCCTTTCTCACATCACAGACCGAGCCAACAACATGCTGCACCCCATGACCAGTCATCAACACCCTTCCTGTGTCAAATTGACATCGCCGGCCCGCCAACCGCCCAGCGCCCAGCCCGCACCTGTCAATGCCAGCCAGTCGTCAAACCTCCAAACCCCGAACCAGCCAGCGACCTGCATCAGAAAGGCCATCGACCACAACGTCATCCTCCCTCTCCGCTATCAACTCAACCTTTTTTGCACATTTGATGCTAATTTACTGCTCGCCAAGCGACATCTCCCTCCAGAAACCACGAACCCCTCGATGGCGCCACGGCCCCAGAACCCGCCTTGTGTTGCTCTCCACACCCCATGCGTGTGTTCAGGAGAAAAACACACCCCAAAGTGATATCAACTATCACATTTTATTATAACCTGTACCCAGAAAAAGAAACGGGCAAGAGAAACATTGAACGAAAAGTCAACCCGGTATCTAGGCCAAATTTACCAACTGTGAAAATGTAACCGCACAAAATACTGCCATTGCACATATCCACTCTTTGCTAGAGATGAGCAAACAAGACTAGAAAAAAAGAAGCAAATAAAGAAAACAAGAGAAGGACAAAATGCTGCAGAATACGGGGCCAGACTTTGCATAACGAAATAAACCACCATGTTGTAGACAAATCAGGCCTCACAACCTTTTCTGCACCAGCTGAAACGCTTGCCAGCCGCATCTTCCCCTTTCGCCACAGCCCTGCTGCTCCCCCTCACCATCACTTCACCTCGCCACATGAGTCCTTTCCCTCATGCGCCATGCAAGTCCTTTATCATTACAAATGAAACAAATTTCAATAGAAAACAAGGCAGTTAATACTCATGACCCTCTTCGCCGAGTTCCACGACGCACACAGAATAAAAGACGAAGAAAAACGAAAACGTGGTCCGATATAGATAAGCCAAAGGCCCTGATCGACCCTCCTCCGACGCTGAGAAACACGGCCGTTTCACGATTGTATTTATACGTGCCCCTCCGGCCGCTCCGCCCGCTCTCCAACGCGGGACGTTGCTGGCTCGCGAAACAAACGACGACACTCGCCTTGTTTGGGGCTTGATTCCTCAGCACTAATCGTCATCCTCTTGGAAGAAGAGAAAAAAAAAAGGAAAAAAAAAGGGAACAAATCGGAGGCCTCTGCTGATCATGCTAAACGCTTGTGATCTTTCATACTTATTTCGAGTCAATTCTATTTCTTTGAGCCATTGCTTGACAAGTCACTGCTTGATACTCCATTCTATACAGAGCAACTGCATGACATCCTCACATGTTCATAACGCCCTTCATTCTATATGAATAACATTTACGATATATTCCATGTAAGCTTTTCCACCTCATTCTCCTACACGCTCCCCAGACATCTATCGCTGAGCAACCTCCACTTCCTGGCCCTCAAACTTGGGCAGCTCCGACTGGATTTTGGCCCAGTCCTTGCTGCCGTCCACCAGGCTCCTCACTGCCTCGAGGATCTTGGCCTCGTCCGCCCGCACCTGCGTCGTCGAGTCACGGTCGCGCAGCGTAATCGTCTGGTCTTGCAGCGTCTGGAAGTCCACCGTGATACCCAGCGGCGTGCCGAGCTCGTCGTTGCGGCTGTACCGCTTGCCGATGCTCGCCGACGAGTCGTCCACGCGGCTCGAGATGCCCATCGCCCGCAGACGCTGTGACAGCTTGCGCACCTCGGGCTTGAACTGCGCGTTCGACGATAGCGGCACCAAAAGGACCTTGGTGGGCGCCACGGGAGGAGGGAAAGAGAGGACCTAGAATAATGCATGTTAGTAAATGCGTCTGTTGCCCAATAAATGTGAAATCAGCAGCATCAAGACTACTTACACCGCGGGCCTCGTCAGTGCCATCATTGCCGCGAGTCCAAAAGTTGTGCTCAATCAACGAGTACAGGATACGGCCGATACCAAAAGACGGCTCAATGACGTTGGGCGTGAACTCGCGCGTGTTCTCGACGCGCTTGCGGAACTCGATCTTGATCGAGTCGCTCGTCACCTCGGCCTTGCCGTCGCCGACGCCGGGGACGTCGAGCGTAATCTTGCCACCCTCGGTTAGCTGCTTGGAAAAGGCTTCGCGTTGCTCCTGCGTCGTGGCCTCGAGCGCCGCTTCGACCGCCTTAGCGTCCTTCTTGAATAGCGGGCCAAACTTCTTCTTGTCAATGTCCACCTGCCACTCCTCAATGACGAGTGGCTTCTCCAGGCGCTCGCGCACCACCAGCGGCGCGCCAGTCTTCTTGGCATGCACCGTCAGGTCGTACGCGCTGCGGTCGGCACAGCCGACACACTCAACCCAGCCAGTTGTCGTGTAGAGCTCCGCATCCCAGCAGTCGCATGCGTAGTGGGCCATCTCGTTGGCCATGTGCTGACGGAAGCGCATCTTGCTCATGTCGACACCAATCTTTTGCAGGAACAGGTGGATGCGGGCGAGGAAGTAGCCGAGCGTCTCGTTGTCAACGACGCCCTCCTTGACAGCCTGGCCAATCGTCATGGTCTTGGTCGTCGTCTTGCCCGACAGTTGCGTGCCCTTGTCGAGCAGAACGAGCTCCAGGTTCTCGACCTCGTGGAAGCGGCTGTGCTTCTTGCCACCCTCCGGGTCGACGTAGTGCTCAATCTCTGCCATGAGGAACTCGCGCACGCGCAGAAGGCCGGCGCGAGGAGAGATCTCGTTGCGGTACGACTTGCCAATCGACGCAGAGGCGAACGGCATCTGCGACTGGTTGAACTCGAGTAGCTTGGCAAAGTTGAGGAACTGGCCCTGGGCAGTCTCGGGGCGCAGGAAGCCGGGCAGGTTGCTGCTGGGGCCGATGGAGGTCTGGAACATGAGGTTGAAGGCGACAGGCTCCGTCGGCAGCAGGCCGGTGGCGGGGTTCTTGAGATCGTACTTCTTGATGAGTTCGCCGAGCTCGGGGCCGCCGTAGTTGTCAATCTTGGCGAGAACCTCCTCGTACTCCTGTACGACAGCGTCGTCGAGTTTTACGGCCTCGGTCTTGGCCTTCTTCTTCTTTTTCTTGGGGTCGTCCTCCTTCTCCTCCACCTTTTGGCCGCGAGCCTCCTTGTCGCCCTTCAGCCGGGCCTCAAGGACGGCCTCGACAAAGTGGTCGGCGCGCATGATCTCGCCATTCTTGGGGTCCTTGCACATGAAGTCAGAGAATTTGTCGACGTGGCCGCTAGTCTTGAGGATGTCGTGCGGGGTGAGGGCGGTGCAGTCGACCTCGAGCATGTCCTCTTCGAGGACGAAGTGCTTGCGCCAGATGTCGACAATGTTGGCCTGAAGGGCGCAGCCAGGCGGGCCGTAGTCGTAGAGGCCGCCGACGCCGCCGTAAATCTCAAAGGACGGGGTGTAGAACATGCGGCGGCGCAGCATGGCGTCGAGGACGGGCTTGTCGAGGGGTTGGCCCTTGAGGGTCGTGGCTTGCGACGTCATGGCGGCGTGTGACCTCTGCTGGTTCTTCTTGGATCGGTCTACCTGGAAGGCGTATCGTGCTGGCGCGGTGGAAAAGCACCGCTGTGGTTGTCGTGGGGGACTGTGTTGTCGATGGTTGTGGGAGGGCGAGGCGGGGTGGTGTCTGAGGTGGGATGTTGACAAGCTGTGACTGCAAGTGCTGGATCTGAGTGGAGCTGGGCGAGAAAACAGGCGACAGATTGAAATCATTCACAAAAATTTCCCAATGACTCTTATAAAGAAAAAGAAGAGAAACCAAGACAATTCGATCGTTGTCTTGCGTGAGTCACGAGAGAAAAGCTGGAATTCCGTGCGCCGGAGCTGTCCCAAGGCACGGAGGAGGGGTCGTGTGTGGTGGTTGGTTTGGTGACTCAGGGCACTGTAGCTCCAGCAGCAGTGGTGGAAGGCGCGCTGTAGCAATTTTTTTCAACAGCCGCTTGGCTTCTCCACTGGAGGTTATAACAGGAGGAAAACGGCGAGCTTTCAAGGAGCGGGTCGGCAATTGCGCGTATCTGTCGCACGGGAGGGAGGATCGCGGAACAGGTTGGGGGGAGTTGGAGCAAGACGAATGCGTTGAACTATGCTAAACGAGGGTATTATCGGCAATGATGATACAGAGTTGATATGGTGTTGGTGCAGGCGCGTCGAGGTAATTGGAAAGGGGATCCCGCAGCATTGACGCCGCATCTCCAATCCAACATTTTAGTGGACTGACAGCGCTAGACACGGCAAGTGCTCAGGCACCCATAGGCGCTGAGGCAAGCAAGTTTTATTCGTCAACCCCACTGGCTAACTCTCCCATTTGTCTCCACCTTAATTTTTCTGCCAGTTCGTACGCCAACTTTTTTTCGTCAATTGACGACGACGTCCATTACCAAAGCCGCACATTTCGCCTTCTCGCCGCACTCGCCCAAGATGCGTCCCCTTACCGAGCAAGAAACGAAAACGCTATTCGAGAAGCTCGCCAACTACACTGGCAGCTCTCTCAAGAACCTCATCGCCCCGCTCGACGACTCCCCCAACGCCGACCGCTACGTCTTCCGCCTCCAAGGGAACCGAGTCTACTATGTGCTCCTCTCCGTCGCCAACCTGGCCACGTCCATGGCGCGCGACAATCTCTTGTCTCTAGGAATCTGCCTTGGTAAGCTGCTTCCCTCACTAAAAGAACGAGAGAGAGAGAAAAGGACAAGGACTAACTGGTCTACAGGCAAGTTCACCAAGACGGGCAAGTTTCGCCTGCACATCACCGCCCTCCCCATCCTTGGCGAGCACGCCCGCTGGAAGGTTTGGGTTAAGAGCAACGGCGAGATGCCCTTCCTGTATGGCGGCAACATCGTCAAGGCCCACGTCGGCCGCTGGTCCGACGACTGCCCCGAGCACCAAGGCGTCGTCGTCTACAACATGAACGACACGCCGCTCGGCTTCGGCGTCACCGCCCGCAGCACCGCCGAGGCTCGCCGTCTCGACCCGACCGGCATCGTCGTCTTCCGCCAGGCTGACTGCGGCGAGTTCCTGCGTGACGAGGACAACCTGTTTGCCACTGGTTGAGGGACGACGCCGTGACACCACACGATGCAATTCGAAACGAAAAAAGAAATATTAAAAACGAAGCGGTCTGACGGCGGGGCAGATGCCTTGTCTGGAACGAGCGGGGGGTGGAAAAGCGAGATGGTTTCTTGCAAAAGTCTATACCATATTGAATGGGGTTTCGGCGTTCAAGGTCACCAAAATTCGGCTACATGGATTGACATGATGTGTGGACATTTTTTTGCAAAATTTTCATGTTCAGGCGTTTATTAGGGTCAATTTCAAATTTCAAATGATTAATTACTATCCAGAACAACTCTGGCGTCGGCTATGCCTGCACCAACCGGTTCGTTAAGTCACCTTCAAATTTAGTTACTGTGGGAAGAAGATAAGAGAGAACGACCAGAGTCAAAAGTATTCATTCTCAAAATGGTAAAAAGATAACTATAAGGTTATATGTCGTCAATGTGTAGAAAATATCCCAAACTCCGAAAGCATCTCTGGTATGCATATATGCCATTCATAGTAAAATAGATCAATGTCCTGGTCATGATGTGTAATTATGCCATGCTCAGGGTCGGCGACACAGGCCGGCTGTTGTTGCGGATAAAGGCAATGTGCGACCGATGAGCGACGTACTCGCTGTCGGCATAGCCGAGTAGCTCGCCAATCTCGACGCTCTGGTGGCCCATGATGCGGAAGATCTCGGTCGAGGCGTAGTTGACCAGCGCGCGACCGACCTCCTCCGGGACGCCGTCCCACATCTTGCCGTTGGGGCCGGGTGTCTTGCGGCGGTTCACGGCGACGATGCGGACGGGTTCGTGTGAAGCAAAGTTGCCCTCGACATCGACAACACCGACGGGCAGCAGGCCGGCCTTGCCGAGCAGTGCCTTGTGGGCGCCGGCGTCAATGTAGACGGTGCCGTGGGGGCTCGGCGTGTGAAGGAGCCAGAAGTGGCGGTCACGGATGGGGTCGCTGGAGGGTAGGAAGCGCGTGTGGAGAGGGGGGCCGGTGAAGTCGGCGCCCGAAGGAGCGAGGAGGTTGAGGGAGGTGGTGCGGGAGAGGGGGTTTGCGCTCTCAGGACCCTCTATCACCGAGGATCTGGGAGAGCTGTAGAGGTAGTTGACGATGCCCAGGATGTTGCCGGGATTTGACGACCGAGTGATGATAGTCGTCACGCCAGCCGAGGTGCCCAGCTTGGCAGCAATAATTTTGGTAGTCATGCCGCCGGTGCCGAGGGAGGAGCCAGCACTTGAGACTGTCATAGTTTGTTAGTACGTGGGCTAATTACGCCGAGATGTGTCCAGGCAGCTAGTGGGGAGACGTACCATCGGCTTCCAGGGCGCCAATGTCCTCGACAACCTCGATCGCGCGGGCGTCGGGGTTGGTACGAGGATTCTTGTCATAGAGACAGTCGACGTCGGTCATGAGGAACAGCATGTCGGCGTGGATCATGGCTGCGGTAATGGCAGAGAGGGTATCATTGTCGCCGAACTTGATTTCAGATACGGCAAGGGTATCATTTTCGTTAACAATGGGAATGACGCCGATGTCCAACAACTCGTTGAATGTATTTTGGGCATTCAGGTAACGGGTGCGCTGCAAGATGGGTGGTGCCGATTAGCGCGGATCTAAACTCACGATGTATGGCGGGCGATCGGGTTCCTGTTCCTGGTGTGTGGTGTGGATGCGGGTGTGCTTACGTCTGCAATGTCATTCCTAGTAAGGAGGATCTGGGCAATAGGCTGGTCCAAGTGACTGAAAAGGCTGTCCCAGAGGGAAATAAGACGGCACTGTCCGATGGCAGCCAAGGCCTGTCAAAGAGAGCAGACAAAGGTCAGTTTCGGTTTGGCAGCGGGATTTATGATTTCTGCTGGGGGAAGTGCATACCTGAAGTTGGGCCAGATGCTTGGGACGGCGATCAACGTCCATGCGTCTCAAGCCGACACCGATGGCACCGGAAGAGACGATGACGACTCTGTGGCCATCTTTGCGCAGCTTGACGGCAGTATCGACAATCAAAGTCAGGATAGGCAAGAGAGGCTCGTGAGTCTTTTCATCGACAATGGAGCTTGTGCCTGTGATTGGCGTGTTAGTCGGGGGCTGATGATAAGAAAAGGCAGAGAGATGGAAGCTTTTCTCTTTCCATCCTCCTCATTCGCAGATAAGGGACAAGATGCATACCTAGTTTGATAACGACGGTAAGAGGCTGAGCTCTGCGGATGCAAGAAGCTTTGGCAGTCATGATTGTCAGCGGGGGGTGTGATATCAAATGATGATGAAGCGTGTAATTTGAAAAGAAGAGGACCGAAAAACACTAATGGCCATTACTCCAGCTGAAGTTGTATTCAACAGGACTGCTTTCTTTCTCGGTCTGAAATGACTCCTTCACGTTTCCGAGGAGAGCAGCCTGGCGACCCCCTTTGTATTTAAAGGGACCTGCCCCGGAGCCCGCGAGGCCATGCAAACTCTGTCAACAACAACAGAGAGGGCAGTGCGAGGACAATTGGGAACAAAGGTACATGAGTACATACCTTGGTCACTTGTAACTGGCAGCATTTTCACAAGCCGGTTTGGCAGATCGATGACACAATCCCTGCGCTACTACGTACGAGGCTATTATGTCGTTGGAAGAGAACGGGGCTCTGCCACACAAGGTCGCAAAGCGTTCGAGTAGCGTCGTAGCTCGAGGCAAGTTAGACAAGGGCCGGTCGAAGGTACCTCGCACATGCGTTATGTACGTCTGCCCAGCCCAGCTCGGGTTCCACCGGAAGGGGATTCGGTCAATCAGGGCGCGCCTTTAGGTTGGGACGGTCGAAGGGCTGGTGGGATTAGCGTTTTGGACTGCCCAAAGCAGTGCACGCCGTCGAAATGCTGCAATCCATGCAGGTAACGGTTTGAACGGAGGGAAGCGAAGGCTGTGTGCTGGTGTGTGGTTGGCTTTTGCTCTTCCATGTGGGCAGAAAGCGGGCGGTGAGTGTGGGCTTCCTTTCTTTTGTGCGCCTTTGCATTGATCTGTGTGGTGGAAAGGACGAATAAAGTGGTGCGGTGCGGGTGGGGGGAGGGGCAGCAGGACTCATGTAAGCAAGTTGGGCGGGCGGTACGTAGCTACCTCGTGTTTGACGTTTTTCTAGTTTGAAATTAAAAAAAAAAAAAATAGAAAATTCATTCTTCTGCCGGAAAAATTGTAAAAATAGGGATTTGTTACATGTGGCGTCGTTGATACATTGATCTACTGCCGAACTCATAAGCGACAGCAAGTACCGAGCACGCTGCGACTCGCAAAGTGGCACAGCTTTCCTGCTCAGTGGCTTCGGATGCCCCAAAAGGGATCAATAAAGAGCCGCACTTCAGCCAGTCGGATCCGCCTCACCGCCCTGCAATCCCCTCGCGGCGACGTACGCCCAGGCGCTGTCGTGCACTAAAACCCGCAAATCATGCAGGCTGGAAGGCTGGGATGCGCCTGCGCCTGCGCCGCCTGTCACTACAGCGAATGCCCCTGTAGCCGCACGTTAGAGTGCCCTTAGCGTCCGGCCTGGCAGAATTCCTGCCCCGAGGGAAAAGGTACATGTTCGACTTGTACCACTTGTACTCCTGCCACCCAAAACTACCAAACCCGCATATTCCCCAGAATCGACGAGTTACCGTGGTCGCCTTGGCCGCAGTGACGTTGTGACTGCATGGATTGAAATTTTCATTCGTTGTTCTTTACCATTATTGTTTGGGATTCATCATTTTAGTGTCCAATTTTTTCGGTTTCATTTTTTCATTTTTTATTTTAATTTTGCGCTAGCTTTGCGCCTCGCCGGAGCCTATTGACGTTTGCAATTCCCGCATAGACCAAACACGGCAGAAATAACCTCCTCGCGTCCGTTTATCCCTCCGTCCATCCATCCATCCAATGCCTCATCCTCCCGACGCTGCTGGCATAGGTGCAGCGGCAGCTGATGCCGCTGCTGCTCCTGCCGCAGGTGCAGCCACCGCCGCCAAGCAGGTCGTCAACGATCCCGCCCGCACCGGCTTCGACCCCCAGACCAAGTGGTGGATGAACTACTTCCGCATCCTGTCCGGCCAGATGACCCCCGAGGGCCAGTTCCACTATCGTGAGTGGCGCTACCGCGTGCACGAGGAGCGCGACTGCAAGCGCTGCGAGCAGCACCGCGACTGGCTCTTCGCCTACTCGCCCGTCGTACGCTTCCTGCGCGACAAGGTCGCCGACCTCAACGGCCGCCTCGACGCGGCCAACATCGTCTGCCGCCGCTGTCCCGCCCGCCTTGAGGTCGACGACAAGGCCGCCGACGGCCTCGCCGTGCACCGCCAGTCCGGCGGCTTCAGCCCGGGGCACGGCATCCTCATCTGCGCCAACGAGATCCGCGACCGCAAGCACCTCGAGGACACCCTCGCCCACGAGATGGTGCACGCTTGGGATCACCTGCGCTGGAACGTCGACTGGATGGGCGACAAGGACCTCAAACACGCCGCCTGTACCGAGGTATGTTATCCCAATGACATGAGATGCTCATCTCACTCAATTCACAAGCCTCTCCCTCCTTTTCTCATTTCCTCGTGTCGCATCACCACTATGCACATCACTCATCCTCAACCTCGCTCGCAAATCATGCACGCGCACTGCCGAGCCTCACTTCCTCCCTTCTTTCTCCTGTCACGCCATCCATGTACATCATTTCCCCTTTCCAGCTCTGCCAACTTTCCGCAAGCTCGCTCCCTAATGCACCCTGCCCCTCCCCCATGCATTCGAGTTCACACGACAACGCCCACGCAACCCCCAATTCCCCAAGTCGCTCCAGGCTAACCGTTGGTGCTCTTTTGCGTGCCCATTGTAAATAGATTCGCGCATCCATGCTCAGCGGTGAATGTCGCTGGACTCGCGAGGCCTTTACCCGCGGGAACTGGACCCTCACGCAGCAATTCCAAAACTGCGTCCGCAGGCGCGCCATCCAGTCCGTAATGGCCCGGCCGCGATGCAAGGATGACGTCCAAGCCACCCAAGTCGTCAACCAGGTCTGGGACTCGTGCTTCTCGGATACCAGACCATTCGACGAAGTATACCGATAGTTGTGGGGAGAAAATCATCATCCAGACAACCGCAGCCACAACGCCATAGCCTACCCTTCATTCTCCGCACTCCTCTTCATCCCTCTTCACCTGAGGGCACTATTTCATGCAAGCCTGCGTTTAGCTTACTTGTATATTGTACCATTACATTACATGTCGGTTCGAGGGCTGGCTGACAGTCGGGCTCACCTACATATGCCCTAATCTGGCCCGTTGGCCCGACCAGCCAGCCTCGTCTTCTTTCACTCTTGTACATTAAACGCTCAATACGACGTTGACGATACCCCTCCCGCTCGCATAGCCCAATACCATACAAGCCATGTATCAGAAATCAAATTTTTCTTCTTCTTTCCAAAAGCAACAATGAATAAATTCAGTAAAATGTAAAATGTCCCGTATACAAGGCTGTGTCGTAGCATGCATATAAATCAATGTAACCAAAAGCAACCAAGCCACAACTTGAAAACGAAACCCCGAATGACTCCTTCACATGCTGCCTAAATGCGCACCCCCAGTTATTTCCTGGTGTAGTCGACCTATTAAAAAACTCCCAAGAGGCATTGCAAGAATGATTAGACCAGAGTAAGAAAAAGACGCATCGCGCTACTGCCTGTCCGTCCAAGCAACTACGTCATAAGTGCCGCGCCTCTTCAGCTCACTTATACGACTTTTCCCTATTCGCAACCCGCTCGCCCTTTACGCAGTGTTTAACTATCCAAGGGTGTAGCGGGATCTGGTCGAGAGGAATGCGCTTCTCAGGGTCTAGAACGAGCAGCTGCAGAAAATCGACATTAGCATCCTGGCTGTAAAGACTGGAGATTTTTTTGGGTCTTCTTGTTGATCCGCAGTCGCGTGTTGCAGCTGTCGGTAGTTTCAAGTTTCAGGGTGTAGTATTAAAAAGAGGAGCCAAAAGACTGGGACAACGCAACGGCCAAGGGAAGTACGCGTGTATAGTACGGCAAGAGAAGAGAGAGAGAGAGAGAGAGAGAGAGAGAGAGCAATCGCATACCTTTTTGATCAAATCGGCCGCTTCTGGGCTCACAAACGACGGCACCGACATGTCTGCCCTCGCAATCCTCCGCTGTGTCATGGTCGGCGTATCCTCAAACGGCGCCTCACCAACGAGGAACTCGTACGTCAAGACGCCCAAGCTCCAGAGATCGACCTTTTCGTTGTAAAAGTTCTCCGACTGGCCAGGCCGCAACATCTCGGGCGGCAGGTAGTCGAGCGTGCCACACATGGTCTTGCGGCGGTTGTTGGGCGCGTGGACGCTCCAGCCAAAGTCGGAGATCTTGAGCTCGCCGTGGATGCCGACCAGGATGTTTTCCGGCTTGATGTCGCGGTGAATAACATGCTTACGGTGCAGGTAGCGCAGAGCCGACGTCATCTGCGCAATGTACTGCGCCGCCTTCCACTCGGGGAAGCGGCTCTCCTTGCGCAGGTGCTTGTACAGCTCGCCCTTGCCGGCAAACTCGAGGATCAAAAAGACGCGCTTGCTGTCGTGGAAGTGGCCGTACATCTGCAGCACGTTGGGGTGCCGCAGATTGCTCTGGATCTCGATCTCTCGCCGCACCTGGCGCTCGACGCCGCCGTGCCGCAGCTCGTTCTTGTGCAGCACCTTGAGGGCGCAGATGAAGCCGCTCGTCCGCTCCCGCGCTAGGTACACGCGCCCAAACTTGCCCTTGCCCAGCGGCCGCCCAATCTCGAACATGCCGAGGTGGAACTCGCGTGGCAGCATGGGCTGGTGCGCGATGAGCATCGCCGCCGCCTTGTCCTCGGCCGTGCCCGCGGACGACTCTTCCGAGTTGCGGGCGGACGAGGAGGCCGAGGACGGGAGCGCCTTTCGGGTCGGAGCGGGAGGCGACTGGGGGCCGGTGTGGTGGTTGTGGTTGTGGTTGTGGTTGTGGTGCTGGTGCTGGGCGAGCTTGCGATTGATGGCTTGTGACGGCAGGGTAACCGAGGCGGAGACGGGGTTGCTGGCGGCGTGTGATTGTAGAGCGACCTTGAAGAGGTTCGTCCGACTGCTTCCGTGCGGCAGTTGTGTCGTAGTCGTGGTGACCTGTATGCGCAGCACACTTTTGCATTAGCATCTTGGCACCTGTAGAGTCAAGGCAACTTCCAGCCGTAAACGAAGCGAAGTGTCAATCAGTCAACGAGAACCAGAGACCAGTTACGTATTCGTCTCTGGCCATTCCGTTTCCTGCCACTGAGCCCGTCAGCCAGTATGTCTTGCGTACCTTGGTCTTGGTGTATCCAGAGTCATTCTCATCCATCACCGACATGCGCTCGAAGCGAGCCTCTAGAGTGCGAGTGGCTGCCATCTTTGCATAAAAATGGTGCTGTTCGATGATATATAAAATAAGAGGCGGTAAAGACCCCAGTCGAGAAGGGACGAGGGCGAGGGCGAAAGAGGTGAAACGCAGCAGAGGTATCGCAAGGTTTCTATTGCTTGGTCGTCTATAATGCAGAACGGGATGCTCTTGTCGAATTCAAGTGAAATCTACTAGGTGCTGGTAGTTCCCTAGTTCGTTAGGATAGATGTGCTGGTGGACTGAGTGGCCGATCAAGTTGCGGAGCATCTGCTTCTGGTCGAACCAAACATGGGTTGTTGCTGCAGCAACCGTACCCAGCCTAATCATCGCAGCCAGCGACCGCCATAACTCTACAAAGCAGCTTGTTTTGTAGTATGGATTTTTTAATCGAATGGCACATTTTCTTGTTAAAAGAGGAATGACTATAATGCCATCTCATTACAGTTGACTAACTAGATGTCTAGGTTTGAGAATACTGACAAGCTGTCATGCTCTCTCCGTTTGTCTGATGTGGATGTTCCCAGGATGCCCAGGACCATAACTAGAGCCATTTCGCAACTTCAGAATCGCTGTGCTTTACCTTTTCCATATTTGCCCCTTCTCTTTCCTTGTCTCTTCGTTTTCCCTTTGCTAGTTTTTCCTTTTTTTCCCTCACTTTTTCCGTTTTTTCTCTTTTTTTTTTTTCTGTGTTCACAAAAAGATGAACGAACATGCAAGTTGCTCCAAATTGCAATCCATGCAACTGTAAACACGCAAACCAAACCCAACCTTTGACAAAGCGAAAGACATCTGATCAGTAGTGACCGCACAGATAGTTCAACGCAGAGCGACCCCATACAGGGAGCCATCAACCTTGAATATCACTCCAGCCTACACAACTACAGACGCGCACACGCGCTTCCCAGCAATCTCCACGGTGGAACGCCTCCAAGCTGATTCAGGCAGACGCTTAACGACGGCGCGGGATCCATCTCTCAAGGCGTTCAGGTCGACACACAAGGCGCTATGAAGCTCGTGGAAGCACATGCCATTGGATGCGTACTCTCTGAGTTCCTTCGCGCCGACCCGGACGCTCCCGGGGAGCATGGCGTGCACCTTCTTGACGTCCAGCAAGCGCTCCATGGCCGTGGCTGCGCGCTGGACGGCTGTCTTGAGCAGCACGTACTGGGCTTCAGGAACGAGCCGGCGCATCCCGATATAGGCGTTGAGCCAGTGGATGTCATGCTGGCAGTTGATGTCTTCAACCATGTATTCCAAGACCTCATGGCTCATGCAGTACACGTACTTGAGATCGGCCGGGCTGATGAGGCCTTCCCTGACCAGCCCGAGGTCGTAGACCAGGTCCCCCCACAGATTGACATTTTTGATGCGATCGATGTAACGAAGGATCCTCCAAGAGTCGAATTTGACTGATCTGCCACGTTGCGAGGCGTCGGGACCTGCCGTGGCAGGAGCCGTGAAGGCCTTAAACCAGAGAACTCGAAAGGCCTTGTATGCAACCCAGATCTGGTCCAGGCCATTCAGGTCGTTGGGGTTTATCGAAAATACGGCGGCGATGATTGGCTCAGGGGGCAGGCCACTCAATGCTGCCATTGTGTTAGTAGCAGCCGCATTCTCGTACGCGCAGACTCGGTCCTGGCGCAACTTCCACAAGTCAGTTGCCGCTTCCTTACAACTACCATTTGCGTTAGCAGGGCAGAAGGGAAACGAGAATTGGAAGATTGGGCGGCAATCGTCTGCTTCAATGGTACGCAGACAGTCGTCATATAACCGGTCGCATCGCTCGCATCGGAACGCATATCCCTCTAAAGACTTGTCGAAATATGGGTCGTTTTCGCCTCTCATGTTGATGTACCAATTCTTATAGTCAGTATTCATTGACACCCGGATATCAAACGCTTCAGGGAAACGCAGAGAGCGGTGGACTCTGGCCAGATTGTCTTGGCCGTGGACTTGATCTTGAGCCATGCGAGTCCACAAATGCCAAGGACCGCATATTCTCTCCGCATGCAGTATATGTTGGGGTGGCAGGGCCTCTTCCCATGTTTCTGGCACTTTGTCCGGGTTTTTCCAAGCAGCGAACTTGTATTTGCGCTCGTTGATGTGAACGTGGCCACATCCTCCGATCCTGTTAACCAAGACCGGCGTTCCGTCCCTGTTAAGTTGGAAGAACAACATTGCTTCGTTAGTAGTATAGTGGATTAAAGTGATTGAACTGTTTGTATAGTGGATCGAACTCCTCGAACGGCTGGGGTGATAGACTGAGACGGCCGAAGTGATGGATGAATGATTGGAATAGCACTTGACTGACGATGCGCAATCAGTAGTGCTTGGAGTAATGAGTTGAACCTGATGAGACTGGAGTCAAGTAGGAGACCTGAAGCAATTAAATACCCCAAATAGTATCTATGAATGAAAATGAGGAGGAATCTAGAGTTCCGAATGACAAAGTCTAACAAGAGGCGTTTGAACCAGCTCGGCGTACTCCCACATATCTTGGAGCCAAACTTGTGCAGGATAACCTAATTATCAAAATAGCTCAAGGCCTCACCAATTACAAACTTAAATTTCAAGGGAGCTACACGTATCTATCGAAAAGGCCGCAATAGAAAGAATACTTTGGTGGGGTGCCCAATGTGTAAGTGTTTTCTCGCAGCTGGTGGCGTGCATGCAAGTGTCCTTTGCGATTTAGCTACGGAGGTTACTCAAAGACCAATGAATGGGATAACGAAAGTATACAGTGCAGAGCCCCCATATTATAAGAAACTGGAAAATACTTCCTGTGGAAGAAGGGAAACTTGTTTGGCTTGTCTGCAAGCGCAGCCTACAAGCGCAGACGCACGACTCGACGAGCGGCGAGCATGGATTATTCTGAACAGTAGTTTTCTTACTACAGTTACTCTCTGATTCATATATCTCATTGGATAATTTATGAAATTAGAGCAAGAAGACAAAAAAAGAAAAAAAGAAAAAAGAAGAACGAGGAACCCAAGTATACGGACCACGCAGTCCAGAGTGGGTGGGGATGACAGGCTAAAAAATAACAAGTCCACCGTCCAAGTCGTCCAAGCTTCACCAACTCAATCCACGGCCGGCGACTAATTTCAAACGCAGTTCTTGCAGTCATCCAATCGCACCGCAACAAGTCCCTTAATTAGGCAAACCCGTTCGCACGCTAAGAAATTACATTCGGAAATCGAGAAACAATCTCAGACCCAATTCTCGCGCGAGGGAAGACTAGAAACGAGCCCCGCGAACCTGAAGGCGTTCACCCCTCCAACCAACCAACCCGCCACCATGAACCACATCCGCTCGCCCAACGAGCCGCACCCGAGCGCCGCGGCAGCTTCCCCCCCTCCCTCCTCCTCCTCCTCCTCCTTCCCCTCCCCCTCCTCGCTGGACGCCGCGACGACGACGCACTCCCAGGGCCGCTTCCGCATCGCCACGCGCAAGCTGCCCATCTCCAAGGCCGGCGCCATCGACGCCATGACCGCGCGCATCGGCATCCCCATCCCCGAGATGATCTTTGGCGACAACCTCGTGCGCGTCGCCCACGCGCCCTCCGGCTGGACCCTCGACTTCACCGCCCCCGACGCCCTCGACGCCGTCGACAAGACCGACCGGTGCATGCTCAAGGTCGCCTACGCCCGCGACTGGGAGAGCACCCGCGAGGGCACCACCCAGAAGATCAAGGAGGTTGTCAAGCCCTACGACTGGAGCTACTCCACGACGTATGCCGGCACCGAGAAGCCCTCGACGAGCGGCGTGCGGCTGCGGGAGAGCGTGGAGGATGTGATACCGATTGAGCTGCTGAAGCGCCGCGACCCGATACTGTTCTTCGACGAGGTGGTGCTGTACGAGAGCGAGCTGGATGATAACGGCATCTCCGTGTACAGTGCCAAGCTGCGCGTCCACGAGCACAGGATGCTGCTCCTGTGCCGCCTGTTCATGCGCCTGGACAATGTGATTGTGCGCATCCGCGACACCCGCGTCTACGTCGACTTCGACACCGAGCAGATCATTCGCGAGTACACAGCCAAGGAGGCCAGCTTTGAGCAAGTAAAAACGGTAAGCACTTTCCGTATCCCCTGGCTCGTGAGAGAGTCCTTCTAACGAAACAAGGCACTGTACCGTTCTGGCCGCTTGCCTGACGACATCACCATCGGCCTACGGGACCCCAACATTCTCGACCCGTTCCTCAAGACTGTCGAGCGTAGGAACGAGTCTGTGTCACTGAAGAGTGCCTAGACTCTTATCGATTTATGATGCACGATTCTCTCTTGAATGATAAAATGATTAGATGTATGAAAAATTAATCCACACTGGATCGATTCTGCATAATAGAGTGGCTTTTGCCCCATTCTGTACATAGATACACACAACTCTAATGACTGGCTACATTCAGCATGCTATTGCTAATGATGGCTCTTGACTTTTATTCCCTCTTTGTTCCTCGGTTCTTTTGACCGAAAATGCTTTCCCTCGTCTCATTCTAGAACCTCCGTCTATAAACAGTCGACCAGACAATGCATTCGCTAACTACAAAAAAAAAACAATACAATATGCAGTGAGTCGATATGGGGCCACTACATCTCAAAGAACCCATCATCCTCATCCTCCTTCTCGGTAGAAGCCATGGCCTCGCGCATGAGACGGCGACGCTCCCTGCGATTCAACCCGTCCGTCTTGGCGCCGCTCTGCTGCGCACCACCTGCCGCCGACTCCGTCTTGCCATCGCCAGTCGCCTTGCCTGCATTATTGCGCTGCGCCTGCTTGGCAATGACCTTGGCCATCCTCTCCTTCTGCGGCGGCGTTTTGGCGGCGTGCGATCGGGGCTGGCTCGCGCTCGCGTCATCGTCGCCTGTCGCTGACCGCCGCTCTCGAAGTTGTTTCAGCGCCTCAGGCCCTTCCTCCATGGCCCTTTCCACGACCTTCCACATGGGCGGGCGCTCCGCCGCCAACGTGGCCTTTGCGGCCGGGACCTTCTTCTCCCCCTCGCCGCCCTCGGCTTCGTCACCCTCCTTCTTCGCAGAGCCGTACAGGCTGATGTAGACTTCGGCGTGGGGATGATGTATTGTGTATGCCTCGTCGACTTGGGCCATGTGTAGGTTAGCTTGGATTTTGCTGCGCTCTTCGTCGTCGGTCGCCGCTTCGAGCTCGCGCTTCAGTTGTTTGACCAGACGCTCAGCCTTTTTACGCTCTGGCAGCATTTCTTGTTAGTACGAAGTGATGGACGCTGTTCGGGTTCGTCCACCACCCACCAAAAAACCTGACCATGTGGTATTTCGAAATCATGGCGCTTCTTCGCCTTTGAAAGCTCTTGTCGGAGATGGTGTTCTTGTGAGCAGCTAGTTCGCGCTCCATTTCGTTGCGCAGATTCGCGGGAATCTCATTATTGCGGGACATCATGCGCTGAATGCTTCTCGTTCTCTTCTTCGCCCATTCCGCCGAGCCTTGCTTGGCCTTGTGCCTGCCCGTACTGAATCCGTGCTTTTTGCTGGCGTTGCCACCTGGGCCTCGATCTCGCGAATTCTCGTCCATGGTTTGGATATCTTATCCGTACGCCCCAAGTCACTTTGGAAGAGAGTTAAACCAGCCGCTTAGCCTCTTATGACAATTTGAAGTAAGGGTTCACAAATTTAGGTTTCTGCAACGAGCCTTGAAATGCTGAACCAGGAACTTTTCGAAAGGCTGGAAATATTTCTTGGCCGATAAGCTGATAACGATTTCGATGTGGGGTCCATCACGTGTGGCACCAACCATGGGCAGCTGTTGTGGGGAAGTTCGCCCGAAGCTCCCACCTGTCGACGACCTTGCATCACGACCCTGGTCGCATCTCAACTTGCATTTTACAGGCCAGCGATTGGACGATGCGACAGGCGTCACGCAGGATCAATGGCCTAGATTTTTGGCCATTGATACATCAATTCGAGACTAAGTGACGAAACGATCTACGGCGCGAGCTTCTACCCCCTTTACGACTCATATCACCCCATCCAATGCAGACGGCTTCGCCTGAATGCGCCGCGGCCTAAATCGACCTCAAAATGGACCGTCCGGAGCCAGGCCTTATCAAGTGGACTGCCAATCCACATTTAGACAGCTTTGTGCAGGTCAACCTCCAAAGTCGACATGTCCAGATTTACGAGGCGAATGGCTTTGCACGCAACGGCAGATTCGACTACGTGCGGCGTGTCCGACATGACGAGTTCCCCCCTCTAACGACGTATGACTGGTCGCCATGCGATCCTGGTCTGATCGCGGTCGGTACCAGTGGAGGTGTCGTGAATCTGCTGCGAGTTGACGATGGCTCTAATGCCTTTGTCGAGCTGGGCTTGAAAATGGCGAGAAACTGTCACGCTGTCGCATTCAACACGACAGGCTTATTAGCTGTCGGCCTGGACCGCGTTCGAATGGACCAGAGCTTACACGTTTGGGACATATCGCGCTTGTCATTGATAGAACCACCCATGCGGGGTTTCCCGCCTGATGCCCACGACCACGTCGACAACATTGCCCACCTAGAACCCAGCGTTTCCGTCTCCAGCCTCAAGTTCTTTGAAGATAGCCCGCATACACTTGTCGCCGGTATCAAGTCGCACGGCGTCAGGATACACGACCTACGTGACCCGAATCCAGCCGTCACCTTTCATACGAGATGCAACAACAATATTGCCATTGACTACGCTGATCAAAACTACTTTGCATCATCCAGCTTGGATCACCCCGGCGTCATGATCTGGGATCGACGAGCCAGTAATCGCCCTCTAGCGTCAACATCATATGTACAAACTGTGGAGGAAGATGATATGCCATGGGGGGCTGCTTTGCGCCTCGACCATGCCATCGAGACTGACCATGATCCATCCGCCGTGGACGAGCGACACTCTATGATTCGATCACTCCGCTATTGTCGCAATCAGCGCGGTCTATTAGCCATTCTCTCACGCACAGGCGAACTTCGTGTGCTTGACACAAAGAAGGATTCGCCATCCCCTAGCATTACGACAGAGCAAGGACCGGAACTGTTACATGTGGAGAGATCACATGAGCTCGATCAATCCTTCAGATACAATTCAAGGAAGAATGACCGCATTGTGTCTTTTGACTGGGTTACGCTGGGATCGCCGGATCTTAATCCGAGACTGCTTGTTCTGCGAACCAGCGGCAAGTTTGATATTCTGGAAAAGCCATCAGCCTCGACACAACACGCATACAAGCTCATTCCATGGCAATCACCTCATCGCGGCTTGGAATCTGGCCAGTCTTACCAAGATATCATGCAATTCGACCCTAAGCAAGGCATGGAAGTTCTTGCTGCCACGCTTGTAGACCAGGCACTGCACGATGTTCCAATTTTCGGCGCCGACAAGATTGCTGTCAAACAAGGCATCGAAGAAGCATTGAAAAACCAAGACTCGAGCTCTGTTATAGTTGAGAGAGTAAACGAGATCAACGCCCCGCTTCCAGAAGCGTTCTATGCGTCCAAGACGATTGCGGGCAAGCTTCGCTCCGTGCGCAATTACATCAAAGACTTGGAAACCAAGATTCCTTCGACGGTAGGCCGATCACGGGTTCCAAATGAACTGTCCCTAGCAACCAATAGCGTCGAATCATGCAGGGAGTTTCACGAAGCGCTTCTGTCGGCAACTGTCAAGACCAGTGGCTTGCCGAGCGAAGCACAAAGCGTGGTCGATCATGCCATGCTGTTCCGCGCCAAGGAAAAATATCTCTTCGACCCTACGGTCAACAGACAGATTGTATCTGACGACCCCTGGAAACGATATGTGTGGGATTGGGTCGCTGGTCAGTTTCAGCGCGTGCTACTACATAATCCTTGCTAACATAACGATAGACGCCGAACTGGCCGCGTACGATAACAGCTTGGTGCTCTCCGGCGTCGATCTCAGCTATCTTGGCGTGCATGCGATATGGACAAACGACCTAGGTTAGCTTTCCATGACCGTGGCTAACTTTACTTAAAGCTAACAAACCAGGACGTAATCCAAAAACGAGAACCAGCCCAGGCACCACGAATCTTCCTGACGCCTTGCAGTGGGAGCGCTTCATCGGGCCGTACTGCAAGAAGCGAAGGTTTCCACGGTTTGACACCGTCTTCACTAAGCGGCCGCATACGCGACAGCTGTGCCTGGAGATCTGCGGCTGGGGCGACCCCGAGTCCAACGACCCCAAGGGCTTCGAGCGTGACCCGTCGCCTGACTATCCAACGGCGATACACACCATGACGGCGTGCCGGTCGCTATTCCACGGAGATGTGCGGCACGCCATCGCCATCCTGAAGCGGGCGAGCGCGGCTCACCCCGAGCTGCTGTTCGTATCGCTGGCGCTGCAGCTTATGGAGCGTGGCGGCGGCAAGCAGCTCGCCAAGGAGCAGCTAGACTTTGATGATGCGGTGGCGTCCAAGACGGACCCATACCTGCGTGCCATCTCGACGCTCATAGCCACCGGCAACTGGTCCCTCGTCGCGGACCAGCGCTCGCTGCCGCTCGCGGACCGCGCCTACGTCGCCGTGCGCCACTTCCACGACGACGAGCTCACGAGCTGGCTCGACGAGCAGGTTGAGCGCGCCATCGCCGAAGGCGACGTCGAGGCCATCGTCCTCACCGGCGTCTCCGACACCCTCGTCGACGTCTTCGCCGCGTACGTCGAAAAGTTCCACGACTACCAGACGGCCACGCTCGTGCTGTCGCTCTGTTACCCTCGCTACATTGACGACTTTCGCTGCCGCGCCTGGCGCAACGCCTACCGCGCGCTGCTCCAGCGCCACCGCTTCTTCCTCCAGCGCACCAAGTTCGAGGTCGAGTCTACCAAGCGCTCCAAGCGTGACGGCTCCAACCCGCTCATCAAACCGCCCTCACGGCAAATTGCGCTGCGCTGCATCTACTGCGACGCCGAGACGTCCCTCGCGAACCACCATCACCATCACCGCGCCAGCAGCGGCGGCGGCGGCGTCGGCGGCGGTCCGCCTCCGCCCCCGCCGCCGTCCTCCGGCATGGAGTCGCGCAACCCTCTGCTGGCGACCAGCATCAACGCGGGAGTCAGCTGCCCCAACTGCGGGCGGCACCTGCCGCGGTGCGTCGTCTGCCTGGAGGTGGTTGGCGTGCCGCGCTCCGACCGGCCCGAGGAGCGCGACGAGACGCGCATGGCCGGCCGCTTCCCGACGTTCTGCATGCGCTGCGAGCACGTCCTCCACCTGGACCACGCGCGGCAGTGGTTCGCGCGCCACGTCGAGTGCCCGGTGCCCGAGTGCCGCTGCCGCTGCAACTTTCGCGCCAACCCGGAGCTCAACTATCACTAAGAGGAGGTGGACGGCGCCGGGTGCAAAGGAGGAGATAATACATGTACCAATGTATACCCATGAATTCTACTGGAACCATGTTGAAGTTGCAAATGCTAGTGTCGGCAAGACAGTTCTACGTTTATATACACAGATGTTGAAAAAGGAAGCGGACTCTGCTTGGTATGGACGTAGAATATACTACTTGTCTGTGTCTTGAGCTCTATCTAGGCTATAGCTTACATGGACTACACGACAAATGATACATCGTCTATTTCTGGCATGAATACCAAGCAAGATCTCCCAGTCCATCTCGAATCAATATTAAAAAAGGGCCAGAAATGATGCTCTTTTGTCCCTGGCACTTTCACTTCAGCATGTTAGGCACACAAACATCACTGCCTCGCCGTCTTGGCAATTCCCTGCACGAATGAGTACAGCATAAATGGCAGTGACCTGCGCGAAATCCATGCCGCCAAACGGCATCTTGCGTACATGCTACACATGATGCACATTCTCCAGATGATAGGTGCCTTTCAATTGTAAATAGGCATCATATGAGCGTAATTCTTGATTGATGGCTAGTGTGGTATAATAATATCAATAGATAAGGGTATCGAGAGGTAGGTTAATCGGTCGTTGTGTGATGTCTTGGTTGGATTTCCTTTGAGCGTCTAAAAAAAACCAGAAAGATCCCATGCATAATTCTATGCACATTTCTTTTTTTCATGTCTTCTATTTCTTACTGTGATGAAACCTCGCCCTTGCACCATGGATGGTCTAGCACCTGGGAAATATCCATGCGCGCATCCAGGAGGCGGCTGAGCATGCAGCGGATAAGGTCGATGCTCTCAGGGCTCATGGTAAATGGCAAGCGCAAGTCGCGGTCCATGATTTCGTCGATGCTGTAAAAGGGGTTCTCTTTGTATATAATGGTGTACAGGAGAATACCCAGCGCCCACACGTCTTGCGGTTTACCGTCATAGGGCTGTCCGGCTAGGACTTCAGGGGCAGCGTAATCTAGCATAAGTTAGAACTGAACGCAACGCAGCAAGGAGATTGTCTCTAAACGTACCAATGGTGCCAACAAAGACGTCGAATGGCCCGCTTCGAATGTAAGCGGCGCTGCCAAAATCAATGAGCTTGATGTTGCCCTCGCCGTCGAGAATAATATTCTCATCCTTGATATCTCGGTGCACGACCATGGCCTTGGTGTGCAGAAAGTGCACAGCTTGTGCTACCTGTACAAAAATGCTGCGGCACTCGGCTTCATCCATGTTGGAACGCAGCTCGATGTAATCGAAGAGGTCCATGCCCGGCAGCCCGTGAGGCACCATTGCGATGTAGTAGTTGACATCGTCTTCAAAGAAATTCTCCATCTCAACAATGTTGGGGTGTCGGAATTCAGGTTTCCGCAAAAAGTCCAGAACATGAATCTCTAGAGGCACAGTGCCGAGTCTTCGGTCGCGCGTCCAGGTGTCGACGAGAATGCGCCGTTTCGTGACATACTTGAGGACCATCTTTCTGCCGGTTCGCTTGTTTCTGGCCAGCTTCACTTGGCCATATGCGCCTTGACCCATGTCTTCCAAGATGACGTAGTCATTTATTGTTGCCTTGATAGGTTCCTCCTCCGTCATCGTCACGACTGGTTGTGCGGCGGCTGCCTTGGGTGGTGACTGGGGTCGGGTCTGGCCCGTTAACCTTGCGGCGGCATTCACCGTGGCGTCCTTTATTCTCGTCATGTCGAACACTCTTGACGGGCCAGAAGATGGGGCAGGAGGTTGTCTAGGCTCATCACCCTCAGTGTCGGATAGAACCATCGGTGAGTGAACAGGCGTCTGGCCGGGGGAGGGTTGATGCAGAGGCGTTGGCGGCCCGGAAGGTATGCGCTTGGCCGGGTCTAGCACGTTGGGAACCGCATGGACGTGCCTTGAATAAGTAAGCCAGAGGGCAAAGACCATTTCGGTTCCTGCGTAGGTCGAAGAGGCGTCGGTGTGGGCGTCATCCACAGCCTCCTCGGCATCTTGCGATGCAGCAGGCTGCCTCTCACTCTCGACGACACGCATCTGAACGTCAATGTTGAGGTCAGAGCCGTCTCGATGCTTCGCAGCCAGTCCGTTGGGTTGCAAAAATGAAGCAGCAGCGTTGGGTTTGTGTTGTTTGATTGCCGTAAAAGCGGCAGCCCTTCTGAAGCGATGTTCTGGAATAACCATGCCGTCAAGTAGTTGCAGGCCGTCTTCTTCCGTTAGTGTTTCGACTATCTTGTCAAATCCTGGGATTAGGGCGTTTATAGAAGTGCCAGCGGGCTTCTCAAAGCCAAATAGAGCGCCACTAAAGGCAGAGTTCGAACTGAGGATATTAAAGTTCGTAGGGTCGACAACTATGATGCCAGCCATGTGCGGGAAAGTCGAAACTCGAAGCTCAAGTTTGCCGTGTATCTGTTCGACAGTGCATGGAATGTTTACCTTGCGGTAATTAGGACAGGTAAAGTAGCGTCGTTTCCTTGTCTGGGCAAAATCAATCTCGCCCTGAGTTGGGTCAAAGCCTTGCCTAGGAATTCGTGGGATAAGATTTGCAATGTCGATACCGGACTTGACAGACTTGAAGCCCCAGATGGTCTCAGTAGCGCCAGTCACAGCTTTCACGACGCCGTCTTCGTCGACCTCGATGTGCGCGACATCCTCATGTATCTCCTCGAGCACCCAGATCAAGCCAATCTGCTTTTCCTTAACCCACAAACTGGCAGAGCCGGTAAGTCCATTGCGCTTCTGGATAGGAACGACATCGCCACAGAGCAAAACGCCTCGAGAACCTGCGGTGGGATCGGCATCGGCACCACGGAGCTTGGGCGGTTCAACATCGCCGCTATGGATGGTTTGAGCTCTCCGTGGAGGCTGTGGTGTTTGTGATCGTGAGTTTGGCTTACTCAATAACTGCGCAGTAATTCCGGGGCGCCCACCGAGAAGTGCTGATGCGGCCGAGCTGGCAGGAGACAAGTCGCCGGCAGCATCCGGTATAGAATCCCCGTCATCTTTGCTGAGCAGCTTTCGTTCAAGCCAGGCACGTCTCTCTTCTTGCACAACCTCCAAAATGCCCATCTTGCGGACTTCGGCCTTGGTTACACCAAACACCAGGCAAGCTAGGTCGTTGGCGGCGAGGATAGTCCAGGGAGGTTTAGCTTCGGTAGTGAAGATGGCTTGAGCGGCGGGCACCCATCTGTTGGTGTGACCATGCACGGCAGGATTAATGGCGCCTGGGAAGATTTGACAAGGCAACGTTTGATGGCTGAGTACAGGCGAAAGGCTCGGCTCTGGATGCAACGTCGGGCCAGCCATGAATGGTTGGGCCATGGTGTCCATCAGCTTGTCTTTGAGGGCTATGGAGAGGGTATCCGTCATGGTGCGTTTGAGGCTGGTTGGCCGTGAGGTGGGCGGTGACGTGGTGGCAGTCGTTTTACTCTCGTCTGTGGGTGTTCTACTCGACTTTTGCGAATCATCTTGCTGTTCCTTGGATGGTAGTAGACGCGTAAAGGTAGGTGATAGAGCGAGATCCTCTGGCTCTTCGTGGATAGTGGCAGGTTCTTCGCTGAGGGCGTGTGGGGTGAACTGCTTTTCGAATATGTTCTCGCCGGACACGTCTGCGGGCCCGGTGAGCGGGGGCACAGCAAAGGAAGCGTCTGGGTTAGGCAGGTTGCTGGCTCCAATGATCTGAGCCTTGGCGAGCATCTCGAGCATATTCTGGGCTTCCAAGTCGCCGGCGAGCCTGGCTTGAGCACTGGCCAAGCCAGCCTGGTTGGCGCTGAGGGGTTGGCCGAGTCGGTCCTTGATAAATTCGAGGGAGCGTTTGAGAACATTTTGGCGGTTGTGGAGGAAGTCTTCGGACTGGTGCGCAAAGGAGAAGGAATGCAGCGACTCGGTCGGGAAGCGGGAGAGGTCTTCGGAGAAGCTGGGAGAGGCAGGAGCGGCGGATATGCAGGAGAGCGGCGCGGGGGCGGCAAGAGTGGCACTCATCGAGGTCGAGCGGGAGAGGGTTACGACGGACGGGCTACGGGAGGAAGCGTTGGAGTTTGGCATGGTGGGATTGCGCGAGGGAGGATGCTGCCGTATACGGCGCAGGCCAGAGAGACCGAGGCCATGTTCGTGGTCGGCAACGGGCGAGGGCCTGCACCAATTTAAGAGAGAAGTTAGCAGCGGCATGGTGCTGAAAGGTGACACAGCATGATGGGTCGCGTTTCACACGGAGGCGCGCGTCGGCGGATGAGAGGCCGTCTGGAGAGGGAGCGGGGAGAGTTGGAATGAAAGCAAACACGACAACAGAGGGAGCAAGAAGAGCGAGTGAAGCAAAAATGAGGCATGGGACATGAGCAAATATCAAGGCGGGAAAAGAATAAAAAATGACTGACCTGGTCATCAAGTCATGGTCGGGGTGGGCGGCAGATGACGAGCCCTCAAAGGACATACGAAAGCGGGTGCGGTCGGGGTCAGCTGAGAGGGCAAGGTTGCCGGTACTGAGGTTTTTGGGCAGCGAGAGGGGAGTCAAAAGCTTGCCACGGCCTCTCTCGCCATCGTCGTTTGTGTTATTGCCGCCTGAGAGGGGAGAGTCAGCATTCATTGTCCCTTGAGCTCCGTTTGGGGGAAGCAGGCCAGGCAATGGTGAAGCTATGACGACGAGCTGGAGGGGGAGGGGGGGGGGGGTGGGTTATTGTGTGGTGTGTGGGCTAATAATTTTGAGGCGATGTGCTATTTTGGAGTGAGGGAGCGTCGCGTACGGTTACCATGCATGGTGGCTTGTCCCGAGGGATTGGAAAAGCGAGATGGCGAGGGGCTGGCAAAGGATTCCCAATGTGCAGTGCGAGCCACCAACGATCATGGACAACGATGGGCGCGGCGCGGTTTTTTGCTTGGGCCGGGACGGGGCTGGGGGTTTTTGTTGACGAGGTCGAGACGCGGCGACGCCGGCGGCGCAGGGAGCCACGCTTTACTTCTAGTAGGCGGAGAAACAAAGCCAGACAGAGTAGAGAGAGGGGGGAGGGAGTCAGTCGCCCGCGAGGGCCGGCCGCCCTTTGCCACTGGTTGTTTCAAGCGGAGAAGGATGCTAGGGATGAGCGCTAGATGGAGATGGGTCGGCGCGGGCGATGATGACGGTGATGGTGTTGGCGGCCGCGATACCGGCGGGACATGAAGTTTGTTGAAGATGGAGAGTCAAGCTATCGCAAGGTCGAAGCGCAGCCTCACGAGGGGCAGCTAAACAAGGCCAAGCGAGGCGGGGGCTGTTTTTTCAGGCACCCTGCCACCGAACCTCGCTGACAGGAGCCCCTACTAGCTGGTTGTTACAGGCTGTTGGCCGACTCTTAGCGGCCTTAGCGGTACCTAACGCAGAGCCTGAAGTGCAGCGCTAAGCTCCCGCACAGGTACCACTTTGTTGGTTGGTCCGTGATGCTTCACAGTGGATGACAATAGCTCATGCAGCCATCACCCCAGCTGATTGGAGCAGCCTGCTTATAATGAACCACAACATGAGCAGCCTACCTTATTCAAGTTGGCATTGAATGAATACCTCTGTAACTCAATAACTCAGGGTACCAGATACAACTGCATTACCAGTACTCCTTGCATCGAGTCTCTCGGTCCTATGTGTTTTACCCTCGTTTCAACTCGTTATGTAGCAACATGACTTGTCTGCCAATAGGTATAATATCATCTTCAATAACTTGTGACAGTAAATGGTGGGTCGTTGCTATGAAATCGTTGGTTGGATCCTTGTCCAACGTCGCTGCCGAGGGTGTAACACATTTGACAGGTCAGACTCGTGCATTCTTTTATTTTCCGTAACCCTGGATTTTTTTTTTTCAACATGACTACATCCATGTATGCTTGCATGTAAACCTATGCTTACACAGAAGCCACGGGACATATAGATCCACACTCACAATACCGGCACCGCCCTCGCCGGCATCGCCGCCTCATACGCCGCCATGAACTGCAGCAGCGCCTCCTCGTCGCCCGCCCGCGCCACCACGCACAGCCCAAACGGCCGTCCGTTGTACCGGAGTGTCGACAGCGGCACCGCGCCCACCGGGTACCCTGCCGCCGCCGCGTGCACGCAGAACCCCGAGTCGCACGGGCCAGCCAGCACGTTGACCCCGGCCGTGTCAAATGCCCCGTCCAGGATACCCCGGGCCTTGGCGCGGAGCTCGGCCTTGACCGCGTCGACCTCCTCAGCCGGCTCGTTGCTGTTCATGGCCTTGATGAGGTCGTTTTGCTCCGTGTATGCTGAGCGAAAGCTGTCAGTTTGGCTTAGATGGGAGGGGGAGGGGGGACTTGTAAGGCGGGATGAAGGACTCACGCTCTGGCATGGCTCGCTCCTGGTTGTCTTGGTTAAACTTGACAATGTCCTTGACGCTGCGAATCGGAAAGTTGTCAAATATCTTGAGAAATTTCGGAAGACAGATGTTGTTGAACTCCCAGTCTGCCCGCGTATTAGCAATCTGAGGCTGTTCAACGTGTGATATGTGTTGACACTTACGGGCGAGGGAGATTGTATCCGGATACCCAGACAGATTCGGCAAAGCAAAGGGATACTGCAACGAACATCCGCTTTTCCGCAGAGTCTCTACCATGGACTCATACTCTTCCACCTAAAAAAGCCCACCATTAGCCCCCTTCCCTTTGACTTACACACACTCTGCTCTACAAACTCACCATGTTAACCGCCGTGCCCTCGTGCTGCCGGCACATGGACTCGTCCAGCGTCCACAGCCGCGGGTCCACGACGCCCACCTTCAGGCCCTTCCACGAGCCCACGTCCCCCGGCGGCGCGGCCTCAAAGCCGCGACCGAGCAGGAACCCCGCGAGCGCCCGGATGTCAGCCGCCGACTTGGCCATCGGCCCCGGGCTGTCGTAAAACTCCGTCATGGTGAACGCGCCATCCGCGTCCAGCGCGCCCACCGTCGGCTTCAGCCCGTACAGCGCGTTGCGGCTCGACGGCGTGACGATGGAGCCGATGGTCTCGGTGCCCATGGCCAGCGGCGCGAAGCCGGCCGAGAGGGAGACGCCGGAGCCGGTGGACGAGCCTCCGGGTGCCTGCAAGGAGTGCAAAAAAGTGTTAGACAATTTGCGGCGTTTGGAATTTGTAGGTGCCTTACGGAATGACCGAGAATCTTTTCGTCCTTTTCGATGACGCGGACGTAGGGGGATAGGGTCTGGCCGCCGTGGGCGGACCAGCCCGGCATCATGTAAGTCATCTTCATGCCGCAAAACTCCGTCATGTTGGCCTTGGCCAGGATGATGAGGCCGCCGTCAATCATCCTCTGCACAATCGCCGCGTTTTTCCGCGCCTTGGCCCCGACCAGCGCCAGAGAACCGCAAGTCGTGCTCATCCCCAGATCGGACGCCGTCGTCAAACAGTCCTTCACAGAACCAGTCAGCGCCTTGTTACTTTCCATCCGGTGTCACAACCAGGGCAGGTCTTCTCACCTTGAGAATGATGGGGATGCCGTGCAGAGGCCCGCGAAGCTTGCCATCGCTGCGCTCTTGGTCCAGTTTTGCCGCCGCCGCGAGGACCTTTTGCCGGGGCGGTTGCGAGATGAGGGCGTTGAGGCCCGGGTTGTGCTGCTCGGTGTGGGCGAGATATACCTCGACAATCTGGACGCTGGTGATTTTGCGCTGTGCAAGGAGCTGAGTGAGCTCCACGGCATTGGTCGTTTGGGGGTTAAAGAAACTAGGCATTTTGTGATTTTTTTTTCCCCTTACATTATTGTCTTCATCTCAACAGCGATGTATGTTGTGAAGCTGCACCATTGATATAGTCCTCCATGTAGTCTAGGCAACAGAATTGATTTGGCCGGCCATATCCTCATTCGGATGGCCGCGGCGGCGGAGCGGATACACAGGCACCGAGATTTAAAAAGTATACGAAGAGACACCATCCGTGATTTATCGTATTTTCCGGAATTGGCGCGCTGGCAAGTTGTGACTCTAGCTACATCACCTCGTTTACGAGGCAGATACAATGATCTGTGTCCCTTATTTCAGTGCAGATGTCGGGTAGTTTCATGCAGAGCTATGGACTATTTGAACCTAGAAAAGCTTCAGAGGCGGACAGCAACGAATTACGTTTAGTTTTCAGTCAGATCTACTAGTTAGTTACTAACAGTACTTACAAAGTCGAACCCTCCGTTGATACCACCTACCCTGTAGTGTCTTCTAACCTCAACTTGGTTCTCGGAAGAGGCGTAGGTCGATCTACAACGGGGTAGCACTGATCTTGCGGTTACATTGCGATGGTTTGAGATGGTTGCACACGTGTTAGGGCTCAGCAGACTGCGGGTGAGCATGTGCTGCGGATGCTACCACGACGTGGCTCATGACTAGCTTGGGTCGACTGCGCGGGGTTTCAAGCAGGAGTGACATAGTAGGTACTACTTGGCACTTGGCCAGAAGGTTGGGTTACAAGTAGCGACCAAATTAGGATGGCGAACGGGCCGAACTCTTTCACGAGGAGGCGCCACGACTTACAGGGCGGTCGAGTGAGCGGGCTGGACGGGCTGTACGGGCTGGACTACTGGAGCACGTGTTAGTGGCGGATGAGCGGCGTTTCGACGTCAAAGCCTCGCATTTGTGTACCAACCTGCTGCAAGTTATTGATCGATGGTGGCGTTGCGGACGGCACGAGGTGCTGGCGGGTTGCGGGCAGGCTGAGTTTTAAGTAGGTAGGACAGTAAGTGTGTTGATGTATGTAAGTGTCTGAACGTAATAAGCGTCTAGACTAGTTGATGACGGTGAGATTCGCAGGGTTCCCCTCGAGGCCAGGGCAAGAGAAGCGCTAGAAGCCAGGGAAAAGAAGGGCGGTTAGTTGGTTACTCGTGCCCCGGATTTTGTTGGGTTGGGGACATGCGTTTCTTGCCATTTTGGAACAAGGCTCGCGTGGATGCGGGGGTGCTGGAGACGCTAGAAATTAGGATAGCAGTTGAACTTGTTAAAAGGTATCCGTACATAGGTTGTATATAAAAAGGCTCTGATAGGCTCGGAATGGTTGGACGAAATCAGTAGGGCAAGCTGCTGGGGAGCAGTGACTGAGCGTCTGCTGTTGATTATGTAGAAAGGGGCCTCGGCGTAGAACGGGGTTAATGGCTCTAACAATGGAAGCATCGTACGAAAATGATGGATGAGGCATTTCCGAGTAGTTGGCGAATTTGTTGGTGGCTGTCAGCAGAGAAGCCGAAGCGGCCCTTGGATGGGCCAAGTGGGACGAGGCCTTTGGTGAGGGACGGCAGACAGAGGTTGAGATGGATGGTGGAGGACGAGGTTCCTGACCCGGCCTGGCATATGCAGGGCGGAAAGCCATGTCAGCCTGTTTGCCATAAGTACGCGAATGTAGATGGATGTTTGTAAAGGAGGCTTGAATACTAGAACAATGGGAATGAATGGGAAGAGGGTTGCCGAGGTGGTGAGGCGGTGGTGGTGGTGTTGTGGAGGGAGGGAGCAGCCTCAGGCGGTGGGCGCTGATCAGTGATGGGTACAGTAGGGAGACAGGTAGACTTGGCAGAGACTTACATAGTGTTGCAAGACCTTGGAAAGACTCGGGCAACCATGGATTTGTCTTGTCAATGAATGGTTCATAGTCAAACTGGTCGTGTACTGCCTGTATGTAGATGGTCAGCTGCTGGGCATGTGTTGCAGGGTGGCATTCCGAAAGCCCATGTGGTCTGTCAGTAGTTGAATCAGTCAGTACCTAAGGTGGAAGGATGGGCGGATGCGTTATTCGTATTGCAGTGCGGCATATCTGCTGACCGGAAATGCCCGAATAGGCATGCGCTGTGGTTTGCATCTGTAGCGGTGTCGGGGCGCTAAATATTCATCAAACCACCAGCCTGCTTGCCTGCCTGCCAACTTCCAGTGCAGCGAGTGCAGTGACACTCTGACACTTGCCAGAATTGCCCCGCACTTTTAGGTGGGCAGCAGATCCACAGGTGGCGGCACCCCAAACATTTTAGCAGTCCATTCAGGCAATTCAAGTAATTCAGGGTCCTTTTTTACGGGGGCCCTAGCACTAACTTCTTGCTGCTAAAAGTCGTGTTAGCGGCCGCCTGTCCGTTCTGATGTCTTGTCTTGTCACCACCGTTTGCTGTTTGGCCGCTTCTACTTCTGCTTTATTCTGCCCGCCACCAATGCACTCTTCCGTCCCATCCTTTATCACCCACATGTGCCTGCCCTCTTGCCTCCCCCTCATGCCACTCCCCCCCCCAACAATTTTCTTTTCCCAAACCTTCCTCCTTCATGTCTCTCCTGCCTCTCCTGCCCTCTCCCTCGGATTCTGACCACCACGTCATCCTCCCAGCAATGATTTGAACAACACCGCTCCTCGCAAGACTCCTGCTCCGGCCACTCCGGCACCCGCCCGGCCGAGCATCCAATACTAGCGCCCCTCCAACCAACAGCACCGCGGGCACCCACGCCGCCACTTCCAGCGCCGCATATTATCATTTTCCTTCAACCTCCGACATCTCCTTGTTTCGAAGACGAACTCGAATCAAACCAAACGAACCGATCAACCGACTCGAAAAAAAAAAACCAAGAAACATATTTCCCCTGCCGGCGTCGCCTCCCGCCATGACTGAGATGCTAGAAACCCCCGGCGGCGAGCCCTTTCCTCCTCTCGCCGATGTCGCCGCCGCCGCCGCTCCCGATGCCTCCTCCTCCAAGCTCTCCAGCCGTCAGAGATTCCTCCGAGGACTCCGACGTATGTCCTCGTCGCCGTCCCTCACCAACCTCCGCCGGCCCCGTTCCACCAGCTGTCCCTACCATAGCAGCTCCCGACTTCCTCTATCCTGCACTAGCCTCGCCGGAGTCCCCCCCCAGCACCTTCGACCCGGAACACCACAACCTTCGCCGCTCGCCCGATCCGACACCCCAGACGTCGAGTTCCCATTTCACGACTGCCTCGAGGAGCAACCCGGTGTCAGGGCCGTCCGTGTCATACCCGCCTCCACACCCTCGACTGCCTTGCTGCCCGCCGACCTTCGCGCCCAGGCGAAACCAGTCTCCAAGCCACCCTTTCCATTCTGGGACAATATGCCCCAGGAATTACGCATTGCGATTTTCTCTCATTTGCCGCCCAAAGAGCTCGTCCGTGTCTCCCGTGTCAGCAAGACCTTTTACAGGTTTTGCTTTGACGGCCAGCTCTGGACCACCTTCAACGCTTCGGAATTCTACCAAGATATCCCTGCTGATTCCCTGGCTCGGATCATCATTTTCGCTGGACCGTTCATAAAAGATCTCAACCTTCGCGGCTGCGTTCAGGTCGAGCACTACCGACGCACCGAGGCCGTTGTCAAGGCATGCAAGAACCTCATAAACGCTACCCTCGAAGGCTGCCGCAACTTCCAAAAGACGACTTTGCACAGCTTGATCCAATCTAACGACAAGCTGGTCCACCTCAATCTGACTGGTCTCTCTGCCGTATCCAACTCCGCCTGTCAAATCGTCGCTGAATCTTGCACTCAGCTGGAGAGTTTCAACGTGTCCTGGTGCCAAAAGGTCGATGCCAAGGGCATCAAAACCGTCGTTGACTCGTGCAAACGTCTGAAGGACCTACGCGCCGGCGAGGTAAAGGGCTTTCACAACCTTGAGACTGCCGAGTCTATTTTTAGAACCAACAACCTCGAGCGTCTGGTCTTGAGCGGCTGTGCCGACTTGACTGACGAAGCACTCAAGATCATGATGCACGGCAAGGACCCCGAAATCGACATCCTCACCAACAGGCCCGTGGTTTCCCCGCGAAAGCTACGACATCTAGACCTCAGCAAATGTAAGCACCTTACATCCGCGGGAGTCAAGGCCATTGGCTATGTCACACCTGAGCTAGAAGGCCTGCAGCTGTCGGGCTGCAAGAACCTGACGGACGAGGCCTTGGAACCGATTCTTGCCTCCACACCTCGCCTCACACATCTCGAGCTCGAGGACCTCGCCCATCTAACCAACTCCCTACTTTCCGAACACCTTGTCAAAGCGCCATGCGCTGCCTCCCTCCAGCATCTCTCGCTGAGCTGCTGCGGAGACATTGGTGACATCGGCGTCCTGCCCGTTATGCAGACCTGTACCAAGCTCCGCAGCTGCGAACTTGACAACACGCGCATTAGCGACCTCGTCCTTGCCGAGGCCGCCACCACCGTCGCTAAGCGTTCCCGGCGTTCCACGCAACCGCTTCCCCCGACCGTAACGCTGTCCCTCGTCGTCTACGACTGCCACAATGTAACATGGGCCGGCCTCCGCGAGGTGCTCTTCCGCAACACCCAGGTCAAGGTCAAATCGGTCGGCGTCACATACCCGAGTGAGGTCATCGAGCTCAAGTGCTTCTACGGCTTCCAGATGACCGTCAACGAGCACCACAAGCGTGTCATGCGTGCCGACTTTGCCGCTGCCGCTCGCCTTGAGCGCAAGTCGGCCGACTACATGCAGGCCACCGAGGAGGCTGGCACCGTCGGTGCGGGACAAAGTCGGCGCCGACGGCGTGCACGCCAGACGCACGCGCTGCACCTCGACGAGGAGGACGGCGTCATTGGAAGACGGCGAGCCCGTACCATAGGTTCCTGCAGCGTCATGTAAAACGCCTTCTGCTCCCCTCTCTCTTCTCCCCATCATTTATACATGGCATCAGGTTATCCTAGCATTGTTGTTTCTTTCTTTCTTTTCCCTTCCCTTGTCTTTTTTTCTTCTTTTTGGAATAGTATGAGCAACGCGGCATTATCATTATGGAGTATGGTTCTGTTTTTCTTCATACACACCTCTCTCTCTCTCTCTTATGAATGGGCACATTGGTACACGACAACGGCAGGACACGGAACACTCCTTTCTTACATGTTTACTCTTTTCGGCGTTTGGATCTTTTACTGCCTCGGTGCCCTGAATTTGCGGGCAAGGACTGGCAATGGGAATCGGCTGGTTCGGTTTCTTCTTGGGACTTTTGGTTGATGGTGGGATGGAACGGGCGTTTTTTTGTTTCTTTCCCTGCTACTTTAGCCCGCTCTGTGTTGCTCTTACATAGAAAGCTGCATTCCGCCGTAATTCGGACGACGAAGCCTTGGAGCTTGAATATATAGCACTGAAGTCGATGCAACTTCCATCATCACAACTCTGCTGTAAGATCCCCTTAAAAGTAAAATTGGCTCGCTGTACCTGTTATAGTCCCCGCCTTGCACGCGGATTCTAGTCATTGTCCTTCCTCGGAATGCTGAGCTCTCCGATATCTGTGCTTCTCATCACACCGCTGCAATGCCTGCTCGCTCGGCTGGTGGGGCCGTTCGACGACACACCCTCGGCTTGGAGCGGACTTTTTGTTGCCTCGGAACACACACACGCAAGGCCCATTCATTGTTCAACCTCGACATCCTACAGTGCATTCTAGGAAAAGCGACTCCGATAGGCTGATAAAAACTCTCCGCATACAGTACAGGGAAGTAAATTTTTTTTTTTTTTTTGCATTTTGCATTTTGCCAGATAAGACACCAAATGTCGCTGGAAAAGATTTACGTTGTCCGTCATGGAGTCAGTTACCCCCCTCACTCACCCTGACCTTTTACGCAACGTCAATAAACTCACACAACTTCTAGTTCCGCACTGCGTGGACGGTAGACAAGGAGGGCAACTATCGCTCGCATATCCCGTCGCCGACGGGCATCCCCGCCGATCCGCCGCTCACCTCGCACGGCATCGAGCAGGCCGAGGAGCTCGCCGCCCACCTCTCTTCGCTGAGCGCGCCGGCTGTCGAGGCCGTCTACTCGAGCCCGTACTACCGCTGCTTGCAGACCATCGCACCCTTCGTGCGGCGGCAGGCGGAGGCCGCGGCAGCCGGCACGCTGTCCGCGCGCGCCGCCGACACCGCGCTGCGCATCCGTGGCGAGCACGGGGTGTGCGAGTGGTTCGGCGCCGCGCCGTTCACGCACCCGCAGCCGGCGGACGCCGCGGAGCTGCGCGGCCTGTTCCCGGCGTACGACGCGGACTTTGTGTCGCCGGTGCGGCCGCGAGAGCGCGGCGAGACGTACGAGCAGCTGGTGGAGAGGGTGCGGGAGGCGATGCGGGCGCTCATCCGGCGCTGCGACGAGGAGGGGCGGCGTGGCGTGGTCATCTGCTCGCACGCGGCGACCATCATCGTGCTGGGCAGGGTGCTGACGGGGCAGTATCCCGAGGAGATGGACACGGACGACTTCAAGGCGTTTACGTGCGGACTGAGCATGTATGCGCGGGGACCGGCGACCGAGGGAAGCTCCGATGGTCAGTCGGATAATGGTGAGTCTTAGAACCATGGCCCTGGCATCTGTTTTCGAGTTTGCTTCGCCTTCTTCGGTGGCGCATTTGGCAAGACACATAAAGAAACCGCCCGGGGCCACGGCGAAACGTGGCAACGGAACAGCGCTGACCGCCGAGACATAGTGGGCAACTGGATCTGTGAAAAGAATAGCGACTGCAGCTTCTTGAGCGGGGGTGAAGAGCGTGGATGGTACGTGTTTCCCTCTAGTCGAACATCTTTTCGGCAGACGTCAAGTGTGTCCGCAACTGACATCATTCACAACATCTAGGAAGTTTGCGGGCGACGAGTCCTTCCCCGACACGGGATCAATGTCTCGAGATGATGCCCCCGAACCCAAGTTGTAGGCAAATGCGCACTACAATTTTTTGCAAGAGCCATTCATTAGTTGCAAGGATGGACACCAGCTTCCGAGACTTTCGGGCCATCTGATGCAGGCAGACCCCCGCCATTGTTCAAGCAGGTACAAGCCTAGACACTGTCTGAGGCAACCCCTCTGATGACAATTCACGAAAACAAAGCAGACTCACCAACTCGGAAACAGAGCTCTTTGCATCTTAAATAAGCCCAACTTGGACGGAGCTAGTCGGCCTGGTGGACAATGACGCCAAAAGGGGGATCTTGCCTAGGCCGTATTAGTTGACAGCCGAGATGGAGGGAGAGGCTCTGACTTCCTGGGCACACCACCGCCCTTTTCTGGAGTGCGCTTTGGATGAGACCTGTTCAAGGGATGAAGAGACTTTGTGGGATGTGGCCCTGTTTTGCTCAATAAGGGAAAGTCACTCCTGAGGATAGTTGCCGTCGGATCAGGCCCAAGAAAACACCCACAACAAGGCAGAGTGCTGCCTGTCGGGAATGGGTAAACCGAGGATTTCGCCTCGTCTTTGGTGTGGAAGTTAGTCGCGCCATTTGTTTATTGTCTTTGAACCGCAAAGACAATGCTCAGCTAGACAAGTCTGCCAGGCAGTCCACACCAACAGAAGACACGGCGAGCTTTGTTCCTTGTGGCAAGGACAGGTACAAGGTCAAGTGCGAGGGCCCTGGGAGAAACTCATCTCATTCCGCATGGAGGCTCGTATCCAGAAGAGCCGGGTGATACAGCATTTCTTAAGATAGGTCTTGAGCAGCCGCAGCAGGCAACTAGTTCAATCATTTTATTAATAACAATAGCACCAGGTTTGACCACCAGGCTCAGTGAACTAGGGTGGATAGGCTGCCAACACTGGCAATCCTTCAGTGGCGAAAGCCATTTGTGACCTGTTTCTTATGCATGGTGGAGAGGGAGGGCTAGGCTGTGCCACCTTGCGATGCCGTATACATTGATTGTGGATGGCCGACTCCCTCGCGTCGCCAACGACATTGGCACCCCCGGCGCCCTGCATAGTTCATGCAGGAACCAGCATCTGTAGAGATCGAGTGGAATTGCAAGCAGCAAAGGGGATCTCTCTGCCCTGATGGCGTCACTGCTGAATCAAAACAACCGAGCGACTGGATAGGCATTGCGACGGTCTCAAAGCAGATGAGCTCAGGCACCCATCTCATGATCTAATGCTATTTGAGCTGTTGTGAGCAGAGTTGCTCGTTCTTTGTTTACACGTCTGCTAGCTGAGTTGATGTTTACTGATTCGCCTCACTCACCTGTAACCAGCGAGAGTATTGCTAGGTACGCCTGCGCCCAATATACGTCGTGGCAAGGCAGGGCGAGAGATACAGGGCATATCCTGGGGGATCATAAGAACGGGGACTTTGCGGGTCGTGATCCTCGTGGCTGCATGAAGCCGTTCGTTCCTGATGAAGAGAGCGCCATTGGCTTGCATGAATGATATTAATCAAGATGATCGCATCCACACAATCAAGGGAGGGCAGTCGCGGCGAGCGCCACCATTCAAAACCGTCCTCGTCGAAAGAATTGCCCATTGAGCATGGGATACGACTGGCAGAAAGGTGTTTGATGTGAGGTCTCGGCCCTTGCAGTAGCCTGCCCCCAAGACGAGGCAGGGCAATGGAAAAAAGAAAGGAGGATAATTTCCGCAGCGCTAGCCCGGTACGCTCTCAGGAATAAGAAGCCACAATAGTTCCATGTGTCCGACAGACGGCTTGCATGCACACACAGACGCCCCGCAGAGCTGTCCGCCCTGATGAAGATGAGATTACCCAAGCTAAACACAGGGGCCATGTTAGAGGAAGAATGGCCGTGAAGCGAGGAGAAGGGAAAAAAGCAACGCCGTGCATTTATGCGGCGGAAGAAGTGTGAGGATCACCGGCGCCTGGGCAATGATGATGTTGTTAGTGTGTGGTGGGCGTTTGATATGCGTCGATTGGACTCACAGCGTAGGCTGGGGAAGAAGGGCTGGCCTGCAGCTGAAACACGGGCTCTCGGACAGGAGGCAGCGGGCAAAGAAAGCATGGAGCCGTAGAAGGGGCGCCATCGAAGTTGAGGAGTAAGAGGATGGAGCATTGCATGTAAGGTGTATGGTGTGTTGTTGCAAAAGAAAGAAAATGCTTGATGGGCGTTTGCGCGTGTGTGTAGGAGTAGAGTGTGTGGGCAGCACAAGTCAAAATGCATCGACCTAGGTAAGTTAGGTACGGATAAGTTATGCAGACGTTGCCAGCCGGCCAGTTCGGGCGGCAGCTGGCAGGCTCAGTTGGTCATAGCTCCTTAACCCGCGCCAAACGGGTCCCGACTGGCGCAAGCGAACGATGTGGCACTAGGCTTGGTGTAGCTTAGCGTAAGTACAGTATTTCCTTTTTCGCCCTTCAACCTATCCAGCCAGAGGCCGCCTCAGGTACGACTTTTCCCCGCCTTGATGCCCTGACGGACGCTGCAAAAGCAACAACAGCCTATTTCCCTCAATGGACCCAACTAAGGTGGTGCAACATCAGGAGAGTCCCAGCGGGAAAAAGAAATGGTCAGACGGGATGACGGAACAAAAGTTCTGACAAGGCCTGCCGTTAACCCTCGGCATCGGCCACCAAACACCGTTCTGTTGGTACTGACGTGTTTTGCTTTCATCACGGGCAGCAAACGAGTTGCTGTTGTGCTGACCTAATACCTTCTTGATAGCGACGATTGCCCCCGCCTTCTGACGATAGTTGCTACTCGCCCTTGTCTCAGTCGTCTCGTGCAGTGCTGCGCATCCTTTTCGGAGTGTGGCACTACAGACACAGCAGGACACTAATAAGTTGTTACACCTGGCCCTGAAGAAAAAGAAATTCCAGCAGAGCCAAGTTACGCCCAGCGGAGTATTTCGGCCTACTAGACCATTCGACTCTGCTACGTGTCAGACTGCCTTTTTTGCCTGGCCGTTTGGTACTAGCATACGAAGATAGCATGCAGATGTTGTGACATATCATCCCTCGCCAACATCGGGACCTTATCGTGCCGATCGCTCTTGGTCAACAATAGCGACGGCAAAGCCTACTGAGTATGGCAAGTCAGTCTACTATTTTGACTCCTTGATTGCTTTTGTACGAGGGGGTTGGTCCTTTATGTGATATAACGTGTGTTGCACAGTTGTCCCGACGCCCCGAGAATGCTCAAGATGGCAGATAATCTCGACGGCAACCCTTGAAGAGCTGGGCGCAATACGACAGTATATTATGAACATCCGAGAGCGGAGATCCAATGCTGCGATGCAAACATTCCGCCTCATTCATACAACAGCAGTGCTATTGCCCAGGGCGTGTGGTCGTCAACTACCCTGGGCAGATGGATCGTCTTTGCACACCACACCAGACCATCCTCGCAACCGCACCAGGGTCACTGCCCTGGTTCTAGTATCAGCCTAATTGAAGTTCGACCGTACCGATAGCTTGGTATCATATTTATCACAAATTGCACCAGCCATGGGCCACGCAATGGTGGCATATAGATTACAATACGGAGTATAATGGTCTACTAGGCGCGAGCCTGACGAGTTTCCTCCACCCGCGATCCGCCTCGGGGCAAATGACCAGGATCTCATCTTCAAGACCCGAACTGAGCTCTAGAGATGCGATGGAACAACAACTCGGTTAACATTGACTATCGCCCATCGCAGCTTTTGGCTTTGATTCAGCGGCTCAGCCATTGTTCGCCCTGCAGCCAGCGCCCCCACCAAGCTCGCCGCTAGGAGTCAAGCAGGTGGAGAGAAGCCGCGGCCTTTGGCTCTCAGAGAGGCTCTGGGTCCCGTGTCTTGGATGACTGGATAATTCTCAAGACAACCCCCTCGGATTTTCTTGGGCAATAGGTTTTGTGCGTGCTCAAGGCACCAACACAGGCGAAAGATTGAGTGGCTGTGATGGTGATGGTGACGGTGTGAGAGTCACCAAGCAGCCAAGCTAACGTCGTGCGATGCAGGCTACCGCCACACCGCGGCAGACGTATCACACGCCTCTTCACAGCTTCAAGGCTCACACCTCCTCCATGGCGGATGGACCTGGACCTGCATGCATCTGCGCGCGGGAACAAAAAGCAACAACCGGCACAGCCAGGGAGTTGTCCGGCTGGTGGGAACCTTCTCCCGCGCCAAAAGCTAACCCCTGCCTTCGCCCACAGCTATGCCCGCCGCAGGTACAAGTCTCCGTCGATTCTGCACAATGGACAATGGCCCACCATCGCACGCCCACCAAGAGACTTGGGGGAACGAGCCGACTGCGCTGCGACTCCGCCTCGGCAACCACTCCATGGCCCTTTTTCAGGCTCTCAAGCCCTGCTTGGGCTGGACCAGGCTTTGCCTGGCCTGCGTTGGCTTGGTTGGCTTGCAAGCCTGTTCGCTCTGGCTGGGGCAAGGGTGACACACAGACCCCTCGTCGTATCCAAGACACTCAATTTATCCTGCCTGTCCCGGTCTTTTTCATCAACAGTGATTCAGGTACGCTGCCCATGTTGACGCTGGTCGGCAGAAGAAACAAGCCCTCCTCCATAAGCAAAAAAAAAATTGAAAAAATAAAAATAAGAAAAAACAGGCCGTTGAGCATCACCAGGGGTCTTCGACAACCTCTGAACCCCCGTATCCTTGACTTGCAAGTACAAAACACGTTCTCTCCCTCCTCCCCATCTATTTAGGACCCATTTCCTCCCGTGTTGCTCTTTCCTCCACTACCATATCCGCTCTTTCTTTTAAAAGCCTTTTGGTCTTATTACTATTAAGCCCTTTGGCTCATCATCCCTCGTTAATATTGGCAGTGTACTATTCCTCCCTCTCGCCCTCACGCTCCTTTGCCCCATCTTCGCTTGGACGATTGCCAACCTGCTCAACTCACATCGCGACGTCTTGCTCTTCCCGACAGCCAATATTCTCCGCTCAAGAAATCTCAATACGCCCTTCACAGTTTTGTCATTCAGTCAACAGGGAAAAGAAGTCCCCTAGCTGCCCTCGACCATGACTACTACCATGATGCAGCAGCCCTCGGAGTGCGGCTCTCTCTACTCCATTGGCAAGTTTCGTATCACCTCACTCGCTCACATCGACAACTCGACACCGAGGAAGTTCTCTGAGGAGACACTTCCCTCACCCCTCTACCGAGCCGTCGGGCACCCAAACACGCCTCCAGAGTCTGTATCCGGAAGCCCCAGAATCAAGTTTGAGAGTATGTCGTCTGGGATGGATCACGGCTGAGGGTACCTTGCTGACCAACGTGCAGGATCATCTCTATCATCAAACACAGACTGTTCGCCTATCCCTAGACTTTCCAGTCTTGGAACTCGCTCCATTTCAAATGTTCGCCTACCTAGCCTCGATGAATTTGACCAGGGTGTAGAGGCTCTGGCAAGAGCTCACGGCGGTCAAGCCCCATCGTGGACTCCTGCCGCCTCGCCTCACCCAAGTGCAGCCTGCCGCCCAGTTCTTCCTCAGCTTCTGCCATCTATTCAAGCCTACTCATCGCCTATGTACTCGCCTCAGGCATACTCGCCCCAGGAAGCTTACTCTCCCTACAACCATGCGGACCCTTTCATGCACGCACACGAGGGCTACCCCAGCCCGCCGCCGGATGGCGAGAACAGACACATCAACCAAAAATACACGACCGAGGAGGGGGACTTCATCATTTACGCGTGGCACGATAAGAAGCTCAAGTGGCAGCGCATCAAGCAAGACTTTGCGGCCATGTTTGGAAGAACACCTGAGCGTACAGTGCAGGGCCTGCAAGCGTGGTACTACCGAATGAACCAGCGCATCCCACTGTGGGACAAGGATGGGTGGCTGATTTTCGAGAATGATGAAGATTTGGAACCCAAGCACATCAGCATCAAGTGCCGGGAGCGCGATAGCCAGGACCGCCCGATGGAGCCCCTAGGCCTGGCTCAACGGTACCCGGAGCGAGCCATCAAGTACAGTTGGGTGGACCCGGAAGTGAAGCGCAAATCCCGCGACTGGGGTAAGTCTTAACCGAACACTGCGTCCTGCATCCCGACGCAACGGCATATGTACAGTACCTGTTGCAAGTATGCTAACGACTTTCAACAGCTGCCAAGCGCATCATTCAACTCCGCGATCGCAAAGAGCGTCGCAAGAGAAAGGACCAGCGCCGACTGAAGTTGTAAACGGCTGCCCGTTTCACCAACCAGTCACGACGTTCCTTACGAGCTCCATGTACTATATTCTGACACATGTACCATTACTCTTTGGATTTTCTTTTTTGTTTTACTGCCTTGGCACCAATCCTTTTTTTCCTTTCCTTTTTGTCGAAGAGCCCTCTATTTACTGCACTCTGGGTTCGTCTTGGGCGGTCTGCAGGCGGAGTGGGCCAACCCCAAAAGTCCTGCCTCGACGACGGGGCAAGGCTTCAGTCGTTGGAAGCTCTCTGTCCGCAGCCGCTCGTGTATTACTGGCGGGATTCCATCGTTTACTTTCTTGTTTAATATTTTGTCGGGGTGGCACTGTCTTATATTCTGAGGAGAGAAACAAAGTTAATACTTGGCAAGGGCGATATGACCCACGATACGAAAAGCATCTGGATGGATTAATGTTGGATGGATGTATGATGCAAGCAGCTTGGTTTTTTGCCCTCGGGTGTGTCTACTTGTATGGAAACAAGTCAAGACGAGAGGCAATGCTCATAAATTGAGCTACATACATAGAAACTAATAAATAGTGCAACTGAATGCAACAAGAACATATTACTACAGATTACTACCAATTGCTTTGCGCTGCTTTGAGCTTATTGATTCGGGATTGGGAATAAGCGGTGGCGGTCGATAATCTAATCTTAGATGGTGATGTGAGCGTCATGAATATGTTACACGATTATTAGCTGAAAGTCAGCCTGCAGGTGCAAGGTTCGGAAATACACAGAGAGTCATCTGTAGTTTGCGTGACGATATTTTGTGGCTTGCATTCTTTCCTCGAGACAAGACGGCCCGGGTCGAGGTGCATGGCGGTTAGGCAGAGGAGGCTCTTTCTTGACAAGTTAACTTGACGGCTGACGAGTTTACAGACTTGATGGCTTGATGGCTTGATGGCTTGATGGCTTGCTTTGCTTGCTTGCTTCGTCTAACGAGAGGGTGTAGGGCTTCCGATGATGTTTTTCCTTCTTTTATGCGCCTTCGTCATCATTTCGTACGACGGGGGGAAAGTGGCTGTGTGGCTGAGCAAGGGACGAGGAGAGAGATTGAGAAGCCGACTCCAGACCGGAAGAGGAGTGAGCCATCAATGCGAGATGTGCATATGCATGATGGCACGAGTGGCGACGAATCACAAAAGGACGATGAGCAGGAATGATGGGCGCGCCGCCTGGCGGCCTGAAATCTGGACGGCATCGAAAAAAAAAAAAGGCTGGGTTTTGGGATAATTTTAGCGTGACAAGAGACAACAATCCATGAAGCGTGTGGCTTGCAAGTTATTAAGGTAGTTTTGGGGGGG